TGTGTGTGTGTGTGTGTGTGTGTGTGTGTGTGTGTGTGTGTGTGTGTCTGTGTGTGTGTATGGAAGTTATTGTATTGGACAGATTAATATTAGTTGCGCTCCACATAAAGGCTCATTTAAACAGTATCCATGCAACGACTGATTTGTGGTTCCTTTCTAAATCCTCAGAAATGATCTTTTGTGAAGAGGTTACAATATTATCTCTGTTTTATTTCACAGTATCTGTAACTGCAACAGTACATCTGGATGGATATTAGAGATGTCGATTTTTCCAGTTTAGACTGACAACGGGAAAACAATCCCTCCACTGTGTGTCAGGCACAGGCTGCTTACCACTGGTAGGTCTTCAACAACAACCTCAGAAAAATATTCAGTGTCATCACTTAACTTTTGTTTAAGATGTTTTGTCATTTTTAAGGATACTTTCTCACATTTTTTCCCTTTTATTTGCTCCAATTTCTTTTTCAAAACTGGCAGGACATAAAGCATGAAGATCGTAATTTAAAGGATATAAAACCGACACCGACACCTGAGTAAAGGAAATTGGACAACCAGCAGACTTTTTCATTTTCCGCTGTAGTGATTCTTCCCTCAATGATTCCACTGAACATGTGTCTGAAACAGAAGTTAACACATAAGTGAAAATGAACCCTTATGTCACCTCTGACTTCCGGAGGGATCTCTTCCCCCATTTCTATTTGTTGTAGATCTTTGTCCTTTTCCTTTAATGCCACCTGAAATGTCTTTATCTTCATTTGTAAAGCTGCTGCTGCCCGTTCCCTTGCTGTTCTCTTAGTCCTTGCAGTCAATGTGACTGAAGGACTGTGTCTGTCCTCTGGTTCCTAAATGATTTGATGTTGCACACTCATTATTCCATTAGCATTCAAATGTATGACGGTCTGGAAGTGGCTTAGCGAGGTAAATACTAACAGGATAGATATACATTTTGCTTACTTTATTTGATTTAATTTAACATAATCTTATTAAATCGTTTTTTAAATACTCAACTGTTATATTTTAACTTTTATATTATATTATATTATTTCCACATTTTTTGTGCATTTTCTAACCTTTCCTAATCTGTTCAAGAAACCCTCTTCTGATTTGGTCCATACAGGGATGCTGATTAAGAGGCATAAATCTGAAAAGGTAGTCACACCTTCTCCTTCTGTGGCATGCTGATTTATCAGCTTTGGTGCCAGACTTCCTACAAATTCAGAGAACTCCTCAGGTGACCTGTGTTGTTACCTTTTCCCTTCCTGCAGCCAAAGCTAATAGCATTGGTCACTTCAGAGGTAAATCATTGTAATCTTTCCAAATTTGCTATCATCTGTCAGGTATGTGAATTTTCAGCGGAATTGCTGAGCTGTCATGAAGTACGCCTGCCCTGCTAACTGTTGCAGGTAATTGCTTAAGTAGTATTGTTTAGGTTAATATTTTCCATAGAGCAGCCAGTACACTAAAAAATTGAGAATGGCCGTCAAACAGATGTGCAGACCCTTGGAAAGGAAATGTGAAATAGTTAAAGCAGTGACATGATGGAACAGGAAGCGGCAAACAAAGTGGGTTTATGTCAGTTCGGCCCCTCTCACAGGGTAGAAGTGACATTTCCTTGACTTGGAAGGATAACAAAGCTGAAACGCATACCATTTGCTCAGTTACTTACCCGCATTTCATGTAATGTATTTCCTTGTGTGTATTTTCTCTGCATTTTCAATTGTTTATAGAAACAGAGATTTGACTGTTTTTTTTGTTTTGCTTTCTGTGCTCATAACCAAGAGGTTGTGAAACTGTGAAGAACGTTGAGCGTAAGATTGTGCATGTTTTTTGTCTCTTTCTTTTGATACTGCATGTTGGAAATGACTTTATCATAATGTCAAAGTTCTCATTGTTTTGTCATTTTGCATCTTACAACATCATTAGAAAAGGTATGCTGTAATGAGCTGGATGCCCTTGAAATGCTTCCCATTCTCCTACTCCTTGGCACAATCAGTTTATAGCATCCATCAAGCGATGGCTGCTCCAGCCCAAGACCTCAATATTTTCCGTTTATTGCTTTGAACTGAGCACAACCAATCCTGCATGCTCCTGTTTTGTATGTTGCGGCCAGTCCAGTCATACTATGCCTTGAATGAATTTTCATTATTGTGGAATCGAGCTCTCAGCACTCCTCTTGACCCTCCTATCTTCAGTTAGCCCCATTTCTGTAGTTCACATCTGTTGGATTTAAGCACAGGGTTGTTTATCACTGCACGAGAAAGCTGACTTTGTTTGTTGGGGAATGTATAACTAAACAAATCGACTGTACGGGGAAACGGAAGGACAGGTCGTGGACACTGCATCCAGAGACCAACTCATGGCCTTAAAGGGTTTGCTCTTCTGTTCGGACCCATTATCTTCTTGTCAGGAACAATTTACTGGACTGTTTTGGAAGTAAAACACATAACTTCACTAACTGTGTGGTTATAGCAGAGGTTTAATCACAGATGATGGGAGCTGCACGTGTCAAACGTCGCTTCAGTGCTGTGGTGGATGGGCCAGTGGAGGAGGAAGAGGTCATGAAGCTGGCACAGAGTGCGGCAGATACTGCTCGGGTGGGAGGGAGCCCCACGGGGTCAGGGTCCCCAACCAGCCCCTTCCCAACCCATGCCCTCAACGGCAAAGCTCTACCTCTTCAGAGCAACACCAACAATGCACGGAGGCAGAGTGCCATTGGAGAGTTGGCTGGGGGAGATGTAGGAGGAGATGGTGGAGTGAGAGCAGGAAGAACATACCAAGGGCCAAGAAATGCAAAAGGTAGTAGTGCAGGGGGAAGAGGTGAAAGGCCTTCCTCGTCTGACCAGGATTCACTCTCGTCCCCCTCCACTACCAGCCGCCGACGCATCCGGCGCACAAACCACCGGCCCCGGCAACGCTTTGTGGGCAAGGACGGACGCTGCAACGTCACCTTCGTCAACATGAGCGAGAGGGGCCAGCGGTACCTCAGCGATCTCTTCACCACCTGTGTGGATATCCGCTGGCGCTGGATGCTGGTCATCTTCACCCTCTCTTTTCTTCTCTCCTGGCTGCTCTTTGGCTTTGCCTTCTGGCTCATTGCCTCCGCGCATGGGGACCTCTCCATTCGGCTTGCCCCCAGCTCAGGTTCTTCTCCAGGATCAGGAGATGCCGGCTCTGGAGGAGAGCCTGATAGAGAGGCATTGGTTGAGGAGCCGTGCTTCCTTCAGGTAAACAGCTTCATGGCGGCCTTCCTTTTCTCCTTGGAGACGCAAACATCCATCGGTTACGGATTCAGAAGCGTGACCGAGGAATGTCCCCTGGCGGTGTTGGCGGTCGTTTTGCAGTGCATTGTGGGCTGCATTATTGACGCCTTCATCATCGGGGCAGTCATGGCAAAGATTGCCAAGCCCAAGAAGCGCAACGAGACACTGGTGTTCTCTGAGACCGCTGTGGTGGCACTGAGAGACGGGAAGCTCTGCATGATGTGGAGGGTCGGAAACCTGCGCAAGAGCCACCTGGTAGAGGCTCACGTCAGAGCACAACTACTCAAGGTAAGTGGAGGAAATATACTTCATTAATGTATTGGAGGGGGGGGGGGAAAGACATCAGGAATTACGCTGTATCGAATGAAAGAAATTGCCAATGTGAAAGAGAGGTAGAGGGAGAAAAGACTGCGGTAAACAGAGAGAAAGAGAGAGCACTGAGACCATCTGGCCTGTATTCTCTGGACCGTAGTTAATGAGAGCTTGTTTTATTTTCCCTCAGGGGTTTGGAAGATTTACCATGGATTAACTTGCCTACAATTCTTTAACTGAAACGGTTGCCCTTCCCCATCTCATTTCCCCTTGTAGACTCTGTCCGCGTGGGTTAGATGATTGTTCTCTGCGCAGAGATTGCTGAAATCAAAATGCACCTCCTTTTGAACTGGGGTTGCTTTTTGATTCCTTTTAACTCTACTCAGAATTTTGTCAGATTTGCTACTTTGTGTGAGTAAAACACTAGAACTTTTAATTGCAACAGAGTCTCTGGGGCTGTACAGTACAGACAACTTGATCTCTCTAAATAGCATAACCATATCAAAGTCCAAACGGGACAGATGGGATTAAGTTTGCAGGGATCAAGTAAATACACTTCTAAATGCTTGGGCAGGATATTGTTCTATAGCAAACGGTGGGTCAGTGATAAGCCCATCCACTGGCAGTGTGAGGAAAGATTTGCATGTTAAATTTGGCTCAACACAGTAACCTAACGTTAAATGTTTAAGTCAGAATAATAAATTAAGTTAAATGTTTTCTCAGGACAAAAAGTCTAATTTGTAAACTTGTTTTACATACAGTGTTAATAGCGTTATTTTGGTCATTTGCTCTTTCTGTTGTTCTATTTCGTATCATGACTTTGGGAATACTATGTGCCAAACAGTTTTGTCTTTGTGCTCTCAGCCAAGGGTGACACCAGAAGGCGAGTACCTCCCACTGGATAATGCAGACATCAACGTGGGCTTTGACACTGGCACCGACCGCATCTTTTTGGTCTCTCCTGTGACAATTGTCCATGAAATCAACGAAGAGTCTCCTTTCTTCGAGATGGACAAAAAATCCCTGGAGAGTGACCCTGAGCTGGAGGTGGTGGTCATACTTGAGGGTATGGTGGAGGCCACAGCAATGACCACGCAGTGCCGAAGCTCCTATCTTTCCTCTGAAATCGTCTGGGGACACCGCTTTGAGCCTGTGCTCTTTGAGAGGAAAGACTGCTACCAGGTCAGGCAGCAGGGATTAGAGGATATTTCCTCACAATATTGGCATGGGTCATTGTTATATAAAGTGCTAATCATTACAGATTTATAAAATATATATGTGGGATGCATAGTGATGAGTCAAGTCTGTTTAGGGTTAGAGGTTTGAGATGCATCGTTATTTTGACAATGCTAAAAATATTTTCCTCTGCCCTTTTTCCAGGTGGACTATTCTTTTTTCCATCGAACATACGAAGTCCCTAACACACCGCTGTGCAGTGCTAAAGAACTTGCCGAGCAGAATTACATCGAAGGCTCTCACTCGTCATTCTGCTATGAAAACGAAGTTGCCCTGCAACTGGCTTCCCCAGACGAGGGACCAGATCAAGACCCTGAGTGTCCCTCCCCACTGACCCGAAGGCCCTCTCTGGCTGAACACCTTCACTACAACTGAACCAGAAGAGCACAAGGCTTCACAGGGAGACAGGGAGGTTTTCAGAGGGCAAACAGGGGATAGTTAGATTAGAGAGGATGGTTTGAACAGACATTAGATTTAGACTGAGATATGGCAGAGTGTAGACTTGAAATCAAAATGCGATTATTGCACTGATCAACGAGAACAAAAAATCCACAGTGGGAACATGATTAATATGGCCGATTAAGCCAGGTAACCTAGACAGGGAATACACAGATAAAGAAAAAACAGTAGGGGAGTTAGGTTACTGCGCTGCCCTAGTTGTCTGATTGGTCCTGGCAGTCTTTCAAAATCATTGAAAACTTGTCTGCTAAGTCCCACATCTGGCCCATCACTACCACAGCACACTCATCTGGCTCTAATTCCTGACCGGCAGGATGTGAAGTAGCTCCACTCTGTGGCTACAAACTGTAACTACCACCTTGTGTTTTCTGAATATGGAGACATCTGTGACCTCAGTTTGATTGATGTGGCTTCTGAGTTGAGTAAACAGAAATGTTGTTGCTCAGGAATGAATTTCCACTATGATGCTGACTTATCACCGTAATGTTTTATTGTCTTATGGTAAGTATGATTAGTGCCCTTTCTATGATGATTGTGGACTGTAGTGAATGTACTTGAGTATGAATTAAGGCCCCCTCTTTGAGCCAAAGCAGAGCAACCGTAACATGAGGAAACTGCTCAAAACTAGCAGCGGTTTCAAGCAGTTTCTACTCATGTAACATCCTTTAGGTTTGTTTTTTGGCTTGGTTGAAATGGGTTGGTAAAACTTGCTTTATTTAGTGCGACATTTTTTACAGAGATGACTTCCATTGTTTTCAGGGGATGAGTTGTAATGTTTCAACCCACAGAGCTGACCTGGTTGTACTGATTCAAGTTTGCTGTGTGCAATTAGTCTGTCAATAACCGTGCAATTTTCTCGCACAAATATCTACATTGTCCTGTCACTGAAAGACATGATGTGATGCTTCTGCTCTGTAACCTCTGGATTCTTGCACTCACTGAGCGACGACATTACAATCATAGAAGAGCCTTGGCACTTGGATGACCCGAGATGGTGTGGATTGAATCAAATGAGGATATACTTGTTGACTCTGTAAATGCAGCAGAAACCCACAGTCACCTCCAGCATCGCAACCACATGAATCATCACAACTGTGCTAGACAGACTGTCTGATCTTGTTAATGTTGGGTTGACTTGCTGTGTCTGAATCTAAAAAAACAATGAGAACTGAACTGGAACTTGCCCCGCATTCTTAAAAAAATATTCTATATAATTATGTTCTGTAAATCATGTAATCCCGCTTTAATTTGAATACATTACAGACAGTTTCTCTATGGCAGATTAGTTGGCGGTGCCTCCATAATAGTCATGAGATTTTGCCACTAACCCCAAAACAGGATCATTATGTTCTATGTTTAAGATGTGCTTAAAGCCTATTTTCATTGTGCATATTTTAGACAAGACTGTTGTTTTGATTCACTGTAACATTTACACTGTATTCTTGATAAACAAATAATTACTGTGAACACATTCAGTGACTGAATAGTTCCAGTATGAGCTCTCACTAAAGACAGGAGAAGCTTTTAGTTGAATTATAATTTATCCTATTTAATAGTTGCAGTTTGTAGCTATATTCAAAAGCACATTGGAATGCTGGTCTATTTTTGTCCTGAAAGCATTTACCGTACACCATACAACTTCCAAGTGTTTAAAGGCATTTTGGTATGGGCAATGTAAATAAGTTATGGAGTCCTACAATTATAGGGCTGACCAATATTCAACCTGTTTGACGCACAGACGTGGAACTGCACAATATGGAGTCTAATATCACGAAAGGAGTTGTACAACAGTTAGTCTTTTTCAGATGAGCACAAGTTAACTTCAGCTCTGCAGTTATAGTGGTTTATTCAAGTCACTGGAAAGTTAAAAACTTTTAACTTGATATACAGCTGAGGTATTCACTGATAACATATTGTCTGTTGAATTTAATGTTAATACTGTTCTATGTTTGTGTGTGTCCCCCACACTTCTCCTTCATGGCTACCATGTGCTATTTATAGGAGGGTCTTGTCATTCACCCTGCCTCCACCTCTGTGAAATGTAACCTGAGCCCAAAGCACAATCACTTTAGTAGCGCTTTTTAAAACCCTCCAAAAAACAGATTGTCTGGTCATGTTACTGTACACTTAGGATTCACTGCGCTCACAATGCAGTACAACTTTTTTTATAGCTAATGTAAATTGCACAGTGTACACTTTTACTTTTTCCTCTGTTATTTTTTCTGGAGATGAGGTGAAACCTCTCTGTTTCACAATGTAATTTCAGAGTGGTCTTGGGCACAGAGCACTTCATAATAAAACAACTGTGTTGCAAGGCAAATAAAACAAGGGGATGCATCAACACCTTTTGGTATCTCTATTCATTTGCAGTTTTCTTCGTGACCTTTATATTGGATTGTAAAAACTTTTCTCACTTTTGTCAAAAACTTTCATGTATTAATATGTATAGTTTTGTGGAAAAAAACATTTGTAATTTTTTACTGAAGCCCCTGACTCTCACGATAAAGCATATGAAATTGAATAAATAGGAAGGCATGCTCATACATCAAAACGGTTAAAGGAATGAACTAAAAAAGTATTTTTGTGAAGAACGCCACCATTCTTATGCAAAATCCTTGTGCCACTAATGGGTTTTTTTGAGTAAGAAAAAACAAAATTCTTTCCTTGAGTAAAACACGCTTGGAACATCTTATTCCTAAATTCCTAAATTCACACTTCTGTAGTTGTTTCCCTTCTTTTTTTTAATTGCACTAGTCAAACTCATATGAGTAGATCAGATTAACAAATAAATTATCTGAAATACTTTTTTCCAATTAAAAAAGATAAACAAAAAAAAATCTTTACACCTTTTTAAAAAATGAGGATAGAAAGAAGAGACACTATTTCACATACTTACATTTCATTAAAATGGATTGTTAAATATAACTTATGTTGACCTTCTATTCGCTATAGCTCTAAAGATATTTCTTAATTGCTGTAAGGACTTAAAACAACATTTATAACCATGTAAATTGGACTGCAGATATTCGGATTCAGTAGGATTTTCCAGGATGATCTGAATCACGCGTCTGGGGTCAGATCATTCCAACCAAACCATCGGCACTGTTTGTGAGTGAAACCAATCAAATCAGATCTCAGATCAGCGTCTGGGGCCTCTGGCCGCTACACGGTGGTAAACAAAGGGCGCGCAAATCTCCCTGCTCTAGCGCGAGAGTGCCGCACGGCACCTGCTGCAAGGCTCCGATTGGCTGCATAAACGTCACTCAAAATAAGCCCCGCCTTCTATGCGTTAGCATTGGTTAATGGTGGAGAATTCTGCTCTGCCCTGAACGCGATTCGTCTCCACGGACGTTTCATGCCCCTTTCAGGGCGGAAAGCTGCCGTAGTATTCATGAGGCGGGTCTGCGGCTCGGTTTCAGGGTTTGATTGGAGTCATTTCTGTCTGAGGTTTGATCAAAGCCTGCTTTGTCGAGCCTGGTTGGTTTGCTGGCAGGAAGCTGTTGTGGTGGGCCGAAGCCGTCGTCGTACCCACAGTGCTCTCCACTTTATTCTCACCGAGAAGTGTGTGCGGCTCCACTGAGACAGCAATGCAATGATAAAAGCCGCATATGCGGTAAGGCTACACACCTCTCTGGCAGGAAAATAACCGAGAAACAGTCCCATTCTGGTTCTCCTCACAGCGCAGCCTTATCCACTACTCAGAGCGGAACCTGAAGGTGAGACATTTAATTGCCGTTACTCTAATCCAACTCGTAAATAGCCAGTGTAATATCCTTAAAGGTCTCATATTTCAGTGGAGCAGGCTAGCCTCGCTTGGTTGGTCTAAATTCGGTGGCTTAACGCCTAAACATTGGGGGGGGTGACTAAATGGCCTCTCTTTAAATGCCCTCGATAGGGGTCTTACATCGAAGTGAGTACAACACAATGGGGCCTGTTTAATTGTGATTTATTTCAACCGTTATAATGCTAATATTAACCAGCAGCCACGCAGCGATGTCTTCTGATATTAACAATAGTAAAGTGGTAATAAAGACGGTGTAAAAATGGCCGGTTTCGTGGCTTTCACGTGCACGCGGCTCACGGAGTCAATTAAAGGCTGTGGCTCACATATTCTGCTCAAGGTGTGGTTGTCTTCGTCAGATTTTGAGCTGGAGCCCAAGTTGGAAACCGCTGGTTATCTATAGGGGTCAGGCCACATCTGTGCGAGCCTGCAGCTGTGCTGTAGTGGTGCCAGCCGGTGGCTCGATAATGTCACCTTTCCTCACTGTCCGCCTAAAGTGCGCAGATGCCTCAGTGTGCCCTGCCACTTCGCATCAAAGCCGAGGAAAAGGCGTTTCCAGCACCCACCCCACCCGTCACACACACGCACGGCCACGCGCAGGCACCCACACACCCATTCCACGCGGGACCCCCGCAGTGAGTGACCTCAGGTATTGTCTGTGGGCTGTTGCTATGGAGGAGAGCAGTCTGATTTTGGCAACTCCAGCTACCGCAGGAGGAGTTTTGCCGGTTGCTCCACGCTGTACTGCGACAACCTGAGGTCTGTGTGTGTGTGTGTGTATGTGTGTGTGTGTGAGAGGGAGAGGGCTGCTTCAGGGGGATCAGTGGTGCTGATGGGGCTCAGCAGCATCACACACTGCAGCTGTACAGTAGATAATGTGGCCATAAAACAAACTGTGTCTAAAGCGGTAACATGTCTAATTATTAAAAAATTACAAAGGCTGGTATGGTGTTCTGCATAGGACACAATGCATCCTGACAGCACTCCCAGCTGTTATTTTCATACCATATATGTCCACTATAGACATTAAACGTGACTATTTTCTTAATTATTGTCTCTTAATGTCATTATTAAAACGGAAGAAAGGCCTGGGATCTAGCCCGCCTTCAAGTGTTACCCCAAACCTGATGTTGTGGGTTTTTGCTGTCTTAGAGGCCTGATACGTCCACAACTTTAGACCAAGGAAATAATATTTTCTGTAGGTTATTTCCAAAACCTAGAAAACCCTGTCCTGCTGATGTTAACTGTCACTGAAACACCAAACGAATTTGATGAAAATAGCTTCAGACAAATGGGTTGTTTGTTTTCATGCTGCTGCTTATAAACTACCGATTTCCAGCTACACAGAAAAAAACCACAATTAAAAGCCACATTTTGATATTTTTGTATGATTTCTAACCTAACAGGATAGGTTATAAGTAACTCAGGGCGTGATTGGTGTGGCATTTGCCTCACATTGTTCATCATGTGTAATTGTTCATAATCTGAATAGTAAATATGTAGAATAAAACCAGCCATTGATAACGGATTTACACTTATTTTATTGCCACTGTGGGATCACATAGTTTCCACTCTGACCAACTGGGTGTTGGCAGCCCTTTTGTCGACCTGGTTTTCCCCACGCCCAGGGTTGTGTTAAAGCTACAGGTATGTTGACGACAGGGTTGGGAACAATCAGACTGACTGGACAAGACTGAGACTGAGCTGCATAGCAGGAATCAGGCCTGATGACATACCTGTAGAGGTATGGAGATGAGCTGCATAGAAAACAATGCACAAGTGGATACAATAGGCAGCTTGTTGGGTTAAAGTAAAGATTTGTGTTATTCTCTGAGGTTACTTTCAGTGATATTGTATTGACTCAATCCTTCAAAAGCCTTGTTATAATAACTCTTTACCACTTAACTCTGCCGGCAGCCCTATTTAATTCATGGCAGATACCACAGATGTGGATGAACCAGCCTTCTAAAATATTTTCAAGATGCTGTTGTAAACAGTAGTCTTGAAAATATATTTGTAGTCGAAATTAAAGTAGACAGTCCTATAGTATCCATTTTCGTCCCACTGAATCAAAAACTCAGATTTTTTCTGTTCAGTATGAAAGAAGACCACCATCTACCACCTCGGTAATGTTTCACTGCTGAAAATTATTCTTGATTTGTGGATAGAAGTGAGAAATCTTGTATTGTTGCAGATGGTGTGACTGCAATGCCTCTGTGTGCGGCCACTTTTAACCGCTGTCACCTCGATCCCCCATGGGACAGCGACGCCTAAGGGGGGGGGCAGAATTTTAGCTCCACTGTGTCCACAGCGCTTTGGATTTATCTACTCTAGGTTCAGTTGTCCTGATTTTGTTCCAGCTAACTGTAGACCCCCCCCATCCTCTTGTCATGTCAGTTAACTCAGTCGATTGATGCGTCTCACTGTTCCTCCACCTAGAAATCTCTCTGTCCTCCATTCCCGTCTTCCCCTTGATTTGCTCTGTCTCTCAATTAGGCCATCTCTGGCCCGGCCTCTGCTGGAAATGGCCTACACGCTGCTCGCGTGCTACTACAGCTCTGGCTACATGCGTGTGTGGGTGAACATGAAGTGTGAGAGGTTTTGACACAGAGTTACATCAGAGCCACCGTCCACCGGTCGAATGTAAATAGTTCAAATGTGGCTTCACTTTGTGTTGCTTTTGCTCTCATTCTCTCCCCCATCCAGTGCCAGAAGTACCATGTCCAGACCAACAGGGGGCGGTGTCAATGATGTCACCCGCTTCCTGTCAACGGGCGCAGGGCCGGGGTCTCCAAACTCCAGCTCCTCCACGTTCTCAGCGGCCAGCCAGGCTGACTGGGCAGCCAAGAGGCTGGTGTGGGTGCCGTCTGAGAAGCATGGCTTCGAGGTGAGCTGTCCAGAGGCGTGGCTGGTTTTTCAGATTTGGCTTACCACAAACACTTCACTTGATCCTTTGGCATCCTCCGAACTTAATTTCTCATATCTTACGTCAGGCTGTGGGAAGAAACAGCTTTTGAGAATGGAAGGGCTGAATTTTTGCAACTGTTCCCTCACGTTCCTGCGTTCACTATGAGAGTATTAGTCATCGTGTAAATTATTAGCTCCGAAACTCTAACATCAATTACAGGTGTGTCAGGCAGGAGAAATAAAGCAGCACAGGGTGTGTGTATGTTTGTTTTATGTGATTTTTTAAAATCACCATGACTGCATCATTTTCTTTGCCTGTCTTCCTCCTCTTAGATTCTTTACTGGCACATTAAGACCCCTTAACTGTCCCAGGCCATTATTATCATTTTAATTTGTTCAACCTTGGTCTAAGTGCTTGAATAATTCTCAGATGAAGTTTTCCACAATGCATTTTTTTAGGATGTGATACATGAATTCTATGTCCTGTCCCAGAGTGTCCCTCTCTCTGCTGGACTGGTTTCATAAAGAGCTCTATGAATAGAACAATACGCTCCTTCAGCCTCCTAATGTTAAGGAGGCCGTCGCAGAGACACTGATTTCATTTTGCACTCATGTTCTCCAAATTGCACAGTTTGACAACCCCACACACAAACACGCTCACCGCACACACAGATCATCATACAGTTTTATATTCTGAGCATGTACTTCTTCCTGTGACTAATAAACACCCACACACTTGCGAGCACAGACACACATTTATTTCTCTAGTTGTGCATGTGGAGTAGCAGAGGCAAGGCTGTGGACTAGACCCATAGTTCACTACTTCCTGTACGACAGGACTGACAACAATAAGAGGCCCTCTCTGCTCGTCTGTGTCACCATCTATTCTCGTCTGCTGTCAAATGAGATGACACTCAAACCTTGAAGCTCAGTGGGAGTGATTCTACCAAACTTTGCTACAAATACATTCCCAATATTGAGCTGCAGTTATAGTGTAGAGTCCAATCAGAGTATCGTGACTGAAATGTGTCAATTAATTCAGTCCATTTTTCACAAAGCTCTACTTCGTTGGTTGTTTTCATCTTTTATTCTATTCTGAGTCATGAAACGTCTGGAAATTTCTTGCTCTTTCGCAGCCTTGTGTTATTTATTTTTGGTTTAAGTTGTCTTTGTGGAAGCAGTGGCTCTCTGGAGATCTCCTTTGATATGATCTGAGGCTTCCAGACAGCATCACTCTGTTATTCCTGTGATCCCAAACATTTTACTTAGCCACAGTGGTTAATATGGAGAGTATTAAGTAGTTGTTAACAGTGAGAGACGTAGAAAAAACACCCCCTGTCATGGTGTATAACTTTTGCTGTGCTTAATGCCATTAAAGTCGGCCAGCATTCGGGAGGAGCGCGGCGACGAGGTGGAAGTGGAGCTCACAGACAGCCAGCGGAAGCTGACGCTGTCCAGGGAGGAGGTGCAGCGGATGAACCCTCCACGCTTCAGCAAGGTGGAGGACATGGCCGACCTCACCTGCCTGAACGAGGCCTCGGTGCTGCACAACCTGAGGGAGAGATACTACTCAGGACTTATCTATGTGAGTGCATGAAAAAGACATGACAGGGTGAAGAAATCGGGTAACAAGTCTGATGCAGCTCACGTGTCTGAGTCTGTGACGGTGCTGTGCGTAGCACATGCGTGTGGCATCTCCTGTGTAAGTAATATGCTGGAGTAGAGTTACAGTAGAGTTCAAGTGTGTGTGATGGCACAGCTCCAATTTCTGTTGCAAAAAAATGTAGATTTTACTTCTGCAGCATGTTTAAAAACAACAAGGTTGAACAACATGATATACAAGTTAATTCACAAACCGTTCTGGAGAAGGAAATAAAACAATACATACAATGATAGAAAAATAGTAAATGTAATAAAATAGCAAGCGGCTCAAACTAAACAGGAACTAAAATGTAAACAACATAAAGAAGAGATATGAAAGAGATAAAACTAGCAGATGGAAACGGAAGCTACTGATAATTGACAAACCCAGCAGCATTTACAGTTAAAGTAAAATTACATTAAGAACATTAAACGCTGGACTTCCTGCTGATGGGATAAATAATGAGAGAGCATAGAGAAGGATGGTTAAGAGATTTCACTGAAGAGCGGATATGTGTTATTGTATAGAGATATGTTATTATCATTCTTTATACATTATAAAATGTGATCATATTGTGTGTATGGATTACTGTTATCTATGACTTTCACTTCAGCTAGAGCGCAGCATGAGAGCATTAAATGGCAGAAGATATCATTGAATTTCGGGGGATGACATTCTCGAGAGTAAAACTGTCTGTCCTGTGTCATTTTCCAGACATATTCAGGGCTGTTCTGTGTGGTTGTGAACCCTTACAAGAACTTGCCAATCTACACAGAATCAATTGTTGAGATGTACCGGGGCAAAAAACGCCACGAGATGCCACCACACATCTACGCCATATCGGAAGCGGCCTATCGCAGCATGCTACAGGGTAATGAACACTGCCAGCGACCCATTAGCTCATCTACATGTCGTACATAAGCTCAATGTGGTATTCAGCGTCCTAAAGCCTGAATATTGCGTGAAGGCAAACGTGGGTTGTCAAACGTGTTAAAAGTGCAAACAAACAAACAAGATTATTCACTTCTGCTAAGAAAGTGCGCCACTCCCTCCAACCAGCCTTGGATCCTGTGATGTAACTGTGCATTTGGTGTGGTGGGTGTCATTCCAGTAAAATACCTTTTTTATGCCCCGCCTGACGTGACCTCATGAAACGAGACAGGGAGATTTCCCAGCAATCATTTAAAAGCAGTTAACTGCTGATTGTGCAATGTTTTCTGCCTCTTCTTGTCTGCCTGAAATAATTAGACAGGACAGATCAGGCTCTGTGTCCCCCCCCACCCACCCCATCGAACCCGTAGAACTAGTATACATTCTTTAGAACTCAACCTGTGGGAATATGTTGAGAAACTACCTGCATGATTCCACACAGTGTCTACTCATTGGCTTGTAGTGTTGCGTGGTTTGGCTCTGTTGGGGACCCGCCTCTGTTAAAGCCTAGTTATAGTCACAGATGTCAACACAGGGGTAGCGGGTGTCTTGGAATCCATCCGTTTACTCATATATTATGTATTACCCCTAAAAATAAATGGTGCGTGTCCCTGTGGGGGTTTGCAGGGCCTTTCATGCTCCGCTGGTAGATGTGGTAGCTATAGGTGAAGTAAAATGACCCAGGCCTTCCAGCAGACTACAGAAAGTTATTTCAAGTTGTCATATGTCAGAAAAATGCATTGACTTTTCTAATGGATTTCTCTGTTAATCTGTCTGTACATTGTACCATTATGTTGGGTTGTCCATCTGATACCATCATGCTTTTCTCTTCCACAGACAGAGAAGATCAGTCGATCCTCTGCACGTGAGTAACATGAAGGGCCACAGACATATCTGTGTGAATGCTATGTCAGTGCCATGAGGGTCATCTCCGTGGGGTCGCACTAACAGAGCAGAAAGAAGCACTCCGTTCATCCTCAAATATTTAAGGCCATGTTATGCAGAGGAACTAAGATTTTTGGTATTTCAGTCATTTTTAGCCATTTTTTTCACACGTTAAAAGAGTATGATCCAAACTCAACTGTGTAGGTAAACATTCCTGTATTGTAATTGCTGTAAATGTGCACACAAAAGTGCATTCTCTTCACACCAGTGCTTGATCAAACAAAAGTCAAGAGGTGGAGCCCTGTAGCTGTGCCTCAGCAGCCATCATTTGTCCTGTGGGTCTGTCATTCATGTCTTCCTGCCATTGTGAAAGATCCCACTTCAGATTCATCCTACATTAGTCTGGGATTGTATTTAGAACAAGAAGTCTGCTTCTTTCAGATCTTTTACGGCTGCTATTTTGGATCATTTCCCCCTCATTCCTCTCCAGAAACAACAATGGGGACACAGGCTGTGTCCTCCACACCTGCTTTCTGTTTAGATCTGTGGCTTTGCATGCACCGCATGGGCTCTCTGTTTATTGTTGTGACCAGTGTGTGTTTAGTCTCCTGTTCCTGTGTGTTCTCTCCCTTTAAACTGTACACACTATTCATAAATGAGACCACAGGTTGTCGTAAGACAAACAATTTTTACCGTATTCCTTACGTATTTTTGTGTGCGTGTATTCCAGAGGCGAGTCTGGAGCCGGGAAAACAGAGAACACAAAAAAAGTCATCCAGTACTTGGCTCATGTGGCCTCCTCCCACAAGAGCGGCACTTTGGGTAGAAACAAAGAAGCCGTACAGGTACGTGTCAGAGAAGTGAGAACCGAAGAGCAGAGGCTGTAAAACAGGAGGCATATAGAGGGGGATTAAAAAAGGAGATGAGCAGATGAAATGGAGGATCCAGGAATCCACACTGTTTCATGCCTGACTGCATGCTAAATAGTGTTACTCCACCTCTGTCTGTTTAGAGTTCAACCTTGTTATGGCTGTCCCTCTAAAAACACACTGAAACTATTCCTTGTATGTGACCCAGTTTTACTGCAGCGCTTTCAGTGATGACTTTAAAAGTTCATAATATGCATCCTTTAGGTTTGATATGTTCATGTTTGTTTAATTAGTTCTAAGTCTTCTACAATACGCCGTAAGACCATGACTTTCAAGTTTATTTCACGCTGCCTTATGATACACCTCAAAATGGGGTTTCTCTGCCCAACTCCTCTACGTTTCCTCTGCATTATTTCTTACCGTCCTTCCTTCCTGCACTTGTTTCCTCTCCTTCTCTTCTTTCTGCGCTGTCCTCCCCCTGCACCCCCTCATGCTCAGATGGATGGCTCAAGGTCCTTAACAAGAGGCAGCACTCTGGCGAACAGGGTGAGTTTGCTCGGCCCCGCTGGCCCGTCCTTCCCCTCTGCTTTTTCTTCCTGTCCTATTTTCTGCCTAATGAACCCCACAGTAATTCTGACTAACTCAGCAAAGTACCCCAAAACATTTTGACTGTCACTGCAGATGTCGTTCCGTGTTCTTGGTCAAGCCTTGTTCTGTATAGCAGATTTTATGTGTTTGTATTTTATCTTTTGTTTTTTTTGTGATTGTTGTCTTATTTGTCTTCTTTTGCTTTCTTTCATTCCATCCATATGTTCACCCATCCACCAAATATTCTCCCTAAAACTTCATTTTTCCCCCACAATTCGCCAGAGTATGCAATATGTGAGTATAAAAACATTAAGAAAACTTGGTCTTTTTATCGTGGGGACTTAAATTAATTGAAACTAACTCTTTTCCTGTTGAACCTCTACTGTACCAGACATGATTCTCCTTAAACATATTGATAATGATATCCTCTATAAATACAAGCAGGTTTTCTGAGTCTGTAATCAAATCATTTGTCTCCTCCTGATTCAGTGGTTTGAGGGTGTTTTTTCTTTTTCTCAGTGTTTTAAAAAGTTAAACCATGCATGTTGAGCTGAGACGGTTTCTGCTGAAGAGGTGGTTTTGTTGAAAACGTGCAGATTTGGGTGTGTGACTGGGTGTGGATGAAATGCACATATTTCCCTCTTTGGCTGTGTCTCTGTGTGCTACATAGATGTTGTTTGCTCTGTGATGTGCTGCTGTGAAAGCACTGGCGTCTTGGCTCTGTGTCTCATCTTCAGTGTTGACTGGCCGGCACATTCCCACAGTTTTTCCTGTTCAGGCATCTTCTGTATTGACTTCCTGTGATTTCCATTACTGGCTGCTACTGCTGCATCAACAGCCGCTGCACTGGCAACGCGACAACTGCAGTCATGCGTTGCAGCTTGCTAGAATCAGCCAGAATGTGGCTTATGTAGCCACACTGCAGCTTAACAGTGGTTCTCAACCAAGTCTTACAAGCTGCTTCTTAATTAAAAATTAAGGTCAAATGTGTTAAAAGCAAGTGAAGTAAATGGTAGCAAAAATTATTTGTGTAGTATCTATGACTTTACATTTGCTTCCAATGAGACCTTTAATCTTATTAACGTTGAGAATCATTTGTTCCTCCATCTGAGAATGATGTGATTGCTGAGACCTAAAATGCATCAAGCAATGATGAGTCGTACAACTTTTGAGCTGTACACAATAGATCAATCATTTTACTTGTGCATTTTAGTTGATAAGCTCTGTGATCACATGTTGTATATCCATCCTTGCGGTGCAGTGAAGCTGACCAGTGTCTCCTTTGTACCTCAGGGCGAGCTGGAGAGACAGCTGCTGCAGGCCAACCCCATCCTGGAGGCCTTCGGCAACGCAAAGACCGTCAAGAACGACAACTCTTCTAGATTTGTAAAAAAAAAAAATTACTGGACAATCAGATCATGTTTATCTGCTAATGAGGGCACCTGTCATCATGTTTGCACCTTTAAGGCAGCCCATAAAATGAAGTTCTTTTTTTTTCAGGGTAAATTCATCCGTATAAACTTTGATGTGGCCGGATACATTGTTGGTGCCAACATTGAGACCTGTATCCTTTTGTTTTTTGCCTTTGATTTAAAGGGCTACCGAGAGTAAACCCACTCAAAAAATTTTCCTAGATGTTAGTTCAAATATAGCATTTAGAGCATCCTGAAAGGTTTTATGAAAGGTTTTATTTGATTTTTATTTTTGGTTTTATTTGATCTGATTTTAAAAAGGCAAAAACATGTAGGCCAGGAACACTGGTCTGCATCTATTGTCAGCTGTTCATGTCCATAATCATAGAAATCCAGACCTCCTTGAAAAGTCCCGGGCCACCCGTCAGGCGAAGGATGAGAGAACTTTTCATATCTTTTACCAGCTATTATGTGGTGCTTCAGAGGAAATGCGAGGTAAGAAAATAGGCTGTTGCTACTTAGGATGCACTAGTTCTGTGTAAGTAAACAAACACCTTTCCTATTTAAATATCTTTTTCTCATCTTGTACAGCTGACCTGCTCCTCGGAAATGCTGATGAGTATCGTTTCCTCAGTGGAGGTTCCATCCCCGTTCCTGGTCAGAGCGACTCTGAGAATTTCACCCAGACCATGGACTCCATGGCCATAATGGGCTTCACCCCCGAGGAGTCAGTGTGTAAGAGAGGATGCACGAGAGGAGAGGAAGAGAAAAAGTAATCTGCGTTTTAATTGTTTGCGACAAATGACATCTTCTCATCCGGCCTTACCTCTCCACAGCCATGCTGAAGGTGATCTCTGCCGTGCTGCAGTTTGGAAACATATCCTTCATGAAGGAAAAGAACCACGACCAGGCCTCCATGCCCGATAACACAGCTGCTCAGAAACTCTGCCATCTGCTGGGCATCAACGTGATGGAGTTCACCCGCGCCATCCTCACACCGAGGATCAAAGTGGGTCGAGAATACGTGCAGAAGGCCCAGACAAAAGAACAGGTAAGATTAAACATCGAGGCGCATACGGATGGATTTTTGCTGTAAAGCTCAGCTTGTATATCTCCTCGTATAGGCGGACTTTGCCATTGAGGCTTTGGGAAAGGCAACATACGAGCGTCTGTTCAGGTGGCTGGTCCACAGGATCAACAGAGCTCTTGACCGGAGGCAGAGACAAGGGGCGTCCTTCATAGGCATCCTCGATATTGCTGGGTTTGAGATCTTCCAGGTAAGTTGTTGTGATGATAATCTTTTTGTCAGATGTCTTATAGGTGATGGGGGACAACTTTGTCGTGGTCCAGCATTAGTAATGATTCAAAATTTTTAAAAAACTTTATTATTGGCATTGCAAGAATTATCGGATGTTTTCTCTCTTTCATTTCTCACCCTGCAGTTAAACTCCTTTGAGCAGCTGTGCATCAACTACACCAACGAGAAGTTGCAGCAGCTCTTCAACCACACCATGTTTATCCTGGAGCAAGAGGAGTACCAGAGGGAGGGCATCGAGTGGAACTTCATTGACTTTGGCCTGGACCTGCAACCATGCATTGACCTCATCGAGAGACCAGTATATACCATCAGCTTTATAACATTTTACCTGTCAAATTATGGTTTAGATGCAAGCACTTGACAATGTAGTTTCCGATTCAGTTTATTGTTATTTGAATGATAGAACCCCTGTTCCACAGTGATTTTTTGACACGCCTCCTTAGGCTCATCCACCCGGCGTCCTGGCCCTGCTGGATGAAGAATGCTGGTTCCCTCGGGCCACGGACCGCTCGTTTGTGGAGAAGCTGTCCGCTGAGCAAGGCAGCCATCCAAAGTTCTTCAGATCAAAGCAGCCACGTGGGGAAGCTGACTTCTCCATTATTCACTATGCTGGAAAGGTACGCCTCGTTTTTCAGGTCCTCCTTGTCTTTGATGTATTAAAAAACAGAAATGCACAACAAAAACTTTCATTGAGGTAAAGTAATCTCACCTTCTGTGTGACGTCCGGCACCTCAGGTGGACTATAAGGCGGACGATTGGTTAGTGAAGAACATGGATCCTCTGAACGACAATGTGGCATCTCTTGTCCACCAGTCATCTGACCATTTTGTGTCTGAGCTGTGGAAGGAAGGTGAGACTGCCAACCACTGCTGTCCACAGGAAGATTTTTGAAGTATTTAACATAGATTTTAAATTTGTGGGTGGATAAGGGGAGCAATAATCTGGTGGAAATGTATTAACTTTGATGCTTTTTTCTCTCTTCTCCCTCTATTAACTATCACTGTGTATCACTATTCCTTCTTACTTTTTATCTGCTACCTGTTTGCTCTTTTCCTTTTTCCTCATCTCCTCCTTCTGCACTAATTTGGTGCCCTCTTGGTCTCCTTCTCTCCCTGGCTCGACTCTTGTTCCCTGTGCTCTCCTGCGCCCTGCATCAGATATTCAAACTCTTCCTCGTGTTTACTTCTTTGATTCCTACGCCACTCTACAGACTAATGGCTCTGACAGTAGGTTTTTCACCTCATCTCCACACGCATTCTTTACGCATTCCTACCTAAGTTTAGTCCCTGTTTTGTTTTGCTGTCTGCTTGTGATTGTGGTGTGATGCCTTTCTCAGCTTTTTCTCCTTTTTAGTTAACATTTGTCATTCAGTTTCATGATTTTTGTACCATGTCCCTCTTTTGCTCCCAACTAGCTCTTTTTAAACTAGATTTGTCCTTCAGTACCAGTGATGTGATTGTTTTTTATGCTTTTTTAATTCATGTAGAAGTTTAACTTTCTATTTGTAGAAATATGCCTTTTTCAATGTACGGCATGCTCTCAGTCTCAAAAAAGCCACTTTCAGGATCACATGATTGCTGTGCTTGCAGCAGTGCCACAAACGACAAGAACTGTTGGTTTTATTAAAGATAATTAACAACTGCTAAAAGGCAACTGAAATGACTCATCTGGCTTGCAGGCACATGTCAGTTAACATTAGAGTTTCCCTGAAAACCACAAACCAAACAGCCTGAAATGTGATCCTGAATTATCTCTACAGACAGATCATGTTGTGCTAATGCTCTGACATTTGTGTTTCTTTGAATAACCACCGTAGCTTTGGTCTGCTTGATTGTAGACATTTGGATGCTTGCAAAATTGCAGTTATTTCAAATAGGGAGAGAGAGATAGAAGGAACATCCTGAAGCTGTTACTCTTAAAATAAAAATTGATGTTGCAGGTCACATAAGCAATGTCACGACACCACTTGAAACCGAGCAAATCATTCTGATTTTTAGATCTAGTTTTTTTTCCGGGCTGTTCCTTTCTTATTAATGAATAATATATGACGTAACTCGAATAAACAAGTGATTTACAGCAATTTAGAGTGCTTTATATGCTTTAAACTTCCATATCATAGTAGAGTGCACACCACACAGTCAGGTCAGGAGCAAAGATTCTTTTTTTTTAAAGCGTGTTGTCATGCCTGTCTGAGCAGGTCCAAAGTGAACAGGTTAAGCTTGACAGGCTTTATGAACAGCAAAGCCTGTGTGTGTATCTAACTGTCTGCACAAATCCTTGCTATTGATGGCAGCTTCCAAATCCATCAGCATTCCCTCTTTGCTGATGTTGGCACATCAGCCTTCATGGCAGATGTGAATAGAAGTGTGAGGTAATTGTGTCACAGCATAACTCAAAGAGTAAATGTCCAATCATGCCTCGCAAACAGGTCTGTCACCCCAATTTACTGATGATTGTCAAAGAAACTGAGCCTTGGTTTCTGCCCTCATCCAGTGGACCGGATCGTGGGTCTGGACCAGGTGTCCTCTGGCGAGAACAGCGGGCCAGTCACCTTTGGAGCCGCAGGACTGAAGACAAAGAAGGGAATGTTTCGGACAGTTGGTCAACTCTACAAAGAGTCTCTGACAAAGCTGATGGCCACACTGAGGAACACCAACCCCAACTTCCTGCGATGCATTATCCCAAACCATGAAAAGAGGGTGAGTTAAGGGTGACAGAATATCTGACTTGTTTTTTCTAATTCCCTCTCTCCTCTGCTCTAATCCTCTATCTGTTTTTTCGTCAGTCTGGTAAGCTTGCACCTCACCTGGTTCTTGACCAGCTCAGATGCAATGGTGTTCTGGAGGGGATTCGCATCTGCAGACAAGGCTTTCCTAACCGCATCCCATTCCAGGAGTTCAGACAGAGGTGTGTGTTAAGGATTCTGCCTATTTCTGCTTGTCCTCTTACAACTTCAAAGGCATTGTCACATTTCCTGCTGGAACACACTAATATCCTCCATGTGTCTTTCAGATATGAGATCCTTACTCCTAATGCTATCCCTCGCACCTTCATGGACGGCAAACAGGCCTCAGAGCTCATGGTAAGTAACAGTCGGGTAACTATACACTCACAGTGTGCATGCAATCATGCAGATGTTGGGTTGACTCTCTTACAAACTCTCTGATTAGATCAGTGCTCTGGAGCTGGATCGCAACCTGTTCAGAGTGGGTCAGAGTAAAGTCTTCTTCAGAGCTGGAGTGCTAGCTCATCTGGAGGAGGAGAGAGACCTGAAGATCACAGATACCATCATACGCTTCCAGAGCGCCGCCAGAGGCTTTCTTGCACGCAAGTAAGACTTTGCTTTAGAGTAACATGAAGCAGTTACAATAACAGATGGACAGATCAGTCAATTTTGTAACCGACTATTACCAGTCGGGAGACATAATTATTAAACTAGCTATTAAACTGCTGTGTTTCTTTTAAAGCTTCACACCCTGTCGCTGTATTTCAGCTATCCTCAAAAAAAAACATTTGAAAGCAAAAGTGAAATAAAATTAACCCAACTTGAGTCATCAGTCAATAAACAGAGGAAAAACGGGTATCATGTGGGCTCTCTGTAAGAAGCTGCCGTTTAAGTCTGAGTTTTATGTTTCACTCTCAAAGGAGCATTAATATTTCATCCTTTGTCCCTGTTAGTGACATGAGAATTGCAGGATCGTTGAAAGGTGAAGCTTAAGAAGACTGTGAATTACAGCCAATTATAATAATTTGTTTATATTTGAGGCTGACTAATAAGAGGTTATTGAAAATCAATTATTTTAATTGATTCATCATATATTAAATGTGGGCTTGAGCAAAGCAAGTTTATACGTATTGCTCATTTGATACAGAGACATTTTACGCATTGATCACAAACATTGAAAAACTTTAAACTGAAAAATGAATAAAGGTTCAGTCATAAAAAAAAGCACTTTTGCCCTTCTGTGAGAGTCATGAATATTACCTCGCACCATTAGGAGTGATTCCTGGGCTTTTTGTCCCAAATAACAAAACATATCTGCACCATCTTCACGTAATTGGCTGTTTTGTTTCAGAGCCTTTTTGAAGAAGCAGCAGCAGCTGAGTGCTCTGAGGGTCATGCAGAGGAACTGCGCTGCTTACCTCAAACTCAGAAACTGGCAGTGGTGGCGGCTGTTTACGAAGGTATGCAAAGCTGGTTGAAACTGGTGGTATTGTGTATTTAGAATTTGTGAAAATTACATTAATCCCAGTGTGTGCAACTGTCTTCCGCTGCAATCAGACTGAAAAATATTGACAGAATGTGTGCAGTGAAAATTCCAATTGTTTGTTGTGTGTCATCCAGGTGAAGCCCTTGCTGCAGGTGACTCGGCAAGACGAAGAGATCCAGGTCAGGGAGTCTGAGCTCCAGAAAGCTAAGGACAAGCTCACCCGTGTGGAGCAGGACTACACAGATTTGGACAAGAAACATGCTCAGGTAGATAAACTTCATCCTTGTTTTGATGCCTTTCCATTGTCGTGTCTCTGCTAAAATATTTTTTTCCCGTGAATCACCGCCTCACTCATCACTCCTCCGGCCCGACTCTGTCTTTGTCATGTTCTAGCTGATAGAGGAGAAAGCCGTGCTGGCTGACCAGCTGCAGGCGGAGGCAGAACTGTTTGCGGAGGCTGAGGAGATGAGGGCCAGGCTGGCCAGTCGAAAGCAAGAGCTGGAGGAAGTTCTGAGTGAGCTGGAGAGCCGACTGGAGGAGGAGGAGGAGAGGAGTGTACAGCTCACCAATGAGAAGAAGAAACAGCAGCAGAACATACAGGTTAGAAGGAAGAAAACCTCCCTGTAATGTGAAGTTTAAAATTTGCCCATTGTGTCTATTTTAAATTTCCTCCTATGATATGTCAGGACCTGGAGGAGCAGCTGGAGGAGGAGGAGAGTGCCCGACAGCGCCTCCTGCTGGAGAAGGTTACCTTGGAGACCAAAGTGAAGAGTCTCGAAACTGACCTTCTGACAGCAGTAGAGCAGAGAGACCGACTCAGCAAGGTGAAAATCACATAAAAAGTTTTTATGTCCCATGAGACAACTTTGAAAAATGATTCTTTCAACACTGCCAAAGCATTCATATGAAGTCATCACTTGGAGCAGCATTTTGTACATGTTATCCTAAGATGTGCACGTTTATGTCTGAGCAGGAGAAGAAACTGCTGGAGGAGCATCTGAGCGAGGTTACCGACCAGCTCACTGAGGAGGAAGAGAAGACAAAAAGCCTCACCAAGCTTAAGAACAAACAGGAGGCTGTCATTGCGGACCTTGAGGGTATGTCTTTCCTTTTCCACAGTTTTTTTTTTTATCCTAAGCTTTTAACCATACAGATTGGTTTTGTTTTTTTTACTGTATAGTGCATATGTACATAACGTCTCACCAGTTTCTACACCGGCTCTGAAAAGAAGTCATTTGAAGATGACTGTATTTATTACTTGCTTACTACAGCTGTAAGCATTTTCCCTTCTGAGTTTTGTTGGTATCACCATTTGCAGAGCGTCTCAAACGTGAGGAGCAGGGTCGCTTAGAACAAGAGAAGTGGAAGAGAAGGATGGAGAATGAGTCGCTGGAGGCTCAGGAGCAGCTCTCAGACCTGGGCATCCTGTCTGCTGAGCTGAGGGGCACTCTGGCTCAGAAGGAGAAGGAAATCACCGTCCTGCAGGGCCGGTGTGTAGATATCAAATAAGAGAGTGATTCATTATTATTATTATTACTTCATCTGTGTTTGTTTTGCGCTCTATCAGGTTGGAGGAAGAAGGTGCACGGCGTGCTGAAGCTCAAAGGGCTTTGAGGGAGGCCTTATCCCAAGTCTCTGAGCTGAAAGAGGAGGTGGAAAACGAACGAGGGATGAGAGAACGAGCAGAGAAACAGAGACGTGACCTGGGGGAGGAGTTGGAAGCTCTGAGAACGGAGCTAGAGGACACTCTGGACACCACAGCGGCACAGCAGGAGCTAAGGTTAATATAGATAGAAAGGAATTCTTTGAGATGGACATCGCTGAATGTTTTGTGAGATCAGGACTTCAAACGTTGTGAATGAAAATCATGACTGACTGTTTTCATTGTCTCCACAGGTCCCGTAGGGAAGCAGAGTTATGTGAGCTCCAGAGGTGTGTTGAAGACGAGACACGTCGTCATGAGGTGCAACTGTCAGAACTCAGAGTCAAACACAGCGCTGCCATAGACAACCTCCAGGAGCAGCTTGACAATAGCAAGAGAGTAAGAGAGACATGCGGTCAGTCACACGCATATGTGAGCGTGCATCCACAATCACCGTCCGTCTCTTTCAGGCACGTCAGTCCTTGGAGAAAGCCAAAGTTGTGCTGGAGGAGGAGAGGCAGAATTTGACCTCTGAGCTTAAGAGCCTCCAAGCGAGCCGCACAGACACCGAAAGAGGTCGTAAGAGGGCAGAGAGTCAGCTTCAGGAGCTCAGCGCCCGCCTCGCTCAGGCTGACAGAGAGAGGGAGGACCGAGAGGAGCGGCTGCAGAAGCTGCAGGTGTGCAAGGACACAAGTCTGACTGCATTGAACAGTCAAACCAGATTTCTTACCTGTTCAATTAGATATTGCGTCCTATTTTTTTTAATGTTCAAAATTAGATTGTTATGCTTAGGTAAAGAAACAACATTAATCCTTTCTGGTTATGGATCGACCAAAATAAACATCTGTTTCTTTCAGTCTGAGATCGAGTCTCTCTCCAACAATTTGTCCACCTCTGACCACAAATCTCTTCGACTTGCTAAAGAAGTGAGCAGCCTGGAGAGTCAGCTGCATGATGCAAAGGTAACAAACACACAGACACTAGTCCTAATGGAACACAGGATACCCACACATGAACAATCTGCCAGCAGGTCTTTTTCCTTTCTTCTGTTTTAGGAACTGCTGCAAGATGAAACTCGTCAGAAAGTGGCTTTGGCATCAAGAGTGCGAGCTTTGGAGGAGGAGAAGAATGGACTGATGGAAAGACTGGAGGAGGAGGAGGAAAGAGCCAAAGAGTTGAGCAGGCAGATCCAAACACACACTCAGCAGGTAAGTGGCCCACTCAGGCTTTAACTCATACAGCTGCTCACCCATTTTAATCTGTAAAAATAACCATAAAATATTAGCATAGTGTCTATGTATAGATTTGTATTCATCCTTTTTTTAAAGTCTTCTAACTAGAACTCATCCAAACAGACTAAAGGTGTGAAGATGCAGGTTTGATGGAATGCTGGCTGATGTTTTAGTAAACTTGTTGATGCTATCTGGCATTTACACCTCTGCTCAACCCATTCAGCTTGCAGAGCTTCGGAAGCAGTCAGAGGAGGTGAGCACAGCGGTGGAGGCCGGAGAGGAGACGCGTAGGAAGCTCCAGAGGGAGCTGGACAGCACCGTGCAGAGAGAGCGGCAGAAAGAGGAGGAGAAGGAAAGAGTGGAAAGGCAGAGGGAGCGACTGAGGGAAGAAATAGAGGACATGACAATTGCTCTGCAGAGAGAGAGACAAAACTGCACTGCCTTGGAAAAGCGGCAGAAGAAATTTGACCAGGTACGACACAGGAGTTTGCTCTTGCGTCCTCAGAAAATGTTTCTGCAATCGTCCAGCATCTATAACTTTGTCTGCGCCACTCCCTCAGTGTCTCGCAGAGGAGAAGGCGGTGAGCGCTCGGCTGGCAGAGGAGAGAGACAGAGCTGAAGCAGACAACAGAGAGAAGGAAACAAGATATCTGGCACTTTCCCGATCCCTTCAGGTCTTATTTTGTGAGAGGATTCATGTATGTTCATCAGATATCATGGATTTTGTTAGCTAACCTTTGTTGTGCTTTTTGTAGGAGGTCCAGGACCAAAGAGATGAGCTAGAGCGGTCAAACAAGCAGCTCCGTCTGGAAATGGAGCAGCTTGTAAACCAGCAAGATGATGTCGGCAAAAACGTATGCAATCGACTCTTATGAGGTTTATTTATTTAATTCTTGGCCTTCAGTGAGTCACGGCTTTGTGTTTTCCTTTAAATTAGGTCCATGAGCTTGAGCGGACCAGGAGGAACTTAGAAACAGAAGTTCAAAACTTGCGAGTTCAGACACAAGAGCTGGAGGAGGAGCTGACAGAGGCGGAGAACTCCCGGCTACGGCTGGAGGTCAACCTGCAGGCACTGAAGGCCCAGTTTGAGAGGGAGATCAGCACCAGCGAGGAAAAGGGGGAGGAGAAGAGGAGGGCCCTGAGCAAACAGGTGGAGAGGAGGAAGACATGGGAGAGCACAGCTGGGGCATTTACCCTCTGTCCAAGTTGTTTATAGATTTTTTCATTATTTCCTAATGTATGTTCCAGGTGAAAGAGTTGGAAATCCATTTGGAGGAGGAGAGAACTCAGAGGTCTCAGGCAGTGCTGTCTAAGAAACAGCTGGAGGCAGAGCTGCAGGAGTCTGAAGCACAGGTTGAGACCGCCAGCCGTGGAAAAGAGGAGGCTGTGAAGCAGCTGCGGCGGCTGCAGGTATAGCAAAAACACAGCCCCGCACACATTCTTTTTCTCCATACACAGACACGAGCAACTTTAAAATGTATTTTTATTGTGTTTCAGGCTCAAATGAAGGACATTCTGCGTGAGCTGGATGAGACAAAGATGGCTCGAGACGACGTGATGACCGCGTCGAAAGACAGCGAGAAGAAAATACAAACACTGGAAGCAGAAGTTCTGCACCTCACTGAAGTATGTGGCTCCGCATTATCTCCAGAGAGAGCCCTCTATAGATATCAACATGATGTTTGGTTGTGTTTATTTGTGTTTATGTGACTTCAATGTCTGCATCTTGATTCTCTGTACAGGAGCTGGCTGTGTCAGAGAGGCAGAGGAGACAGGCTCAGCAGCAGAGGGATGAGTTGGAAGATGAAATGGTCAACAGCAGCTCTGGAAAGTTTGTACTTCTTCTACTGCGTACAAACCAATGATTAGAATATCGTTGAATTGTTTAGTGGTTTTGGTACTACTTAAATAAATGTGTTTGACCAGGAACGCGCTGTTCGAGGAGAAGCGGAGGCTGGAAGCAAGAGTCAGTCAACTGGAAGAGGAGCTGGAAGAGGAGCAGAGTAACGCAGAACTCCTGGCAGACAGGCAAAGGAAGACAGCTCTGCAGGTGTGATAAATGCACACACGCAAAAACGTTTCTCCCACTTTATGTAAGCACCCACCCTCACCACCGCTCTCTGCACGCGCTGCAGGTGGAGACTCTGACTGTGCAGCTGCAGGGAGAAAAGACTCTGGCCCAGAAGGCGGACGCCACTCGAGAGCAGCTGGAGAAGCAAAACAAGGACCTGAAGGCTCGACTCGGGGAGCTGGAGGGAGCAGTGAGGGGCAAACACAGGCAGAGCGTCGCCACGCTGGAGACTAAGATTGAAACAATGGAGGAGCAGCTGGAACAGGAGAGACAGTGAGGAACACACAGGATATGCAGAATGACTCAGATTGATTTAGTTTGTGATCATTTTACTCTCCCAGCTGTCAAAGCAGACGTCATTAATTCATCTCTCCTCATTGGATAATAAAATCAGGACAAGTACAGATTCATTTATCATTAATTTATCAACAGGTGAAACATAGAGACCTTTTCTGTTCCGCAGAGAACGAGCCATTGCCAACAAGCTGGTGCGTAAGACGGAGAAGAAACTGAAAGAGGTTATGATGCAGGCAGAAGATGAGAAGAGACATGCAGATCAGTTCAAAGAGCAGGTAAGAAAACCAATGTTTCAATGACCTCCCAAGCTATTGATACATATTCCTGTACGGGGAAAGTCAATAAGCGGAGCATTAAATTATCATTTCACGGAGGGGGGGGGGGCCCTCGCAGGTCAGTGATGCTTGCCTTCTCTAATTGTAAACAAAGAGACTGTTGGCAAATCATCCTAAAATGAATGAATTATCTGGCTCGCTCTGTACTAATCCAAATCCCGTGCTGGCATCTGTGTGTTTAGGGGGAAGTTTGATCGTAAACCCCCCTCCTGAAAAGCAAATCCCTCAGTCACAGCAGAAACACTGACTCTCCTCTCAAAATATCATCAGCAATAATCTGCCAGGTTTAATCTGAATCCTGATCCCTGTCAGCCCTCCTGTTTCTGGACTAATCTTCCTTTTTTATATCTGTCCATTCTCTTTTGTCTCCCCCACTTCTGTCTTCCGATCCCGCGTCGCCCCTCAATCTCCTTTTCCTCCTCTCTGACACAGCTGGACAAATCATCGAACCGGCTGAAGCAGCTGAAGAAGCAGCTGGAGGAGGTAGAGGAGGAGAACTCTCGCTCCAACGCTCAGAAGAGGAAGCTGCAGAGAGAGTTGGAGGAGCTCACTGACAGCAGTCAGAGCATGATGCGAGAGGTCGCCTCCCTCCGCAGCCAGCTCAGGTATGCAGCCGGGCAGTCGCCACCGCATCGCCGGGCCTCCATTTGCTGTGACTTGCATTATCATCATTTTTTAGCATTCTGTTTGGTTTTCACATCCCACTAACTTGATATGATTTGTTTATTTTGCTCTTTTTGTTATATCCATTTGCGTCCATCTAACACTGACACATTACATCTCTGTCTGCGTCAAACCAACACTCAGCATCCCTGACTGGAGACCCGAGAAGTAGGTTGTTGTGTGTGCTACATTAATTGTCATCATGTGTTTCTATACACAGAAAGCTGGTGGCTGTGAAGCCGCAGTGTGTAGAACTTAGGCATTTCACTAAGTGCTAACACACTGCTCCTTTAAGCGCGCTCTTGACACTTATTCAGTGTGTTTAGATCTGTATTGGATATTTCGTAGACATTTATGTTAGTTGTCATTTTATCCATCAGTCATTAAGCCTTTTTATTGCAGTTTTCAGAAAATGCATGTTGGGTTATATTTTTTGGCGCCGTATCTGAATCAAAAACAATTCGAAAATAATATTAAAGCACTCAGAACTGCAATATTGGGATTCTACAGAGATTTCTATAATCTTTTGGATGGAATGTTTTTAGACAGATAAAACTACCTTTTCGGGGCTTTTAATGCTCTCTGTATTTAACAGTAGTTACTTAAACTGTCCCGCGACCCCATGAGGGAATAAGCGGTATTGATAATGGATGGATGGATGGATACTTAAACTGTTGTTTTAAGCCAACTACAACCGAAGAGTAGAGAGAAAACAGCATCTAGAGAGTGATTTATGACAGCAGTACATTTGTTAGGGGTAATGGCTGTTATCGTGCAGTGGCGTTGTTGAAATGATTCCTGCTCTAACTCTCTTCCCGTCTTGTCCAGGCGTGCTCCGTTGCCCCTGGCGATGCGTAGCCGCAGAGCGCTGGTCGACGACCTCTCACTGGAAAACTCAGACTCAGAGGAGCCCCCTGCCTCCCCCACCCCCTCCTCTGGACTCCCAGGGACCCCGACTCCGTCCTCAGAACAAAATTTGGAGCCACCGCAGTCCTACAGCGTCAACAACACAGAGTGACGCACACACACACTCACGGCTTGGACCTCTGAGGAGAGAGGGAGGGACATCCAGCTAACGCTACGAGTTTTAAATTAAACAGTCATATAGGCGCTTAATTAAGGAGCAGTTTCATGATGTATTGAAGATTTTTGCCTAATTCTTCTCAACAAGTACAGAAAACATTTAAAAAGTGATTTTAAAGACACCTGAATTGATTTTTATTTTGTAATATAACAAAGAATGGACATTTCTACATCACGCCTCTCTAATGCAGTCTGAAAACCTAAAGCCTACATCTCTGTGGTTTAGGGTGTAACTGACTTCTTATTAGTCAATTCCATGATGCTGTACAGTGCACTGAAAGCAAATTCAAATTAAGGCGCTCATATCTTTTGCATTAGGGGGTATTTCCAAACCAAGCCATGTTTAACTCTTTGATGCTGGTTTAATAAAAAAGACTGATTTAACAGGGCTGCAGGGTGGCATGACAATCTGCTAAATATTCATGACACTTGTATTAGCCAGCAAGAGTGGGCAAACAGCATTGTGTGTTGACTAACTTTTTTAATCACATGTCAAACTTGGAATAATTTGGAAAAGATAACTGCAAAGAGATTATAAACACAGTGCTGCAGATTTCCTCAGTCTGGTAGTTAGCGATCAATATTCACTTGAAGCTGTAATAAAGTTATTCATGACAAATGGAACAGGTTACAGGTGTAATTCTCTCATCACCACTGTTGAGACAGCTTCCAACCTGCAGAAACTCTCAGCTTTCAGGCTGTATTAACTCATAAATCCTTTTATTGATTAGAAACAGTTCGTAGACAACGCAGCGGGTAGTGTTAGATAGTTTTTTCAACTTAAGTCTTAACACATTGCTTCAAAAATGTGTATAATTTATATCAAATGTGAACTTAAGTTATTGATCACTGCGTGTTTTGTGTGACTTGGCCTCGTGGGGGAAGCATGTGAGTCTGGCTGTTTCTGCTGATTTGGGTTGCATTCATGAACAGCTCAGACTTGTGGCTGTCAAAGCATCAGGACCTCGAAGTGAAGTTTGCATGGAATATTTCTTGGATTAAATGTCATTTCCAGAGGTTAAAAACAAGAAGTAAACGTTTATGGGTATTCTACGACAGCAGCATATCAAGAAAGTACCCACAGAGAAATGGATTGATGTACCAAAAGAAGAACAACCTTTGGTCTTGTCTCATACTGATAAACTCAGCACATTTTACTTTGACAAACATCCGGTACCCTGTTTTTTTATTTTTTTTGACTGATTGTCTGTGTAAGTTATTGATCAAAGCTTTTGTATTTAACCAAACGGTGGGCGTATGGATGCGAAAAGGGACTTACATTTGTAGTATACGTAGAGTAGCTGTAGAACAAAAGTAGATGATGTGAGTGGAGGCTGCTTGGGTTTACGCTTCTCATCCAGAGAATCTTCTGGATGACCTGAGAAAAAGCTCTGCTCGCAGCTTTGTAGAAAAATGTAGGATAACTGGGTGCCAGACTTGAAGCATTTTCACGTTCTAATAGTGTTAGATTAAAGAACGAGGACGGCGCTGACGGAAGATTTTTTATTACGATAACGACAAATAGAACAACCTTTTTTTTAACCTTTTCTTTGAGCTCACGATGACATCATCACCAAACATAGGCACTTTGACGACCCTTTTTTTTCTTTAAAACACGTATTATTATTTTTAAAGCTCAACATCTGTTTTGTTACATTTATATACCTGTGAAAAGTTTTAGAAATATTTTTATCCTCTCAAGAGAAGCATGGTCACAAGCTGTGTTGCCAAGACTTAGATGTGATGGTGTAAACTGGTCTAATGTCACTACTCTGAATATAAACATGCTGCTAGTAAGATTAGCTTCCCACCTGTTAGAAACAATGATGCTCTGACATGGAGCTTTTATATTTTTTGTATTCGACAGTTCTGTCAGTCTTTAATCTGAACAAGAACAAAACTGTAGAAGTGGGAGGTTTAAAGGCCCTTGGTGCCAAACTGATTCCTGGCTGGGCGTATTTAGCAGAGATGTTGGAGGGACTTGGTCTTGGACATTTTAAGACAGAAATTTGCAAACTGTCACAGTGGTGGCGGCTTTTTTTGTGTTGTTTTTTAGCAACTTAAGTAAAAAGCGACTTTTTTTCCTGTTAAGCTAAATTAATGTGATGTTTGCTTCTGTTCAAAATCAAACATCAGACAAAAGTGTGGAACCAATCTTCCCATCCAAGTCTTGGCATGTAACCAAATTCTCATTTACAATGAATGTCACAACACTTTAGCTTTCAATTGGAAAGTATAAAAACTAAAGATTGTGTTGCTGACATCACTAAAGATGTTCCTGAAGTTGTTCTGAATGTTTGTTTTTGTTTTTTTATTCTGAACATATGTATCTGTTTCCTAAAGAAAATAATTTATGTTTACCACTGATAACACAAATGACCAGTACAGTAGATTTTGGTAGTCAGGGTTTTCATCGCTGTTCTCCCTCTTACTTTTGTCAAAGCGAACAGGTGTCTTGTACCAGTGAAACAAATGTGCGCAGCACACACCAGGCTGGGCTCGTCTAATGTTCACTGCAACGATGAAGAAAGATCAAACTGTTTCAAGAAAGACTTCTGATGACATATCCATACACCCTGAAGGCGTTTCATTTAATTTAGCATATGTCTAAGTCTGTGTTTTAGCTATGAGGTAAACTCTGTTTTAACTGTGTAAAAAGCTGCACTTTACACACTACCGGCTGAGATAAAAAATTAATTAAAAAAACAGCCAGGTATCGTCGGCACGTCAGATTGTTTTATCTAAAAGACCGAAAAAGCTTTAAGACAAATGAGCTGAGATTACCTGTAATCATCACACCGTCTGTTTCCCTAAAATATTCACTCAAATGTTAAAAACTGAAACGTGACGACTCAGTTGAAACGGTCCGAAATCTGATAACTAGAGGATTGAAACACTGGAAACGAAGACAGGAGAGTTCTGTTTACCTGTAGCAAAGAAACGAGGCCGGTGCTTCTCTGAGGTGTTATCTTTCTCTGTGGAACTTGAAACATTTTGGAAATGTGTTTTATTGTTTGAGCCTTTTCTCTCTGTTTTGTTAATGATGCTGTAATTATAAAACATCTTACTGGGGTTAACTTTAATATATGTTGTTGGTTTTGATCTTTGTGTGTTTGTGTGGTTTATTATACAAGATCAGTACAAGATCAGAGTATACACACACACACACCAGCTACATTAAAAATACACAAATCTCAAGAAAAACAAGATTTCACACACTTTTATGTTTTTCTATACTCACTTTTTGGCTATTTGACACCATGTTCAGCGTTAACATTTGCTACTGTTTAAATAGACAGTCATAAAATCACAGACACCCTCATGTGGTCTGACGCATTTTGATCATTTTTTCCATCGTGCGGTCATGGTACAGACCACAGTCTGATGTGCCAACAAATATATTTACATATTTTCATAATACAAATGGCCTTTATGGAATTTTACTTTTGACTTTTATAAACGTTTAAAAGTAATCAGCTATTAAAAAAACACTGAAAAGAATAAAAGATCCTGAAATCCAACACAAGATCGATTTAAAGCATGTGAGCCTTTAAATTGGGCTTTGGATTTTAGCTTGACATTCTTGCGGGCATTGTATATTACTTTTGGGGCTGGACTTCACAACAGAGCTGTATCCTGCCAGTTTCAGCATTTCTACAGTTTAACTTTAAGGTTGTAGAGTCTTAAGGGGCCCCTCAGCCACCACAAAGGACCCCATTCAACAACAAATCTAACAGAGACAAATAAAAACCTCCAAAATACTAAGACTGGGTTTAGAGTAACCACAAAATCATTTAATGATCCTTTAAAATCTTTCTTAGTCTTTTAACATTGGCTTGGCTCAACACTGTTGATTATTTACTACAATGGGTAGCAAACTTCGATAAGAACACAGGCATTTTTTCCTAATAGATAGGGGACTTTGTGTCCTTCAGGATGTCGGTGAAGAGCCAGTCATCCTCACTAGGTGGTGTTGGTATGCGATTGAGCTCAGGATCATGAAGAGGGGCGGAGAATGACTGAGCAACTCCTTCAAATGGTGTGAAGTTCAGGAGATTCTCCCTCTTAGCCAGCATACATGGGTCCCTTTGCTGAGGATGCTGTTGGGGCTGAAGCTGTGTGGCGTCGTAGTGATAGCTGATGGAGGTGGGGGAATGGTTCTGTCTTATACGTGCATCTTGAGATGGTTTTAAATGATCAAATTGCATCTCTGCTGTGTATTCACTTTGTCTGATCATCTGTGAGCTCCTCTGGTTACTTTGCAAGCAGTTAGGGGTCTGCGGCTGATCCCAGTGACGACCGTTTCCACATCTGTACTCATCCCCTTTAAACTGCAGGTCCTCCACTCCTGAGAAGTCATGCGACAGGTTTGCGAACAGAACATCATCATCTGCGCTGCCCTTTAGCCCCGCGTCACCTGGGCACGCACAGATGTTTTCAAAGAACCCCTCTACATCTTTTTCAGCATCCGCGCAGACATCTGAGTCCTTATTGGCTGCAGTGAAGAGGTCCATTATGTCACCCAGCTGACCCTCAGCGAGGCCTTTCTGAGCCTGTGTGCAGGCCGTGACGTCTGTGAACATTTGAAAGGACAAATCACAAGAGTCCAGAGACAAGGGAGAAAGCTGTGGGGAGAAGGAGGGAGAGGTGTCCTCATTTTGTGCAAAATCAACAAGACTGGAGTCCTTCAGAGGTGTTTGAACGTCTTCTGAGAGATTGGTGATTGGTTTAAATTGGCTTTCTTGATGGTAATACTCAGAATGAAGCTGCTCTGCCGCATGATAGTAGTTTTTATTTATCTTTGGGCTCGTAAATGAGGGTTCGGGGGGTTTGTGACTACTCTTTTTCTGTCTCCTTTTGATCTGGTTGTTAGCGTTGCAATTGGGTGACTGAGATTTTGGGTGGGATTTCCAAAGTCGTCTCGAGTCCAGCTGTTTCTTTTCAGCGTCTTCAGTTTCACGTAAGTCAATGGAGGAGTTGCTTCTGGACTTTAAGGAAGCATCTGTATCTGTTTGAACACTGCATGTATCAGGATGTCGCAGACAGTCACTTTGAGATGGTTTACCTGATGGGTCAGGCTTCTCTGACTCCTGGGATAAAATAGAGGATGTGCATTTTTCTCCCTCCTTGAAATAAAGAGCAGATGCCAGTCGGTAGTTTGCAGCTTCTATGTCTGCAAATTTTCTGTTGATAGAAACACAAAGAATAAAAATATATTTGCATGCTGAAATAACTATGGTATCACTTCATTATTGTCCATCATTTCATTTGCAGACTCTTTTGGGAATAACCCTCTTTTCCTTGTCCTTCAATTATGTAATCAGGAATATTGACCACAATGCTACAAATAGCAGCTGGTTGGCTTAGCTTCCATTGACAACTGAGAACCGAAGAAAATGGCTAATTTAATCTAATTGTTGTTTCATGCAGTCATGTGATGTGATGTAATTTCTTGTTTTAATCGCCCTCACTAATTGGAACTTCTTAAATTTCCCTTGGCATTAACCAAGGGTACAGTTTGGCACCATCAGATATGAGCTCGACAGCAGTTTTTCTCTCTTTATAACCTTTTTTTTTTTTTTTTGGGTGGCCAACACACCTCTGAATCATGTTGTGAAGGAAGCGACGGTGGTTGACCTGCCGCTTGGACGGCCGATTCTTGCGAGGTTTTTGCAAGGTCCTCATCATGTGACCTGCTGCCGAAGTCACAAAGGTGTAGAGATCCCGGCCCCACGGCATGCCTCGCTCCAGCCCAGGCTCAAGGCTCACAGAGAGGGATGGCCGCATGGCTGTAAAATGGAAGCGGTTGTGCTTACTCAAACCGCACCACACGGCCAGTCAGACATCAGATACATCAAAATGACTATAATTAATAAAGACATAAAACACCACAGTGTATCCAAGCTGGTTTTCTCTACAATTCTAGGCCTGAAATGTAAAACCAACCCAGATCAAAAGACTTTAGACCACTGCTGAGTTGACAAAAAACTAAAACACAACTGTTAAAGTTATCAAAAGCTTACGCAATTATATTTTTATTAGTATATAATAGTTTATATAGGTTTAAAGCTTTCATGGATATCTAGCTAATGCAAAGACATTCTATACTTGGAAATGTTGCCGAGAACTGAATCAAGTCTTAAAAAACTTGACTGATAAACCTTATTTTCAGGAAAATGTTTTAAATAATTTTAAAGGATTTAATACCGCACTGAAACACGCATTCTTTCCCAAGTTTTAAGAACAAGGTTCCCCGTGTATTGCATTCTCTTTATCAAAAATGTTAACTTATTCTAATAAGTGTAGTTATTGTTTTATTAAATGAATTTTAAATAAGATAATTACAACATGTACCAATATTTAGAATGTTATTTTGCAACTGTAAAATACCTAGAAATGGCTTCCATCACAGTGCTCGGCTAATAGATCATCCCAAAAACTGTCATATGGAAAGAATATATGTGAGATGAATAAAAGAATCAAATCAAATTAAAGAAAAATAATGTAAATTTACATTAATGCTTAAAAAATAAGACGTCCATGAGTTTCATCAGCAAATAAGATCTCTTTTAACTAACTTATACCTCAGTTAGATAGTTAAAACTCATATCAATATCTTTAAGAAAAGTTGACATACTGATCTTACTGTCAGATGACCCACATATGAATTTCTGAAAGTTACTCATATTTGCTGCCAGCATGGTAACGCGGTTTAACGGTGGAGATTATTCTTATCTTATTCTTTAATTACATATACAAATGATTGTAAGGGCTCTTACCTTTATTCCCTCTGGATGAAGCTTGTGTGTCCTGTCTCTCCACAAGCTGCGCTGCAGACTGAGGAGGTGTGCTGCATCACAGAGATGCAGTGGGGGGGTAGCAGTGTGTGTGTGTGGGGGGGTAATTGCTGATGTGTGTGTGCACTTATTGTAGGCCTGTGTGCCCAGACTGAGTGAAGAGACATCAGTGCTCATTGCTAATTCATTCATTTTCTTTTTTCTCCAACAGCGTAAATGGAATCCCGATTGACAAATTGATGTAAAAAGTGAGACACGATGAGAGGCCCCTGAAAAGAAAGCAGCAATTATCCCAGGAGTCAACCGCTTGAGGAAGTGTGGGCCCACGTCTCCATTGTATGCCACGCTAAAAGCAGCTTGTTAAACACTGAGAGACACAAACACACCAGTTGAGGCCTTTAAGGAGACCCTAATTGGTCCCAATTATCACATTCTCAGATGGAAGAACTAAGATGGTTGCTAGTGGCTTTAATTGACCTTTACATTTCAAAAGCAGACCTTCCAAGTGCTTAATTTTACATATCTATAGCAGCAGCTGGACGAATGGGCTGGCTGCATACGCACTGTAAACAAACCCTGAATACCTGTCTCTTGAACAAAAGGAACTTCCACCTTTAAAATTTTAAAATTTTAAAACTTCCAGGATAGAATTTTCCATTGGGATTCATTATTTTGCTTTGTGATTTGTGTGTTTATTGTAAAACCTGAAAGCGACATGCAGCAGTGGCACAAGCATGACATCTTTTTTTTCAATTTCTCAAAAATAAATTGTTAACTGGGGTGGGATTAGTGGGACCACGCGGTTAAAATCTTACATCATGTCCTAAAATGTCCTTTTTCTTCACTCCAGTAAAATGAGTTTCAGTAATCTGTAGATGCTTTCCTCTGAAGAGTAAAGCTGCTGCAGGAGTGATGGCTATTTATAGTGATCGCACATGTGCTTCTGACCGGGGGCGGCTCGGCTAACCAACCTGTTTCAGCACTGGAAAAAAATCTGTAGTGAGTTTGTTTACTGTTTGAATGGAAATTACCCTGATGAGATTAGTGTACATGGCCAATTGTTAGAAAAGTGTAATGAACGGTAATGACTTTGCAGTGAGTGTGTTATGATCATGTGGTGTTCTTCTGCAGATTATTGCTCTGTCAGTCTGGCTAAATGCTTCTTCACAGGTGGTACTCTCCCACATTCCTCTCAGAGAGCTGATAAAAAGGCCTTTTATCACACATTCCCTGCAACAGTGGCAGAACTTTGACCCGTGAGAAGACCTCTGTCAGTCCACCCCTCCTCTGTTTCCAGTTGAACCAATCATAAAAAAGAGTATGTCCCTTTGGTTTTAAAAATATAGGAAAGAGGTTAGAAGAGACTGAGACTGAGAGGTAGGCTTGATCATTATTTGGATATAATTAGTTACCAAAGACAACACAGGTACTATTTAGTGTCTGATTCAAAATGTCATAAGTCAAAGGTCAATGCTGGTATTTACAACACCTTTTCTACTTCTAATCAAAAAGCTCCTTTCACAGCAACGTTTCCCTTCTCTGACCAGATTTTGCACCATGAACCGGGCCTGGGCTGCGTTCAAGGCTCACCCATACATCAGTAACGTCTTTGGCTACACAGCTCTGTTTGCTTCAGCCGACCTCATACAGCAGAACGTGCTGGGTGGGAAACAGGCAGCGTCGTCTGCACCAGGGGGCTCCACTGGCATCGACTGGCGCCAGACAGCTCGTGTGGCTACCGTCGGCTTCTGTTTCCATGCCAACTTTAACTATCACTGGCTCAGAGGGCTGGAGAGGATGCTGCCAGGAGGTGGAGTCAGGGCGGTGATGGGAAAAGTTATAGTGGATCAGCTGATTGCAGCTCCTCTCACCATCAGTGCTTTTTACATTGGTAAGTGGGTCTCAGACAGTAATGGGTTTATTTGTTGGGATTTTTTTTCAATGTGCAGCTTTGTTCAGGTAAATGATAAACTGGACTGTTGGCTTCCACCACTTGGAAGAAAACTCTACTGGAACCTAAATTTGTCTCTATCCTTTAGGTCTAAGTTTACTTGAAAACAAAGATGACCCACTTGAAGACTGGAGACAGAAATTCTTGACCTCTTACAAGGTAAATATTCAGTAGATCGTCTTTACAACATGATGACCATTGTTTTAGATTATTCACTAAATCTATCTATCTATCTATCTATCTATCTATCTATCTATCTATCTATCTATCTATCTATCTATCTATCTATCTATCTATCTATCTATCTATCTATCTATTTATCTATCTATCTATCTGTGCAGACTGGAGTGGTGTACTGGTCAACAATGCAGGTAAGTTTATTGTTCTTTCTCAAACACACACAGATTAAGAAAGATGTGAAGGGATTCACATTCATTCTGGCATTTGCGTGTCTCCTTCTCTTGGTCCATCAAAGGCTGTGAACTTTGCATTCGTACCCCCTGTGGCGAGGACAGTGTTCTTGGGTGGAATCGCACTGACCTTCACCGTCTTCCTGTGTCACCTCAGGCAGCAGCGCAGCCACGAGCCTGAAGAATAATTATAACATGTCTCCGACCCAGCTGATCTGTTCAATTCATGTCTAATTTTGTGTTTTTACAAATTTGAACTAAGACTGTGTCTGGCTCTAATTCTGACGCTAGTGGTACTATCCTCCTGCTTCATATTGGAATTTTGATGATCCATTTTAGGTCAATTTTTCTGCTTGCACAAGAAAAAGATTAATTCTGTGTAACCATATCATCTACTTTTTGAATAAAATCAATCACATTTTTACCTACTACATGCACAATGCATTGTTTCTCATTTAAACTTTTTTATTTAAAAGAAACCCCCTTCAGTAATTTAATAGACCTACGTGAACGTGGCTTGGCAACTGCATTTGCAGCTTCTACCGCTGGAGGCACCATGTTAAATGGACACAGCTTTCTCTACGTCAGTCGACAGGAACCTCGTGCTCGGTAACCAATCAGACACCTGAGATTTTAGGGCGCTCTGTTATCGCGATACTTCGGCACTTCCTTTTCCCTTTTCGCTCTGAGTCCAAGATGGTAGGTACAGCTAAAAGAATTTGGAAAACACGATTGTTGGAGTATCCAAAGTCATCCGTTTATTTCAATCATCTTACTTCCTCAATGAAAACATGAACATAATTCGTTCATAAATAGTGTCCTACTCTAGCTGAGATTTAGTGTAATTTGTTAAAGTAAACCATATTAGCTTAACTTCTTTGGAACCGAGGTTGGTGCTTGACGGTAGCCGATTCAAGCCCTGATATTGAATTGAAATGTGATTAATGCTATTCAGAGCTAGTAGTTATCATAATTTCACGTTCATATCGAATCACGCACGTTCATAATGTTAAGATTTGCCCTAAAGAGAAACCTCGGGTTGTTTTCGTGGCCGACAGATGATAGCTAGCTACACTTCCAACGTGTGTACCGGCCTCTGCTCGCGTTACTTGTACATTTATTTGTGGCTTTGACAGCCTTTTCCTCGGGTTATCGCTGTAATCGGGATGTAAGAGGTGCAAACTCTAATTTATAGTGTCGTATGGGAGCGTAACTGTTGCTGTTTAATATTGATTGTATTTAATATATATTTATTGCCATCCTAAGGGAGTCGACATCAGACACAACAAGGACCGTAAGGTGCACAGGAAAGAGCCAAAGAGCCAGGATATCTACCTGAGGCTCCTGGTTAAGGTAAATAATTCTCTCTTCAGCTGCTTGACTCGGTGTCACCAGTGCCTTGCCTTCTTTTTGTCAATTACATTGTGAGTAGATGTTTTAACCTTTTAACGATTAAAGTTATTCCCAGCTGTTCTCTCACTATTCTGTGGGTTTTATTACAGTTGTACAGGTTCCTTGCTCGCCGCTCCAATGCTCCCTTCAACAAGGTGGTCCTGAGGAGGCTGTTCATGAGCAGGAGCAACAGGCCTCCCATCTCCATCTCTCGCCTGGTCAGTCCTCCCCTCACACTTACCTCTACTTTTTCGTTGTTAAACTGAAGATTTCACTATTTAACATGTTTTTAATTTGTTGTGAGTCCAATTTTTGTTCTGGTGACACATGTTAGTGACACATTGATAGAATCTGTGTGTTTTCATCCTCTGCTTAACAGATACTGAGGCTAGAGTGCAGACTTTTATATATGTATACAGTTAAAATGTATGGAAGTAATGATATTATGATTTAATTGTCATCTTGTATTAATGGGATGCATCTGAAAAAATAGATCAGATATTAGTCAAATCTTAGTAATATGTCGCATATTCAAAGCAAATGCTATATCGAGTCTATTGAAGGCCAATGTGACCGTTTTGTTTTTCTTTTACTTAGATCCGTAAGATGAGGTTGCCTGGACGTGAAAACAAAATCGCAGTCGTTGTGGGAACAGTCACTGATGATGTCAGGATTCAGGATATCCCCAAGCTGAAGGCAAGCAGTCTCAATGTCAAATTCTGACCTAGTTTTTCCTTTTTTTACCGAGATCCTGAACTTCTGTTTGTCTTCACACAGATCTGCGCTCTCAGGGTAACTGATGGCGCCCGCCGCAGGGTCCTTAAAGCAGGAGGTCAGGTGATGACCTTTGACCAGCTGGCTTTGGCCTCACCTAAAGGACTGGGCACAGTGCTGCTGTCAGGTACCCCCACTTTAAATTTGGAAATCTGAAATAAGGCACAAAGTGAAACTTTATCCATAGAAATTGTTCATTTTTGAAGTTTAAGAGAACATCAAAGATGTTGTTTTGATCTTGTGTGTGAGAACTAGTGTCTTAATACCCAAAGGGAAAGATTAGGTGTTACTCATTCCCTTTTTAGATGTGGGAGTAGGTAAAGGAATGTTTGTGAGTTTACTTTGTACTGTTCGTGCTGATCTTGTCTAACGGAGGGAGTTGTGCATCGGGCAGCTATCAGTAATCTTTCATCCTTTCTAAATAACTATAAACAAGAAAGCGTTTTTATTAATATTGAACAAATTTGGCACTTCACTTTAAACAGTTTCTTAAAGTTCTCAGGATTTCTTGAAGTGTGATGTGCATTAGCTGAAACATTATCGTCTAATGAGGCCTTTGTAAGACTCAATTAAAAAAAACTCCCATAAATTAAGTTTTTTATGTAACTAAAGTTAATTTATTGGAGATCAGACTGTTAATCGTCTTTCGGAAATTGCTTTGTGATTGTATCTGTGTCTAATTTCGACCATACTTTGCTCTCCAGGACCCCGCAAAGGCAGAGAGGTGTACAGGCACTTTGGAAAAGCTCCTGGAACCCCTCACAGCCACACCAAGTACGTGCACACAAATGTTAAACTGAGGCACAGATTAAAATCGGGGCTGCTTCTGCAGAGAATTGGTCAGCCCGATGATTGTGTTTGCTTTTTTTAAATGCAGATTTAGAAACATTGTTCTCCAGTGAGTTCCACGAAAAAACAGCATTTCCCGCACAATGCAGGCCACCCTAGTAAATTGGACTTGTTAGTTTCCTTTCATTAAAAAACGGCAGAAACTCTTCAGCTTTATGCAGCTCTCTGCTTCATCTCCCCTCTTACACATGGTCCATTCTTTCCTCCCCGCTTAATGCAAACAAACCTGTTCACAACCTAGAAATTTCTTCTTCTTTTTTTTTTTCAAATGCACAGAATTTAAAAAAAAAAAAGAAAAAAATGTTGTTGGCTCTAGTGGCCTTTAATGATAGTAGCTGGACAGGAAGGGGGGCAGAGACAGAGAGGGGGAGACCTGCGGGAAAGGGCCATGGGCTGGATTCGAACCCAGGCCGCCCGCTTGCGAGCAGAGGCTCCTCCTCAACCATTAGGCTACAGCTGCGGCCCTCAAATGCACATAATTGATCTAAAGTAGGCTATAAGATAACGTGAAGGACTGCTCAGTTTCCCCACTTTCCATAGCGCTACAAATTGATTATCTTGTTCTGTGGCGAACAACGAAATTAAAATTTAAAAACATTTGTCTTAGTTTGGTTTGAAAGTTATCCTAAAACAAAAAAAAAATATGCTTGGTTTGCTCTTTTTGATCCTCTACCACTGAACCAAGTCTGAGAAGGACAAACAGGATTAGAAGCCAAACATTTTTGCCATATTCTAAACAGATTTACTTGTATGGACTTCACAATAATTTAGAACTTCTGTAAAAGCAACGGTATAATTCAAATTTTCTTTTCTTGTGCCTACCTTGATATTTGTTTTGTTTTTTATACATGTCCATCTTTGGGCTTTCGTTAGTTTGAGAATGACATATTCCAGTCTTCCAGAATTTCTTAATTTTTTTTACCATAAACCCTCAATATTTTGTAAACTTCAAAAACTAGGGTTATGTGAATTCAAATTGAGTGTATTTTGTAGAGGACAGGTAAATTCCCATTAGTTTTCCAGTTTGTAGAGTTGTGAATCTATCATAATAGAGCTAATTGGATTATTGATACAGTCAATTATTGTTGTGTGGCTAGATCTGACTTTCTTGTTTTTTCCCCCCACCAGGCCCTATGTCCGCTCCAAGGGCAGGAAGTTCGAGAAAGCCCGTGGTCGCAGATCCAGCTGTGGCTACAAGAACTAGTCTGTTTATGTTTTTCATGCAGTCTGACACAAATAAAAATTGGCTGTACAAAACTGATAATCTTCTGCCTTTCATTGCCTCACACGTCTGTTAACAGGGACGATTATATGCCGATTAGCAACACAAGAAAGTATCACCACTCACATAAAGCACTCTCTGGGTCTTCAATGTAAATCTTTTAAGGGTCGATAAGCGTTCATCAGTTGGCTTGATAACAAACGGCTCGGCCCGGAAGTGTTTGTCTGTCAATGATTGGAGAATGTCGGTGGGTGTTGCAAAGTTTCCTTATCGTCATTGGATTTCCTCTCCGCCGCTCAGAGCCGCTGCTGCCTCGTCTCCAGACACTTCCTGCACCGAGCAAGTCTCACAGACCGCGACTGAGTCGTCGTGAAGGGGGGGGAGACAAAATGAGGTAACAATATGCTTTATGCAGTGTGTTTAAAAGCGTCTGCCTTTGTTATTTATCCCGGGCCGCCAAATGATTTAGCTAAAACAACTGAGTGGCCATTTATCTTGTATTATTGATACCTAAAACGTCCGTTAGCCAACGCTCTGATTAGTCTGCCCTCTTAAATTCAAACTAAATGTAACTTAAGATGTCAATTTGCGTTTAGTGGTACTCCTGAGGTGTAACCTGACTGAGCTGGGACATTGCTTTGTCATACTTTGGTGAACTGCTTTAGATCTAAGCTACATGTCAGGTAGCTAACTGCTAGCCGCTGCTAACTGACAACGCGTTGACAGGCAGCAGTTTACAGCAGCTAACGTCAAAGACCAGCTCTCCTCTTTGCGATATACCGTTATAAAGTGACCCCGTTTTAGTTTAAAGGTGTTTTTGAAACAGTTTCTTTGGCTCGCTTGTACTGTTTGAATTATTGAAACATTGTATGTAAGTTAGGTGGCTAATAGCTAGCTGGCGTTGGTTAAACAACATCGATCAAAGTTTACCGGTGCATTAGCATTTTTCTAAAGATCATTAGACCTGAAAACTAGGGACTACTTAGTGTAAACCCCTGTGATGGGAGGGTGTATGTTTCTGTGTCCTAAGGGATAACCGGACCGCAGCTTGACCAACATGTTGAATAGCAGCCTCATTGTGTAGGTGACAAATTTAGCCTGCGTGTGTTATTATTTCTGGGTGGTGTACCCGCCCTGCGCCTCAAGGACGCAAGGTGCAACAATGAGGTGCTTTTCTGCATGATTTATCACAACGGGACATCAGCCGAGTATTGATTTCTGTCTGCAGTTTAGCTTGGTCAAGGCTTCTAGACTCCTGGAGAACTTAGAAGATGTGACAAAGTTGTTAATTTATGGTAGAAGTCCCACCTCAGTAGTCCAGAAATCAGGTGCAGTCTAACAATTTGGAGTCAGCTTACTTTTAGGCTTTAACATCACAATAACCCTGTTATAGAACATTTTGTAATTTCTGTCATGTTTCTGATGATTTCGAAACTTAATATTGTTAGTGTGAAACTGGCACAGTTTCTCCTCCATATGCACTTTTAACTTTCTCTGTTAATGTTTTCTTTTGGGACCAGACTCCTTATTGGCCCATTTCTTTGGAGGGATAACAGTTAGATGATGAAATTCTAATGCGCACCGCTAAACCTAAAAAATCTCGTACCATTTAGGTCAGCGATCCATGATTCAGTTTGTGAAAGAGGCACTTTGTCCTCAAATCCTGTTAGCCAAAAGCCCCGAGTACCAAAAAAAAGCCAGAAACTGCGGCCATTTCATCCTCTCAACAAAACTGATGTGGTTTGTCTCAGCACAGTGATTGAGGATGTGTGACTGTGAGTCAGTACAGCACATACGCACCTAAGGTCAAGGAACACGATGGATCTTGCATTGCTTCACTCTGTAAGCGTAATCTGTTCCCCTTATCGCGGCTTTCTTCTGTGCTTACTGTACCCTGAATCTTGGAGAAAAAAAACACGATAAGCAGTCGGTTTCCTTAGCTCAGGGAAATTGCAGTGGTTCAGGGTTCAGTTTTATTTACTCGAGGCTAATTTTTTCACCTTAGTTTTTTTTTTTTTTTTTAACTATCAGCTGGCACAGACTCTGAAATGCTGCAGTTGTTTTCCACCTTCACATTAACATGAATCCCTCCCACACCCATACAGGAACAGAGATCTTTGGGAAGGAACGTGAGGCTTTGCTCAAGGACACTAAGATGACATAAACTAAGGACCCACCTGGAACTGTCTACTTGTTTGTCTTTTGTTTCTCTTTCGTCTTGTTTTTTTATTTTTATTTTTTGTTTTTGTGGCAACGTCTTTTCTTGGATAAAACTTCAGCATATCACACTACTGTCCAGGAGACTGGCGCTGTCACTCCTCTCGTCTGCCTCCTGTATACCACTAAGATTTAAGATAGCAATAGCGGTATCAAAGGTCTTGAAGAACCTGCACTTATCATATCTTTGTGGCATTAATTACACTTCAGGCTGCACTTTCCATGCAACATGATTTACTTAAATTTTGTCTATTCGCTTCACTGAATTGTTTTAGCCTCCTTGTGTAAACGAGGTGTGTTTGTTTTTTCGTTTTCATCCTTAAATGATCTGCGTGTTAATGGAATAAGAAGGTAAAGTTTTGTCAATTTGTGTAATTATTTAAAGATCTATTGTTGATGTAATATTGCTGCTCTGCTGCCTTGTGTGGCTTTAAGTTGTGATGTAACATTTTTTTTATACATATGCAATTTTTTGGTGAACAACACTCGTTTATAAAGTCTGATTTTTACATTTTTATTTGTATTGAAGTATTGCCCATCTCAGTTTCAACTGACAGGGAACAGTGTAAGCTGACAGCTCTTAAGATCAAACTGTGACGCATATTTGTTTTAGTAGTTCCCATTTTCACTGGATGAACAAATAACTGGAAAAAGTTGAGTTTTTCCTTTCAAATGAAAACCTAAAGTGACATGGACACACAGGGACACAAATTGTTTTTATAAAAAAAAAGTTTTTGGTGAAGTTTCTTGAAGAATGATTCTGAAGTGATTTCAGGGATATAGTTCTTGGATATTGTGACAAATTTAGATTTGCCCTTCGACCTTCTGACCGCAGAAAAATCTACTGTTGGCCTTGCTGGACTGTTTAAAGTGTGTCCATTTGAACAGCAAGGATGCGATCTCCTGGACCTTCTTCACCTTCTCCCGCTGAAGCCCTCCTTCATGGCCAGTTTGCCAGCTGGGGCTCTGGCAGTAATGGCAACAATAACAGCTGCCCCAACAGCCCTGGAGGCCCTGGAGGGCTCTCCCCCGCTGCCTCCCCAAGTCTGGCTCCGGCATCCAATTATGCCTTGACCCTCACCCACACCCACATACATATTCAGCGTCTGTCGCCGCGTTCAGGAAAGGAGGCCCGCCTCCTGCTGCCTTTGGCCGAGCTGGTGGGGTGCAGCTGCCCCCGGGCCCCCGCGCCACCCCTGCTGGTGCTGTATTGGTACCCTCCGGGGAAAAAACGAAAGGGGGTGTCGCGGCGCAGGCAGGTGAGGGCTTACCTCGCAGAGACCAGGCCTGAGGCAGAGCGGTGGTCAGCTGCCGTGCAGTGTCTGCTCCGGGGGGTGACCGTCACTGCTGAAACAGGTGAGAGCTTCACCCCACCGTTGTTTGTCCAGCTCATGAGCTGTGTGTCGCACTTGTGTACTGGGAAAATGTTCATGTTGGTACGTCAAGTTTATGTAGTTAAAATGTAATTATTACCTGCAATTTAACAAACTTTTAACTGTTAGCATTAAGGAAAACATTTTTAAGAACGATATGATGCCGGGCATTCACAGGCAAAACAGTTTTTTTAATGGATTTGTGTTTTTTTCCCCTTGCGTTTAGTTTGGAAAACACTTGTTCAATTTTTTTTTCAACTGATAAGAACAATAATCTCTGGAGAGGCTGTGGGATAAAATGCCTTTTCAACCCCCCAAAAACCGATGAAAAACCAAAAATCATTTGATTGGTTAGTTTGAAAAATAGCATTCCAGCAACTCAAACCACAAAGACATTTCCCCATTTCTGTTTCATAAATAACAGTATCACTTGTTATATACAAGTAAAAATGTTTTAATGGGACTTTCTTGGTCTGACCTTTATGATTGTCTCCACGTCAAAGTCCCGTACTTCACAGTGTTTCCTCATTCTGCTTTGATTTGTGCCTCCTTTGTAATTGCGTGCTAAGTATAGCTTAATGCCACAGTGGTCTGAGACCTTCCTGTGTTGCATGGACAGCACAGACATTTATCCACTATGAGAACAAACGGGGGCAAATTCAACAAGCATTCAGACTAAAAGAAAACAATAGGAGATGAATACAGCCTTATAGACATGCCTCTCCAGGACAGTTTTTTTTTTTTTTGTTTCAAATGACAACATCTTTCCACTGTCTATATTTATCTATCGCTATACTCCATTATTCCCTCTCTTATCTGAGCTGCACACATGGTCAGTATGATAGATGCAAATGCAAAGACACAGAGGGTGGGGCTGCTGAGGCGTGCCGCCCCTTCTTCTCACCATGTTCAGCAGGTTCAGTTATCAACCCAAAAACTGGTTTTAGTTTACTTTCAACTGGCTGGTTTTAGTTTTTTCCATATTACTGTACTCTGTGTACAGCAGTGCACTTCTTTAGAAACTCCTTCTTTTGTTCATTCATCCTCGTCTTTGACTTTATTTTTAGTCTTAAATTCAACATTTCCTTTGGCTCTATCAACCTGTCTCTCATGCTTTCCAAAAAAGGTGTGAAAGAAAAGGGAAACAAAGTTAATTTCAATTGTGTTCAAATGTTCATGTTGATCAGCATTTTTATAGACTAGGTTTATCTAGCTGATGCGTGTTGCATCTGTGGTTAGCTGATAAACCCAGATTTATCAGAGCACATTGCCATGCCCCTGCACCATCAGCACTTCATCCCAACCACGTTTTATCTTGATATGATTTGTTGGATTAATTATTGCTGATGTTTATACACAGGGAAGTACCTCTGCTCTACTGCTTTTGTGCTTCACTGAGATTATTTGCCTGAATCCTGAAACTCATTTGGGGACGGACACAGCAGTCATTTGATTCCAAGTTTCTCCACTTGAACAGTTAATAGACCTGCATCAAATGACAAAAACTGTGCAGGGTGAAGTAGAGGGAGGGTTAAGTAGAACTGCGAGAGATTGATTTGTTTGTTTTTAATCCTGTTGTCCTTTTGTATGTCGTGCAGAATTCTCAAGAAGTCTCCTACCTCGTCCCAGGCGACTACTGTTATTAGTCAATCCGTTTAGTGGAAGGGGCCAGGCAATGCAGTGGTGTCAGACCTACATCCTGCCAATGATCAGAGAGGCCAACATTAGCTACAACCTCATACAGACAGGTAACGCCGAGCCAAAGACACCGTTGCAGATGATAGACATGTGTATAAAACTTGCATATAACAGGCTTTAATTCATCTGCTCTCAGAACGTCAAAACCACGCGAGAGAGCTTATCAGAGAGATTTCCCTCTCGGAGTGGGACGGGATCATCATCGTTTCTGGGGATGGCTTGCTGCATGAGGTGAGGCACTGCTGCTGCAGGACTGACCATTGAAACAACTTTATACAGACTTGTTAGAGCTTGAATGTGTCAGGGATATCATAGTCCCAATATTTCTGTCTTGTATCTCTGCAGGTAATCAATGGGCTGATGGAGCGCCCAGACTGGGAACAAGCAATAAAAACCCCCGTCGGCATTCTGCCCTGTGGCTCCGGGAATGCACTGGCTGGTTCCATCAACCACCACGCAGGGTGAACATGTCTCTTAGCTCTTTCTGTGAATCACACTTCTGTTTGCCAAAAGCATCTATAGAAAGAAAAAGGAGAAAAACTGAAATGACACCAAGGAAACGAAAACATTTCATAGCAGCTTTTTCGAGACGGTTTTCTCAGGCATTGGTCATTTCATAAAACTGTTAAATAAAATCGGCTATTTTCCACTTTATTTCTACATTCAATTGTTCGGTTCATGTGTAGATTGTACCACAGTGTCTTGCTGTTAAAATTAGCCTTTTTTCCCTTGTTTTTTCTGAGAATAGGTCATTATACACCAGTAGATGAAAAACCTAATGAACTCAGTATCGTTGAGCATAAAATAGCAGAAGGGTCACACATTTTAGGAGCCATCTTAAGAATTACTCTTTTAGTAACAGATCCTACTAAACTTTTGTAAGCTTGAATATTCAACTTTTAAATGTACATGATGTGCATCCATTCATTCTACAATGTAGTTATACATCTGAACAGAACTTCGTGGGGCTCCTGGGTTCAATCTAAATCTAACAAAAAGATGTTTGTTTCTTTCTATCTGCCCTATTCCCTCCCCAGGTATGACATGTGCCTTCGAGAGACGCTCCTGTTGAACTGCTGCTTTTTACTCTGTCGAGGCGGTGTCCGTCCCATGGACCTGGTCTCCGTGACAACGAGCCCCGCTCCCTCCAATCACAGCCATGCTGCTGCACCCAGGAGACTGTTTTCCTTCCTTTCTGTTGCCTGGGGCTTTGTGTCGGACGTGGACATTGAGAGTGAGAGGTGTGTGTCACTACGTATGCAGCTTTAAAAAAAAACCAAAAAAAAACATACAAAACACAATTTGACTTTAGACATTTCTTTCACAGGTATCGTGGCTTGGGCTCTGCTCGGTTCACCCTCGGCACCTTAGTGCGCATCGCTTCGCTCCGATCCTACAAGGGTCGACTGTCCTACCTGCCTCCCTCTGTTATCGCCACATCTCCAGATGGCACACCTCCTCCGCCAAGGAGACCACTCTCCCGCAGTATCACAGAAGGCTTGGATGGCTTCTGGCGAACGCCTATCCATCGCACCTGCTCCGACATGGGCATCAGTGAGCAGAGGAGCCTAAGAAAGGGTGAAGGAGAGAGGGAAAAGGAGGAGAGGCAGAGAGAGAGGGAGAGGAGAAGGGTGAGAGCCAGAGGGGGAGGAACCGGAGTGGTGAGAGCAAGCAGTTTGGCAGAAGACAGGGAGAGGGAGGGGGAGATGGAGATGGAAACAGAAGAGGAGAAGTCAGGAACATGTTCAGAGAGGTCTGGAACAAGTTCTGAATCAAATGAAAGGGATGGATGCAATATGGGGAGGGAAGAAAGGCTGCAGAGGATCAACGATGAAAGGGAAGATGAGGGAATGGTGGATGAAGACTCTGCCGAGATGGAGGAGGAGGATAAGGGGAAGGGCGGGGAAAGCAGTGGTGGATCAGTAGAGGGGGAGGGAGTGTTGCATGCGCGGGAGCTGGGAGAGCGATACGGGGTAGACGTGGGGCGAGAGGCAGATGAAGAGCCAGAGCCCAGCATCAACCGCCAGGACAGTCCTCAGGAAGCCAGACAGGTGGTAAGAAAGAATTCAGCTCCATCGAGTCAGATCGCCGCCACTCTGTTCGGCCAGGAGGCTAACGCAGATTCTGGCTCCTCGTACGGGCCGGAGGACATGGACCTGAATGGAACCTACTTCCAGAAGGAATCCTACCCTCTGGATGTGGCCCGGGAGCGAGCCCTCACCATCTCGTCTCCTTTTCGACACTCTCCGTTCTCTTACAAGCAAAAGGCCCTGGACCAAAACCAAAACGCCTCCCGTCCCAGGCCCCTCTCACTCCTTCAGCACTCCCACTCCAACACCCTCCCCCCTAAATTCCCCTCCCTGTCCCTGTCTCCTACACCTCCCTCTTCTCCTTCCTGTGCTTCCCCACACTCGTCATCCTACCTCGCCCCCCGTCCAAACACCCCAAATTCCTCCTCGCCCTCTCCTTCCATACGCACACCGTCCTCATCCTTTAACTTTGACATAGCCGAACCAGCAGGACCCTTCAAGAACCGTCCATTCATTTCGCTGCCTTTAGATCTACCGAGGGATGACTTGTTACCCCCTCTTGACCAGCCCCTTCCCACCAGAGACTGGGTCGCCATTGAGGGGGACTTTGTCTTAGTCTTGGCCCTTTATCAGTCCCACCTCGGGGCTGACCTCCACGCCGCACCCCAGGCCAGGTTCGACGACGGCCTCATCCACCTGACCTTTGTTCGGGCAGGGATCTCCAGAGCCACCCTACTGAGACTCTTCTTCGCCATGGAAAGAGGAAACCACCACTCGGTCAGCTCACCGTACGTGAGCCACGTCAGCTGTAGGGCCTTCAGGCTGCAGCCTCTGTCTACACGGGGAACCCTCACCGTGGATGGAGAACTCGTGCCCTACGGGCCGCTCCAAGCACAGGTCAGAAAGAGGGATAACCCTGTTGTCAGTGTGACTGTCTTGAATTATGTGATGACATTGGCTTAAGTTTGTACCAAGTGTTAATGCTGTGATATTCATTAAATATTAACCTTTTTCTTTATCTCTCACTGTTTCACAGGTCCATCCTTCCATGGCCCGTCTCGTTGTTGGAGACTCTGGAGTGCAGATTACTAGATTTTAATCAGGGATTTCTTGAGTAGAATGCACTCTATTGAATTTTTTTTATCTCTGTTGCCATCAGTACTAAGTAGGTAGTATCTGAGACACCTAAATTAGCCTGGAGTGCGGGAACTGCTTTAGTAGGGATTAACAAAAGGGATAATTCACCGAGCCACGCATCATCGCAGAACGACTGCAGGGATTAAAAGTGAATTTGAGAATGGATGAAAAATGCGCTTCGTTGCACAGATGTTGGATCGTGCTCAGTCTGACCTGAGAAGCATGTCAACTGCACAGTTGTGGATATTAAGAGGGAAGAACAATCAAATGTTGTGGATGTTTCTGTGCAGCCTGTGCATGTGTTGGATCTATACATGTTAGTATGCATGCAAAGAAGCACCACGCAATTTTTGCCTTATATTGAGACGATGAGAAATCAAGAATATTTTCTGGAAATGAAAAAGTTGCTTTTAAAAGTGGAAAGTTATACTTAAAAAAGAAAATAACACAGAGATTCACATGGGCCAGCCCAACATGCTAAACTATCTTTCTCTTACCTTCAGTCTCACCAGTGTCCAAACGTTTAAGTATGAGAACTTCGGTCCCTTGAAAGAATGCCTTATCTGGCACTGTACAGTGCAGTTGTACCTTTGCCTGTTCTTTCTTATATAAGAAAGCTAAACCTTATTGACCTGCGTCTGATTGAAAGATTACATCGTAATCTTAAAAAGCATAAAAGCAAACTTGTGCTTGTTTATCCAGACGGGTTCTTCACTCCAGCTACAAAGTGTTATTTTTTAACACGCCCGCTGTTTGACAGCAGATGAAATTGTGGCTCCAACTCCACATTTGGCTGCTGGATTCTGCTGGAGATGATATTGATATCAGTCTTTGAAACCCACTGAACATGAAAATGTCAGAACAATTCCCCAATTTAAAAAAAAAAATCTAATTCAGCATGATATTGTTTGACAAATGCAGCCGTCTCTGAGTTATCACATTTGATGGTGACATATCAACCTCAGTCAGATAGGAAGTTGTGCATTTATTTTGCACCAGCTTGAATTGAAGCAGTTGCACAATAACCTTTCCGTACTAACTACACCGTAACGCAGTAGAATATCTTTGTCAGAAAACGGGTTGGTTAGCATTTGCAACCCAATCCAGGTATTAAGATTGAATCACATTAATTTCAGTGTCTAAGATTAATTAAATGTTGAACACTCATGGCTGTGGAAAAGAGGCACCGAAAGCTCAGACAAAGAATAAGCAACATAGAACACAGAAGCAACACTAAGCAGAGCCGTGCTGTATTGTTGGATCATGAGATCGATGAGTGGAGGAAAATCCTCGTTGCACTGTTAGAAAAGTGCCAGTCTGAAGTGACCCCTTTTATTTTCCTTATAGAAAAAAACATGCTGATTGCAAATGAGAAGTAAAATCCCCCAGCACACTTTGGAGCCTCGCTTTTACAAATGGATTTTACTCCATAACCTGCGGACAGACTTGATCTGGGATGAGAACAAGAAAAAAGTTTCTCAACGTAACGTGCCAACTGCTCCGATCATCATCGGCATACTGTACGACTCAGTCACGCCATGACAAATCAATGCCTTTGTATGATAAGCCTGTAGATTCTGGCTGCCGATCACAGACTGTTTCATCCTGACTGCAGAAAATGAAGTCAAACTCTATACTTACCAGTATGTGTTTTTGTTTTCTTTCTTTCTTTCTTTCTACTCTTTGCCTTGTTTTCCCCATTGGACTGTCCAGTGCAGCTAGTTCATCGCAATTGCAAACACTGTGCTTCCACAGCTACAGAATGTGAGTGCAGCGTCTTGAGTCCTGGCTTCTAATTTTACCAAATAGGAGAGCTTATATGTACACTTTGAATGGAAAATTTGCCAAAATGTTTACTCTTGATGTTTCAGAGCCTAGTCATGACAGTTTACTTTCCTGAACCTGCTGTCGTCTATGGCCATAGCTGGGACCATGGTGTTATAGACTATTTTCATATGACAGTGTTGAGGTATAACTCCTTATGTTGATAATGCCATTAAGATGTCTATAGAGGACTGCCTGTAAAGACATTGTAATGATTACTAAATCAGTGAAAATACAAGTAATGTACAGTTAATAACTATATATGGTTTCAAATAAATATAACTTCAGAAGTTTGTCTGGAGCCAATTTATTCATTTCTTTCATATTTTGTCTCTTAGGTGTATTAATATTTTCACGGTAAGTATGATGTCTTGCTTAACATGTTATCTGAGGGGTATTCATCTGCGTTTTCCTCAATAACACTAACGGGTGGGTAACAGCCCGGCGGTTTAAGGATAATAGCTTTCTCTTAAACATGATTATGACAACCCAAAAAGTAACATTCCCTTTAGCACTGTTAAGGGACCAAAGCTGACTTTAACAAAAAACCATATTAAATACAGACAAATTGTATCCTCCGTGTCATTAAGGATTTTACTCCAATGTAAGGATATAGTAGGACAATCAGACTTCTAACAGGATGAAAATCAATATACCAGGACAAACATGCTATAAATATTTGTTTTGTTTTTAGCAGGTTTGAGCAGGATGGATTTTAATTCAAGGGTTTCTATACTTTCTTCCTTTGTAGTAATTAAACTAAGTGGTTGAATTAACTCTCTGTACACTAACACCACAAAATGTGTGTCCCTTTTTTCATTTTACTACAAATAAAACAAATTCTCATCTTTCTCAAATCCTTTAAGTGTGCAGAGTATTTTAATTGAACTTTTTATTCTGCTGAATTCAAAGTCCCATATTTATAACGATCATATATAGAGGTAAGTATATAGTTCAGCCCTTAAATCAGCTGACTGGTAGCGATATATAATTTATCTTTCTCACACAAGCAGTGTGCCTCAGTAGCACTCAAAACTATTTTATTTTGAAAAACAACTGACCGGAAGTAGACGGCTTCACTAAAGCCAGACACCACTTCCGGTGTCGCCACCTTCTTTGTCTCCGGCCCAACATTTCGACACAAGGGGTTCTCTTTTTTCCCTTTTATTTTTGAGGATATATTTACAAATATATCCCTAATTTCTAACATTTAATGACAGTCGACTCTGACCTATTTATGCCTAAAAGTAAAGCTCCAAAAATGGATGACCTGGACTACAGTAAGTGGCCTTTCTCAGTCGCTGTTTGCATTGGCTGTTGAAGCTAACCGTGGCTAGTAGTGTAGCTCCTGTCTCAATTTTGATGCTCAGGTTGGGCACAATGGGAACACCAATGAATTCATGAATGAAACTGACATAGCATGTCACATTTTGCTTTCTTTTCCGAAGTGTACTTCCGATAAAACCGTATTTGGTTAAAGATATAGCTCAAGAAGACCGTATTAGCTTAGCCCCCTAGTTATTGATTGTGTCGGTGTTTGCACGAAGCTAACTTTACAGGAAATGTCGGTGGATATTTAACACCCTAACCTGTCGTCAAGTTACACAACGTCTAAAAAAATTGCTCCGAGCCACTTTCTTTCCGGCTGTGAATGATGTGCAGGCTGCCGTTTTTTTGACCCGAAGCCCGAAAATAAAGCAGACTGTGGGCGTGGTTGGTGCTGTGTGGAGCAGCTGTTTGTTCAGAGCATCTCTGATCACCGCTGCTGATCCCAAAATGCTCCCTTGAACTTGAAAGCTGTGTCTTTGGACAAGAGGTGTTTTTCTTAAACTAAATTAATATATAAGGTCAGCACATCCTACCTATTGGGTGACTGTTGCTGCTGAATTCTTTTGTATTCCTACGTTTCTCCTAGTTTATTTTTTAAATTCTACTACTTCAGGTCTATCATTAAAGGTGTGGTAAGAAGTAATGGCAGCAGATTTTATCACCCCAGAGATCCTGGACCTTATTTACTTTACCTGAGTCATGTGTGTTGTTAAACAACCCTGGTTTTAATGCTACCGTGAGCAAGAATATTATGTTGCTTTGTTAAAGTGATGAAGGTTCATAAAGGTGGCCTGATATTCTGATGATTATTTATGAAGTGGGTTGAGATTACACACTGACTAGTTTGCTTCAGTCTTATTCAGATTTGGATATCTTAAATAGCTTCTAACCGCTTTGGTTTTGTTTCAGCTGAAATAGTTTCAGGGAAGAGAGAGCCACTTGATACATTTGTTGATTAGAAAAAAGGAATTTTGTATTTGACCAATTCAGTTTCTTTCTCTGTGTAATCCTCCAGAGCCCAATGTTTGCATGTTTTTAACTGTAGAACGTGTGTTTCAGTGTGCTTGGCCCTGTGGTGGGCTGGAGACCTTTACCCTGTCTCTTCTCCCGTTGGCAGCTCTGATAGGATCCAACCCCCCAGTCCAAAGCTGGCTGAAATGGCAACTAAATAAACTGAAAATGGCAATAGTGATTTTTTTCCACATGGCAATGTTGTTTTAGAACAATCTACTGGTTAAGGGTTGAAATTGTGCCTCAGAAATTCAACAGAGACTAAGCCTGTTTGCTTTGCAATGACATTGTGTTCTGACATGTTATAAGCTATCTGATTTTCTGTTTTGTGTCTGTACTTTTCAGGCAGAATGTTGTGGTTGGTAGAATAACGTTGTTTTAGGTTGAATAGTTGTTCCCAGCCCTGTTCCTTGTTTTATGACTCCTTATTAAATTGGTTTACTGCTATTTTCAGTGCTTCTTTCCACTGTGAGGAGGTTTAACAACAATGATCTTTTTTTCTCCCTATTTTTCTGCCACTGGTAGAGACTGCCTTTGACCTAGATTGAGTGGGCACTGTTAGTACTTGTTAGATCCACAGCTGCAGCACTAACGCACTCATTCTTCTTGTCTTCCCCTGCAGTCCCTGTAGACCTGAGCCCAGAGGAGCGCTCTGAGCTGGAGGACATCCGTAGGAGGAAGGGCGTCCTGCTGCAGGAGATCCAGAGGCTCAGGGAGGAGCTAAGAGAGGCGATTTTAGAAGTGGAGGGACTGGAGACCAGTACAGAGGGCAGGTAAAAAGCAAATGTTTGCACTTTTACTTTTCTGCTCTTCGAGCACATTTTCTGTGTGTTTTTTTTCTCTCTCTCTTCTGGTGGGATGGAATCACAGCACTATTCCTCAAAACCATGTTTGACTGGCAGAACATGTTACTGTAGGGATGACTTGTTAATGATTAATTACAATATTTGAGAGGTTTAAACTTCAGATTTGGTTGTGTAGTTTAATGATTTTATCCCTTGATATTGTAGTAAATATTCAAGTTAATCTTTAAAATGTTATGCGCCTCGGTTTGATATGAGACATTAAAGATAAAAGCATGCACATGTTGCTCCAAGATGACAAATTCCTGTTTGTATACTGACTGCTATAACATAACACAATTATATTATGGAGCATTTACCTGATGAAAGCCCCTTCTATCAATCAACAAAAGTTAGATTGTCTTTTAACAACTCAGATTTTTGTCTTTATAAAAAAGATTTAACCTAATTTATTTGGGGGAAAAAACATTTTTGTTACTAATCGTTCTTGATTTTTAAAAGACTATAATGTTAGTGTTGGTTTGGAAAACATTTCTTGCGTTGTGCTGATGTTTGTCCTTCATCCAATCTGCAGTAAAACTCTACAGAAAAGTCGTCATGTGGCAATGGGGAGGAAAAAATTCAACATGGACCCAAAAAAGGTAGAGCGGACTTGTTTCATAGTTGGTTTCATCTGTTACTTTGCACTCTTTTTAACTCCCTCTGCCTTTTACAGGGCATTGTGTTTCTGGTGGAGAACGAGCTGCTCAGACACACATCAGAGGACATCGCTCAGTTTCTGTACAAAGGAGAAGGCCTCAACAAGACTGCTATAGGAGATTACCTTGGAGAGAGGTAAAAGAAGCAGGAGTAACTTGTGGTGCTCCTTTGTGTCCGCTGTGTGTAACTGTGAGCATTCTGTTGTCCAGGGATGACTTCAACATCAAAGTTCTTCAGGCTTTTGTTGACCTCCACGAGTTCACTGATCTCAACCTCGTCCAGGCTCTCAGGTTTGGCTTTATTTCTTTGTTGAACAGCGAACAAAAAAATCTCTTGATGTGTACTCGGGCATTCCTTAGCTGGCATTTCCAACAGTGGAAAGTCCCACTCTCCCTGGCACCAAAAACTGGTGAGGGGACACTTTATGTAAGAGGGCCACAGTGACTGTGAAACCGCCTCCGCTAATAGAAGTGGCTCCGTCAGATTTGACCCAAACCGCCACTCGTTCTCTGCAGACAGTTCCTGTGGAGTTTCCGTTTGCCGGGCGAAGCGCAGAAGATTGACAGAATGATGGAGGCTTTCGCTCAGAGATACTGCCACTGCAACCCCGGAGTCTTCCAGAGCACCGGTACGCCGAACGCAGCATATTATGACAATGAAATCACGACACTCCCATATCCTGTCGTGGCTCTCCTTTCTGAGCTTTTTCTAATTTATATAGGTTTTTTTTTTGTTCTAATCAGCAGCATCTTTGCAGGTTTAAGTTCACTTTTTTGTTTTCAGTTTGAGTAACAGAAGCAGGAAAGTGGTGTTTATTTGTTTTTTATCAGTCCAGTGAGGATGTACAGACTCTGAAAGCAGTCTCAGTGCTTTTTGCGTTTGAAGCTGTTTTGGTAGAACTGGTTTGGAACAGAGCACCACATCATGTAACAGTATATGAGATCAGGAGGTGTGCGTGCAACATGCTTTCTGAAACTAAAGAGAGAGCAACTTGTTTCACAGACAACTTTTGAAGGCAAAGTCTGAGACATTGAGTTGTCCTTTTGTATGAATTTGGATGACTTTCTGAAAAAGAGCCAATCTGCTTCTGTAATCAACCGAATGAGTCTTTAGATGACCTAATTCTGATAGACCTCTGTACAGAAAACTGTTATTTGTGGAAATGTACCCTCCACTCAGCCTTTGTTTCCTGTGTCTCTCCTGCTCAGACACGTGTTATGTGCTGTCGTTCGCCATTATCATGCTAAACACTAGCCTACACAATCCCAACGTGAGGGACAAACCTGGAGTGGACCGCTTCATCTCGATGAACAGAGGCATCAACGAGGGGGGAGATCTGCCGGAGGAGCTTCTCAGAGTACGATCTAGTCCCCTGCCTTTTCTCCTCATGGATGGAATCATTTCATTTCATTCCCTCTTTGTTTGTTTCCCAGAACCTCTACGATAGCATTAAAAATGAACCCTTCAAGATCCCAGAGGACGATGGCAACGACCTGACGCACACCTTCTTCAACCCGGACAGGGAGGGCTGGCTGCTTAAACTTGGTGAGACGATGCCAGTGAGGCCTCTGCGCTTCGCTCTGCTGCGTTTCGTGTCGGCTTTAACACTGACGGCGTGCAGTCTTTCCCTGACGAACCCAGAGTGTGATGCAGCGGTGTGGGAGTGGTCAGAAAGTGATGCTTTCAGTGTTCTGCTGCGTTCTGTTCACCTTCAAGGCTTTGTGCTATGGCCAGCTTGTCCTCCTGTCTGCGAGGTTTTCAGCCTCTTTGCCTCCACATGAATCATCAGCCCACTCTGTTGTGGCTTCGGGATATCGCCATAGCATGAAGCAGACAAAGAGACTCACCTCTTTGTGTTATGGCACAAATCTGATTGTTTTCTTCTGCATGGCGGGACCTGTGATCAATGTCACTAATACAATCTTCTTCTCCTCCTCCTCCTTGTCTCTGTTTGTCCTCTGCCTCCCTTTAAATCCTCTGGTTCTCTTTGCTTCTTCATCCTCTACTGCCGCTGCTTGTTTTCACAGGAGGTATGTACTGAGTTTAAAACGTTGTAGAAATCATTAGGCAGTTAGAATACAGACTGTAGAATAGCAGTCCTCGAATGTACAACTCTTCTTCTTTTGCTCTGTTTTCACTCTGTGTTGTTTTGTTTTTTTTCTCAGGGGGAAGGGTGAAAACCTGGAAACGCCGATGGTTCATTCTCACAGATAACTGCCTTTACTACTTTGAATACACTACTGTAAGTCTTCATGTTTTGTCTCAGTGACACTTTGTTCTACCCAAATCCTCATATGTTGATATTTTTGTTGCCATAATTAGTGGAGTGCCCTTTCTGGCTTTACTGATCACATTATTTACCTAATTGGGAGTCAATTAAAAGTGCTTTCTATCTAAAGATCAGCAGGGGGAGACAGAGAAATTTGAACAGAACTCTCTTTTTCATTTGAATTGTTAGGGAGGTGAATGATTTCTTAATGAGATGATGGTCTGAATAGCTGTTTTCTCATTTGGTTGAATGCAAGACAGTGAAGCAGGTTACAAATGTAAATCAGTAAAAATAATTGTCAGTTGATTGTATAGTTTTGTGTTGACTGAAAATGATGGTAAACGCAGGATAAGGAGCCACGGGGCATCATTCCCTTGGAAAACCTCAGCATCCGTGAAGTCGAGGATCCAAGAAAGCCTGTGAGTAGGCCTTTTGGTAATGACATGTTCTTGTGTTTTAATAGTCTGTGATGATGGACTTGGTTAAAGCCTTTGACTGTTGTTGTACAGAACTGCTTCGAGCTGTACATCCCCAACAACCGGGGCCAGCTGATTAAAGCGTGTAAGACAGAGGCTGATGGGAGGGTGGTGGAAGGAAACCACATGGTGTACCGCATCTCTGCACCCACTCCCGAGGAGAAGGACGAGTGGATCCACAGCATCAAGTACGTGAAGTGGAAATGGAGACTGCTTTTGTGTGTGTGTGTGTAGCTGGTGTGGATACTTGGCTCCATTAGCTTTGTGGTCAAACTGAAAACCAGCACCTTCCTCATAGACAACCATAAGCTGTATGTCTTGATATTTCTCTGGGGCAAAACTTGAATAATTTACAGGTTTATGTGGGATAGCCTTATAACCAAAGACTGACCTGTCGGAATGAAAGTTTTGAATGTGTGTCTTTTCCTAACACAGTAGCCTCAAATGTTCTCTTCCATCATTTCAGGTCTGCCGTTAGTGTGGATCCCTTCTATGAAATGCTGGCTGCAAGGAAGAAACGTATATCACTGAAGAAGAAAGAGGAGCAGCCGTAGATTGCTTCCTTCTTTCCCTCCTCTCTGCCCCTTCACCCCCGCTCCCTGTTTCCTTGTTGACCTGCCTTCCTCTACCCCAAACGCCCTCCCTTTCTGTTCCGAGAACTTCTTGCTATCTCGTCTCCCAGACTTTAGTAAAGCCACCATTTGAGTGGGCGGCTCACCTGCTGTGGCAGCCCCTTACACTGCTGCTAATACGTCCAACCTGACACACTACACCCTGAGCACAAAACCTGTCCCGTCTTCTCACCTTCACTCCCATCTTAGACAGTGAAGCGTGTCTTTGGCCATCTTCCTACCAGTGCTGATAACTTTCAAAGGCTTCCCTGATGCCCTTCATCCACTCTTAATGACTCGAAGGATGTAAAAAAGGACTTTCCTTCACCGAATCTCGACCTAAAAGACACCAGAAAGTAGAAATGTGTCTTGTGCATGTCTAGTAAGAGACATAAAACAGTGTAGCTTGTATTATTCACTTTCACAAAGCTTTTAGGGAAAATGTGTGTGGAACAAGAAAATATGACACTAACAGCCTTTTGGGATTTATCTGCATTGGTGTAAACATGGTCATCTTCAGGGCAGCAAGCAGCTTCCACTTCACAAAGTCCTCCTTCACATGTATCGATGCCGCCTTTTTGAGAAATGGCCTTTCATTGATTGTGCATACCTGAGACAAAATGTGAATTCAAACACTATTAATAATAATTTTGTATTCAGCTGTTGTTTAGGAAGTGCAAACAGTTTTGATTTCAGACTGTGGCTTGCTCATGGCTTGTTGTAGTTCTCATGATGGCTTTAAATCCACTTCCACGTCGAACTACTGAGGCATCGAGGAAAATGTCTCGGCGTCGATTTTCGGTGGAGTCCTGAGGTTCAGAGGCTCTTTTCGTGCAGTCGGGTGGCGAATCGTGAGCTAATCCTTTATCCACCATGAGCAGTTACCATCATATCCTCTCAGATGTAACCTTACAGCATGCCGCGCATCGTGTCTGTCGACGCCCACCTCTCACACCACCGCAGTGAGATTCATGACATCACAAAGGCAGCTCATTACAATGTACACTTTTTGTAAATAGACGTTAGCATATTTGTTTACAGAACACATAGAAATGATTTTAATTTATTCTTTATCTTTTGTTAAGAGCCAACTTTTGTACGAGCTACTGTATTACTGCATGTTGATAGACGGGGGCTGCGGTCGTGAGCTCCGAGGCCTCGCCGACCATGCTAGTGCACTGATTTGAGAAGTGTTAATGTTCCCTGTTGACTTGGAAAGATTGCACTTAACATTGAAGTTGTTTTATGATTAAGTGAATGACCCTGGTGTATACTTCTAAAAATGAGATGTGTTTATCAGTCAGAATGAACTCTCCCCACTTTTGGGTGTTTTTTTTTTCTTCTTTTTTTCGTTTCTGTCGGTGAAATCGGACTCTTAAAAGCACAAGCTGAGATTAGCCCTCACAGCTTTCTGCTGTCACAGTGCAACCAAGCTGAAACTGCAGATACACTTCTTTTTTTTTTTAAGAGACACGGTGAAACAAGGAACACTAATAAATATTTAATTCAATAAGAAGTAGTAAAACATTCAAAAGTAATGATTCAGTGATGCGCTTAGGTTTATGTCCAGTTATAGGTCGGACTAGATTTCCGGTTCATAAACTCTTAGTTTAATGAATTGGTCTTTAGATTGTAAAGAAAACTGTCATCTACTGCACTTTATCCAGCATTTAGGCGAGAATGCTGTTACTGACTACACTACTCCACAGCGCCATCTGCTGGTAATCACACTCACCTCTCGGTACGCTGAAGGATGTTTTAGTGTAATAACACACAGGATCATCGCGCGGTCCCACAGTTATAGATGTTACAGGTACTAATCAGCATGTACTGAACTTATCAATCATTGATTCTCCTCCAGATAATGATCATGTCGCATTAAGCTTAAAAGAGATTTCTCTCTGGTATCTAAACACTAAACTTCAGAGAAGTGGCTTCCTGACAGCCTGCGTTTTGCCTCCATACGGCTGTGACTGGCCTGTATGTAAAGCATCCATCTTTGTTTCTGTTTGTCACAGGGGCTGTAAAGAGTTGCTATGCCGTCACTCTCTGTGAAATGTCAAAGTGCAAAGTTGCCAAAACATGACAAACTGAATATTTCCATGTGAAAATAAAAAGCTGAAAACTGAAATGATCAGAATGAAATAGGTTCACCGTTTCAGATTTCACTGCAGTCACCTTTTGTATTTATTTTTGTTTACTGTTAGGTTAAGATGGACACATCAATTATGTACATGTAGCAAGAGGAAAACTACCATACATTGGTGCCAGTAAAATACTGTGTAACAATAAAAAGGTAAACTGAAATGATAAGTTATTTTCTGTCTACATTGTTTCCTTTTTCAATTGTCAAAGTTTTTTTCACAAAAGTGTAAATCCACAATGATGCATGAAAACAAAGTAACGAACATAAAAAGACTGACAGGCCAATGCTAGCCTTCCGTGAGAGTCTGAGATACCAAGTGATCTGGGACTTGGCTGCAGTAAATGTGGAAAAGGGAAAAAAGAACATGATAACAACTTAGAAGTCTAAAAAGGTTCAAGTTATGGAGCCCTCCTCCTTCCTCTATGCTGTGCTTAAGACCAGCCTTTTTACTCCCAAATCAAGAGATGACAACGGTGAGCAAGTCCATGTGGGTTTTGATGATTCTTTTTTAAGGATCTTACCATGAAAAAATAACCCCATTTACCACCTGGTGAATTGGGTTATTTTCAGACTTGTTTTGTTTGTGTACTTCTGAGGATACTTTAAGTGTACATCAGATATAAACTGACATATCCAGATGGAAAATATGGCTCAGCGATGGTTGAAAAAAGCCCATTAGGATCTCATGTCAGCCTTATAAAATATATAAAGTCATTAATGCTTTCCTTTGTAATCAGTGAGCAAGCAACTTTTCTGGGGGACTTAATGTGGTCTTTGCATCCTGATACAGGGTGAAGCAGGTGGCTTAAAGAGGCCAGGTAATGCTCAAAAGGAAAACAAGAAGCCTGTTTCCCCCCTCTTTATTTACATATGTTCAAAGACAAACTTATACACATTGATGAAGTTTGAACCTTACTAAAATCATATGCTATTACACTGTGCAATAAGAAATACATATTCCATCAAGGCCAGATTCACAAAGGTCAAAAAGCCACAATGCGACTCAGAAGTCATAAACTAATTCAGTGAAAAAGTGAGAAATGTCGGTGCCTTTTTAAATAATGACCTTGTGCAGCAAGTTTATAAAATGTTAAATACAAGTGAATGGTTTCTAAATGTTCAAGAGTCCCTGCAAGTACAAAATTGAGGCATGAGTCCATATAACACATCAAACTGACGGAGGCCTCTTAACTACTGAAAGGTTCTCCAACATTGCTCTCATGACGTCTAACTGATGCAGAGATTCATAAGATTACAAAAGAGTATCACAAATACAACTTAATCCTACAATTTCTTTGGTAAATTAGCTGTATGTTTCATGGAAACCTTTAAAAAGAGAATCCAGAGTATAAAACATTTTCATGAATTTCATTCAAACTAACTACAAACTGTTACGTCACCACAGCTGAACCCATTTAAGGTCCGATAATATTAGCTCAGACCTGACTGTATTCAGTCTTATTAACAATATGACAATATGTCACACTCAGCATTGTCTGTTTAAAATAAAACACAAACTCATGGTTCCAGTAGATAATGTGGTCCATGACTAAAGCTCACAGCCACCGACACCTTACAGGTGATCCGTAAACACAGTCACCACTACATTTTTTTCTTCTTTTATGTTATTTAGCAAAATCACTTTAATAGAAGGCATACGCTCTGATGTTTGTTTTTAAGTTTGAGGATTTCTGTTTTCTTTTGCTGCATTGCTGCATATCTTTTGACGGATATGTTGAAGTTCTGCGTCTTTCGTGCGGCGGTCTTCAGTGGCAGGGATCAAATGGGTATCTGGCCACGCCACCGTGAAGCTCCACCTCTGTTTCAGACCAGGCGATGACGTCGCCTTGGAGGTGGCTCCCGCAGGAGGCCAGGCTGTAGATGTCATTAACACTCAGGACATGTGACCACATGTGCAGGTCTGACATCTCCCCCACGTACGACTGAGTGGCATCAAAACGGCCTCCCAAAGTGTCCTGAAGAGGAGACAGTCAGGAAACCCATTTTAGTCTTAGTCGATGTTTTTATTTTCTCACATTGATTATAAGACATAAGAGAAATAGGAAAATCTGGCACCATGACTTTTCTGAGGCTGTTTCAAAGTTACCTGCTCCTGTCCCAGGATGAAAACCCCTCCAGGTCTGATAGCATGCCAAGGAGAGAGGCTCATCCCAGATCCCCTCTGAACTCCGTCCTGGTAGGCCTCCCACTGTCCCTCCCTCGTTGTCCACGTCACACACACATGGTGCCACTTCCCATCGGTCAGAGACAGGGGCAGCGTCGCAGCCTGAGGGCACAGGGTGAAAGATCATCCACCATTAGCATGTTGTTATTGGCAGAGACCTGGTTGGTTGCCCTTCTCGGTCCTCTTTCCAAAATCTCAGAGGACCTATTTCATGTCATCCTGCTTCAATAAAAACATCCACAAATCCTGATTGACTCACACAACAATGTGACATCACAACATGTGTGGTTTGTGTTAGCTTGTCTCACCTTGTCGTTGATGAGCAGCTCTATGGGGTTGTTCCCCCACTCGATAAGCACCAGCTCATTGGACTGTCCAGGGGCTGAGTAAGAAAAAGGCGTTCCCAGTCCGGGTCCTACGCCCGCCTTCATCCAGAGACACAGAGTCAGAGCGAAGATCTCCTGCAGGATGGTCTTCTTCATCCGACCATACATGTAGTTGGTCCTCATGGGGAAGCTGATCTGGAAGGCATCGAGGCCCATGGGTTTCTTCCTGCCAGATCCTGTTAAAAACACATCAGTAAAGTCTCACTTCAGGGCTGTTTTTGTCACCCTTCAGGTATGAAAATGATCGTTGTATCATATAGATTTTCATGTGGGAGAGGTTTTCCAAAAGCATGTTCAGGTTCAAACTTTCTAGAGCATATTTAATGGACTTTTCTTTTTTTAGAAACATTTTCAGCTCATGTTTGACAAAATAAAAAAAGAAAAGGGTTGTTGTCTAGACTCACAACCATGGTTTTGGTTTCTTATCTGCACTTGTATTCTTGTGTATGAAGGTCATAAAGTTGTGTACCTGCAAGATGCAGCTGATTAAGCATCGTTTCCAGTTTATTTGAGTGGAAACCAGTCCGAGGCCCTGGCGCCCTGTATCCTGTGTGTGGAAGGTAACTGTGACTGTCTGCTTCGTTACTGTGGTGATCACCATCGTCCTCGTGATGGCTGCTGTCGTGGTCACCATCTCCATCGTCATGGTCCTCACTGTGGCTGTCTTCGTCATGGTCTGTGTGGTGGGCGTTGTCGCCATGACTGTCGTGATCTTCGCCGTTGTGGTCGTCGTGGTGGTCGTCATGGTGGTGGTCGTCGTGGTCGTCGTGGTGGTTGAGGTGTTCGTCGTTGTGGTGGTTCTCGTCGTGATGGGCGCCGTCATCCCTGTGGCTCTGTGTGGAGTCGTCATCGTGGTGCTCCGGGCTGCCGGGGTGATGGTGCAGCTGCTCCTCCAGCGTGCTGATCTTCCTCTGCAGCAGCTCCTTCAGAGAGCTGGAGTATGTGGAGGAGGTGTTCCTCTTCTGCTGGGGGGGGGAAGGGAGGGGGGAGAAAACACAGAGGTCAAGTCCTCCAAACAACCCTGCTGACACTTCAAGCTGGCTCAGAGACAGCGGCACAGACTGGTCTACGCGGGCATGTGCCCGTCTGCTTTGTGTCCGTAAATCTAGCAGCTGTCTGAGCTTCCGCTTTTTTATTCATTGTTTCTTCTCGCAGTCCCTCTCTGGTTCTCCTCCACTCAGGTAATCCAGGCTTTGCACTGGTGCGCGCCCTGATTACAAGTCTGTCAAGGGAGATCACCATAATTACTCCTGATCTTAGACGCCCCCCCCCCCCCCCCCCCCCCCCCCATACTCCTGACATTCTACTGGGACCCTGATTCAGAGAAGACCAACCGCATTAAAGGATGGATAAAAATTTACTCGAAAGGAGACTTTAAGGCACCCAAATATCCAACAGCACCTCGAGGGAACGTAGAACCTTGGAGAAGCATCTTAAGTCTGTGACGCTCACCGCTGAGCCTGCTGCTGCTCTCAGGCGCCCACTGAGAGACACCAAAGTGGCTCTCTTGGCAAACGAGTGAATGGCTTTATGAGATTAAGTAATTCATTGCTCCTTTGTCTTAAGTGCTCAGTGGACGTGCCGCTCTGGGACTTCGACAAACAGCCTCGTGACAATGGCTTTAATGTGTCCAGACAAGAGGAAGACACACATGGGAGCGCCACACAACTCCCTCTCTCTAAATCCAGACCCCCCCACTCATCTGCGGACTTGCACTTTTTACTTTACCGCCTTCTCTGTTGTTCTACGAGAACTGCCAGAAGTTGTTGAAGTTGTCCCTGACCCTTGCTGCTCACCTGCAGGTTGTCCAGTCTCTCCTTCAGCGCCTGCAGCATCCTCTCCATCTGCTCGCCGGACGACATGCCGTCCCCTGGTGCCACATGTTTGTCCTTCCCCTGGCTGCTGCTGCCGTACCCTCCAGCAGATCCTCGCACCCCCACGGAGGAGGGGTGGTGAGGCGAGTCTGGTATGAGGTTGCGGTTTCCATGGTGACCCTGCGGGTTGCTATAGTGCCCATTGTCAGTGTACGTGTGATGATTGGCCGTGCCTGGGCGATGGGAGCGCGGGGCCGTGGCCGGGTGCTCGTCATGAGGGGACACGCCTCGTCCGAAGCCCTCGCACAGAGTGAGCTTTGCCGTCAGCTCTCTAATGGTCTCCCTCTGGTCCAGGATCATCTCTTTCTGTTGGACGAGGCTCTCCCTGAGGTGGAGGATGGTGGCTTTGGCCTCATCGCTCACCCCCCACCAGCTGTTGGGAGGCACATTTTGATGACTCGGCCCGCCGGGACCTGCCGACCCCACACCTGGACCGGCCGTAGGGAAGCAGGACGGGTCTGCGTCCACGGGAATCGGGGTGCACACAAAGCGGGGGTGGGCTCCAAAGTCATAGTCAGGCCCTGATGTCGCATATGCAGGGTGAACTAAAGAAAGCACTACCAGGAAAAGGTTCAGCTGCAGGGACAGAGAGCTCTTCATGCTATCCATCGACTCTTCAGCCAGAAAGAGTAAAACAAGTCACTTCACTTCAGTATGTCTGATGGCCGCTGAAGCAAAGCTTAGGCAGAATCATTTGATGGTTGAAAGGAGACATGAGGGACCAAAAAAACTCTTACACCCACAAAATAGCGGTAAAGTCGCCTTTTTCCTCCTGAAGAGTGAAAAAAACCTGTGAAACAAAAATATTGAATGTTAGACAAAGCATCCAGTAAAGTTTAGACACAGTATTGACTGAACATTGGCGTTACCCCTGTGCAAAACACAGCTTTGTGGCGCAACTATAAAAAAAGTCTCTGACACTAAATTGAATTCGGTTTAGTTGTCTGTTACATTGGAAATATCATCAGCTCTTTCCAAGTTTACTTTAAAGTTCTTCAGCAGGATGTGATAAAAGACGGACGCCCTGGCATGACGTCTGTCTCCAGGCTTCTGACCAACAAGAGTCCTTCCAGACAAGGATTAGTCGGTTAGAGGTGAGACTTCCTGTCTGTGCCAGACACTGGGATGTTTGTTCGAACCTTTGTTGTGAGTTCCTTGGATCGTTTGAGCTCCTTAGACACCCAAATGTAGGCCGAAACACAACAGATCCTGACGTCAGTAATCATTTAGAGCCATGACTGCCAGGAGCCCAGCTGTATCTGGGATACAAATGAAAAACTAAGCTCTGGTCTGAGTCCCTGTTATGTTTCCATCTATCTGTATGAAGAAGGGGAGCTGACCTCTCTGTATCCTTCATTATACAGGAGCGGCATTTTGAAATGGCACACACGTGATGTGGCAGCTAAAGCTCACTGACCACCTGTTGCTCTCAGTGACCAGCCTCTACCAGGAGTATGTGTGCTCCGGTTGACAGTTCATACATGATTCACTGGATTTAATCAATAATGAATGATAAACATGCAAACAACGAGCTGGGTGTCATCCAACACGTAAACCTCCACAGACCTGATTAGTCCCAGAGTACTTTTGAGCGGCTGGAAGTGGAGACGAATCACGCCAGATTGGAAACTGAGAGACGGGGATGCAGCCTGTTTCTGCGCATTCTCCAGGGGGGTGGCTGGACCTTTGTACGAGACATGCTCCGGCTCTGCTGCATCCGTTGTGATTTGCAGGGCTTAGATGAGGGACAGATGGTCCAGGCACAGAATCTTGTCACACCCAATCGCCATCGTTTAGCCCTAAGTTTATTACCACCCACTGGTCTTCCAATTAACCTAATTACAAACAGTTGTTGCACTATCTTAGCCAGAGATAAGTGGGCTTGCACACAGTCCTCCGTGTGTGAGTGTTAATCCATGGCGAGCAGTGGGGTCGTGCTTCATCCCAGCGACATATGGTCGAGGTGGATATTTAAGAAGTGCGATTAGTCTCCAGTTTAAAAACTGACAAGAGGAGTAGGAGAAGTGATTAAAAGTCAGTTGATTGTGACTATCTACAAACAACGTTCCACAGTAACAGATTCTGTGACAACAGACCACAGGTGGTGTTAAAACCATCATCACATCAGTGCGTCACAATAACAGAATTGTTCCTGGCGTGGACGTCCCACACAGAAATGTGGTGGTGAAACAGAGAACATGACCTGTCTTTCATGCAGGAGTCCATATATATTGGGTATTTCTGAATCTTATCAGTAAAAGGAACAAGACATGTAATGAGAAATGTTTAGAACATATGCTATAAAAGTAAAGTAAAATATAGTTATAACAATCTGAATTCATTTTAGTACCACCAGTTTCACATATACTGCAAAGATCTGAAGTCAAGTTTCAACTTCTGGAATAAGTTTGATTAGTTTCTCTTGAACAAGCCAAGAATGTCACTCAGTTATTATGTTTTCATGCCAAATGAGGCCGGTAGGTAAACTAATCTAATGATTCGTCCCTATTGCTCCAAACAGTGTCCTAATCAAATCAAAATCATATCTTACAGTGAGGCTTTCAGAGAGATATTTGACTGATGTCCAACTAACAGAAAACATGCTTTTTGTGTTTTATTCTGTCATTATTTCTCTAAGCTTGTGGTCTTGCGGGTTTTTTGGAGAACCTTGTGCAGTTAGAATGAACAGAATACACACAGCATGCACAGGCTGAGGTAGAACAGGAGGATGATTTGTGCCTTTTGTGTTATCGTTTAAGTATATTTAAACTATACTATCGATTAACTTAATCAAAGACATGAACAGAACAACACGTTGACATCACAGCATTATTCTAAAGTTGTCACACTTCTGTTTTATTAGACCTATATATGATTCCAGTTGGAAACGTGCAGATTTACAGTTAATGAAGGTTGGAGTTCTTACCTTGGAGCTTGGGTTTCCACACTGAGTTGAAGTGTAGGTCCACCTCCTCACCCACTGATCAGATTGAGAGATTTACTCCAGAGGAGCGCTCAACTTGTTCTCTCACTCCTTCATGGTCTCTCCTCCCCCTTTTCTTTGGTTGATTCCTTCTTCTCAGAAGGCCCCGCCTTCCCAGACTTTTTAGCGCCCACGCTTCACTGTCACTTGCTGTCTGCAACAATTCTCAGACACATGTATGGAATCAAGTAGACCAAATTTTATAATCAACTATTTTAAAGTGACTTGCACATTAGAAATCACATCAAACAGCACATAACCGGTGCCCCCCCCTCCCCCCCGACTCGCAGCTCACCTACATCTCAGCAAGGGAGTAATTGGGCTTATTAATTCCTCGTGTGACTGACGTCCAGCGTTGCAGCGGAAGGACAGCAGATGGCCGCTTTGGGGTCAAAGACTAACAATGGAGGCAGCGTGTTGATCACAGGAAAGACAGGAATACTTACATTATAGATTACAGGTTCAGACACAATAGCAAGTGTGAGGGCAAGGTTACGTCTCTGAGATTCTCCTCAGTCGCCGCCGTGTACAAACACTGCAACACAAATACAAAACCCTTCTCCATTTTGTCTGTTTTTTTGTCTTACAATGCTTGATTGTGAGAATAGTTTTAACACGGCCATTCGCAGTTAAGGGTACATAGGTTAAAATACAGATAATCCAACATTAATGTGACAGCTGTTAGTGGATTAAAGAGGTGATTTTCTGCAGTAAATAAGGCTGGACTAGAATAGGACTGAAAGAGGACAGAGGTCCATGCCCTGACCCCGTCACGCCTGCTGTGTCTGCCTCCTCACATCTTAATTAGGTGGCCTGAGATTTCAGGAAGTGTCTGAATAGGTGATTGAAAAGTACCTGCTGTTTATTCAACGAGACTTTGTGAACATTAACTTGATCCGTTCGGTGTGTAACATTTAAGTGCGGTAATGTGGGAGGTATCTTTCACAGAGGAAAACTCTAACATTTAAATGTCTGTGAAATGTCAAGTTCCAAAAGTTGAACAAAGTGGGAGCAAAAGAGGTAAACATGTTATACTTGAAAATGTATTCTGAGAAAATAAAAACCTTTAGAAAAGAACTTATTTGTTTGCTTGTGCGCCTCTGGGTCAGCAGCATCAGTATAAGGCCTTTTCATTCGGGGTATTGGAAAACAGGTATGAATGGGGACCAGAGACCTAACAGCAGATGTGATGAGTGTGTCCAAACAGAGGAAATTTAACAGTACTGTTTGCCTCCAGGCAGGTTAACAAGCTATGATTATGTTGAGTTGCCAGTCTCCAAAGACAGAAAAACCCCAGAGTAACTTAGCAGGAAGTGAAGGTCTCTGGGGCTCATATAAAGTTCAAGAACAAAAGAGAACTCTGAACGATGTGATGAGGATGTCAGAGCGGCAAAGCGAGAGCCACGCTTCTCCCAAAAAAGTGTTGCTTCATGTTTGCAGTTTAACAGAGATCATATGAAGGAGACAGAGGGTTGCTGGGAAATGTTACGTCTGTACAAGAAGCTTTTCAAATTGATTGAATTGGTTTGCTTTGAATGAGATGTGAGAAACATTCCCGAATGAGAACCCGATCCCATCCATAAAACCTGGTGGTGGTTTCATGGTTAAGTCTTTCAGACAGCAAGCTATCATTGATGGAACAAAAAGTTGTGCATTTCAACAGGTAATTTACATGGAGGATTAGAGGGGGGGCGGCACGGTGGTGTGGTGGTTAGCACTGTCGCCTCCCAGCAAGAGGGTTCTGGGTTTGAATCCCGGGGGAACCAGGACCTTTCTGGGTGGAGTTTGCATGTTCTCCCTGTGTCTGCGTGGGTTCTCTCCGGGTTCTCCGGCTTCCTCCCACAGTCCAAAAACCTGCATGTTAGGCTGATTGGAGATTGGGGAAATTGCCCTTAGGAGTGAATGTGAGTGTGAGTGGTTGTTTGTCCTTGTATGTCCTGTGTGTGGCCCTGCGATGGACTGGTGGACTGTCCAGGGTGTACCCTGCCTCTCGCCCGTTGACCACTGGGATAGGCTCCAGTTCCCCCCGCGACCCCAACAGGGAATAAGCGGTATTGATAATGGATGGATGGATGGATGGATTAGAGGGGTTAAATAAAACAATGTTTTGGCCAAGCCCAGAAAATCTTAAAAGTTAATTACAAGAAAGCCACCGACATCCTGAGGTCAAAGCTTTGAAATTTCTAGAAATATTCACACTTGGTAAAAATATCTGGCCTTGTTGTTCCCTGAGACAAGCAGTTTAAATGGTGCATTTAATGAGAAATGTGACTGGACAGTTAAAAAACTTGAAATGTTTTCCTTCTAGCTCTGAAGACGGGCTGAATGATTTGCATTTAGACCAACCAAAACACCTCAGTTTGTGATGATGAGAAAGCTGAGGACGAGCCCTGTTTTCATTACTGTTAAATAGGCCGGTGCGTGCCGGGCTCCCGTGCCTGTCAATCTGCTTAGCGTGTGTAAATAAGGCCCTTTGGGAGTGAGCACACACCAACAGCTTTACAGCTCAGATCCGAGGACACGAGACCACAAATGTTGCAGAGTTCCCCGGGACACTCGACCGAGTGACCTGGAACCCCACAGAGCATGCCGGGTCGCTCCGCTGTGGAAGGAGGTCACACGTTTGAGCCCAGGTGTCTTCCAGACTACTTTTCCCCGGCAGAAAAAAAACAACACGCCGATGTAGTTTTTCCCATTCTGTTCTGAAAAAAAGAAGTGAAACTTCTGCACTATGTCTGAGTTTTAGATGAGCAGCTGGTGTCTGACCAATGGCAGCACCTCATGAGGAAATGCCTGATAGAGCAGCTCTGACGGACTTCCTGGTGAATTAGCATTTTTTGGTCGTCGATACAGAAGTTTGGCAACTCGGTGGGACGTTGCAGTCTGCACTTGTTAGGCCACACGTGCTAGGGGTTCAGATCCGTGGAGGAGATGTGCTGCAGGAAGTGATGTCACTGCATCGCCACCTCCTGGGAGAATCCTACAACTGCATGACTCAGGCCTCAGTTTTACTTGGGTTCAGAAAAGAAGTTACAGTCATCAGCAAGTTGCTTTGTCCACATGTTTGAATTCAGTTGTCATGATTCCTTCATGTTCTGTATCAGCTATGATTATCATTATGCCTGTGTGGTATCATGTGTCGTATCTTTTTCTTCTTGTTCTCTCCTGTATTTCTCAGGCAAACATTGCACTTTGTACTACCCTTACTTTATCAGTTACTCATTTTTGTATATCTGGATGAAAACGTTTACTGAAGTCTTTTTCACTGCTTTACTTAACTGCCAGATCATTCAAAAATAGATGTTCTACATCTGTGTGAAGTGCAAATATTTGTGTAAAAGCAGGCATGTGGACACATGTGGTGCCTCTCTAACTATATAAGTGCAGTGGGTTATTAAGTTCAGGATTTCAGTTGTAAAACGTTAAGTAAAGAGATCTAAATGAATGTATCAGCTGAATATTTCCGTTCCTAATTCCAGTCCATGAAGAAATTACATCAGATTAACTAAACTGGGCAGATCTTTCACATCATTCAGACTTTCGTGTTGACTATTAAACGTGGATTTATGAATAAAGTGTACACAGTAGCAGAAAAGAGAACGGCTTTGGTGTAATGAAGCCTGTCCTGATAGTGCAGGATACTTAAAAAAATGCAGATGCAGCACATCTGTAAATCCTTCATGTCAACCAGAACTCTGCTGACTTTTTTTGATGGACTTCAAGCCGTCCACTGTGTTTCTTACTTTAGTCTCCCATTTGTGCTGGGTTTATTGCAGCAAATGAAAGGCCTGGCTGTGTCCATGCAGGGCCTCCTCCACCGCCTCCTCCTGTGAGAATGGGGAGCAGGAATGTGTGATGGGCCGGGTGTATGTGGGCCAGCGCCGGGCCTGCCTGTGCCACTCGGTCTGTGGTTTAAAAAGTTCAAGTCATTATTCTCCTCCTGCTGCTATTCAGACGGAGTCCTGTTGGCTCATTGTTATTCTGCCCGAGTGAGAAAGGGACTTTGGAGAATGGGAGGCTGAGAGCGCTTTCCAACGGCGGGGAGCTGGTTGCGCTGGTGGAGCTGGTGCTGGTTTTTTCTGGCAGCTTTTCTGCGGGCATGAGGGCACGTCCGTAATCGGCTCAGTAATGAGGAAAGGTACTGAACGGCACCGAATATCTGACCCCGATTGCTGGGAGTGAGGAGAGGCACAGGGAGAGAGAAAAGAAAAGGAGAGAGGGCCATGTGAAAGAAGGGGGGCGGAGGGGAGGTGAGATTTAGTGCTCTGCAGGATGAAACAACCCCCCACTAACTAACGGAGAGGGGAAAGTAGCCTAATAGGAAGAAAAGAGGGGGTGTTGTACTGTTCATTAACGCTGAAAGACGCGCAGGAAGCCTTTTCCCCCCCGTTTCCCACAATGAGCCCAGAAAAAGGTAAGTAACCTCTCCTTCTTTTTTGCGTGGCTTAATTATAACTTAATGTTACACAAGTTCTGAGAATTGCAGATCAACAGGTAGCCTCTCGTGGGAAGAACCCCGAGGCCAAATGACAGTGTGCAGTTTTCATCAATCAGGCTAAAACTCCACTGCGCGAAGAACTCATTTGTTCGCAGTTCTAAAAACAGGTTGCAGAGTTTGGACACTTTCTTTGTGCGTTCTCTCACGCAGCCCGAAAGCTTCGTGCAAATGTTCAATTGAAAGATAATGTGATTGAAAAGTAAGTGCGGATTTTACCAGATGTTTCAATAGATTTAACAGTTCGAATGACACGATTTTTGCCAAAAAACAAAATGCATCCCTGCAAAAGTCATAATCCATGCTCATCTCGCATAGATTTCTTTTGATTGGATTTTGTTTTTGTGTGTGTTTTAAAACTGTTTTAGTGACAACAATTTTATTTTTCTTTTGGGAATAAATTATAAGGGGTGAAACCACATGAATGCATCTTCTGTATCAGTTCCCAACCACCTGCAGACCTTTCCTGTTGCATCCTGAAACAAGCAGCACTTTATTTCTCAGATTTAACCCTGACTACGCTCGAATATTCACGCTTCATCTATCTTGCCAGACTGCACACAGCAATGGAGGACCACATAAGAGGGAGAAAGCTAGAACAAAGCTCTCACTTCTCTGTCCTCTGTCCCCCCTGACAAATTACAGACTTCACCAGGGTGGCCTTAATGAGCGAGAGTCTGGAAATGTTTTCGTTCTGTCATATAGCATTAGTTGATCTGGGTCAACGTTTCCCTGTAATCTCGCTGTGATAACAAAGGAGGGCTGCGCAGGGAAAACCAACTCCTTTGCCATTAAATCCAGTTTGGAAATCCTCTGACCCTGGAGCAGTTCCTCTCTTGATGGTCCCCTTTGCCGAGGAAACGTTGCTGTCGCGTGTTTATTCAGTGCTCTGACACCTGTGACTCAGACTGGAGGAGTCCATTGTTCTTATCTGGAATGGCGAAACTTGTCTGGCACACAAATCTTGGAGAAATATTTGGGTTGGTGTTATGTTTTGAAGTGATAGTGTCGCAACTTGTGATTGGACCCATGTGAAAATAACACTGGGGCTGCCCTTAGACAAAACCCAAGATGGTCCTCATCACATGTTGTGATGGGAGAGGCATCGGCCTTAAAAGCCCTCCCAGTTAAATCCTTCCCTTTCAAACATTCAGGGAAAACACCACCGCTTAGTCAAGTGCAGAATGAGGGTTTGATAACGTCCTCTCAGTCAAGGCGATGGGGACTCCATTGGTTCGCTGGGATTGTTGATGTAATCAGTTCAGTTTAATTTATTGCGAAGAATCCATCTTCCCTCCATCTCTTTTGATCCGGGCCTGTCTTCATCTGTTCCTTTTTAGGTGATTCTAGGTGAAGTTTAGAGGGGGGAGCGGCCGACGGAGGGGACGATACAAACACACGCAGCGGCAGGAAACTTCTGTTGAGAGAAAAATGTCTCGAACCGAAGAGGTGAACAAGATGACAGAAAACGTGTACAAGGTAAAACTGGCGTGCCTGTTCATCATCTGCCGATGAAGGTGTGGAAGAACTTATATGTGTGTAACTTCCAACAGGGGATTCTGGACCAGTTCAACCCCAGTCTGAAGAATTTTGTGGCCATGGGGAAACACTACGAGAAAGCCCTGACAGGTCAGTGACATGTGTGCAGACGCAGCTGTCTTTCAGTTCTTCCTTATGCCTCATGCTTTCTTACGTTTCTTCAGGAGTGACCGTGGCTGCTAAAGGGTACTTTGACGCCCTGGTGAAACTTGGAGAGCTGGCGAGCGACAGCCAGGGCTCCAAGGAGCTGGGTGAGTGGGCGTCTGCTAGGGGAAGGGACAGAGTGGAGTTTGAAACAAGCACGCGTTCCCCTCAGACCTTCTGAAGTTTATAGAGTGAACGCGACAGCTGGCCTGAAGTGGAAAATGGTCTGTGAGCGCGTTGCATGCGCTTGTGAGCACGCAGATGAAGACAAGAGGGGATGAGGAAATGTAGAGGCACAGAACAGAGAGAAACGGAGAGAGTAGGGCCATTGTTGGGAGATTAACAACACCACATGATCTCATTGTAATGCTGAAAACGGCGGGGGAGGCAGGCAGGAGTGTCGGAGGGCGAGATGCCAGATACCACATACTACAGCGCTGTGTGACCGAGGGAGGGACCGCCGCTTTGTAAAGCAGAAACTGTGTCAAAGCAGCACGTTTTATGATAATTCATTAGCTTGTTTTGCGTGTTTGATACGGAAGGCCCTTCAATTATGTGCACTTTTTCAGGATGGTAGCTTTTAGGTCCCCCCCAAACTTATTTTAAGGGTGCACTTCAACAAAAGCAAAAAAAAAAAAAGCAGAAAGTGATGGGGTGCTGATGGTGTCCCTGCTGTGCTGCTCCCCACAGGAGACACACTGTTTCAGATGGCCGAGGTGCACCGGCAGATTCAGGTGCAGCTGGAAGACGTGGTAAGACCGGCGCCCGCATGATCATTTATGGGACATTAGAAGACATTTTATCCTTATTTATCTGTATACTGCCATTGCAATGCATCCCACACATGATCGTTCGCTGAATCTTTAATGGATGATGTGAACTGTTTCATCCACAGTTGAAGCTGTTTCATTCGGAGATGCTCGCTCAGCTGGAGCAGAAGCTTGAGCTGGACATCAAATACCTCACAGTGAGTTTACATCATGATGTTCATGTTTTGAACGAGAAAGAGAGTGGTTGAACAATTATGATCATGAAGAACCACACTTTATAAGACTGGAATGTAAAAAGGTATAAAGTATATTTATACAAAACCCATTTCAAATAGTCTAAATTATTAAATATTAATGTAAAAAAAAGGGCGGGTTATTTATGTCTTTAAAGGTATTATGGTGGAATGGGTGGAACAGGACTGAAATAGTAAAAAAGGGATTTCAAAATAACATTGTTAACAAATGCAAATGAGCAAATTTTTTACTTCATATAGACAATAACGGAAAGCCGTTCAAATAAAAAAAAAAAAAAAAAAAAACGCATAGCCATGTCTTTTCCTTTCATTTTTGTGTGTCAACCAATGTTTTACTGTAAAAGAAGTTGTTCACAACAATAACAAAAAGATTCTCATCCATAAACCTGCCGCGACGCCTCCAGGCCGTAGCCCTAAGAAGGAAATGATGGGGAACTACACAGATAAAAGGTGTCCTTTTTGGAAAAGAGTTTGAATGCTTCCTTAATTATTTCCTTTAGGATATATAGGATACACTGATAATCCTTTCTAAGTGAAAGTAAATAATTCTTTCCCACATACAGCTGCTACTTTAACACTGATGCTCTGTTATATCTGTCCAGTCGTGTACTTCAACCATCTTTCCTGAACTCTGTGACATTTTAAACAACGTCAAGGAAAAGAGCTTAGGAAAGGATGGAAGTGGGTTATTTTGGTGTTGGGGATGTTGGTTAGATTGGTGTTTGCCCAAGCTTCTACAGATAAGCCTCTGCGACTTTAAAACGTAAAGTAAAACGTGTCAACCAGAGTCAGGAAACCCCTCTTTGGGAAAAACGAGGAAAACTTTGTGGAAAATGTCTGATCTTTCGGTAACTCACCGATTCGAAAAGCACATCCAAAAGAAAAAGGGTGATTAAACATACCAAACCTTTGGAGAGAGCAGTAACCACAAAAAAAAACACAAGATTCCTGCTAAATTGAAAGAGCTAAAAAACATAGTCAGGACAAAGAAACTATGAGTTGAAAGAAGGCTGGAAGAGTTGTCTATAGAAAATATTTAGAGGTTGTAATTTTGCAGCCACAGAACTGTTTGGGGTGTATCTCATGTCAGGAGTGTTTGTTAAATCAAATGACAGCCACTGTTGGTGTTTTTCTCATCAGCTTTTAGATATTCTATGCAATTTTAACAGGTTTGCAACACTAATAGGTTTGACTAACCAGCAAATTTGTCCATGAATATCAATGCAGATCATGAATTATTTCAGTCTAGTGTTGTGTTTGACTTCTACATCTGCCTTTCTCTCAGGCCACCCTGAAGAAGTATCAGAGTGAGCGAAGGTCTCAGTCTGAGTCAATCGAGCGCTGTCAGTCTCAGCTAAAGAAACTCCGCCGGAAGAGCCAGGGCAGCCGCCACCCAAACAAATATGGTGACAGAGAGATGCAGGTAACTTAAATTTAAAGCCCAACCTGTGTTGAATTAGACGCATGTGATTCAAAAGCCGGAACATGATGACGTTTCATTTGAAAAATCCTTCAAATACATGGATCCTAAACATCTCACTGGGCATTTCAGCAGATTAAAGAGCATTTGTGGGAGAAATAGGCCAGTGTGAATGAGATTAAAGAACAATCTGCCTCAGCTGATTTTACAAGGAACAAGAAACTTACTGCAAAACCTCCCTCTGAAAGAAATGTGAATGATATAAGAGGATGAGAGGATTTGGCCTTTAAAAGTTCACGGATACCTTTAAAAGAAAGGCCACCGGGCTACAGGACAGCATTTATGGTTCTGATTCTGTTATCACAGGGCAACAGGCAGGAAATGAGGTCACCAATCCCTTCCTGTCTCCATACTGTTAACATGAAAGGTCACGCTATCTTTGGTACTGTGCAAGCGGTTTGAAACGCTTCTTTTGAAGTCAACGTTTGGGCCTCTTCCCTCAGTTTGTGGAGCTGATGAGTCGTCGCCAAGGCGAGCTGGATACACTGGTTGCCACTGGTTACAAATCTGCGCTCACTGAAGAGAGGAGGCGGTACTGCTTCCTGGTGGACAGACAGTGCTGTGTCACCAAACTGCTCATAAACTACCACACCAAGGTGATGCCCTCACATTTTTATGTTCCGTATTTCTCTTCCTGTTTGAAAATGAGTGGAAACTTCAAACTAACTTCTAACAAGCATAAGCAGTCAGAGGTTATACACATCAGGGTATGTATTTATACAATTATTTAAAAAATGGTAGAATTAGATTAATTCTTCCATAAAAGAAAAACAGTGTATGAAAAACCCTTTCTATTAAGAACTTGTCATGGGGAATTAAGAGGATAAATACATGTGTCTGATTAGGCAGCACTAATCAGTAAGTGTAAACACCCCATAAAAGCTCTGTGTTTAGCATGAGGACAAAGAGCCAGTTGTTGTTGTCCATCAATCTACGAACGACTTCTGCAACCATGTCCTGTGGAAGGACCAGACCATAGATGGATATCTGCTCACAAAGCACCGCAGAATGTTTGGAGAAAGCTGGAAATCCCAGGGGTGGATGATTTAGTAATGCAATCAGATTTGCAACAACTCTTTTGAACTATTGCATTTTTCACACCATAATGTTGGTAGCTAAAATCAATAAAACTGACACTCCTGTGCCTTACATATCACGTTTGTGCAGGTAAAATCTTTCAGTTTGAACATTTAAATGAAGACAGACACTACAAGTATGGTTCTGTAAATATGCATCTATATTTCTAAACTAAGATTATGTCGAATGGATTTCAAATAAATCTTCAAATTTGTTTTGCCACCTGCAGAAAATAGTTTGTAGCCAGTCTTATGTGTTACAGAAATTTGAGGGAACTACTTCGCTGACGTAAGAAAGTGTAATGTGAAAAAATGTGGTCAAATTCTAGCCTCAGCGGTACTGTTCTTAATGTCTTTTCCACCTTTGCATGCACTGCAGGTGAGAGAGCTCCTGTCACAGAAACTGTCATCGTGGCAGCAGTCGTGTTCTCAGCCAACCAAGCTCCCGGAGCGCGCCCTCAACCTGCTGCGTCACACAGCGCCCCACGGCCCAGGGGCTGCTGGGATAGCCGAGGTCCTCCGCCACACCAAGCTGGGCTCAGCGCAGCCCGAGCAGGTCGGCACCTTCAAAAGGCCACCACTTCATCCACATTTCACATGAGCTCTTCCCCATGAGTCGAGACCCTAAATGAATTAGTTATTGACTTTACAAAGCAAAAGGGTTTAAGACTCACACTGACAAATCATGATAACCCCTATATTTGTGATTCATTTTGGGCTCAGGCCCTGTGTCATGTGACTTGTTTGCTCAGTGACTCAAACCTCAAAACTTCTTGCTATTACTGGGGCTTACATGGCTGCTTTCTTGATTCTTGTTTTCCAGAGGCTCTCTGTTCAGGAAGTGCCTCCTCTGCTGAACGGAGACTCCAGTCGCTCCCAGCAGCAACGCTCGCTTCCATCCTCCTCCTCCCAGAGCGACAGCGGCCCTCCTCAGGGCTCCCCTCAGACTTTCCACTCCTCTTCCTCCACCGGAGGACCTGCCGCCGGCTCCTCCAGAGGAGCGTCTCCTCAGCACGCCAGCACGCCCCTCGGCGCCTCGGCCGGCCCCCCCGCCGACGGCAGCGACAGCGCCGGCGCCAGCCCGGGCGCCTCCACCCCCACCACCACCTCCAGCAGCGGCTCTGGCCAGCAGGGCTCTCTCCTCCTGGCCACTAACACCTCCAACCTCTCCCCGAGCCTCATCCCCTCCACGGTGATGTCGCTCAGCCACATCTCGCCGGCCGGCGGCGCCCTGCACGGCGTGACCCTCCCCATCGCCCACAGCGCTCCCCACAGCCCGCCGCTGTCCCACAGCGCTCCGCTCTCCAGGGCCATCACCCCGGTGCAGCTGCTGCACCAGCAGGTGGGGCCGGGGGGGAGCAGCGCGCTGTCCCCGTCCCACAACCCGTGGCTGCTGAAGGCCGGCGACATGTGCGCGACGGCGACCCTCCCCCTGCCCAGGAGACCGGTCAGCGAGATGAGGCTGGGCGGCTTTCAGGGTGGGAAGCGCTGCGGCGTACTCCTTCGTTTGGCCCCCATCGTCGACCCGGCTCCTCACATTCTCTCATTTGACCTGTCAACGTAGGCTCCAGTCTGCCCAGGATGATGCCTCTGTCTGGACTTACCCGCGTGGAGGCCGTGTTTCCTCACACGCCCGGAGCCTCAGAAGCCGGCGGTGGCCACATAGGGGGCGGAGCCTGCTTGCTTCACTTCCAACCTGGTGACAACATCACCTTGCTCATCTCTGAGCCCAGGGACGGATGGCATTATGGCCAGAACGAACGGACTGGAAGGTAATATTTTAGTTGTTTTCTTTTATTGGAAAACTCCAATACCGGTCATAGCACACTCTTTAGCTTAACTCAAGTTTGAAGTTGCTTTTTCATACAGTCAAACTTTTCCTCATAGGAAAGGCTGGTTCCCTTTCTCCTACACCCAGCCCCAACATGGCAAGAAGGATCACCTGGAAGGGTAAGAGGGGCCAAATGCCTAAATAACACTGTTATATCCACATCTGTCTTTAGTGGTTTGTAGTTTTTGTGTTTAATTCATATCAGACTTGAGCTGGGTTAAGACAGTCTTTTGCCTTTTCCATCAGTTTTTTCCCCATAGATCTCTTCATTCTCTACCAGCCATAAGTGCAGAAAACCAGGCTGCTGGCCTCAACATTTTCCACGAGCTTTTCCCAGCTTCACTTTCCAACACCAACAATGTTGTTGAGTCCAGGAAAGCAATCAAACTCACTCAAGATCAACACTCCTGCATTCTCATCTTGCTTCCTCGATCTTTTCTTTCCTCTTTGCAGCTCCCTCTTCTTATCTAGGGCGAACAGCACCAGCACCGGACAGCTCGACAAGCTAGTGTGTCCAGGTCTCCCGGCCCTCACCCCCGAGTCAGAGGAGGAGCGCTCCCTTCCTCCCCAGAGGGTCAGCACCTTCCGCCCGCGCCCCTACAGCATGGCCGACAGCAACAAGGTCAGAAACTCGAAACTCTGGGACGACCTGGAGGATTAGGGTCACCGTGTCCTAACAGCTTACTGTTGACACGGCAAACATGAAGAGTTTCAAGGGTTTTGTAATAACGGGAGTTTCATTCAAATAACCCCCTCCCCTCTGCATTGCAGATTACATCAGAGTTGGCCTCTCCACCACCTTCACCAACAAGGTAATTCTCTAGGAGCTTTCTACTTAAATGACCATTCCACCAACTTTAATGTTTGTCTGCTCATTTTTTTCATGGATAGAAAAAGCAGTTGAAGCTCTTTAAAGCTTTGATTGCATTCGTTTATTTATCCTCCTGAGACACTGCGTCCTCATAAGAGGACATTCCATTCTTTTGTAAAGATAAACCCACTGAGCCTATAACAACAATTTACTAGGTCCTACTAATCCCATATATAAAAAAAATATAAAAAAATGCACGTCTAATAAAAGCTTGGGTCTCAACAGGTTATATAATGTATCTAATAGTTTTCTTTCTTGATAATAGACTAGAGAAGAACTCACTTGTTATAACTTTAAAAAAGATCATTCTCCACCTTTCCCTGATCTGAGCACACATGTTCATTGAAAATGGTTCAAGGACGGACTTCCTTAAAGGCTGATGCTCTCTATTTCTAGTAAAATCGACGTGAGCTCTTTGAAATCACTGTGAAATGTTCTCTGTTGCTCAGCAGGACCTTTGTCAGTCTGTGAGGTGGTTTATAAAAAGTGTACAAACTGCAGCTCAAATGGACTGTGGGCTTTGGGGTACACAGTGAGAGCCATTCAGTAATTTAGCAAGTCAAAGAGCTCAAGTTTAGTTAAAGTGGCTGCTGAGGTTTTATTCAAAGGTTTCAGACAAGGAGCCACTTTGGAGCTCTTGCATAAGTCTGAAATGCCACATAGAAAGAAATTCCTTTAACATAAACTGAGATTGCATATCTGCTCCTTCCTCCTCACAGGCCTAATCCATTTGGTCACATTCGACTCAGAAAGACGGTCACCAACGATCGGTCAGCTCCCATCATTGAGTGAGTCCTGCTCTCTGTGGACCGTCAGTCCATCAGTCCTCAGGCTGGGACTCCGACCTGTTTTTGTAGTCGTGATTCACTGTGGATGTTCTGTTTCTCATCTAATCATTTAGGGTTTGTGTTTCATGTGCAGAAGAAGAGTGACAATTATTTACAAAATAATTATTTGTGCTTTATACTTTGAGGCTGTTAGCGATATAGCATAGAATACTGTATCACCTGAGGATTCACCATCAGAAAAAGCAGGGCATTAAGTTATAACAAAGGTAGGGTCTTTTTTGGGGGGGTGTTTGAGACCGTCATACGGTGTCTTTCTCATCCAAAATAATTAACATTTTCTGATTGGTTTTGACCTGTTCCTCTTTATACCTGTACTTGTTCTTTATGTTTCATATCCACAGAATGGTTCCTTTTTTCCAGCTGATTCTGGGACTGGGTCCTATAATAACAGGTTGTACGGTTATGAGACATTAATGGAAGAGGACAGGTTCCTTCTGTACAACAGTATTATATATATATTTTAAAAAGCTGCCACGCTGGTTTCATGAAGGAAAAAAAAGGTCTGTTTTGATTCCAAATTTTGGTTGTTTAGATGATACGCTGCTCACATGTTAATTGAGTTAATTTTGTGTCTCTTTGATTTGATTTGCTGTACGCTTTTTGCATACCAGGTCAATCTTTCAGTTAATAATAATTCTGCTGCTGTCATATGATCTGTTTGTAACTATTGGTTATTGGGTTACTGTTTTCTCAGTCTGAAAATGCAAAGAAACTACCTTAATTTGTGTAACTGAAGTGTCATTTTCTTTGTGGGATAACGGGGTGAAAAAATACAACTCAAACAAAGTTGATAAACGTACCACACTGTGAGAGATAAAACAGCTGTATTTATGGACAGTGGTTTTATGAAAAGAATTGTATTTTTAGAAAGTAGTGTGTTGTTGAAGGTTCAAATGAGAGTCTTATATAAAAAAAGAAGTTTCCATGCATCATCTTTGGATTTGATGTCTTCTCGATTCCCTTTCAGTCCCAAATCCAGAGCTGTTCACCATCTAGGCTAGTCGATTGTAGCTGTGTGGATCAGACAGATGTGAAAGCCAAGGCAGACGACAGGATCAGGTTCTCTGGGGAAACGAGTCAGTGAAAGTGATGAAGAAAGCTATGGGGAAGTGGATCAATGTGTGAGCAAGTGTTTGTGGTAAACAATAAACATTCGAAGTAATATTTTGTAGTGAAGCGAAGTATATAAATAAGATATTGTCACAAATTGAATTGCTTAATGTTTCTCACGCAGCTCTTTATCTTTTAAAGGTTTTAGAGAATCATTCCTAACAGCAAATCCTGTGTATTGCTCTGTGGTGTCATTAATAAATGTAACCTGATGTTTGTCTATGCTTGTAAATAGTGCTGAAAATGCATGTGATTGACAGCTGTGTGAAATATTTCACTTTGGTGGAACATTTTGACTTGGTCATGGTGCAGGGGAAGCGTTTGAAACTGGAAACGCCTCGTAACTGACAGCAGTGAATTTTGCTCACTTCTCGGACACGCTGTGCATCCAGTCACAAACTTCTTGCTGCTGTGATTTAATCTGTGTTTTGAATAGAGAGTAATGCTGATTTGTGTCAACTTTCAATTAAATTACAGAAATGTGTGGCTGTCAGATTATAAAATAAATTGCTTTATAGTACACTAGTGTCTATTATGTACTCCTGTAGTCTGTAACCAGTCAGCTTGAATCTAGATGAGGTTCCTATTGGCTTATACTGTATATGTTTCCCCACATGCGCCATCAGATTAATGGGATTGTCATTGTGATAATCACAGCTGTATATTCATAATCTTCCACTAAAGTGAAATATTGTTTAAACAGTAGACACCATTTCATACACAGGTCTGCAGATCTGTGGATGAGAAAAATGGAGTGCAGTGAACTGACCGTGGCTCTTGTATTAATATAAAGATCCAATGATATGACGACGAACACTGCTGAGAAGCAGCGGTGCACTGAATGTTTACATATCAAATAAAAACCCTTCAAAGGAATTAATCAGGGGTTTGTTGGATTCAGCAAAGTGAAATTCCCGCATGTTTTACCAGCACATTTACAGAGGGATTGGAGGCTTCATGCTCAGGAAGTGATCGTGGGACACAGAGGATGCAAAGTACACCTGTCAAAAATGCATTTTGCACCCTACCCAGCGATGTTTTTGCTTATTCTACTGAGTTGTGCAGCTGCCTCTTCTGTCTTATGCAAGTTCGAACATGTTTCTATGCAAAAAGGAATTTGTTTTTCCAACAGCCTTAATCTGATTACTGCCTTTCCAAACTAAGCTTTCTGTGACGGATCACAACCGAGTGGAAGCTTAGTTTTTAAACCGCTCACGTTTTTTTAAAAACAAACATTAAGTTAACCATTAAGAGCAGACGGATGTGGTTAAATTAATTCAAAAGTCTGGTTATTATTTAAATTTCAAGTCATTTAAAGTTTGTGTAGAGATTTTATTTTTGCCTTATTCTCAATTGTAAAATGTAGGGAGAGTGAAATGCATGTTTGTAGTAAAGAGATAATTAAATCACTTGTATTGAATGTATTTGATTAGCAAATAAAGCTGCTTCTGAACTGCAGCCGTGATGGGAGACGTCGTGGATGTTTGATACGTGTTCATCCTCACTGAAGTTTGATGAGACTACAGGTTGTGGGCTCTGCTCAACCAGGCAAAACACAAAACACGTCTCTACTGTGCCCTTAAGTGTGTGGAATAAGTACATGAGACAAAAAATTGAATTAAATAGAATCTTTACTGTGAGACAATGACAACTGGGGCAACCAAGCAGGCAGATACGAACAAGAGGAGCAATGTGTGCACTGATTGTGAGAACAGGAAGTTATAGCTTTTTAAGCCATTCTAAGTTGTTTCCTTTTGGTTCACATGGATGGGCTGGAACGTCGGGCATGCTTCCATCATCTCGCACAGGAACTACAACAGGACAATAAAGAGGAGAAGCTTTAATGCCAGATGTTTCCAGGTGTTTAAAACACATCAGCGATGGCCGTTTAAAAACAACCTGCTGTGAAATAACAGTGTTGTTTACCTGGATAGTTGTATGGCACCGCTGAGTTCAGCATTGCTGTGTATTTTGTAAATGGGCTGATGAATGGAAGAATGATACCTGAGGACATAGAGCAAATTAATTACACACTTGGGATATCATCACTGCATTGTTCACTGAACAAAGTCTCCACTACAGCTCACACAGCAGAAACAACCAAGGAGAAATCTCACACAAAATGAGCAGAAATACTTTGAATTCTAGGGGCTAAAAAGTAATTGCTAAAAAAGTTGGCCGTTAAAGTGGTCATACACTTTTAGAAATCTTATCATATTTGCTCAGACCACCCGGACTTCCCAACACCTTTACCCATCAAACAGCTGATTTTTATGATTCTCAAGACTTGGCTCATGCCTTTGACCTGCTTTAATTTTCTGTTATTATCACAAACGTAGGTTTGTGTGTGTTTTTATTTTTTAGAAATACTGTGCTTTAATTCACAACATTTAGGAAGCTTCTATAAGCTTCTGAGAACGGAAAACACCACAGTTGTCTGCTGGAATAAGGATTTTAGCAGCACAGCAGTTTGGGCTTCTTTTGAGGTGTTATTCTTGTTATGTTGCATTAAATATACAACTCAATCCTACTAGTACTCAATCCTTTTTTCTATCACATAGTGATGTAAATGTCACCAGCTTTACTTCTGCCACGCTTTTGTTTGTACAACACTGCAACTTAACTGTTGCTATAAAAATGACAGCTTTGTGCTGTTTTTTCGTGGCTTTTGACAAACTGTCACGTCTCTGATGGCCCTTTTCCACATTGCTGATTTCCTAGCTATGACTTACATTTGTATTATTCTAATTCAGCCAAGGAGTTTAAATTACCGTAAAAACATTTACAAATTAATCGATTAATTTGGATTGAACAGAAGAAAGCTGAGGCTAAAAAAGTCACTTGCATGCGACGATTTTCTAAATTAGCTACATTTGGGAGTCTGCTTTCTTACCGAAAAGTCCGATGCCACAGGAAGCCGTGATAACAGGCTCCTTATTCCACATATTTTTTAGGAAGGCTCCGATTGCTGCAGGACAAAATGAACAACCAAGTTAAAAGCCACCACATCTCATAAGCTACGTTTGCCTAGCTAATGGCTAACATTAGCAACACATCCAAGGTCACTTTTCCCCCCCATTTCGTTTTTAGTAGATATCGTTGTTTTCAAGTCATTATAAAACTCAAGTTTAATATTTTACAACTTTCAATTTCCTTGTCTATGCTTCCAGAAGGTCTTGGGAAAGCTAACTTATCTGAAAAGATGTCCAAAAGAGACCAAATATACGAGTACCTGCCATATTGTCTCGAGTTGTTTCAAGTCGAAGGGGTGCTCATGGGAAATGTAGTCAGCATTAACGGACGTATAATTCCTGCGCCCGCGTCGCACGTAAACAAAAGTGTGGGCTTCCCGAAGCTAACCTCACGGTTTAGATCGGTATTATGTTAACATACTACCTTAGATAATTCTAGTGTTAAAAGTAGAGTCACATATAGTCTGGATAATATGAAACTATTATCGTGTGGGGTTTGAAGCCTCTACAGCCCAGCAGGATATAGTGTTTGACTACAAATCTCCTAAATGTAAGTGCTGTTATGATGTATTGGAATTGTCCTTTGTAAATCTACACAATATAACAATATTATTGCATTTGGCGTTCTGAAAAACGAGAAAGTAGAAATGTTAGGTAATATGTTTGTGTTTAGCTATCATGACTGCAAGTAATATCAAGGATAACATATTAAAAATGTTTCACGGTGAAGTCTGATTTTTTTTTCTGCAGATGATGGAAGATTTCTCAGGCCTGGCTCTGCCCCCTCTGTTTGGAGGACACATCCTCGAGGCAGAGCTGGAGCCTGGTGGTGTGGAGCTGGGACCAGGAGAGGTAATGATGCTGGAGGGGTCCCAACAGTTTGAGCTCTGTTCTCTGTCAGGAAGTCCAATATCCACTCCCCACATAGATCAGTCATAGATCTGAGGTCATTTTGTTTCCAAATTAAGATTTTACTAAATCAGCAAACTGCATTGTCGTGGAAGAGTGGTAATATTTAGACAGTGTGAGGATTGTAGAATCTTTTTAGTCATGGTGACAAAGACAAAATGGTGGCACTGGTCCATGATGGCTGGGATGTTGTTGATGTTCCGAAGAATCACTTATCAGTTATCAAGACAAGTTTCTGCGGCATAGGGTCATTTAGAGTGAACGCAGTAGTTTTTTTAGGTTCAGCTAGAATGATGGCTGTCCTAAAGCAAGGGGGCCGTACTCATTTAAGAGAGTGAGAGTGAGATGCCAATGGGAGAGGAATGTAATTATTAGGGCCTTCTAATAATCACCAAGAAGTATCCTTCTGACAGCGGTTACAAATTTTGTTTAGTTACAGTGTAATTAGCCAGAGAAAAAACAGAAAACTTGGTAAACAAAGGTAAATGTTTCCTTGTGTCAGGTTATTTATGGATTAGTTTCTTTTTTTATCTTTTAGTTTAGTTTTAGTTCTAAATGATATCCCCATGGAAGAATGTCCAACTTAATGTCCCGTTTCTGGGGTTTAGAGTTATATTATCAAAAGAAAGCACTTATTTCAGTAATGCAGTAGTTCTCACATTGGTGGGAAAATATTAAGAGAAACTAAAGAAAAATATGTTTGCTAATGCTATCATGCAGACATTTATTCCACTAAAATTCATCCTGGTTTAGTTTTATTGGCAGCTTCACTCCTTACATTACAGGCTTCACATCTTTACTGAATCTGTAACTTTCAGTGCTATGCAGTTGACATAACAGTTATTCTCTTAAAATCTTTCTAGCTTTCTTCCAAAATAAGCTTTTAATTTGCCAAAAGTCAGAAATGTCTCAGAATGGTGAGAATGTTTGTTTTGTCCTCCCTTCAGGTGGAGCTGGATGCGGGAGGCAACGAGCTTCTCGAGAGCACGGCACAAGAAGACGAAGAGAGGCGAGCTCTTGACAAAAGGAAATATCTGGCTCTGAGCAGGAGATGTAAAGAAATTGAGCAAGTATGTGTCAGCCTGTGTTTTTTGTATCTGGGTTATAGTGCTCATACTTCCTGTATGTGTTTCCTGTGAATTATAAGAGTTTTAACGGCTATGGTGACACTTAAAACGTGACTTTCTACATCATTTCTTGGGAAACAGTTTTTTTGGAAAACATTTCTTACATTTTTGTAGCTTAAGATCACTTAAATGGCATGTGTGATGGTTCTGTGGTTGTTTAGGCTAGATGACTCCATCCCTGATCATCTTGCATCCTCACCCACCTGTAATGTGTGTAAAACCTATGTTTCGTTTAGGTAAACCAGAAGATTCTGGGTCGCCTTCACCAAGTACAAAGAATTACACGACGCATGAAAAAAGAAAGGCGGTATTGATCTTTGTTAGATTACATTTTTATACATCAAACAAATACCTGTCCTCTTGAAAACTCATGTAACGTCTATTCTAATCCTCACAGGTTCCTCATGAAGACTTTAGATGCTCATGGGGATGACTACAGAAATGCCCAGCTCACAATACTGCTTGAGGTAGCCACAGTTTGAGCAGTAAGCTTATTGTACAGAAAATATAGAGAAAATATATTACTTTTTTCAAGTAACCGGACAAATATTTCAAATCATTAACTGCTTAAATGTTGAAACAATATACAGCATAGAACAATCTATATTATGACCGATGGATAATATTTAATGTTGATGGGTTATAGTGGCCATTCTGAAGAGAAATTCAGCCTCTGGGTCTATAAAATACATTTTTTTCAAATCAATATTGCGCACATGTCAAGCGTCTATTATATTACAATATCATAAGGAAGAGATGTATGGTTGTTGTTTTTTTATATAATAAGTTATAAAATCGTCAACATACCACCTCCATGTTTTTTACTGACAGACATATGTGACGTCTTGCAAAGGCTTACTTTGAATGTAGAGTTTTGGGAGTAAATAGATATTATCAAGCCTTATAGATGTCATTGATTAAGTGAAACATTACCCTGACACTTGTTTAAGGAGGAACATGGAGAGCACTTAGATCCTGCTGCTGGGATTGAGGATGAAAAGCTCAATGGCGTTTCCGGCTCAACTGCAGCGCTGCAACATGCTGCTGTGCCAAAGAAGAAGAGACACAGGATTCCTCGACAGGAGAAGGATAAAGACACACAGGTAGGTAGAAAACTGATGCTCTGTTGTTCTCTATTATAATGTTGACAGTATAGACTTAACAAGCCTTTTGACATGTGTCTGTGTGATTAATAATTTCCTTATCCCTGAATCTTCTTACTTTCTTAGATTGAACCAGACCTGTCGGTGTTGGCAGAGACACAGTTTGGAGAAATGCCCAGCCCAACCTCTCTGTCTCACTGAGCAGTGCCGTAGAGATGGTGACGACAGTGACATTAGAGCCTGTTTTCTTCAGATGTGTTATCGACAGCACAGACATTTGTCAGTCAGACTTTATACCGTTCCAAATCAAAAGTGTAAACAGATTGGATTCATACAAGGTTGTTATTGTTCCTTTGATACATGCATTTCATTCATTTTTTGTATTTTTTTGTTTTGATATTTTGTAGTGATACTTGACACAGACAATTATGACTTATGTAAAGTGTTGAGAACAATAATAGTTGCAGGAAAAACTCATGAAAACATTGAAAAATGCATTGATTTGCATCATTCAGTTGGTATTACTGATAATGTTATGTTATACACTGCATGCTTTGCTTACCTCTTATTTTAATTTCAAAGTAATCTTTTTGCTTTAAATAAAATCTGCTTAAACAATATTACCTTATCTTCAGTTAGCGTATTCCTGTGTTGAAGTATTTTTTCAAACTACAGTAGCCAAATCCATATTTTTGTTTCATGGTAATAATACAATTTTAGAGACTGTATGGTAAGTTGTCATGACAACATGATAGCTAAAGCAGATCTCTACAGAAAAATTATATGAAGACAGGTTAGAATGTGTGGTAAAAACATTCAGGATAGTGGCAGGACTACTGAAATCAAAACGTTAGCAGCAGTTTTGGCTTTGTGTCGGTCATAATTCATTTTAGTGCTGAACCAATGGTTGGTCCTTATTACGGCGGATGTCTCACATTGACAGGCGTGACTTCTATCCAATCGAGGTTGGTATACGCGGTTTAGGGCGGGGCTTAACAGCGGAGGTGGGATTTTAGCTACCGTCCATCTTCAGCTACACTATATTGAGCGAGCTTTTCGAAAAGAATACATATTTTGGAAGTGAAGAAGACTTTCTGGAGAAAGTTTTGGCTGTATTTGAAAAAAGACAAACGAAACCCCATACCCTAGGTAAATGTCGTACACAAGTATAAATCTAGATGGTTGTGTTGACCCAGTTTCCCTTTTTCCTAAATTTGGCTAGCTAAGCTGCTAGCTAGCATTTTTATGCATTAGCTAGCCAGGCAGTTAGCCCTGTTAGCTAGCATATACACGATTGAAACGAATTCTGATACACTGCGCCTTTTATAACGCAAAATCACTGTATCGGTCATATGCTGGACCCAAGATGATGATGCATCAATGCGAGATACATTAACATGAGCTGTGGCGCTTGTTTTGAAACGGGCGAGTAAGTAACCGTGCGAAGAGTACGAGCTAGGTAACATGCTAGCATTAACGTTAGCTCGTTAGCTTGCTAATTTTAGCTGACAACCATGTCTGTCACATTAGTAATTTTGCGGAGTTGCTTTATCTCCTGGAAATACAACGATACACTGGTGACCATATTCAAAGTTCGGATGAAATTGCTCATATACGCTGTGGCTGTGTTATTTGTGCGGCTAACATCAACCGGCCAGCTTGATGGAGTTAACGTCAGTTTGACTCGCTGCAAACGGATGTACTGATTCTCCTGTTGGAGGGATTTTGTTTTGTACTAACAGTGAATCGATACATGTGTGTTTTTCCTGCACAGCTAACGGTGTGACAGACGGAATGTGGACATCGTCGTAGTCAGAGCCATGGCTGACAAGAGAAAACTTCAAGGTAACAGTTGGGGAAGCTGTTTTACTGTATCAGGCACGCTGCCCAGCTTGCCATTGTACACCGAGCCTCACATTTCGCCTACCTGAGTGATCATTGTTTTTGTCAAGAGTTGTGAGGGATTTCTTGTTGTAACATGACTTAATGTGCAATGCAATTATACCACATTTCTACAGGTGAGATCGATAGATGTTTGAAAAAAGTAGCTGAGGGAGTGGAACAGTTTGAAGATATTTGGCAAAAGGTAAGTGATCGTGATTGATGATAGATGAAGCAGAAAATTATGCAACATCGTTGTTCATGAATCGTTTATGTATATTTCAGCTTCACAATGCAGCCAATGCAAACCAGAAGGAAAAATATGAGGCTGACCTCAAGAAAGAGATTAAAAAACTACAGGTAAGAGGTTCACAATGGCACTGTGGCATTTCATTTTCTAACTCTTATGATGATGTGTCAATGTTCCAAATGGCTTTGTTGTTTTAATGCTCACCTCCTGTGTTCTTTCAGCGATTGAGAGATCAGATAAAAACATGGGTGGCCTCAAACGAGATCAAAGACAAAAGGCAGCTAGTTGAGAACCGCAAACTTATAGAAACGGTATGGGCCTTTTGCGTTTAACTTTGCTTTATCTTTTGTGGTCATGTGTGTTCACATATACATTTTTACCGGGAGTAAGCTTGTCAGTATCTCTCTCAGGAGGATTCAGTTACTAATTCTTTTTTTTAATGATTTTATGATCACTTGAATTTTTCCAATCTTAACAGACTTGATCAGAACTGCATCCCTTCTGTTTTGTTGGTTATGAATATGACAAGTTTTGCCATTGCTATGTTCTGTACACTTTATCTTTGCAAAGTTAGGATGAAAACCACTTTATCTTTGCAAAGTTAGGATGAAAACAAAACCTTTTTAATCTTCTTTGCTTAGCAAATGGAGCGGTTCAAAGTGGTGGAACGTGAAACGAAAACAAAAGCCTACTCTAAAGAAGGCTTGGGGCTCGCTCAGAAGGTGGACCCAGCTCAGAGGGAAAAGGAGGAAACGGGACAGTGGCTAACAGTAAAACTCCTTCTGTTTTCTATCAGCTTTTACATTGCTCAGTCAGATTTGATTTATTTTCTTTTTCTGTTAGGGGGGAAATAGAAAGGTCTCAGAATAAATACAAAAGAAAATCGATTTCCTTAATGAATGTGTTATGAATGTTTCCTAAACTGTTACCACTCTTTCTCCTCCTACCTTCCTTTTCACCTGCAGAATACGATAGACACTCTAAATATGCAGGTGGATCAGTTTGAGAGTGAAGTGGAATCTCTTTCAGTCCAGACACGAAAGAAGAAGGGCGATAAAGAGGTTTGTTCCGGCTTCTCCTCTTTTTCTACAGGAGGCAAATACCACTGTTACTACCTTGTACAGTCTTAAACATGTTATTATATAACATGCCTGTTCTATTTTCTTCATAGAAGCAAGATCGTATTGAAGAGCTCAAGCGACTGATTGAGAGACATAGATACCACATTCGCATGTTGGAGACCATTTTGCGAATGCTTGACAATGACTCTATACCAGTGGATGCAATTCAAAAGATCAAGGATGATGTGGAGTACTACATCGATTCCTCCCAAGATCCGGACTTTGAGGAGAATGAGTTCCTGTATGATGACTTGGACTTGGAGGACATCCGTGAGTAGACACATTAAAAAGGGGCTTTAGTTTTTTCAGGTGGCTGACACATTGGGGGTTTTTGTCTTCCTATTTGTCTTTTTTAGCTGCAGCATTAGTCGCAACTTCTCCATCAGGCCAAGGCAACGTGGAAGATGACATGTATCTCCACTCTAGCAGCACTCCCACTTCCACCACCTCTTCTTCACCCATCCCTCCTTCCCCAGCCACTTGTACTGCTGTAAGTTTTGGTCTCTATATCATTTAAACTTCTGACCGGGTGTTTATTTTTTTAAGGGGTGCTGGGTAAAATATTGCACATACCCCCTCTCTTCAGTATATATTCAGTTCCCCCTTTCTGCACGTCCCAATATGTTATAATCCACTGGCCATGATGCTGAATCAACATTTCAAAAGGTGGATTGTCATATCAAGGTATCTCCTCCTATAGGAGAACTCAGAGGACGATAAGAAAAGGGGACGGTCGACAGACAGTGAAGTTAGTCAGGTGAGAGGCTCTGATCTGTGCTGTGTCAGTAACTGAACAGTAGTGCAGCACTCTTCACCCGTGGTCCTGCGGAGTCGAGGTGATTTAGGGTGCTTGACCTCTCAGGCACCTTAATTAAACTGGGTTTCTCTGTGGGACCATGGCTGGAGACTATTTAGCTTGTGACAATTTCTGCATATTATGGGCCTCCATAGATAAAAGGAAGCTGTGCCCCTCATCCATACTGTTGTGGTTGTACTTTGGAGTGTTTGAATTGAGCTGCTTCTCTCTGACGCTTTCACTTTCAGTCGCCTGTGAAGAATGGCACCCCATCCTTGCTCTCGTCTTTCGCTTCTTCCACAACTTCCGGGTCCTCTTCGTCCTCCTCCCTGGTGTCCATGGCGAGCGTTGTCGGTGGCATTCCCACAGTTCCCACAAGCAGCAGTCTTATAGGAAGCTTCAGCAGCGCGGTGCAGCAACATCAGCATCAGTCTGCACAGCAGCAGCAACAATCTCAGCCATCCAACCAGTCGCAGCAGCAACAGCAGCAGCCAGCTCAGGCAAAACCTACTGTCCCCTCAAACAACACCCCCAGCCCGCCCAGCAACCCGCTCCTGCCAGCATCCACTGCCCCATCTCTCCCGACACCCAGCACACCCAGTTCATCGGCTCCCAACTCTCAGCTCACGTCTGGGCCCTCAGCATCCAGTTTGGGACTTGGGATGGGGCTGGATTTAAGAAAAGGCAGCATGTCAGGGACCAGCACTGCCAACCAAATTCAAAGCTTAGGCCTGGGTGGCCACCCCACTCCGTTAAACACGATGGCAAGCCTAATTTCAGGGTCCACTCCTGCTCCTTATGCTCAGGCAGCAGCATCAGGAGGCCTGGGCCTGAGCAGCACCACTCAGTCCAGCATCTCAGTGGAGAGTACTACTTCCATCCCCACCTCTGGCTCCAGTGGAGTCACCACCAATGGGGCAGTGACAGGGCACAGCTTGTTAGGTTCTAGCCCAGCCCACAGCTCTCTGAGTGGAAGTATTTTGGGTCTGGTCCCTGGGCAGAGCGTGGCCCCTGGTACATCTCAGGTGCCTCAGAGTTCTGCAAGCACTACCCCCGGAGTAGTCGGCATGATGGGAGGCAATGGAGGAAGTGCTGGTGTGGTTGGAGCAGTCGGAGTCAATGCCGCACCGGCGCGGCCGCCGAGTGGACTGAAGCAAAACGGAAGCACAAGTAGGTTAACGTTGGGCGTTTGTGTACCCGTTGACGGTGAGTTTGCTAAATAAAGGCTGCCTGCAACCTGTCCCTCACCTGCCCTCAGGTTACAGTGCTGTGGTGGCAGAGAGCTCCACAGAATCGGCTCAAAGCACACCAAGCCAGTCACAAAGCAGCCAACCCTCGTCTCTCAGCTCCTCAACCAGTCAGCCGTAAGTCCTTAACCCTTCATTCCTTACCAGTCTTTAAACTCAATCTGCGTCCTGTTTGTTCTCATTCTTTTTTCATCTGTGTGCCGCAGGATGGACAACGGCCCCAGCTTAATCAGCTCCATCACATTACCCCCCAGCTCTCCGTCCCCGTCCTTCTCAGACAGCACACCCGGCGGAGGGAGTCTTCTCAACGGACCCCTGTCCTATACGCAGGCCCCCGAGGTCCTCAAGGTGAGCCAGGCCCCATGGTTCATATCATTTCCTGTTGCTACCTGCTTGGGTTTCCACTTGGTGCTCCAGCCTGTGCAATTCGGAGCATGGAGAGACTTAAATGGGAGAAGAGACTAAGCTGGATGAGATCATAAATAAGAGTTTTTTGTTTTTTTAATCTAGTTTTTCTATAATAGGACGTGGCGCTCAAAGTTCCTCTTGCTGCCAGGCCTCAGTACTGTGGTAAAGACCGTCTGTGACGGTGTGTTCGGGGCAAACAGTTGTCCCTTTTTTTCCACAGCAAATATTTAGAAAATCACAGGTGAGACACATTTGGTTAACGAAGGCTCAGTCCCATTAGGGGCCCAGGAAGCTGTGACAGACAGCAAGACAGTGTCCATCCGAGCTGAACAGTCACCCTCACATGTGTGACTTACTTGGCCAAAGGTCTACTTCTGAGACTCCGTTTTCTTTGTCTTTTTCCTGACTATTTTGTTAATACTTTGTTGCACTACAGTTTACAGTTGATTTGCTTAGCTGTAAATAGAATTTAAACGCGTTGTTGAATACAAAGCCAGTTTTGGTATCTGCGTTGTCATGGATGGAGTAAAGATCAACCGTTTTGATTTCCATTTAACATTTGAATTCCAATAACTGTAAGTTTCTGTCTTCCCATTTGAGCGTTGCCTCATAAAGCGTACTGCGCTCACATCGGCTCTCTTCACTCCCTCTTTAGGCCCCTGAGCCCCTCAGTTCTCTGAAGGCGATGGCTGAGAGAGCGGCGCTGGGATCAGGACTGGATGGAGAGATTGCCAACCTGCATTTAACCGACAGAGGTCGGAATGGTCAGGCATTGCTTTCTTACATCAAACGTTCTGTACTTAGTCGTTGTTTAAATAGAAAGACCAAATGGAAAAAAGGAAAAGATTTCCCATTTAAAAGCTGGCATTCGAACTGAGGTCTCGCTGTTTTACTTCTCCCAGTAGATATCTTCTCCAGTTCGTCGGCAGCGCCGGGCACACCCGCCGCCCCTCAGCCGTCTGTGTCGGAGGTCAGCATTCCCCCCTCGCTCGGGGTCTGTCCCCTGGGCCCAACGCCTCTCCCAAAAGACCAGCTCTACCAGCAGGCCATGCAAGAGTCTGCGTGGACACACATGCCACACCCCTCTGACTCTGAGAGGATCAGGTGAGGGTGTGAGCACTCGTGATGCTCTCCGGTCCCCCAGGACTGGTCATTTTGACATTTATCAACCGTGTCAGTACTGCTAGATAAGATACAGACACAACAGATTATTTTTATTATTTTTTTTATCCTCCACAAGGGCATCCAATGGTAAGAGTAAAGTAATTTGAAGTGAGTTTCAGTGGGTTGTTTTCACTTATTTTCTGATATTTTTTCTTGTTTTTAAGGCAATACCTGATGAGGAATCCCTGCCCTACCTTGCCCTACCACCATCAGGTACCACCGCACCACTCGGACTCCATAGAGTTCTACCAGAGGCTGTCTACAGAAACTCTTTTCTTCATCTTTTACTACCTGGAGGTAAATGTGCACCCCCACCAGCAGCTGCCATTTCTCATTGTGCTTTACAAATCTAAAGCTAAATTTAATCCTTCATTCTCTCTCAGGGCACCAAAGCTCAGTATCTTTCTGCCAAGGCTCTGAAGAAACAGTCATGGAGGTTTCACACCAAGTACATGATGTGGTTCCAGAGGCACGAGGAGCCCAAGACGATCACCGATGAGTTTGAACAGGTGCGGCTCATTCAGCTCACGCAGACGGCTTGGTGTTGCTCCTCATTAACGGTTCCTTGTGCCTCTCTGTCCCTCCAGGGCACTTACATTTACTTTGACTACGAAAAATGGGGCCAGAGGAAGAAGGAGGGGTTCACCTTCGAGTACAGGTACCTCGAAGACCGAGACCTGCAGTGACGCACAGAGGGACGCAAAGGACAGAGAGACAAAAACGTGCTGCTGTTGACATTCCGAGACTGAACTCCAAACTGTGGATAGAGATTGTGATGTGTAGTAGAAACCCTCTCCTGTGAAGGAGACTGGTGTCTGTATAGGCTGCATCTCAATGTGAAGCCCTTGCTCCTCGTGTAGTGCTTTGCTTTTGACAAACAACAACTCGCCCTGTGGGTCTGGTCAAACGCAGCGCGCTGCACAGGCTGGGAGGTCTCTCGTTGGAGATCTGCGTTTGTGCCTGTCTGTGTGCACACTCAGTATGTGGCATTAGGAAAGCCTACCCCATGCATGTTTCTCATTTTGTTTTCTTTTTTCCATTTCAACTTGATTCTATGTACCACCTACCCAACATGAGCCTGGAAGCCTTTGACTCCACACAAAACAAACCTTGGATTTGGTTGTTAAGCTGCCCATCTTGTATTAACTGTAATTTGGTGGTTTAGAACGGGGACGTACAGTGGACATTCAGTCGTGGGGTGTAGGACTGGCTTCTTTTAAGAACCTACGATGCCTGTTGAACATGGTCACTATTGAAGATAGTGAGCAGCTATCAATACTTTTATTGATATTGTCTTGGTCGATTAAAACCTGATTGAGAGTGACCACAGGGCCTCTCCCTGTGACAGGGAAAGAGTCCTTATTGGACATGGATTAAATTGCTATGCAATTGAACTGGTCTCTGACTCCCTCTCTTTACAAATAAAATGTTTTTAAGTTAACCTGTCCAAGATATTATGACGCCTTCATGTTTGTGACTACTTAATAAACTTGTAAAATAAATCTTAATATTAGGGTTTGAGACATTTATCTACTTGATGTTTGACTCTTCATCATTCTCAGAGAAAAAAAAAAAGGCCACGCAGTGTGAAATGGATGTAGCCCGACCCAAGTCACGTAACTAGATGCAAAGTACACGCAACACTGCATAATAAACCCCAGTTTTGATGGGTCGTCCTCCCACCTTCTGTTACTTTATTCCTGAAATTCACTGTTTTATTCACCACCTGCTATTTCAGTGAAGCCCTGATACAGCGAATGTGCACTGAGAACTGTTTACATGTAAAGTTTAAACAGAAATGCTAAGAGTTTGGTGGTAGATGTCACGCAAAGGGGCAAGTAGAATCTCTCTGACTCCCCTCTTGGCACTCTGAATGCACAGTGTTGAACTGAATCAGTTTTTTTCCTTATTTAAATAACCATGACAACTTCTGTGCTGCAGTTTACATTGTGTGTGTTAAGTTTTTTTCCGTTGTTTTTTTAGGGGAGTGTTGGGTGGGAGTCAGAGGCATCATGAGAAAGAAAAACATTGCAAAGTTTTGAGATTTGCCTTTTATAGATTCTATTTTTGGGGCTTTTAAAGGTTTTAAAAAGGAAGATCTGCTAAGAAATTGCTAAATGTGAATTTCAAAACATTTACAATTTTTTTCCTCATCACAGTTCTGCATGGGAGATGTCATGAAATGGGGTTATAAAAAGGATTGTAAAATTTCAATAAATACTTTTAAGAAACTACACATCGTGTGGTGTAAAGTCCTGTCACTCCCGCATGGAATAAGGAATTGCTCATTTTCTTCAAAAATTAAAGCAAACCGAACTAAAATGTTTTAAAATGACAGGCTCCACACTCTGGAGTCTTTACTTTTTATTAAAATTACTAAAAAAAAATAAAGTGAAACACAAGATGAAGCACATTATGAGACAATGCTAAACACAGCTGTGTGTGTGTGTGTGTGTTCATGTCTTAGTTTCCTTCTTGACTTTTAGGAACTCTGCCATGTTGGAGAAATATTTCTGGTTGGCCTCAGCCACCTTCTTTTCTGCAGCCTGCGGGTTCACGATCTCCAGCCCCTGAAGGTAACAGAAGGATTACTGCTGGCTGAAACCAAGCTGCCGGGAGCTCTGAGCTAAACCCGGCCCAGCGGCTGCTGCTTACCTGGAGAGGGGTGAAGGCTACGCTGGAGCTGGTTCCAGAGGAACGGTCTCTGACGGTGGACTTTCCTCCGTACGTCATGCTCTGCTTCTGCAGCGTCCGCTGTCACGGGCGAGACAACAGAGACGGATCAGGAACAACATCGAGGGGCCCGAGGTGGACAGCGCATGATCCGTTCCCATCTTTACCTGCAGTGACTTGGAAATCCTGGCCTTGGTGGCCTCGTTGACTTGAGCCTGTCTCACTCTGCCGCTGCCACTCTTCCCCAGCTGGCCCAGACTGAAGCCCAGGTCCTCCTGATAGGCATCGTCTTCGATCTGTCAAATCACATCAGACGTTACAAACAGTGGGCCGTTTATAGGTCCAGAAGTCAGACAGATTCTCTGACACTTTAACCAAATGCACACCAACAATGTCAGAGAGGCCTGGTCTCCTTGGTGCGTCACTCATTGCAGCTGGCAGGTCGAATCACCAAACAGATTTATGTTACGAAAAGCACCTCTTACTTAACCAACCTTGTTCTAGCCAGAACTGAATTTGAACAGGTTTTCAATATATTCGTCTTTAAAAATAAAAGTACAAAAAGCACAATATCACATAACAGAGAAGGTTTTTGCTGGCTTAATCATCATGCTTACAGTTTTTTTCTCCATTTGTCTCAAGAATCAGCTGTCAAAACACATCTGTGACAGAAAAATCCCAAAACCAACTAAACAAAACCCCGTGAAGAGGTAAACGCTATACGAAATATTCACAAACCTCTGCAAAGGTCATTCTGTTGGCATGTTTCCTGATCTCAGTCAGCCCGAGTCGCTCCTTCATCTTTCGATACCTTTGGGAAAAGCGTTGTATTACATAACATACATTCACTGTTTGTGGTATTCTAGGCCTGGCTATGCAGGTTATGCAAGTGCCCTGCGATCTGCTGAGGAAGAGGGCGTTAATCTATTTCACCAGGGTCTAAATGGGTTGAATGTGGACCTGAGAAACATGGTTCCAGTTCAGGGACACTCTTTTACCTCCTTCCTCCTCTCTTCTTCCTCTGTCCATCCAGAGGGGCTGGCAGAGGCTTCACCTGCTTTACTGGTGGAGGCTCCTGCCATTTGTCAAACTTCCTCTCAATCTCCTCTTTTAGATCATAGCCAACCTGTAAACACAACAGGAAGTTTTAAACTGAATGTGTTTTACAACTATTCACAATTTCAACACAAGAGACATATTAACATCAGAAGAAAAAAAACTTTGATGCAGCCCTTAGCCATGTGATGACTAAATAAAGAAAAGATGTAGTAGAAAAGAGGAGTAGTTCTTTATCTTAAGAGCGTCACCTTTCCATCTGAGCTCTCGTGGAAACTGTCCACCCGGGAAGCCAGAGTGCATTTTGCAGCCACCAGGCGAGCCGCCTTCCTCCTGAGATCCTGAGAAAAAAAGGAATAAAGATCAGTCAAAAGGCCTCGGGTGCAAGACTCTGCCTTCCTGTTCTTTGTGCAGAGGTTTCCTGACCGGTGGCAGTGACTGCACAACGTCACAGTGGTAGATGAAGCCGGTGTGGGGCAGCAGGGAGGTGCTGCTAAAGCCGGACAGGGTTCTCCTCTGTGCTCCCAACAGCATCAGGTTACAGGCCGGCATCTTGGAGAGGTGAGTGAGGCCGCCAGCGATACCTGCAGCGGGGAGAGGAGAACGGCGGCAGAGGAGTGTGAGCGCAAATTAAACCGGCTTTGTTAACGTGTGGACGTCTTCCTCTCACCCATGATCTTTGCAGCAGTCGACGCGCCGACAATGATGGACAGGTTAGGGGCTATGAATGACATTCTGGATTCCACATACTCATAGATCCTGTGTTTAGACTGGTTTAGCTCCAGAGCCATGTCACAAGCCTCTTCCAGCTGCCTTAATTCATCCTCATTTAGCAATGATCTATTGTGAACGGGGAAAAGAGGAAAGAAAAAAAAATCAAGTTTTAGAGCACCCCGGCAGTGACAAAAGGATTCAGTGTGAGCAAATGCTTTGACTGGGCTCCCAATAGCACCTCATATCACTCACAGAGCGCGACCGACACTCACCCCTGTGTGGTGGAGGCTGTGACGCTGACGACCATAATGGTGGCATTGGTCAGAATCTGCTGCAGCGTTTCGTTGTTTTTACATTTCTCCAAATTATTTCCCAGCTCCTTTGGAGAACCCACAACAATGTTTAAAAGCCAAATTAAAAACTCTGTTTTTATAAACGTGATGGTAATTTATGAGTGCGCTAGGAAACGATTCACACTTTTAAATAAAACATTTTTAAAAAGATAAATAATGGATATCTCAAAACAATATAATATCATATTAATTTCAGAAGTTTTGCCACAATAGATTGGACATTAAAAAAAAGAAGTAAAGTAAAGGCAAAGTTAGCCGATAGTCACTAAAAAGTACCAATTGAGGCACTAATTCCTTCTCTGATGTGGATTCTTTAAATTGGTATCTCAACTCACTTTGACTGTGCGGATGTAATCTAAAGAATCCGGCACCAGGGACTCCAGCTCTGGGAACCTCTTGGAGTATTTGTCCCTCGTAAACTTGTGAATGATGTCTGAAAAGGCAGCAGAGTTCCATGGGAAAACTTAAGCTTATGCAGAATAGAGTTAAATCATAGGTGGTTATGTTTAAACTGCAAAGAAGCAGCCAACTCACTGAGCTCATTGTCAATCTCCACTGTGAGGTTATTGGCTGCTACGATCAGTCTGTATTCCGGGTCAGCCTCGACTGGCCCCGAGACTAAGATGGGGGAAAAAAAGGAAGGTCTTTAAGAGTCTAAAACAAGAAATTCAAAAATGTCTTTGTAAAACAGGATATAAAAAGACAGAATAATCTAAAATAGATCACACACACACACCATCTGAGTTCTTGCGCTGCTTTCCAATATATCCAGATATTTTGTCCATGATCTCTGAAAACTGCACATGAACACACAAACACATGGGGTTTATGAGCAATATCATCTCACACGATAAAGAAATAAAAAATCTCAAATCGGTTAACAACCTGTTTGCTATTGCGGAGCTTGGCAATGGAGGCAACACTCTCAGCCTTACTGTAGTCCACCTCCATCTCCTCTGGAATGTCTTCCAGTCCTCCGCCAGTCCTGGCCTGGGTCCCCTCCCCATCACTGTCCACCTCATCTCCATCTGGATACAGCCCGTCCTCCCCCTCATCTCCAGCCTCCTCCAGGTCAGCCAGGAGCTCATCCGCCAGAGACATCTGCAAACAGAGTCAAACGTATGTCCAGTTAAGCTGTTTTTTTTTAATGCAGCTGTCTGACATAACTGTGCTAAAAAAAAAAAAGATCCACTGTGAGAAAACATACAAGTCTAGGTCTATAAAGCAGACAATAGTCAACAATAACGTTTCACATTGATCTGCTATATAACCAACCAATGATTTCTACATTATCATCAGACAGAGAGATAATAAACTCATTTTTAAGATGTAAACTGAAGAGCTTTCCGAGCAGCTGTCATGATAAGTATACATGTATCAAACTGTCTCAATTTGAACTGACTTGCTCATTTACAGATTGAATTACTTGCAGCTGCACGTTTTCGCCTTCACTGAAAACCCTTCATTAACCAGGTTTATGTAAATCAGTGCAGTAACCACTAAAACAATATAAACTATTCTAATACGAACCAAACAATGACAGAATTGTCTATTAATTCATATTTCTGACAGACATTTACCACCGACTAAAGTGGGCTGTAACATTGTTAGGAAGCTAACGTTAGCAAACGTTCAGTTGACGTAACTCGGAACAAGAAACATTAAAACTTACCTCAGTGGCTCTTACTCAAATAACCTAAATAACCGTCAGAAAGCCAAAAACGCAATTATGCGTAAACAATTGATATTACAAGGGTGTTTACTGCGTCTACCTACAGCACAAGTTCGTAAACCAAAGCAGGGACCTTGTCGCAGATTAATAACGCAAGAGCCTTCGCAATGCTTTATGGGAAATGATGTCAACATGTCGTAAACCGAGACGCAGTAAAGAAAAAAAGGGGGGGGGGGGGGGGAGCTTTAAGGGGTCAGGCGTTTAAATCTCATTGTATTACGAATTACATTTACAGTCATGAAACAGCTCACATAAGAAGTTCACATTTTGTAGTTTTTATTCCCACTTTTTAATACATCATCCCCCTTTGAAAACCATTCTTCAAACAATACAAGTTTAAACCAACATTTTAACAGACTAAACAAATGGACTAGCTGGACTTCAGCTGCATGTTCAACTGTTATTTGGAAAAAATGAAATAAATTAACAGATACTCAAACAAATGGAATTATTTACTCATGAAAGACTTTGATTTGTCATGCTAAGCTAAGTTAACTCTTTAAACAAGATAAATGAAAGACAAGACTGCTGAAAATTTGGAAGGCAAAATAAAGAAACATTACAGGACATAGTTTCATACAGTACAGATCGGCATATATTAACAGGTGAAATTATACAAAATACTTTTTTTTAGCAATTAAAACGTTTGGGAAAATATTTTGATTTATTTGTTATGAAGATCTTACAGAAAATAACTTAACTTAGATGCATTCTGTCCCAAACAAATGACAGCTGAGCTCATATATGGTAATTGCAATGAATCAAATAAATATATAAATAAATAAACAAATAAATAATGACTTTACATAAGTAAATAGAATAATACAATTCAGAAATTAATAGAAAAAAAAAACTTGAAGTATAAAGAAAAAGTTTGCTTAAGTTTTCGTGCAGTCTAAGAATACATCTAAAAGAAAAAGCCCTAAAATTATATTGTATACACTTGTATTAGGATATTTGTACAAATGCTAAGGAATATTCTCAAATACAGGAGTCAAGAAATTTCTGTTTTAAACTGCTGCCTACAAGAACAACTGACTGCAATGGAAAACGTCTTGAATAAAGACTGGACTGGAATCCAAGCATATACACAGACAGATGTATGACTAAAGAAAGAGAATTCCCCATGCACCTGGGGGAATAATACCACAGCATGAAGCAGAAAAAAGCAAAGGTAAGCTGGTACACAGCAAGACTCCCACTGCATAGCTATCAAATCTGTCTCAGATTTTACAAAGCTCCAGGTTCCTCTTCTCCCAGCAAACGCTGCCTTTTTCCAAGGACTTTTGCAGCCAACGGCTACAAATAAACTCTGTAAACAGTGGCAGGCAGGAGCTCAGCAACCCTTTCGTACAAAATCCTTCCCCTGGTAAAACCTGGAATGTGTCCAGGTTTTAGAACCGGAGTCTCATTCCTACAGTTGCCTTTTCGGTAAAAAAATATCCTCTGGGTGAATGGCTGGTTGTTGGACGAATTCTCTGGCCAGTCCAAGAGGCTTCAGCTTCAAAGGTTCCCATGTTGGCAAATAACATCACACCAAGTGGGGGTCGTTGGCAGGACTGACAGTGAATCGTGATGAAGTCACTGAACTGGCTCCCACAGCTGACCTTGGTTTGATTGATAAATCCTCTTTTCTTTTTGATTCTTTGTTTTTGTTTGGTCCTGATAGAGAAAAGCAGAAATGAGCACAATCACAACTCTTGAAGCAATAGCTTCAAAATGAGAAACATGGATGGACCACTAAACCACGGACCACCAGCTAAAAGACTCAGAAGTGGCTGCTTTCTTTAGAAAATTCAGCGTGTTCAAATGAGGGTCCCTGAAAGAAATACTGTCCGATAATCGCCCATGACCATCACACATATTTCCTCTTTATACATGCAAAGCAAATCATTAGAGACTGAACCTAAACTAACGATCTGCTTCAGTTAACAATGTTGCACAGTGACAGGACAGTTTGAGTTTAAAATACCTCAAAAGGAACATGGCCCTCTCATAAATCTTTGAAATTTCAAGTTGCTGTGCTACAGAGGATCACAAGTGTCTAATTTGATGACTGTGTGTGTGTTTGTGTGTGTGTAGAAAGAAATTCTGAGCACCAACTTTCATGACGGTGTGAAACGATGTGATAAGCGCAGAGGATGGAGAGTGGAACTCAAGTGAGCTGTAGAAAATGTGTTGGGAAACACAGCTTAGGGCTTGCATTGTTGAGCGCAGGATTAATGTCCCTGCTCAGCTCCACATGTCACAGTGTCGAGGGGTATGATTATAGGAGATTAATTCTGGCTGCACATTTGGGGAGGAGATGGCTCAAATGAAGGTTTTCCATTCGGTTAGATTCGATGGGTTTGACTTTATTGCCTGATTGGAAGCCTCAAAGTGGGACTGAGCTGATTCTACAAAGTAGTATGTTGAATACTAACACCATCGGTTTTCAAGAGGAATGAGTGTCAGCTCAATATGAACTCTGGCTGTCTTGAATGACCAACAGGTCAATGCTGTCACATCCTGAACCATGGCAGTAACGTGGCCAGTAATTTTTTCATGAACAGAAAATGTTTAGGAGCTCACCATGCAAGTCCAACTTGCTGCTTTTGACAGATACTGAGGCTGGACCTGTAGAAGCTGAAGAGCCCAACTCATTCGTTGGAGTTTCCTGTTGAATGAAAGAGACGGTCAGACCTCAGGTTAAATCCTACACTGCTTTGACACCTAAGTGACGGAGCAGATGGAAGGTACCTGATCAAAAAGATAGATTGTGACATCATCAAAAAAGGACACATTTCTCCCTCTGTCCCTCTCTCTGTCCAGTGGCTCCTTGGGTGATTTCAGTAGACTCCTCAGTCCAACACGTTTGTCCACATCTGTCTCCGTGACGACAATCACCCTGCGGGAGCTTTCATCCTCCGGCTCCTCCTCTTCCTCCTCATCTGGGTCGGTCCCTGAAGACAGGCCTCTCCGTCTTCCGATACGATTACCGATGGACCCATCCCCAAATCCTCCTTTGCCGCTTGGGGTTAGAGGAAGCGTCATAGCAAGAGGAGGAAGGACAAGAGAAAGGCGAGCTAGCTTGGCTAAAAAAAGAAGAAAAAGAGCAGAGGAAGGATGATGTGGCACGATGGAGACTTGTGCTGCTTTCAAAGTACAAAACTGGGTCAAAAAGGTAGAGAAGCATGCATTTGAATAAGGAAAAACACAAAGGAAAAGAAGTCAAGTACTATACAATCATCTATGCTTTCGATATCAATGATTCACCATGCTTTCATTTGATTGTATTCGTTTAATTTTGTTTATGTGGTTTTCTGTTTCTTTGGTTCAAGCTTGGCTTTAATCTTTCAATATCAACTTCTTTATTTTTGCATAAATTGCTACTTGTTTCTTTGCTTCATGCATGAAATATCAAACTAAGATAAAGTTACTTATTTTAAAAGTAATCTTTCTTTCTTTTGCTTCATGATGGCAAACCAAAAGTTAACTCGTTTCTCCCTCTTTTCTGTATTGAACGTTGTGTAGAAGCCTGCTTCTCCTAATGCACTGTTGCCCGCTGAGCTACTGTGACTGGGCTACGACTGTAATTTAAGTCGGTGTTGGTGCTAGTCAGTCTCTGAAACGGGTTTGGAAGGGGTAAGACAGCTTCTGGTAAAAGAAGAAATGGTCATAGGATAAAGAAATTACGATCGCAACAAAGCAAAACAAAACTGGTTGAGCAGTAGCTGGAGGCAAGTATGCACTGTGGTGTTGAATACATGACAATACCTTTCATTGCTAGGTTTGCTGTGGGCTGAGACGCTGTGATCTCAGGTTGTTCAATCACAGTGAAGGGCTCAGATTCAGTTTGGTTAATCTCTGTGAGCGTCTGGTCACTGGATGAAGCTTCCTGCTCTTCTTGACTAACAAAGACAAAAGGAAGAAGCAAGAAGAGGAAAGAAAAAGACACAAAAGGAGACATTAAATACTAAACTACAGGTTTTGTTGATGACATTTCATGTTTTCAGATAATTGCCCATTCAGCATTGTTGTTGTTAAATTGTGGAAGGCTATGGAACAGACAAGAGATTTCTTTACTTTAAAAAAAATCTAATTAATATTTTGTTAAATTTGCATGAAATCATGTTTTTCTAACATTGTATACCTTTGATGACAGGAATTACCACTAAAATAAAACAAGATAAAAATGATAAAATAAGGGCCCTATGCAGCCGCTTAGTTAACTTATGATTGTGGCCAACGGACACCTCAACATGTGGCCGAATCATCGACCCGCTGACCGGCAGGAAACCGCTTTTACCCCTTAGCCACCGCAGCAGTTATTTAACACAAATATGTAATAGGAGAAAATAGGTTGCGAGTCATAATAAATCGATATGCAGTCGTGCTGCACAGAGTAGAACTGAGTGACTGGATGATTACTCAGCATACCTCTCATCCTCTCTTCCATCTTTCGTGGGGACCAGCTCGCTGCTGCCCTCTGCGACTTGTTCCCCCCACGGCCGGAGGGTGACAGTGTCTTTCACAGCCGACCCCCAGAGCACGTTTGTTTTGACATTTTCACTGAGGGAGAACTGCAGCCTTTCCTCACACACCTGAAACATCAGAGCAAACCAGCTCAGGGGGTGAGGGAACTCGGGCCTCGGGAGAAGCGCGACAACACATTCGGCACACACTCACCTGCATCATGAGGCCATTTTTAGTTGTCATCTTGGACAGAGTTCCTTTGTCCTTGGCATCAGATGTCTGGCCGGCTTGTCTCTGTCTGTCATTTCTTCTCTCCTCCGATGAAGACAAATTGCCTTGAGATTCTATGATATGAGTTTTTTCAGATTTCACCAACTCATCAGAGCTGTCAGAGGCCCAGGCCTCCTTCAGGTCCATCTTGCTGCCCTCAGGACATGAGGAGTCACCTATGTCTTCACCTGCATCACCCCCATCAGTGCTGAAACCCCTCTGATCAGAGGTTTTCTTCAAGGACTCCAGAAACTCTAAGTTCCCCATGAAAAGCTCCCCCAGAGTTTCCTCCTCGTCCCCAGAAATGCAGCACAGTTGTTCCAGCTTTTCAAAATCCTCCAGCGGCTCCTCATCCAAATCTTTCCACTCAGAAATCAGCAATTCAGGGATGTTGGTCAGGGCCTCCTGAGGTGCAGAGGGCACTGTGGTCGATGTTTTGCCAGAAACATTTTCATGATCATTGTCATCTTCTATGTTGGACACAATGTCCAACTCATCAGTTAGCGTTATTTGCACAGAAGGGAAGCTCAGATTGGCTGAAATCCCTTTATTCTGAGTTGGAGTAGGTGGTAATTCTTCCAGATGTGGCTCTGAGACAGCTGTGGTGTTATTCGGGTAAATATACAACTCTGTCTCAGTACTGGCAATAAAGTCTTCTGGATTAATGTGACTAATAAAGTCCTCTGACTCTAAAACAGACGGAGGTGGGCTCGGAAAAGAGTCGTCCAGACTCTCCAGTTTATCATCTTGCATGTCAAGGTCTATACTCGGTGGAGGACTTGGAAAGTCTACCGAGCTGAAATTGTCAGCTTCGGGGTATGACTGATCCATCTCCTCCTGTGCTTTTCCGTCGCTGTGATTGGATGAAAGCAGCACGTCTCTTTGATCCTCCCCAATTTCTGTCATGCTTATTCTTTCATCTGTGCACTGCTTGGGGAGCCACGGACGCATGTTAGCGTCTGAACTGAAGCTTGAATCATCATTTTCCTGCTCGGAGAAGTTAACAGCTGGAGCCTCAACGATGCAGACAGATATGTTTGTTTTTTCATTCATTAATGCGTGGCAAAGGTTACTCTCAATATTAGACTCCACATCTTTGTCAGCCTGTGGAGTTGATGTTGGCTCCTCTCTGTGGATACTGCAGTGTTGATTCTGGGGCCAGCTGTTAAAATTTTGATTCTCCTCTGTCTCTGTCAGACCCCCTATGTCCATGGCTGCTTCTGTGCATGAGGAAATCATCTTCGTTCCTTCCACCATGGTCTCTTCACCAGGGATTTCCACATTCTCTACTTCCATATCTGATGTTCCCCTCTGTTCAGTGTTCCTAAAATTGTCAATTTCTTCCAGGATTTCAATGTTTTCCTCCTGTTGTATTTGTTCAGAAGTCTGCTGGTTATCTTTAGCTTCTGAGTCCCACATCTGGTGGCCACTTTGTTCTTGTGCCTCATTGGTCCAGGTTTCATCACAGCCCTTCTGGGCAGCAGGGTGAGGTTCACTTCCTGCCAGTTCATCGTTTTCCTCAGTTTCCCAGTACTCCGGACCCACAATGAGCCTCTCCCCCACCTCCCACCCCTGTTTGCCGAACCCAGAGAAAAATTCACATCTCAGCTCGGCTTCCTGGCTCCTCTTCTCTGGGGATGCCCACTGGTCATTTTCATCAGGCCACAGGCGCAGGTCATTTGAAAACGTCAAGCGGTGACAGTCGAGCTCGCCCCTGACCACGCCGCATCGCGGCCTTTCCTCATCCTCCTCCAGAGCACTCAGTAAGTCTTCGGTCATCACATCCACCCTCTCACAGGACTCCTCATCCGCATTTTCAGCCGAGCTGTTTGGAGCTGCTCCTCCTCTCAGGGGAGGCTTTTCCTTCGGGGCGTTTCTCAGCTCTGCAGGAGCTGGGTGCGCCTCGGCCTCCATCCTGCCCCTCTCATCCTCTCTGCCGTCCGAGGAGTGAAGGTGTCTCAGACCCAGCTCGTTCTGATCCAGACCGACCCTCTCCTCACATTTTTCAGGCTCCTCAGCGCCCTGCTCGGCCCACAGACAGGTCAGGCCGCCCGATTGCTCATCCGAAGGCGCCCCGTCGCCTTTTGACTGGGTTTCATCACCAGCTTGAATGTCACGTGTTTCAGGCAATCTGAACTCTGTGTTGTCATCTTGAGATGGCTTGACATATTTCTGGGATGTCACTGAAGCAAGATCACGATCTGTCTCTGCAACGTTTGCATAATCTTTGCTGCTCGGCGTGAACCTGTAATCCTGTGACTGGTTTGCAGATGAGAACGTGATCAAACTACTTGTTTCAGCTGGGCCCTTGGAATGTAGATTTAAGTCTTCAGAGTTCTGTTTTTTGCTCTCTGTCATCTTAGAAATGATGCCATCGGTGTAGTGGCTGTCTATGACGAAGCCACTGTTGTGGGAGAGCCCTTTAAGTGGCTCATCATCTAATTTGGAAAACAGCTTATCAATTAAGTCAACACAGCCCTTGACATCTGGAGCACTGCACAGCAGTTCTGAACTTTTACTCTCGTTGTGAAAGATACCTGAATCGTCTCTCTGTACAGACTTCAGCCCTTTGTTTAAAATATCTTTGTCATTGTCTGAATGAGAGATGTCCTTTTCAGGAGTGTTTTGATACTTCACGTCATTCTTTCCCCAATTTTCAATCACCCCCTCTTCTCCAATTTCAGTTCTTTTCTCTGACAAACTATTTTGCTTTGGGCTCTTTTCTCCCATCTCTGCCTCTTCCTCGGTTTTCTCCTCTATCCCGGTCAGAATTCCCCGTTCACCCCCTCGACTGCTGCTCGGCCTGGAGGCAATAAGCCCTTCGCTACTCCTTCTGTTCATCCCGTCGCCTTCCCAGTCGCTGTCTGAGAAATAGGCGGAGTCTCGATGTGGCGTTTCGTTTCCCAGAGCCCGCCACCCACCGCTTCCCACTCCTCCTCCTGTCCATGAGTCACTGGGCGTGAGGCAGTCTGCTGAGCTGGAAGTTAAAGGTGACAGGGCTGAATCAGGAGTGATGAGGGAGGCATCAGAAGACGGGTCCCACTCTGGAGTGGTTGGAGTGGCTGCAGGAATGGGTTCATCTTGGGTGTGACAGCGCTTTTCTTGGTCCTTGTCGATGTTTTGAGAGGAATTTTCTTCACTTCTGTCTGCAAATCTATTCTCAGGGTCCTTCAAATCAACTGTTTTCTCAGGGTTACATGATGTCTTTTCTGACTTTTCTTGTATTGGAAGTCTGCTGTCGGGGCTTCGATCCTGCATGTTTTGTATTATCACACCGTTCCCTATAACATCGGCCTTCTCAGATGCGTTTGTAATGAATGATTTGTTATCACGCAGTATCACAGTGTTGGGCTCTGTCCCACTCTCAGTGGATTCAGAGACGGAGAGCTCTGACAAATCTGTCTGCTCCCCTCTGGCAGGTAAGGCAGGGCCATCTGAACTCTCCTCCTCTTTTTCACATTCAAGAGTTTGGTTGTGTAATAAACCATTTTTGGGCATTATCTCTGAAAACATGAACTCACCAGATTGGCAGTGCGAGGCATTGTTTCCTTTGCTGTCTGGCGCAAGCGTCTTTTTATTGGATCCTATGTGAAGAATTGGAATCTCAGGTCTAATGGAAACTTTGATTTCACTTTTCTTTGCTCGCTTGGTGACTTGGGCATAGATTGCTTCAGTTTGTGCATCATCTTTGCCTTTGTTGGATGCTCGTATCGAGCTCTCTGACTGGAACCTGATGGTCTGGGCAGAATTTGGGTCAATGCATATGGACTCATATTCAGGGGACAGAGGAGTTGGCGAGTACGACGAATCTGGTTCCTTCTTGTTTGTGGTAGCATTTTGTCTCGACATAATTTCAGTCAGAAAGGTTTCTGCTGATTGGATCTCTTTCAGGAACTCTTCCCTGGTCATTTCAGTCTTCCTTGGCGTTTTCTCATTCAAATTTGCTTCAGAATCTTTCTTCTCAACAGTGATCTCAGATACCAGAGACCGGGATCTCCGCATACCTTTTGAGAAGGCCTCCTCAGTCTCCATGTATAAGGGGAGGCCTGGAGTGCAGACGTAGGGCCGCATCCTGGACCCTGCAGGATAGAGGTATTTTACAGGATCCCTTTCTGAACGCCCATCCATATCCAAGTCCATTCTCCCTGTGTCGATCTCTGTGAGGAAAAGCTCCCCTGCGAATGAGTCCCTGCCGACTGGACTGTCTTCCTCAGCTCTCTTGATGTGTCTCTCCTGTCCCCAGGAGTGTCCAGCAGAGCCCAGCTCAGTGATCAGCGACCGGGACCGGCGCATTCCTTTGCTCGGCAGCACAAAGTTCCCCCATCTCTCCCCATCCTTGCTCTTCTCCTTTTCCCTGTCCCATGACGCCTCTGGCTTTGCCTCACTTGACTCTGTCACGCTTGAGATCTCTGTCAGAAACAGATGCATGGGGGACTTCTTGGCTGCATCAACACGCTCGGCTTGCAGTTCGGCGTCTTCCTTCCAAATAGCGGGCAGGATTGTGTCGAGACGCGACTGAGTCCTTTTCATTCCCCTGGAGAAGAACTCCGTGCTGGTTGGGTCTGCGTCTTCTGATAGGCTGGAGTGGGTGACAGTTGTCCTGCTGCTGTGTATCTCTGGGGACATGAAAGGAGAGTCGTCCTCATCGGAGTAGGTGGGACTCGATGATGACTGCCTGTCAATCTGGGGGTCTGTGGGCTGAGGGCGGGGTAGATTCCGATAAATAGGACGCAAAGGGTTTTCTCTACGAATCGGAGACTCAAAGTCTTTTGTGCGGGACTGAGAGGTGTCCTTGCAGGTGTGCAGTGACGCCACATTCCTGGGGTCACGCTCTCTGTCAGACATGTCACAGGTTAACTGGTCTCTGTTGGCTCTCTGAATCTGCGGCTTACTATATCTGGAAAAAGCATCAGCCGTGCAATAGTTGGGGACATTTTGCTGATGCTTGGAGTGGGGCGGGAGAGGTGGAGGATGTTGAGGGTAAATTGGATGTCTGGATGGGGGGATGGAGGGAGACAGGGACGGAGAAGGTGGGAGAGTCTGTCGGGGCCGATGGAGAGCCAGGTGATCGAAGGCTGAAGGGCAGGTGCCCATGTGATGGGGATCTGTTTCAATTTTTCCACCGATGGTGTAGTGAGGCAGTCCTCTGTAACCGAGTGGAGGGGCGGGGAGTGGGCGCGTGTGCAGGTGGTTAGCTGATGACATGGACATGGAGCGAGGCTTTGGAGGGAGGACTGGAGCCTGAGAAGCTGATGAGAATCTTTTATCCTCCTCATTGTTCTTCCTCTTCTCCAGCTCATCATCATCCCCCAAATCCACCACTGAGAAGTCAGTCACTCTGCTTGAAGTGTCTCTAAACTCAGCCACACCCATGTTGGGCACCTGGAGTTGGACCTCACTCGATCGGACTGTCTGGAGGCTCTTATCAGAAGAATAAGGGATTCGCTCTTTTCCCAGCATTCCACTGCGGATCTCCACAAGCTCCACGTCTCCTGGGCAAACCGAGTTGGAGCGGGAAGTGAATTGTGACTTCGCTTTGAGGGTCGGCGACTTGTCTTGGGGCGTGTGCTCCTCTAGTCTGATGTAGTACTCGCTGGCCAGTGAGGGGCTGCGGGCGCTTATCACTGGCACTACCGTGGGAGTGTCCAAAGACTGTCTGTGGTTATTATTCACAGTCGGGATGGGCTGAGGAGGAGGAAGAGGTTTGTAACCCCGTCTGGCATGGGCCTTCTCCCAGAAGTACTCAAAGTTCAAGCCTTTGCTGGTTTCCGTAACTGTCAGGATGTCATCCAGTTCAGACGAGGAGGGCGTGATACAGTTCCCCACAGGGTCCAGCAGGGGGTAGGAGCTGTCTCTGCCCTCCCTGCTGTACTCTCTGTCCCTGCGCCGCTCGTTTGCTGCAGCCTGAAAAGCAGGTGGACGAAGTAGGTCCCAACGTCTTTCAAAGGACTCATCGCTCTCCCCTCTCCTTCCCCTGCCCTCCTCATATTCCTCATCCTCTTCATCTTCTTCACTGACGCTTCCTCTTGCGATCCCTCGCTCAGCAGCCAGAAGGGAAGAAAGGAGGAGGAATATTTCTGCTACAGAGGGGCGCTGTGATGCCGGTAGCCAGCAGGACTGCATGATCTCATACCTGCAGACCAGAAAAGGAGGATGTACATTTAAAAGAAGAAAATGCTACTTTTATTTCTTTTCGTCTAAATGATTATAATTTAGCAGCCATTCTATTACTGACTAAGTACTGACCAGTAATCAGCATGGGAGAGTTTGAGTCTTGGCTGGGCCAGAGTGATCTGTCGCTCTCTGATGACAAAGGTCAGCACCTCTTCATCACTCAGGTGTCTGTGGGGCTGAGAACCAAACTCAAACAGCTCCCATATCACCACCCCCAACGACCTGAAAAAGGAAACGAATGTTATGGGAGAAGAGTCCTCACACACTTCAAAGCTTTATGTTATGTAATGATTTCAAAAAGACTTCTTGTATAAACAGAGTCAGTTATAATTAGACTGCAAAAGCTGTGAGTTGTTTTCCTAAAAAGTCTCGAAGATATACGCTCATTTTGATTTGATGACAACAAAAAATGTTAGATAAACTGTGGTTTAAAGCTCACTATTAATTTGATTTGTTCCCAACACTGTAGAGATGAGACTCCCCTGGACTGTTAGACATTAAGATGATAGTTAACATTAATCATCTGTAAAGAGTATAAGTTCAGTTCAAGAAAATATTTGCATTAAGCACTGCATTAAAAAAAACAACAGAAAAACAGAATAGAATCAAAGAATCGATTCAGGAACACTTCCCTGGATCATTTTCTATGAAAACAGCCCACAATGTAATCTAAAAAAGCAGAGTAAAGACTAAAGAAGAACAACAACAAAAACTCTTCAAAACTGTGTTGTTATTACACTTAGCTGGTCAGTCCCTCTTTTGGATCATCATGCTAAAAAACTGCATTGCAGGGTTACGTTTTTCACAACAGGAATAGTATGGTCCAAATATTTGTTTTTTTTAAATATTAGCTAAGGGGCTGAAAAACATTCAATATTTCAAATGATGATATGTATTACCAACACGTGACTGACAGGTGGACTCTTTGAATGTTCAAAATTCATCATCAACATTTGTTTGTTGAAACGTTAATGCTGCAGCAATATATTTAAAGCATACCACACGTTGCTGGTCTTGGTTTGATCAGTAACAATGATAGATCCCCTGTACTCTTCCAGCAGCTCAGGAGAAATCCAGCGCAGTGGGATCCAAAGCTTGTCAGGAGTTAGGTAATAGTCCTCCTTCAGAAAGACAGACGGCCATTATTATGGACAAAGCATATTTTAGGATGAGGCTTTTTTCTTCTGCGAAATAAAAGCCCAGGTCAAAGTACCTTGTAATGATTATGCGAGAGACCATAGTCCCCTATCCGAACAGTGAGGTCTGAGGTCAGCAGACAGTTTCTCAAAGCCAGATCACTGAAAATACAAAAAAATATTTATCGGACTGCCTTAATCAGCTAAGAAACGTAATTTTCCTCATAGCAGGAGGCGTGGAACTCATGACCGACCTGTGGATGTAGTTGTTTTCATGTAGATGCAGCAGGCCCGAGGTGATCTCAAAAGCCATTCTCTGAAGAGTCAGGAGGTCCCTGGTTGGCAGGTCGGGAGTCATCCCATCTGACTTGCGCTGGGCTCTCAGATACCTCTTCAAGTCACCCTAAGTTGTTCAAAACAACAATAACGCACACAGTTCATTCTGTTTGCAAGCAGAGGGTGAACTGACTGCAGTTTGGCTACATGGATGTGTGTGATTTAAACCCTTCCGCTAAACAGAGCTATAACTGCTATCGTTGTAAAGGCAGTTTATTTATGACTTCTGCAGTAAATACATCCCTTTTTAGGTGTTTTGTACCACAGAGAATCAGAAACAACAGCAGAATTGGCAATAAGCTGGAAACTGTTGTCTAAATCATTTGTGTAGCAGGAAGAGCGAGAAAATAAATTTGGACCGGATGAAAAGATGCAAAACAAGGCGGAGGAAAGGACAATGTGGGGCTTGATTGGCCAGGGGAGAAGCAGTTGACTGGCTCCTCTTGTGCTGCTCAAATTGATCTGCTTGTGCCTTTGTTTGGCTCAAGAGTCAAACTCCCATGGCTTTCTTAATCAGCCATAGATTGTACCAGCGGAGAGAAGGAAAATAAATAGACTCAAATGAAAAAAACATCCATAATTCCAATGAAAACCATTATAGAGAGTTTCACTCATCAAATTGTATAAAAAGACTGTCTATTGATGCATTTAACTAAACTGGTAACTAATTCTTTATCATTAGTTTGTTATGTTTCTTTATGTTAGGTTTGATTTGTCAACATTCACACTCACCAGTTGACAGAACTCCATAACCAGAAGGAACGGGATGTTCTCACTGCATTGGCCCAAACACTGAAGGATGTTGGGGTGCTTTAAGCTCCTGAAAGAACCAAAGATCAGACATAACTAAGGTGCACAGATACTGATAGACCGGTGATGGCTGTGGTACTTTCTAAATCCACCCAGAGACTGGAGCAGAGTTCGAGAACAGACAGCCATGTCCTTGGATGTATTCTAAGAGTGCCCATTTCAGTGTTTGTGTGCGTGTATGTGTGTCCTAAAGACAGAGAAGTACAGCCAAAATGCTTCTGAAATTTCCAGCCTTCTATGTTTCTAGTTTGCCTTTCAGTGTCAAGAACAAGTTTTTTTTTTACTGTTTACTGGCAGTAACATCATCAGTCTGATTGATGCTGTGACCATAAACAGATATATCATTTAGAACTGCTCGACTTTTCATATAGCCAGATGTTGGAAAAATGTTATGACCGCATTACAGTTTGTTCTAAATTTGTTTTTGAACTATTTATCCACTGCTTTTTCATCTTAATCAGTGAGCGATACACAATCATGGTTTGACACCAGTTAATAACGTCGCTTTAAGGCCTTAAAGCTGCAGAAGTTTCCCACACCTGTACGGCTCAGATTCAGCCAGGAACTTCCTCTGCTCCAGGGGGCTGGCGCTGACACGCAGCTCCTTGACCACAGCCTGATAGGAGCTGGAGTCACACAGCACTTCAGCCAGGATCACCTGGATGAGATGGATTGGCAATTACATGGACGAATGCCCAAGAGAGGGAGACTTACGGTAAAATAACAGTTTTGACTGGGTCAGTTGCCAGTATTAAAGATGTTAAGAACAGAGCCTTGAAATGCAGCAATAACAAAACAAGTGAGAGTCAATCGTCTTACTTTTCCAAACCAGCCATTCCCTATCTCCTGAAGGTAATTCAAAGCGTGTCTTTTGAAGACCTTAGATTTGGAGTCTGTACAAAAGAGAAATATAAAAAGATCAGGGTGACAATCTGATATTTTTCATGATATCATATTATATCATATTGCATAATATAAAAAAACATTCACTTTGAAAACTGAAAACTAACAGTTGCAGACTGATGATTTAAAACAAAAATAGCCACATCAAACACAAAAATACCAGGAGAAAAATCAGACGATTGTGTCGGACTAAATGTTAGGAAATGAAAAAGAAGACTCACAAACCAATGAAGAAAATCAAAAATCAAAAAAATATGATCATGTTTTACAGCTGATAGATGGTCATTGTTAACTTTTGGTCTGATATTTTGATGGAGCATTATTTGGAGATAAAAACAATTATTAGCTGTAAAACTCACATATGTCGAGGGTCAACTTTTTCTCTTGTTACTTAAAATGTTACTTCCTAAATCATTTTAATCTTGTGTATTAGATGGAAGTCATCCACATCAATGGTCAATCAAATTATACTATTGAATGGAAGGTCTGTCTTTTGTTTCTCTGCCCTTCTCTGTCTTACTGGGCCCACATGTAGAGACCACCGATGCAGAAGTTTCCCACGCTATGCCTCCAGTTCTCTGAGGTGGAGTGGGGCTGTGCACCATTTACGAATCAGCATCAATGATTCAGGCAGAGGAGTGTGTGGGACAACAGTGCATGGATGTTTTGAGGGCTTTCGCTCAAGCGAGCGCATGAGGGCACAGGAGGTGTTTTACCTGCTCCATCCTGCAGGGCGGGGCAGTTGGTCCGGTCTCTAACAGGCAGGGTGTACACCTCGGGGAGGGAGGGACATGATGACAGGCTGTCCTCCTGGATGGGACTGGAACCCCCAGAGCACTCCTCCCCATCTGCGTTGTCAAACTCCTGGTTGAGCCACAACAGGACAGAAAAATCACCAGACTGACATAATCACAAATGTAAAATTTGCCTAATTAATGGAGCTGGGATTACAAGGTGCTCGTGAGCACAGATACTGAGAAAAGCAGTCATTATCAATAAATGACTGCTACGTAAACAAAGACCCGCTCAGGTCAAAAGATGACTTTGTCGGGATTAGACGGAAAGGATTATTGATAATTCGTAGTTCATAAAGTTGGAATTATAGACTCCTGTGGATATTTGCCACACCAGAAGCTAGTGCAGTCTGCCAAGTCAGACTTACAGATTCAGAAAAGAATACAGTGGCATGCACAAAATATGCGGCGTTACAAGGAAAGCAGAGAGGAGAATAAATCTCTTACATGTGGAAGACTTACATTGAACCCCACTCCTCCTCTTTTACAGCACAGACAGGTGAGGAGCAGCAGAACAAAGGAGACGAGCCCCGAGCAAGATATGATGATGACGACGTAGGGTGGAGGAGAGAGGGATGCAGCCCTGGTCTGAGAAACTGGGCGGGAAATAAGAAGAAAAATACAAGGGAAGGAAAGATTTAATTTTTTAAAATGCAGCGTATTTGTGCTTCAACAAGGGTGCTTGAGTCAGTGAGAAGGAAAACAGAGATTTCACCGAATCACAGATGTGTAAAATCTTGTTACACAGGTGTTTTGTTTAGAGGAAAACCATTGGAGCGTTTCTTAGCGACACATTTGGGAACCCCAATGGACAGTTTGTATCAGGGATTTGAGGGGAAAAAAGGCAGGGGAAACTAATTTTAAGATTATAAAAGCATTGCCTGAATCAGTAAAAGAAGATAGAGGCTTTAAAAAGAACATAGAGGCTAGAATTAAAGTTTGAAATTGGGAAGATATATCATTCCAGCAAGGAGAATAAGCAGGGGGGGGAGAGGGGGAAATATCAGATATGGCATTCCACTTATGAAACACAGTTAAGAAGCAGGGGGAAGGGAACTGGAGTTGTAGTTTAGGTAAAGAAGGAACGCTAAATGGGAAGGGATCGGAAACTGGAAAAAGAATTACTCAAATCAGGAAGGTTTACTAGCCAGGTCAGAGGGGGAGGAATCGGGACATTTGATAATTGTACCTCAAAGTAGTCGATTGTGGAAAGTGAACCATCTGTAGAAAAGAAAAGGGGCAGGGCAGTGTGGTTAAATACCCTTCAGGTATTCTTTGTAGACATGATTTAAATGGTCTAACCAGAATTTACAGCAGATGATAAGAGAGAGGAACAGTGCCACCTTGAAACACTCAGACTGAAGCCAAGTCACCCTGAAAATAGCGAGCGACACAAATGTCAAAACACATTAGGTTAGAAATTACTTTTCTGTGAAACGGACAAAGAAAAAAATTATATTTTCAGTAAACAAACGCTGGTTCAAATAATTCAGTAAAATAAACAAAAATACATGACAAATAAAATAACTACCATTAAATAATGAAAACGATCTATGATATATAATTTGAAAAAGGGTCAGATGAATACTGATTCTGAAACTATATCAGATAATAAATCATGAATTGTTTTTTTTTTTAATCTCTCCCTCCTAAAAATATCCTGGTTTCACTGTCAGTGTCGCTCATTAAAATTAAACAATACATTCCTTCACAAGGTCATGATACTATAAACACTGCATACATCAATTTTAAACAAGCCTATACTTAATAATGTAGCAGCTTCAACTTCCAATCTTTCAATTGAGCGGTTTTTTGTTTGTTTTTGCTATGTGTGTTTGGATTTTGAAACCACCAAAAACACAAGGAAAGGCGCAACGATAAAAGGTACCTTCAAATGTGCCCAGAATATAAAATCCAGCCTGTGCTGCTGGACATCTCACTCTGATGTTGATCACTCCTCTGGTTGATGACAAACCAGTCAAAAAAAATTACACCCAGCACATTAAAACTGAAAGAACTCATCTCTGAGCACGTTTAATAACCAGGACACCTTTAAAACAAGGGCAAAATCTGCCTCCAACGGGCCTCTGCCACTGTGCATCCCCCTAAACACGCACCACCGCCAGAACTAGTGGCTCCAATCTTGACGCACAAATTCTGAGCAGACCTATTCTTTCATCCTTCCCCAGACGGATGTCCAGACAGACACTGCATATAAATAGGAAGGTAACACGGGCCTTATCCACCAGCCCGTGTGCCAGCAGCTCTCATCAAAACAATACACCAGCATACAATGACTGCACGCATTACACAAACACCAGACTTTGCCGGCTCTTGGAGGCATGGGGACATAATCAGACTGAGAAAAATAAAGATGTCAGAGGTGCTTCATGATTTCTGGTGTCAAGCGGTGGCTATTTTTAGCCGGAAGATCCAAAGAATGACCCGGGATTTTCGCCTGCTGTTTCCCTCAGATCATGTTGTTGTTAAATGCCATCGTTGTAAGGCCCCGACATGGCAACACTCCCCCTAATATTTTCCCCGCTGCATGCAAATGTGGTACCCTACCCATCCTGTTTTCATCCGGGCAGCCGCGCACTGCGATGCTCATTCGCAGCGTGTCTCAGACAAACTGGCTGACTCTATACCCCAGCGAGGGGAGGCCTTTTCATCCCTGACTCCATCCCCGTGTCGTCTCCTTCTCCCAGCATCACTGACATGTTTTCAACCCTCCCCCCTCCTCCCCTTCCTCTCCCTCCTCCTCCTCCTCCTCCTCCTCCTCCTCCTCCTCCTGCTCTCCTCCGGCTCCGCTCACCTTCCCTCTGCGGAGCTCCGAGGGCTCTCTCCGGGCTGAGGTACGACATGATGCCCGCCAGCGCTACCATCGCCCAGCAGTGGGGCCGCATCGTCTCCGCGTCCGGAGCAGCAACAGCATCCGAGCGACGCCGCCGACTGTCGGTGTCGCTGTCCTCCCGGCTCCCGTCCCCCCGCCACGGTCTGGACCGTCTCCGTCTACCCCCTCCGCTTTATCTGCCAATAATAAAGAGCGTCTCCCTCGCTTTCCTTGTTGTGCTCTCTTCCCCCCCCCTCCCTCCCTCTTTCCCCCTCCTCCTCCCTCGTCCCCTCCTCCTCTAATCCGCAATTAAACACGGTGAGAGAGATGCTCTTTTGTGCATCCTCCGTCCGCCGCGCTGCTGAAAACATCCGCTATTTCTCCCCCTTCTAGTTCTAAATACGTCCTCCCCCCTCACACGAATCTCGCAGCGTTGGAGGTTGTCTGTGTTTTTCTCCTCCGCCTGCCTACGTCAGAAAAAAACACACGGCGCGCATTGTCATGGTCCAGCTCGATCATCATAAGGGGTATCTGGAGGAAAAAGGCTGGGATAATATTCCCACAGGGAGCCGAGAGTGTGTGAGACTGGCACTGAGCAGTGTGTTTATATCGATCTGACACAGGACTAGAAAATCCAAACCGTATCAATTAAGCATCGATATGAAGAGATCTGGGTTCAATGGCATCCCAGGAATTACACACGAACAGATTTCCTCTAAATAAAGGAAATGCATCATTATTAAAACCAAGAATTAAAACCACATCTTTATGATTTCAGATACAATTGATGGGTTTAAAAAATGACCTCACCTGACCCAACACAAACACCAGATTGCAATTACATCTCACAAAAAGATTTTATTTTACCAAAGCGTGCTCACATTACATCTTTAATATGGATAATATTCATCCACAAAATTGTCAATTTGTTATGCCAGTCATGAATAATGCTGAATATTTTCAAAGGCTGTTTTCTGCAGATATTTGGAGGTGTGTAGTAATAGTGCCTAAACAATGACTCTAATCCATCCGAGCGTTCAAGATGAGGCGTGACAGTGAGTCAGCATGCACAAAACCAGCACCTCAAACTGAAGCAGACAGATGGAATACTCTCTTTTTTTTTCTGTCTTCAAACATGTGTTTTTTTTACTGACGCATGCTGAGATATCTGCTGGAGAAACAAAAGCAGAAACATTCAGTTTATGGGAGGGTTGGTTTTCACTTGTTAAATTTGTGTTTTCATGTTCTTTATTAGACAACTTGGAGCATGTCGTTCCCCCCAAAAAACAAACAAACAAAACACCAGTCATACACCAAAACATTATTTAATTCATATTTAATTTAACATACATGGCAGCAGCTGGAACCAGAAAGTTATTAGCGGAGCAGTTAGACAGTGAACTGATTATCCCTCGCTGGCAGATCCCCTTCTTGTATGAGCTACGCTAACAGTTGTTCACAGCGTTTTCTTGTTGACAGCCTGAGCCCAAAACCCCCTGTGAAGGCAACCATCTGCCCTGCTGATGCGCTCCTGAGCAAATCGCTGCAGGGGCAGTGGAAGGGGCAGGCAAACACAACCCCTATCGTCCCTGACAGAGTTTCCTTTAACAGAGGAACGACACAAACAAAAAGCTTCTGCTCAGAGTCGCCCGTCCGGCGTCCTGCTTAAACGTACGCCGGAACCACCCACTGCAGCGAGCAGCCGTCTGGCACCAGGACCAGCTCAAGATTTGAGAATCTCATCTCTCCAGCTCTCCCGATCCCGCCTCTGTCGCTTTCGGGCAAGTTCAGGGAAGTAAGCGCTGTTGTAGGGCCTCTCCCTGTCATCCACTTCCCTCCCAGGCTCCTTCCTTTTGCCACTCCTCTGGTCGATTAGAGCCTGGGCTCTCCGCCTTTCTTCAGCCTCCCTCTGTAGACGCTCAGCGCGTAACCTTTCGATCGAGCTGGAAGAGAAAAGAAGGATTTTTCTCATCAAATCCTCACTAATAAACATCCAAGGTTTATACAGCAGGAAAATCAAAAGAAAGTAGTCAGAACAGACTTAAATCAGGTGAAAACACCTGCAGATTCAGAGTTAAAGGGGCGATTCACAGGTGGTGTTTTTACTGTCTCACCTCTCTCCACTGCTCTTCTCTCCTTTGTCTCTTTTATTATTTTTCTTGCTCTTGTGTACCTTTCTGTAACTTACACCTAAAGCTTTTTTCATATCTTTCAAAGGATCCAAACTGTCCTTCAGTCTGCGATCCTTCTTCTCTTTCTCCTCTTCATTTATTTCCATCTTCTTCTCTGAGTCTTTCTTCTCGTCTTTTTCTGTGCTGCCTTTCAGGTACCACGGGGTCACCTCAGTCCCTGGCTGGGGCACTAAAGACACGAGTAAGCCGATGGCTCGTTCCTGCTTCTCCTACAAATAAAAACAAAAAAGTGGTTGTCATTCATTTCGGTTTGATGAATTTTCCTTAACTCTTGCAGGATTATTTCTTTTTCTTGAATTAGGTCAGTGGGATTCACATGGAGGTGTATGTTTGGTTTGTTTTTGGATCCATGTGAGTTCCCTTCTTTTACTGTCAAAGAGTCATGTACAAGAGTAAAATCTGATAATTGTGTATTTCAGTTGATAACTAAAATATAACAAAACAGAAATGTGCAGGAATTCAATATTAAGAAAAATGAAACTGCAGTCAAAAATGTATAATCGTATAACTAAACAATATTGGAAATTGTTGCCAACAAACATGGCAAAGAGAACCAAGTCCCGGTTGGACTCAGAATTTTTTATCTGGCAGCTATTCAATCACTCATAAAAGGATTAGCAAATTAACTCTAAAGCAAAGGAAAGAAGCGTCACCTTTTCTTCCTTCTTTTCCTTGAGATAATCCTCATTTCCCTTCTTCTCCGAGGACTCTTCCAGAGGAAAAAGATTGAGATGTTCAAGACTTGTCCCACTTGGTTCATCGTTACCGTCGTCATCTTTCCTCTCTCCTGCTGACGGGAGAGCGGCCCGGGCTTTCCTTCTCAGGTATTCTGTACGAGCCTGTGGACACAAACAGCTTCTGAATGAACTTCCATTAGAACTTCACTCCATGAAACCTATCAACTGGTGGTATTTTACCTCAAAGATAGGTGAAAGCAATATCTAGGAGTAATCTAACAAATTAACACAAACTCAACATAAATTCATTCTTGATTCATGACAACTGTTAAAAAAAAAAACAGCTATATCAGATTAATCACTGAAGCGTTAATGATCTAAATCAACCTGATTGGAGTTTTTTTTCCTGCACATTAAAATGTTTAAAGTAACAATAATCATAAATAAAAATTAACTAAAATTACATAACACAATGCCAGACGGCAAAGAATGACTGGATATTTCCTTGGATTCTTCACTTCCCCTTTACCTAAACACAAAACACCCGCTTGACGTGAGAAAGGTATTCGGATGCGCTCTTACGCATAAATACCACAAACCAACTTTGTGCCTTTGTGTAAGAAATCGGCTGGGAAAAACAAAACAAAACCGATGGACTGTAAATCTTTTTATTAGTTCAAGTTGTTTTGTTTTTCTTCTCTCTGTGATGTACCTGAGGCTTTATCATGTGTCAGCAACACTGTCACTCTAGTTTATGACATGTGGTCAGTTAACTTAATGCACATTTTGAAAGCTTTGATTTGGGCCATTTTTCATTTCTCTTACTACCTTTAAGTGTCTATCAAACAAATCTAATGTGAGAAATTATCCTCCATCTCTTTATCAAATGTGTCGACTCAACTGGTCTAAAGAGTAGCTGATAGCTACGGGTCACTGTCCCACCATCCTAACTATTCTCCAGAGGGATAACTGTGGTCACCTCCTGCTCTGCACGCTCCACGCGACGCTTGGCCTCGCGCTCCTCCTCTGCCGCTTTGGCTTCGTCCTTCCGCACGCGCTCGATGTTGTCTTTATTGCGGACATGCCAGCTCTTCTTCGGAAGGATGTTCATTGTTGCCTTGGGGACTGTCGATGCTACTGCTTAGCAGCCAGCTACTTGACAAAGCTAGCTAACAGTGTGGACAGAAAATGCTTACATTTATTTAGTTCATACACCCTTCCGAAGCAGGAGAATAAGTAGGGTGATAAATGACACACACGCAAAAACAAGAAAAAACTCAAAGAAGAAATTGAACAAACCAGCAATGTTTTGAGGTGTTGAACTAGCTTCCTTAAAAAAATATATCGTTGGACGAACACTTGACAGCGTTCACTTTACGTCGGCCACGCAGCAGCAAGAAAAGTTGAATGTATTCCCTCGAAACAGATTTAGTCGTACATTTTTAATCTAGACTAAAGATACCACAACCACTGACCTGTTTGGGAAATGGTAGCTTCTACAGGGCAGCTGTATCCCACAGGAAACACAGTGGACCCAAACAGGAAGTAACCAACAACCAACCACAACGGAGTAGTTACAAAACTTTACCAGCAGAGGGCACTACAATGCCTCTCATTGTATAATGTGAGGGGCGAACAAAAATATACGATAATGAGTTTCTTCATTATACAGTCAAGCACAAATACAAAAACAGGCACAAAAGCAAAGGACAAACCATACATAAAATAGAAAGAAAAAAACACAACATTTTACAACATAAAGAAAGAGGTTAAAAGAAGTTAGCATAGCATTTATTCCTTTTGTACTGAAAAAAATATATTGTATAATCTATTGTTTATTTGTAGTGTTGGTCATTAAAAAGGATATAATCAGCTGTTTTATTCATTTCATTTTATTTCTATATGTTTTTTGTTTTGAACTAATAGTTTTATAATAGAAATCTATTTTTACAGGCTGAGTTAAACCTATCAAATATATCAAAAGCTCCAAAAAATAGGATAAACATTTTCCCCATATTATACATTATTTACTAAAAGGCACTTAAGAATGAATGTGTTCAAAATTGTACGTTAATCTCAGTGCCATTCGGTTTAAATGTCTTTAACACAACTCTGTATGATAACACTCATGCTGAATTTAATTAAAATAATAATAAATCATTTTAAAGTGTTTTCAGTTGCCCCATCATGCTGAATCATGTCCAGAAGGTTGCAGAGACTAGACATGGTCCACTCCTGCATTTCAGTCATGTATTATGCTCTGGCATCTGAAGTTGCTGACTCAGTGCAATCTGTTTGACTAAGAACTGCTTGTCTTGGCCCACCTGTAAACAAAAGATACATTGTAAGTAATCTGGTTACCTGGGAATGTTAACAATCATATAGCTGAGGTACCAAAATGTACTTATTGCTTAACGCTCAACTGTAAAGTCCAAAAACTTACCAATTTAAGCTGGGCTCTCAGCAGTGCAACACTTTTCCCATAGACAGAAGATAAAGCTACAAAGTAGCACATCACCACACTGATGTTGGGGAAACAAGAGAGAGTTCAAAACTGACCTTGAGGAACTGTGTTATGTTTGTTTAGGTATAGGGAGCATAAGCTTTGTATAGAAAGTAAAAGCTCACTGACTCACCATGAAACCACGAACAGAGGGATGGAAAAGGCCTGAGAACCAATGAAGAAGAGAAACTCCTGCGCAGTTTTAGACAAAGTGTAGAAAGATGCTGGAACAATCGACCACATGTCACATGACAAACGGAAAGGCCCGCAACCCGGTGAAGGTTTGATCCTGTTTGGGCAGGAAGAGAAAGTCAAACCAACAAGATAGCGCTACCTGAAAAAGACAAGGATGCAACACTCACACAGCGACAGCATAGATCATCACAACTAAGGCCAGGATCCAGCCAAAAAAAAGTACCACCAGGAAAAAGAAGGTGGAGGTGGTGGAGCGAAATGTCCTCAGTGCTGGCCGACAATTGCTGAAGAGAGTGATCTGCAGGTTAAAGCGGCATGTGGGGACACAGGACAGGATTGGTGACAGAGACAACAAGCAGGGCTTCAAAGTTTGGCTCTGTCAGGGCGACAGCTTCACCTTCTTGCAGTAGAAGATGATGATGAACTTGATGGTGTTTATAAGTGGCAGCAGAGGGCAAAAAAGTGCCCCCGCCCACACCACAGTTTGACTGTAAACCACCCCGAGCACGTTGGAGGGAACCACAAACTCCTGCCGTCCCACCCACTGGGACAGCTTACAGGAAGTGTTGTCCACCACCATCCTGACACGCAAAAAACGTCACACACATCAGCATCCCGCCTTCACAAAAGGTCGCCTGACTCACCACAGTCTCAGCAAACGGTTTCCGATCTCTTCCCAACTCCTTCATATCTTACTCAAATGTTTGTACCTGCGTGGAAATTCGACCAGCACAAGCATAGCAATGTTGGTGAGGAGGTCAAACAGCGTCAGCTTGTACATTTCCTGCCCCACACGAGTTTCCCAGCACTGCATAATGGAACAGACAAGAAACCATACAACAGTCTCACAACATGTACTAAAAAAAATAGACACTGAACAAATTGTCAATACTGTTGTCACAGTATTATCTCCTACTAGTTGTATATTAGGTAATCTTAATACCAAAAGGGTTTGAGCTGCTGCCATATCCTACTGGTTATTTGGTATTTGACCACTACAAGTCATCAAACTTTATACCAATCTGGTAAACCTGTTCAAAATGTTACCGGGTAATTGTCGTGGTTGTATTGGCACAGCACACAATTGGCACTCTGTACGTTCCCATCACAGGTGATCTGACTCCACAAGGTGTAGAGGAGGACTCCCAGACTCACCAGGCGCAGGAACACTGCCCTGCACACGAAGGAGATATGGTCCGATGCAGTTCACAGAGCAGCGACTCATCACAATAAGAGATCACAGATCTGAGATAATTTTGTTCAGAATCATGGAAAAGACAGCTTTTTACCAGTTTTGTTTCCTGGAATTTGGTCAATTGGATTAATGGTTCAGTCAGAAAAAAAATGCCTCATGTAAAGTCTTTGGTGAGATCAGAAAAGCTCAGTTGATTCAAACAGAATAAAGGTATTATCAGATCAAAAGGGATGCAGTGATGCAGTGATGCCCTCCTGTTCACAGAAAGTGAAAAAATTATCTTTTCTATTTCATTAGAAGGAGCAAGAATTCAAAGAATAATTTGCAGGGTATAATATGAATAGCTTTTTGCTCGTTTAGTAGTTTAGATATGGGACTGTTTGAAACAGTTTTGAAGTCAAGCAGTTATTCCAACAGCTTCCAAATTTTGTCCTTTTGTTTTTCCAGAATTCAAAGACTTATTGTGTAGCACGTGGCATCGTCCCACTCAGAAAATAACAAACAACAAACAAACCTCAGTAGTGCCAGAATGACAGTATTGCTGGGGGTATATCTCTCTACTAATGCGATTTGGTCGCACAGCAGAGGCACCACAAAGTTTCCAGTGGTGATGACGATGGACGGCAGATACTCAAAAAACAGACCCAGGAAGCCTTGCTCCTCACTCTTTGTCTGTTCGACAGAAATGGGAAAGACATGGTCGTCCAGCACTTTGAGACAACACCACTGACATCTCCCTACTTTTTTATCACCCACCTGGCTGAAGGTGGTGGCCACAAAGATGCCATAGAAGGCTGCTGCAATAAGCCCCAGAGCAAGAAAGAACATCAGGACACGCGAAGTGTATAAAACTACTTTTTGCCATGTTGTGAGAGCAGCTGCCTGTTTCTTCCTGCTCTCTTCTTCCAGATCCACCTGTTCAGCAGAGAGAGGAGAGGGAAGATTTGTTACGTCCAGCCAGCTTCTCTGCCTTTATCGGTTTTAAGTAGGGCAGATTCCTCCTGACCTGCAGCCGGTAGAGGATGCTTTTCTGCTTCAGTTTGGTAGCTCGGTCTCCCAGGCAGCCGTAGTCCCATCCAGTGAACACAATCATGCTGTAGTTACCCACAGTGCTGCCTCCTGTTGCCACAGCAACTCGAGCTGCAGTCCCCATGCTGTGTGCAGGCGGACAGACAGAAGACGGATACAGATGCAGATTATTGGGAATGGATCCTAGATTTGAATGCCTTTACAAACACTTGCGTTTGCTTTTACTGACCGTTTTATGACGCAAATGAGACAGAAGGCAAAGTAGAAGATGGCAGTGAAGAGGTATGCAATGGGAACGTTGTAGGAGAAGTTTTCATCCTCCACCAGTGTGTTGTTATAGTAGCCATAAAACATGAATGAATACTCCATAAAACCCTGAACAGGGAAGAGGGGATAGTCATTTTGCAAGTTAAATCACCAAATTGTACATAAAATGTGAATTATTCTGGCCTCTGACAAATAAATGTTTGGCTGTTGCAGTTATTGCCAACAAATATTTTTGGAACCCATTTGTTTCTACAAAAACAGTTTCTCATTTCTAGATAGATTTATGCCTCAGCTACACACTTCTAATGGTGTAAGTGTCATATATTATACTTTTATACACAGAGTGCATTAAAGTATAATGCAGTGTTGTGAATGTCCTCAGTGGATCCACATCAATAAAAGCTGATGCAACGGTGGAGGAGTTTTCAGTTTGAGCTTCTTTTATCAGTTAATGTTAATACAAAGTATTGCTGCAGGATGAAACTTAAAATAAAATAAATTCTTTTTGTTTAAGTTTGCTTTAGCACATGTTTTTTTTCTATAAACTCAGCAGGTAGATTGAATGCTCTTATGCTTGTTCCAGTGATAGTTTCTCACCGTTCCTGAAAGTATGTCAAGGATTAAATCAAAGAACACCACCAAGCCTTGAGGATTAGGTTCATACTCCATGCATTGCTCCTCAGTTGGAAAACAATGCAACTCTGAAAAAAGCAGAAGCTTAAAGATCACAGACTATATTGTTAGTGGTTGTAATATTACAGCAGGTTTTACAAAGGATGATCAGAAATATAGCTAAAGCGATAGCCACATTTCTGCTTATGTCAGAGAAGAACAACCGTAATAATGCGTCTAAAGCAAACACTGGGGTCAGTAGACATAATATTTAGCTACATATAATGTTTAATCGTGTTATATCTGAAAAATTTCAGGTAATGCATCATGTTTACATGCACTTAAAGATTAATCTTCAGTCAGGATCTTATTTCTCAAAGATATACTATGTCTGGCACCACAGTCTACCTTTGTGCCTGCAAACAACCCAGATGTTGTGGGCGTTCTGTTGCCTGGAAACAGCCTCATCAAGCTGGGATAATGTTTCCTGTTTTTCTTATAAAGAACTGCACTAAAGATCAGAGCAGTGGAGATTGTTTGTGCCAAAGTGGCTGCATTTCAGTGCCTCTGATTCCTGTCCATACATGTTTATGTCGTATTGTCTGTTGTTTTTGCCTGATCTTTGAAGGGTTGTACTGATGTATAACTTAGTTGTACTGGGACGCTGGTTCAATGACAATTCTGATTCTGATTCTAGGTTGACTTGAGAAAAGGTAAGCATGCCAATGCAACCTGAAGTTCAGAGCTAAAGGGAGCGTCGGGAGCCGAAGAACTGTTCACCTGTGCTGTTGGCAGAGCTGATCCCCACATATCTGAAGACAATGCTGGGGATGATGACAAATCCAGCCAGCAGTAGGAAGGAAACAAAATTGAGAACCACCAAAAATCGTAAAAAGAGGAAATAAGACTGAACACCTCCTCCAAAATTTCCTGTTGGGAAAAAACAGACCTCAAATTGGTTTGAATATAGCAACATTACCATGTTGTATATAATCTATCATTTGATGCATGTAGGCCTTCCCATTACATGCACTTGAGGTGAGTCTGTACCTCCGATCTTTTGCAAGGTCTTGCCCCACAGAGAAAAAAGGTGAAAGAATTCCAAGGTGTTTTTTTTTAGTTTTTGAAGGAATTTTGTCTTTTTCCGTTTCCAGCTCTCAGCGCTGGAGAGGATGGGCACCTGCATTTGCTGCACCTGCCTGCAGCGGAAAAGGCTTTTAAAACACCTTAATGACTCCAGGAAGTTTAGAAAGTCTTTCATTTCCTTTAATTTACAAGACATTTTAAATAGGCATAAAATAAATGAGAGATTGGATGGTGGCAGAGTTAGATTAGTTAATCTCTTAGAAATTACAGTTAAGGGCATAAATTATCATTTAAATTTGGAATATATATGGAGAATAGAAAAGTTTAATTACCACCACTTGAGTTGCTCACTGAAACAAACTGAGAACAATGAAATAGGATGATTGCTTTTACCTCACAGCTCTTTTCAGTTTCATTGGATATGGGAAGTTCCTGAGCTCCATAGGTGGCCCATTGTTGCCAGCGTCCCCCTCCTCTGCGGGGGTCACCCTCTGGTTGTTCTGAGGATAGGTCTGATTGGACACTCCATATGAAACCTGACGCAACCTGAGTGACTCCTGGTCCCCGAGATGACCAGTTCCTAACACTTTAATTGGGGTAAAAACCATCAAAAAATGGATGAGCAGTGTGAGTCACACATCAACAGGAATTTCAAGGACAGATTCAAGTTGAAATAAGTTCAGTTTTTTTTTTTACTCTAAGAAATCTACATGTTCCTGCAACATAAAAACAAACACTTTCATCAAAGCTTTTCATCTTACTTGAGCTTTGCCTCTGTAGCTCTCTGTCCATTCCTCTGATAGTTAAACGCAACTGACTGTCCTCCTTAAACACGTCCCCAGCAACAAACTGAAAAGAAAACCAACGACTGACCGAACACTTCAAGAGGGAAATGGCATATAACCATGAAACATTCCTGACGCCTCTGATGGACTTTACTCCCTTTGCAAATGACCACATAGTTACTTCCTTGTCATTTGTAACCCATTATTTCCAAAGTGATTCACCAGCTTTTCGGATTTGCACTGTCTAACAACAACCCAGAAGAAAACTGACATGTAAAATTACAGATTAGGCTCATACTTCTAACAGAAAAGAAAGTAACCAGCTTCTGTGTGTGCAAATGCAAAAATTAGTTCTTGGCTGTATCAGGACACTGTTTGAGCAGCTGAGGTAACCAGGCAGGTGTGTTTGTGTTCAAGTCATGTGTGACAGTCGACAACTATCCAGTGTGTGTGTGTTTCTACCAACAGAATCACACGCTTTGAAAAACGTTATTATAAAGATAAAAAAAGACATTCACAAATGATCACAAGTAGACCCGTGAGGAAATGTTTATTTTATGTGTTCCGCATGTAACACGTTTGTTACAAAGCAGGAGAGGTTACAGTGGGTGCAGGCAAAGATATAAATGAACTAAACAAAAGGCAGAAAACCGAACATGCCAGCAGAAAAAACAGCGTTCATGTAAACGCGGTGCAGTGATGTCACTGTGACATGACATGTTGGAGGGTTGTGGCACAGAGAGGGTAAATAAAACACTGAACATGTTTACAACTCATATTATCTCAGGTCTAAACGGGAAACGGAGAAAAAAAAAACCCTCACCGCTCTCTGTCACCCTCTTTTAAACAACATAATCACAAAGCTTGAAAAACAGGATGTGTTTAGTATTTTATCATTTATCAAAGTTTTTATACAAGTAAGAATTATCATTAAAGCAGTTTATCATGGACAAATTGCTTTTAATATCACAGTAATTACAGTTGGGTATATTCATATTGGACCAGAAGAAGAGGTAAATCTGATATTCAGACTTTGTGACACAGACTGATGGTGTAATCTTCTCTCATCCAACAGCTCCATCTGTGCTATAATCATCATCAATGTTGGCAGGTTGTAGAAATAACACAAAACTTGCACCTGGATAAATGTTTGGTCCCAACCCTGAATGGAACGCGATGGCAGTTCAGACATCTGGCAGTGAACGGACTGGTGGCACACACTCATCAGAGACAGCACTACTGCAGGGGTGTATGAGGAACTTTTAAAAAGAGCTGGAAACAGAAAGGACAGACCTCGAACACACAAGACAGGTTGGAAATAAACCAAAGAACAAAAAAATATCTTCCTAAAAAATAAGAACCACAGCATGCTATTTACACGCATACTATCTAAATGTAAATTGGCTGAAATACAAATGTAATCTGGACCGAAAGCAGCTTTGTGGAAGTTGAACCAGTGGAAATGTCACTATTTCTTTCATTCACTCCATGATATCTGAGCCCTGATGATATTATCAGCGTAGACTTATTTCCTCTAAATTCACTCACTCTTCTATCACATAGACTCTGTAATGTCATACTGAAGGTTGATCACCTATTGGAATGCTTAGTTAATCCTCACAGCGTCTGGTGTTCAAATGAAATCACTGTATTTCAACAGTTACTAAATTAATATAAATATTATTCATATGAGGACATATGAACCAATTTCATAATGCTTTAAAGCCCCAGAACACTCTGCTCTGGATTTGAGATGTTGACACTTCTTTAAATCACAAACAGCTGAGAACATCACAGCTTCCACTCGTACTATAAAAGTAACATTCAAAGGGTGCTGTCCTCCCATAGCTCAAGGTACAATTATGTACATATATATATAGACAAAGAGTCAAACTTTTATCAGTGTTTTTCATAAAATTGACCTCTTGGACTGATGTCAGAAACGTGAGTATTTGTGTCTGAAATTCTAGTCTTTAAACGACTCTTCCTCACATCCCAAAAAGGCTCCAACCAGTCCATTTTGTTCCTGCATTTAGTCAGATTTCTTTTCAGCCTCCTTTATCAACTCTCCCTCTTTTTTCTGTGCCTCATCTTGCCTCTTCCCTTCTCTTTTCCCTCCCTTTAGAACCCTGCCCACCACTATACAGCCCACAGCGATGACGTGCATGACGAAGTAGATGGACGTCCAGTAGTTGACGGTGTCAGAGGCCTTCAGCAGCACGAAGCCCATGCACATGTAGTCGTAGGCCCTCATCTTCAGGAACCAGTGAACCCAGTCGAAGATGTTTTGTCCGCGCGGACCCAGCTTGGCTCGGACAGAGCCCTCCATGGCAGACTCGGCTGCGATGCACAGGGGGATGGTGAGGAAGGAGAGGTAGTAGCCAGCATGGAGTCCATGCCAGTAGGCGCTGATGAACATGGTCCAGCCCGCCCTGTGAGATACAGACAGACAGCAGGGTTAGAGGCTGAGGCCCAACAGACGTGTCCCGCCAAGGTTTCCGCCATCTGTTAGAAGATTTGTTTCAAGTCCGAGGCAGGTCTGAATGGGTTATATTACATCACAGAATGAGACTAAATTCAACACCTTCTCATCAGTGAGTTTTGTTTTCACTGGGTGACATTACAATGGACTCTGTGTACTTTGTACCAGGAAGTGTGGTTTATTTTTGATACCATCTCTTTTGATACTATCTCACTCACAACCACCTACTGCCTACTCCCCAAAATACATGTGAGTAATGTTTGCAATCTATTACAGAGTGCAGTAGTCCTGTAACAGGGAGGATTTGAGAAAAAGAGGAAACTAAGAAGTGATGGCAAAGGGCCAGCATTGAGAAGAACAGAGATGCTTGCTGTGTCACACTATAAAATGTCCCTGCACAGATGATGTAAAAAGCTCTATAACCACACAGAAAAGCATACCTGAGTGTGTAGGATCTGAACGGGGCGTTGGGGTAGATGTAGTGATGCAGCCACCACTGCACAGTCATGTTCCAGTATCGCATGCCGTGCCGGACCTTCACACAGAAGTCAGTGTTGTAACAGTCGATGTTCTGGATGGTTCGGAAGTCATATTTCTCTTCAGTTGTGGAATCGGGGCTGTCGGGGACGTATGGGAGACAAGAGAAACCCTTTCAGACCTCTCTGATATGCAAACCCTCCTCAAACCTTTCTCACAATCCCTCCACCTACCTGTAGTTAACAGTGGGCCCTCCTCCCGGTTTGGAGAGCGCCTTTTCCGGGTAGCAGCCCAGACCTGCGCTGATGCAGCCCGCCTCAGCTCCACACCACGCTGCATAGAAGCGCATCCTAAACACAAAGAACACTGCCACCATGTAGAAGAACCTGCAGGGAGACAGAACGGAGCTTGTTATCTCCATATCAAATAACAAAGAGGTTTACTCTGCACTTCCCACAAAAGAAACCCCTCTTCTTCTGACAGTGTTTTGATTTCCTTGATAACAAGTTGTGCACCCACTTCTGAAAAGTAACACGACTGAGTAGCTGGTAGCAACCTTATAAATACTTTAAAACATTAAAGAGATGTGGTCTTAACACAGGCCTGCACAGCATACAAAGAGCTTCAGTGTTTTTCTGCTAATTCCACAGAAACTGTGATTAAGCTTATAATAGTTCAGTTGACTGTGTCACAGTTGCTCACCTCTTGACCTTTATGTGTCGGCTTCTACGTGCGGCACAGCTTAATACATTCTGGAGTGCAGTCACTTTAAATCAACAAATGTGTGATGCCAGCGATTAACAAGCAGTCATTGGGACAGATCCAGAAACAATACCTGTAGAAAACGTTTTCCTCCAAGAACTCCTCTGTGCGGACGTAAGCTAACGGAAAGACGGAGTTGACTGCCAGGAACAGGGCGCCGTACAGCGGGACCAGCTTCAGGCGCTGCAGACACGGCTCCCTGCCGGGCAGAGCCAGCGGCTCCGGCTGCCTCAACCAGTCCATGTAGGTTTGGAAGCGAAAGAACGGGCCTTTACGAGCATGGAGTGATGCACAGAGGAAGAAGGTGCAGCGGTAAGAAGTGAGGAATCGACAAATGGAGAATTACAATGTTGCAAGATACAAAAGGTCATGGCGGAAGAGTGTGGTGGAAAAGACAGCGGGGTGGTGTTTAACGGGACAAGAGAGAGAGGAAAAAAAAAAAGAGCAGAGCAGCGTGAACACATAAAATGTAGAGAAATAATGCTGAAAAAACAATATAGACTCACAATGTTGGACAAGTGGCAGAAAGCGAGACAAAGAGAAACATCAGTTACAATTCATGCAAAAACATATGGATAATAACAGCTAGTAAACCCAGAAAATAAAAGAATTGATGACAATTGTTAATAACGGAACACAGATATCCACCCACAATGACACGCAGACTTACCCGTCATTATACCAATATAACAGTAACTATAAGACAGAAGGTCGTAGAGAGAAGGCTCCTGAGACAGACCACCGATGACAGGAGACTTGGCAAAAGCGCTGACGTCCTTTTTCTTTTCCACGTGGAAGCTGTGCACCTCGTTGGCTACACTCACCATCTCGGGTAAAACCAAACAAATCGCACCGAGTTGTTAACGTGCTCCTCCCTCTGCAGCACATCCTTCATTTCCTGTTTGCGGGTTTTTCTGTCTACCTTGAGCGTGAGAAGTAACTGGATGGCGTTGGCGAAAGGTGTTGGCTGGGGCAGATCGAACCAGGTGACCAGTCGGAAAAAGAGGAGGTAGAGAAAGGTCCAGCTGAGACTGAGCGCTGGAGCATGGCTGTCAAAACAAGAGCACATCTGTGAGGGTTACAGCTGTAGAGCATCTCCAGTTAACGTTAACAAGATGACTGTTTAATCTTGAGGACATTCATCAACAAAAAGGACTGATGTAGTGCTTCTAGATTAAAGAGTTTTACACTCCAAACCACATTCACTACAGAAAAAACACTTACAGACCCCCTGATAGATATAAAAGTGTATTATTTCTCTATGTTATACATTAATTTCTCTGTGGAACATTTCATACATTAATCAAATGAAGAAGAAGATAATCCATCATTTCCGGGTGCAGATCAGTGCTCCTGAGCTTCGTACAGAAAAAGATGGATTAAACCCTCACCGCCAGCTGCTCTTGATGATAATCCACGTCCCGATCACAGTGACCAGTGAATGGAGGGTGTGGATGTGACAGGAGGCAGCGGTGATGAGGAGGCCCAGAAGCAGAGCTGCTCCCTGTTTCACAGGTGGACCTGAGGTGATGGAGGAATAACCAATCAACATCTGAGGTGTGCTCATTCACTTCCACACATCCACAAGACATTGGAGCTGTTCTGCTCAACATCTGTAGCTGGCCGCAAATTCCTCCAGAACTTTGAGATTGTCCAGTCTTAAAGTAAACTCGAGATATATAGACGACAACTCAATGAAGTGCAGACTCGCTGACCTTTCTAACCTGTCTTTGAATCTTTGTAAGATACTTACTGAGGTAACGAAAGAGGAATCCAACAGGGAGGGAGACGGCAAGAACTCCCAAATACACCAGCTCGTTGGAAGACATGGTTCTGCTGCCGGAGTTTTCCTGTAAAAGAGCTTGACACATAGGAAAAACCAATGGAAACAGCTCAGAATTATGTGTTAAAGAGTGTGGGAAAAAATGTCTTACAAAAAAGCAGCTTTGGGAGAATCTTTTCGTTTCCGTCTTTATATAGGATACATTAAAAGTACCCTGAACCACCTCTAAAGCTCTTTGAAGATGTCTTAAAATCATAATTGATGTTACTTTGTTTAAATGCATCCAAAGTGTGGAATAAGCATTTAGCCTTCGGTGAACAACATTCCTGATAATTAAGCGGTTATCAATACTAACTGTGTCCTCCGAATATATAGAGACATGTCAGCAGAGTTGACATTGGACTGAGCTGGTAAAGAAACAGATGTTTATCACATTCCCATAATGTTGCCATTGTTCTTTTTGCTTTGCCTAAATTTACAAGAGCGGCATCTTTTTGGAAGACATGAACACAATGTGAAATAAAAAATAAAATAAAATTATCAACAGAGAATATGTTGGTGAATAAACATTTCATGCAGTATGTACTGATCATTTTGGGGCTTGGATTTCTGGGCCATTTTGGACTCTTTTCTAATTTCTATCAAAACAATAAGCAAATAAAAACCTAATACAACTTGCTTTTTTTTTTTCTTAAGTTCAGTCTTAAATTTCTAAATGACTAATGAAAGCATCCTTCTGATTATGCCTTTATACTGTAGGTAAGAAGTTTCTATTCAGGACCTCCTTCTGTTGCCAGTACGGGTTATTTATATTTCTAGCTCAAAGTCATTTAAATAAACCCAAAAACTTCCTCCAGCAACAACACAGTCAAACCTCTGTATTTCATCACAACTCTGCTGTGAAACAACGTGCCCAGCTATGAACATTTCCGGTGATGTCGAACAGTGAGCACTTGCCGTCGAATCTTCAGGGTGGAAATGTCATCTGTTTGACGTTTTCAGTCGCTGTAAATCAGGTCAAATCTGATTTAAATTTGGATACTAACAGTTACGGGCAGGCCCCCCATCAAAAAGCTACTTTTGTAGGCAACAAAGACCAGTAACAGGAGCATTAATACTACAAACATGCCGTTAAACGAAGGTGCTTCATGACCAACGTTACTGTTGGGTGGCAGCAGATATGCTGTGGTTGCGACAAGAGTTACAAACGGTTGGCAACGGCAGTTTTAATTAAGAAAAGAAATGGCAGCTTGGCCAGGAAACCCAAAAGACAAACTTACATCTACAACACGTTAATCCTCAGGTTTGAAAAACGCGTCGTTCCGGTGCACCCTGCAGGTAATACCGTCCCTGCAAGTTCCCATTCACACCTTCTCCACTTCCTGGTTAGTCAATGACGACGTCATCAGAACGACTCGGACGACACCATTCCTCTCGAAGTTGCATGGACTGTACCATTTATATAAAAATTGAACTTCGTCCTCGTGAAGGGCATCTTTCGAGTCTCCCATATCAACACCAATCACATTCAATTACATTTAGTTTCTACTATACTGAGAAGAACCGTTTTATACTTAAAAATAAAATGTGCAGTGTCCCAATGCCTTTGGTACCCACAATAAATAAAACACAGAAGCAGCTCACGTCTTTGGTAAGACCAAACTTTTTTATTAAGAATTTAGACAGAACAGGAAGTTTGAAGACATTCCCTGGCATGACATCCTTCTTAATCCTCCTCCTCATCGTCAGCTCCTCCAGCGCCACCCTGGCCCTTCTTGGCGTTCTTTCTCTTGACACGACCTGGGCGTCCACCACCATACGGTGACCTCAGGGAGAAGTCAATGTGCTTCTGGCTGTCCAGGCGGACCACAAAGGAGGGAATGTTCACCACCTGCTTCCGCACACTGTCAAGACAGAAGAAAATTTTAAAAAGGTTTTCAAAAACAGATACTGAATGAGTCCCTGGAGACTCAAAGTCTGACATAAGCTTGTTAAAAACTCTTTATCTGATGCAGGCTTCATTCACGAGGAATTCTTGACACCACAGATATTCTGAACTTAGATCTTAAATCACCAGCCTGGACATTGGGACCATCGATACGCATTAAACTGGAGTCAACACTCAAATTGCCCGAGGTGCAATCCCCCAAACCTTACCTGACAGCCACGACAGAGCAGCGGTACAGTCCGCGTACACAGCTGCGGGATTGGCTCAGGGCAATAACTGACAAGGTATACGGCTTTGATACCGAATTGACCTTGCTGAAATGTTTAACAGATCAACGAAGAGTGCTACACGTAGCTGGTCCTCTGATGGAAGAGGAAGCAATGACAGTTTCTCAGGAGTCCCTCTAAATACTAATTGACCACTTTTTAACATTTACTTTAGGTCTAAAGCTTACCGGATGTGCCTCTGGCGGATAAGGACACGGGCATGGTGGATGCTCTTGGCAAGTCCGAGCTTGAAGACCTGTGTCTGTAGCCTCCTCTCCAAGAAATCTTCAACCTTCAGGCCCAGGATGTAATCGAGCTTCATCTTACCCTCATCCAGCACCCCGATCCTCACCAGACGCCTGAGCAAAGCATTACCTGGATGAAAAGAGACAAAATTGATTTACATCTCCAAACCGAGGTGCGCATACGCAGTGGCAAATGCTGACTCTTCATTTAAGCAACAATGGCCTCATTGACGAGGAATTCTTGACACCACAGTTAAGTCTGATGGTTTGATATTTAAATCATTGGCCATTAAAAAAAAAAAAAAAGTAACCCGTTTGGCATACCTTCAAACAGACGCCTGGGGTCCTTCTCATCCAGAGTGAGCAGCTCTCTGGCTGCTTTACGGATCTTAGCCAGAGTAAACTTGACCCTCCACACCTCACGCTTGTTCCTCAGCCCATACTCGCCTTAAAATAAAGATAAAATGTCATTTAACACCGCAAAGATTTTAAATAAGTTACATGCAGTGTGAAGATGTCAAGTTATAACATACCAATGAGTTTCAACTCCTGGTCGAGACGAGACTTCTCGAATGGACGACGGGGGGTGACATACGTCTTACTGCAAACCCAACTCCTGGCAACGGGCATGTTGGCTTACAGTGCCTAAAACAACACGACAAAACTCACCACCAGAACCAGACCAAAGATCCCTCGCCTCTCCCACTGATGGGATTTTTCTGTACTTTAATAGGTTTCAACATTTTACATTTCAACACATTAAAGTTTTGAACATTGACAAATTCCTTGATGCCTTGTGCAAACTAGTTCCACGTGGATTAGATAATCAGAACTGCTTAATATTTTAAGAGATTAATAAAGGTTACATTTAGCATAAATCAACCCACATGCAAGGTTTCAAACACGTAGAAGTTACTACCATATATCAAAGGTCCTGTGAGAATTGAACTAAACACTACTAAATAAAGTGCATCAATCGGAAATTATACCATTAGAAGTATCCTGTTAAAAAATAGCTACTTCTATTTCTGCCATGCTACCTCAACGCAAACGTTTGTTTAATGGCTATAACAAAAATATGTAGCGTACATTTAATTACAATATCCAACACCAAAACCTTGAAGACAAGTTAAGAAGAGAAAATTGTACAAAAAAGTAAAAAGACTCCGTTCGCAGAGCCAAACGACAAGGCCGCAGCCGCCCGGCACCACGTTGTTTAGAGAGCCCCACTAGCATTAGCTAAACAAAAATTCTACTTTTGAGATAAACACGAACGTTATACATGGGTGACTTCAGACGTTAACTGAGTTCTCTTTTTTTAATAGCACTTTCTGTGGTAGTATTATGTCAAATGCAGTAAGTTTGTGCTGTGCGGAAAGTGAAACGGTGGACTGTACCTGCCACGCTCAGGCTCGCGTTGTAAAGAGGCCGTCAAAGGCCGTTCACATTCATTTATATGTGGTGGACACACACTACGTTTCCCATCATGCCACTCTTCGCAATAAACGGAAGTAACTTTATGGGGAGTCGCCATCTATTGGTCAAATATAATACAGCTGATAACACGGGAAAAGCTTAGCGCAATTTGTGATTTTACTCCTTCTGGTCTGTGTTTTAATTATTGTCTTACTTCGTTTCTTACTTACAAATATGGAGTCGGAAAATAAAACTTTTCCCCATATATGATGACGTTTAACTACACTGAAACTAACATTCAAAAGGTTTTTAGATTGTTCAATAGGGAGCAACAGAAAGTGGTGTCAAATACATAGTGTGTGAGAGCAGAGGAGATAAGGTGGTAAACTCAGTGAGAAGGACATGGGTGACTATTTATATACCTCTGAAATGGGACCCTGAGCATGTGTGTCTGTCTGTCAGGCTGCATGATCAACTGATGGACACACAGAAGCTCACTTGTTTTCTCCTTCAGAGCCTCATATTCTGTCTTTTTCAGGCAAAGACTTAGTTCATCTGTGGAGTGTGTTTTTTACGTACACGTGTGACAGACACAGTCTTAACCCTCCTTCTCCTCACCCTCTTGGATCTTCTCTTTTCTCTTGTTGGAATTTTGGCACGATTTTTTCCATCCCAAACTTATTTTTTTAACTGTGTGAGTCAAACTTTCCTTTTCCCCCTGCGCTCCTTTTTCCTTCCTCCCCCCATCATCCTCTGTTCCCCGTCCTCTTGTGTGTGGCTTTTGGGCTATGCTCTCCTCACCCACTGTGATCCTCCAGCCTTATGGACTCCCCGTCTACCCACAGACAACCACATGCTATCCCAGCATAGTTCAGGTAAACTCTTCATTTGTTCTGCAATACCAAATTATCACATGAATGCTTGTGTAGATTTTCCACAATCATTAAACACATCCTTTACAAGCATCCGTTATAGGCAATTAATCATTTATAAGCCACAAAAGAGCTCTGAGACTTGTATGAGTAAAACCAGTCAGAACAAAAAGGCTTCAAAACTGCAATACATGATAATTTAAAGTAAATTTAACTGTTTGGAACATGTCAGATGAAAAATAAATTTGATAGAGATACTGTTTTTTGTTTAATTTCATGAGAAAGGTGGAAACGAAAAGGCTATTACTTGTTAGTCGTTTTGTATTTTTGCACGCTTAAAAAAATGCAACAATTTCTTTAAGCTCTTAGTGGTTCATTTGATTTTGAAATGAAAGCCCTAAATTAATGATCCCACTGAGCTTTTCACTTGCAAAATGAAGGATTTTACAGAACAACAAAGTCTGAACCTTTTTTTGTGAATTTTAGTGTAATATTTTAGAAAAACCTATTAGAAAAAAGCATTAAGGCCCAATGGGAGCTGTGTGAAGAACACTGATTGTTGGCAATAGTAAAGACACATTAGGAGTTATCTTTAGTCCACTGGTGTGAGTGAGACTTGCAGCAAGTGTCCCTGACATACCATTAATGCCACAACGCATCTGGTGTCTCTCTACCTTGTCACTGTGCTTCACACCAGCTGTATTTTTAGTCCTTCTCTCCTGAGCTGATAATCACTGGAGGAGGTTCTGTCACCCATCTTGTTTTGTGCAGACGACTCTTGGTGCTAAAATCTTCCCGTTAAGCATTTAAGTGTTTGGCAGTTTGTGTCTCCGACTCAAAATTTATACCTGGCTTTAAATAAATAAATGAAAAAATAAAATAACTGTTGCTTATTTTGAGAGAGCACATAACTGTTTCTGAAGCTGAAATCAAGGCCTAAAGAATAGGATTTTTCTTCTTGCAGCACCCTGAGGCTTTTTATTGTTTTACGTCACATCTGAAGGTTCAGCTCTGTTCAATCTTCGTTAGAGCTTAAAGGCACCACAAGTCTTGACAGAGTATCCACTGAATCTCAAATTTCCGCAGCTGTGCTTTGACATCTACCTCGGGATCCATGTCACACGCCAGTGTGTGTGTTCGTCTGTCCTCTTCCTTCACCGCTCCTCTTTGTCATTACCAAACCGTAAGCCTGCAGAGGCTCATACGCAAAAAGCAGAATGTGTTGGACGACTGAATGGAAAAAAAGTCTCCTGCGTTTCACTTAATCGTCTACCAGCTGCAAAGACTCATACTTGACCATAACATCTGCAGTTAGTGTCGTCTTGTGTTAATCCCGCGGCAGCTGTCACATCGGGCACCTGGCTCTGAGCCGTCGACCTCTGACCGCAAAGTGACAGCTGAGGAAGGAGGCGAGAGAGATAGAGAACAAACGGCAATAAAAAAAAAGCCTGTCTCTCCACACTTGCTGACTCTGCGATACTGAATGAGGCTCAGTGGATGGTAGTTAAGGTCTGTGGGAAAACAAAGAAATAGAAGACAGTTGACGGTGATATGTAACAGATGGCGCTATCTTCTCTCATCTGTCTTATTTTATCTGGGAAGCGTGTCCATGAATTGTTTTTTTCTTGACACAAATAGAAATTGTTGATAAGTTTTGAGACCTGGTCTAGCTTGAATGTCGGGGGCAGCGAAGCTGAATGGTTAAAATTAGATTTGATCTGTTGGTTTCTAAGTTTACAAAATATTCTGATGTAGTTGGTTTCAATGAGACACTACTTTTTCCTTTAAGTTTGACTAGTTGTTTTTTGGTTACGATAAAAGTGTGACGATAAAAGTAACTTATAGATGTGAAAAAGTCCTGAATAACATGCTGCAGGTAAAATAGAACACCCGATTTTTTCCCCCATTCAAAATAAGTTAACTTCCTGTTTTATTACTACCCATCAATTACATTTTCACTTTCTTTCTGCTTTGTTAAAGAGTCTCTGTGATATTAAAGGGGGTCATCAGAGTGTTTATGTGCAAGGTGGACCCATCATCACATTTGTAGAGGTTGGAATGCTGTTTTCTGTTGAAGCTGAAGAAAAGGGTTAAACTATATACGACATCCAGGAAATGACCCCTGCTGATGTTTAGTGGTTTGTGATTTCATTCTTGGGCCTGCTGAATTTTGACTGAAACAGCTATGCTGTCGGATGGATGGGACATTTTTTCACAATAGTTTTGTTTCCACAAGGAAGCGTTGAACAACGATAAACAACCCTCTCACTTCTTATCACACATATCCTTCATGTAAAATAAATGACAAAGCACTTTGGCTCATAGCAGACCTAATAATGTGTATCAGCTGTAGTTAAACTTTCCATATACTGATGGCATGCTACACAAAGACAGTTTGTCAAATATCAGGTAGTAGATACAGTCAACCTGTTCAATTTCAACAGGTACATGCATAATAAAATAATTCTTGCTGGGGCACCAGAATCCTGGTATGATATTATTCTTGAGTCCCTTAAAATTCTGATGTAGCATTTTCTGTCAGCCCTTTTTCTTTGCTTGTGAGCCAAAAAACATATCGAAAAGGGCTCAGTGTAATCCTGAGAGTCAGAGGGAGCACAGTTAAGGTCGGTGCTAATCAAGACGATGCTGCATTCGCCCTCCTTTGTAATTTGAGTCAGCATCTACAGAAATATCACTCTTCTCAAGTTGAGCAGCACACGGCGGGATACATGAGACGCTGTTACAATAGAGACACTTTTAATGGTGATACATTATCCATAATCATGAAACGGGCTGTCTGTCTAATTTGGATAAAGAGAAATACAGAGAAAATTCTTTGATCTTTGATAAAGGGAAAGTATGCTCTGAGACAGTAATAGTTATATCCAAAGCACTTGTGGTTACAGTGCCACCATTTAATAAAATAGTTCTTGATTTTTGTGCCTTGCCAGATAGTGTAACACCTTTATTTATTTTAATAATCATCAACCCATTAGGTTTTTTTTTCTTCTGACGGCTGTCGGCTGTTGTTCAGAAGGCAGAGCGGCCAGCTGCCAATGGGCAGGTCAATGTCACAGAGTTGTCGGGCCTGATATTAAACACCACACATCCTCCGAATAAATGTGGCCCTCAGTCACATCAAAAGATGTCATTCAAAAATATTAGAAAAAAAATCAAATCTTTCTGAAAGTGACAAACTTTTGCCTCCAAAGGGGTATTCTCAGGGAATGACGAGATGTCTCCACTCTGCTGAGGGAGCAAATACCTTCATAAATACCTCGTCTTGGGGGAAGAAGTCTGTCTGTAGTGTGCCTGCAGTTTGTGAGTGTGTTTGGTGATTGACAGTTACAGATGTTAACAGCTGGTGTGGCTCTGTGGTTCCTCTGCTGTGGCAGTTGTTAGACGTGATTGGTGCTCGAGTTGGACTTATGGTGGGTGGGCGGGTGGCCATTGGGCATTAAAACATGCTGCAGTTGTTGAACAATGCAGCAGAGACAGAGGAACCAAGTGAGGGGGTAAGACGATGCCTTTACTTTTACACTTCAGTTGTGTCAATGGGAGAACCAATGCTGTGTGGTTTGTTTCCTAAATTGTTGAGTCAGTGAATATTCTTGTCAATGACTGATATTATTGAAACATTTTTTTGTCAAAGTACGGTAATCTATTTAACAAGGCAGGAGAGGTTTTATCATTTCTAAACTTAAATATATGCTATATGGCTCGAAAATTCTCATCAAATTAAATCATTAAATAAGTTTAATTACATTTTTTGAATGTGTTTTTATTGAAATGTCTGTGCTGGTTTAGAGAAAGGTGACTATCGCTTACCTCTTTATAGTGACTCAAATTAAAAAGGTACTAATTTTGTTAGAAGGAAATTATAACGTACCAAGTTTTATCTGAATGGCTGAAATGATTTCACTTCAAAAAGCATGAAAACTATCATTACACATAATATAACATTTGTTTAATTGTTTAAATTAAATTAAATTCATTCAAATGAATACCCTCTTATAAAATGTTGACTAACCTTTCAGCTGTTTAAGAAATCTTTAATCTTCTGTGTATTTCTACACAGAAATGCTGATTTTATGTGAAAAAAGTGCAGATCTTGCTGTTCTTTTGCAGTACAATCCAATTTTTGGTGAACTTTTGTTAAATGGTGCAGTGAAAATTGAATCGTTGAGTTAAACAGTATGTATGGTATGTATGCTTGTATGGTCTTTTCACCCTGCCTGAAAAAGACCAACATGCTGTTCTTGGGATAAGTGAAAGTGTCCTGAATGACGTCCTGCTACAGGGAGATCTTCATCACTGAATTGGGTGGAATGCTCCTCTATTGTCCAGTGTCTTTGTTATTGCGGTGTAATCTGCTACTTGCTCATCAATCACCATCAACTTAAGTGTCACATCAGCTGTGGAGTAAAAGCAGAAGTGTCTGGGCCTTGGTTTGTTTATGTAGAAGACAGAACTAAATGCTCATTCCTTCTTTCCTCCTTTCTTCTCTGTGTTCCAGGGGGGTCCCACACAGGAGGGAGGCCCTGGCAGTGGAGACCCCTCCCTGCAACAGGTCTACGCTCCACCCCCCTCTTACCCACCACCTGGTCAAGCTCCACCAACATCTGCCGGCAGACTTCCAACCCTTGATTTCACCTCAGCGCATCCCAGCGCAGAGTACCCGGAACATGCCCAGCTCAGAGTGTATCAGGGCCCTCAGCTCGAAGGGGCCGACTCACTGACGTCCGGCAACACGGTGAGAGACATTTGTGACTTCCGCTGGAATTAAAAACAAGTCGCAATAAAATATGATCTACAGTTAAATGTGACAAGTGGGTAGTCATTTCAAATGTCCTGCCAGATAAACATACCCAGATAGAGTTTCTTTCTATATTTAGAGCCCCCCTTCCAAAGTCACGTCCTTGTACGGAATTGCTGAGAGGTGATTTGTTGTTGAAAATAAATCCCCACATTTCTTCCTACCTTGTGTCTGTTTTGCTGGTTGTAAGAACAATCTCCAATCTGGATTAAGTGTGAAGAAATGTTTTCTGTTTCATTTTTCTTTTTTTTTTCATGTTAGGTGTAAATTGTTTTCTTTATTCTTGAAACAAATGGACAAATATGCCACTGGACACAGCTTGAATCTGTCTCTAGATGGAAAAACTCAAATACAAGTAACTGAAATAGGATTGTATCAGTGTTAGCATACCCAAAGACCCCATACACATATAGTGTGATGTGGGAACAGGTTGAAATGTTTAGCTTTGACTAAAATAATCCCATCTTTTGTGTATTAATCAGAGTTGATGTTTTGCAGTGCAGTTCAGTCTCAGCAGTGTCTCCCTCAGGCATGAAAACCAGCTCTCTGATAAAGTCTGGAGAGTCATTTGGTCTGATCTGTGTGGCAGGCTGGATCTGTCTCCAGCCTCTGCCACAAATCTCTCTTCTTCCTCTCATAAATGGTGTTTTGTGGCCCCGTCTATATATTTTATTACTAGAGCCCCTGACATACTTGGGTCCGTGCTGATTTTCGTGGGGAAAGTTGAGACGTCGCCACGGAGGGAGGGGGTCAAAGGGCGAAGCTGACCAGATGACCCCCTTTCCCCCTCTGAAATATCGCTCAGGTCCAGAACACAAATCTGCATCGTGACATGACACCACCACCCCCCTCCACCCCCTCCCCTCTCCTCTGGCCTGTGTGTGTGTGTGTGTGTGTGTGTGTATGTGTGTGTGTGTGTGTGTGTGTGTGTGTGTGTAGGTGGCTGTGACTGCTGTCCACAGTAGTTAGTCACAGCTCGCCAGTGTAGTGTGCGCCTGTGTGTCTGATTATATGTCTGTAAAATGCCTTCCTGGATGAATGTGTGTCTTTTCCTTTTCTCTATCCCCTCCTTAATAATTACAGCCTTTGTCAATTTACCTTTAACCTTTGGCAGAAAAGCAGCACCGTGACCCCAGACTGACATTTCGGTTTTCACCCGTTTGGCCTCCTCTCCATCACCCTCGTCCTTTCCAGCTTCTTGCGCACCACCTTTGCCTTGTTTACTTTGGATTAATTTTATCTTTGCACTGAGGCCTTTTTCACTATCTATCTGCCTCTTGGTACTACACTGCTAATCCTCAAGTCTTGACACTGGCATCCTTATTTCCATTGCAGCAGCACATTTTCTTTTAATATCCCAGTGCTTTTGTATCATTTTTATATCCTATGCTCTCTGCTTTTTCTCCTGCCGCTGAAGCTCACTGTAGCCTTTCCTCTAGATTTTTCCATCATGGTATTCTTGACTCCTCCCAATAACTTTTTCTTTGTTGTTCTCTCTTTTTAAAAAACATTTTCCTTTTAGTTTTTGTTGGTTGAGCAGTGCGCACATACACACACACACACACACACACATGGGTGCACACTAGCATCGTGGTGCATTGTGGGATAGTGAATGTTTTGGTTTTGGCACATAAGTCCCTGAATTGTTGTGCATGGGGCGGTTTACACATACAGGCCTTAAAGCATAGGTTAGATGTGCAGTATGCAGCAGAAGGGAAGACATTTATGTGTAACGTCACTTTTCAAAATCAAATGATTCAAATTTCCACCGATACGTATTTCCTCTTGTCATCAACAGGTGGAAACTAAATAAGAATGGAAATGCTAAAACTGTATTTTCACAAATCACCAGTTATTACCAGGTCGATCAGGTTTTATACTGCTAGTTAGCTTCAATAATCCTAGAAAACACTAAGGCATAATACAATTCTACCAGACGAAGAAAAATAATTATATTTTTTCTGTCAAAAAAGTGAGATGCTGACCAGGCTGGTTTTTTTTGTTTGGCTGCATTCTAGTGGCTAGAGTCAACGCTCCTGAAGAGTTACAAGGGTGATTAAGTAATTAGTGTATCTGTGGGCGAATGCATCCACCTATTCGTGAACCATCACAGAGTGTTCATACTCTACTCTACTTAGTTGATTCAGTGAACTGGAGTTTCATATTACTGTTATTATATTTTTCAGTGAATGCAAAGATGAAATGGACATGGTTACAATTGTTCGAGTGAAACTTTCTCAGTGATGTCCACCAACAGAAGACAGGTGACAGTGTGCATGTGCCACTGACCCATCTCTGTGTTATCTCAGTACGGTAAAGCTCCCCGGTTACGTCGCAGTTTATAAAACAGAGAGAAATGATCCAGAAAAGATCACTTCTCTATAAATGACATTAACATGTCAAGGTGGAGCAGTTTTGAATCATCTGATGAGTGATAACACACAGGCGTGCATTCACTTCTGTCGTATACCTTATTTAATCAAATTACATCTGCTTAGAGTCTTCACTAGAGTTTACCGTGGAGCTTTAAACTAGTTTTCACCACAGCTGGAGTGAGCACATGTTGTTTTAATATCATAATCTTGGCATTAGTGTGTTGGGCATCAGCCTTTATACTTTCCTACAGGCATGTGTTCCAAGACACCCGACTAAAATGGTGCCTTTTCCACGCCTCTTTACTTTTGCCTGAGAAGGATCACTGGTTGCTGAATGCTGGTTGAACTTGGTTTGGATCACTTGATCTCATGGAAATGATCTTTGCTTAATGCCATGTGATGCTTACGCAACTGAGTCTTCACATAAAGTCTCTGAAAGATGTGGGACATGTTGAATTGACTTCATCCCCTTTCTGTCTTTGCTTTTTCACTGACGTCCTCTCCCCGTTTTTCTTCACTTGCGTCTCATCTCATTCATACCCTCTCCATCTTTTGTTCCCATCTGTCTGTTTTTGTCCCTTCCTTCACGTCCCCTTTTTTTCCTCTATTCTCCGTCTATCCGTGTGCTCGCTGTCATGCTGTCGTACTGTCAGGAGGACGCTTTGGCCCCTGTGGCGTCTGACCCCCAGTCTCTCAGCGTCTCTGTGTCGTCTGGTGGCGGAGCCGGGAGCGGAAGTGAGGAGGAGGGCTCAGGTAAAGCCCAACCCAAACGCCTCCATGTCTCCAACATCCCTTTCCGCTTCAGAGACCCAGACCTGCGTCAGATGTTTGGGGTATGCAGAACTAAATCCCACCGACTCCCACAGCCCTATATACTGACCTCTACTAACTTAATCTGACACTTCTCGTGCAGCAATTTGGCAAGATCCTTGATGTAGAAATCATCTTCAATGAGCGGGGGTCAAAGGTGAGCTGTGCAGAATTTTGATCAGAAGTTTTGGCTGATGGGGGAAAGATTTTCAATCAATCAAAGACACTAATGATGCCACCATCCAAACATCCAGGGGTTTGGATTTGTGACCTTTGAGAGTGCGACCGAGGCCGACCGAGCAAGAGAGAAGCTGAACGGGACGATCGTAGAGGGGAGAAAGATTGAGGTAAAGAAGGAGCTGTTGCTGTTTGAGATTTTTCACATGTACTTTCAACGCAAAGACTCCATGCTCATGGCTTGTTGCTTTCATTTCTGCTCTCAGGTAAATAATGCCACCGCAAGGGTGGTTACTAAGAAGCCTCAGGCGCCTCTTGTAAACAGTGAAATTTCAAGTAAGACATATTTGTGAACGCTTGTGACATTTTGGGATCTCATTTATGCATGAAGCTATTTTAGAAGTTCTGTTTTAAAGGAGTCAAACTTTCCCTTATTTTCTCTGCAGCATCTGGGTGGAAGATCAACCCCGTCATGGGGGCGATGTACGCTCCTGAGCTCTATACAGGTGGGTTCAACGTGGTCATGCTTGCTGAGCAACCTGCGTTGTTATCATTTCACTGTCTTTAGCTTTTTGTTGCTTCTCTGCCTTTGGTTGTTTTCAGTTGCCAGTTTTCCGTATCCTATGGCGACGCCCACCCTGGCGTACCGGGGCTCTGCGCTGCGCGGCCGAGGCCGAGCCGTCTACAACACCATTCGCTCGGCCGCTGCTGCAGCCACACCCACGGCCATGCCCGCCTACCCCGGGTGAGAGCCCGCGCCATGATGAGATTGACTTAAATCCTTTAAGTCCTGAGTTTTAGGTTACTCTTGTTAAAGGTGGATCCACTCGTACGACTGCTGAATTAAAAAAAAAGTTTCAAATGGGCAGACACACAATCAAAGAAATCCATGAAAATGAGTGCAGGAACTGATTACTTTCAATAAGGTGAAAAAGAAATCAAACTTTTATGTTTTTATTTATCTTCTTTTTGTTGTCTATCAAATTACTGGCTCCATCCACGATGAAATACACATATAAATATATACATGTTTTTTATATGTGTATATATTTATATACATATCATATATGTTTGATTTCTGTATGAAAACAGTAACGCCACACATTAAAGCAGATGCACCCTCTTCTTAAGTGCTCAAGATTTCACTTTCCCATCTTTCCTTGAGCTTGCCATATGGAGCTCAAGCAAAGGCATTTCAGGAAAATTAAAAGGGTTCATTTCCCTCCACCCCTCTGCCACGTCTGCATCATGTTTGATTGATTCCCAAATGTGTGTGCTTATTCTATTCGTTGTTTCAGGGTGGTGTACCAGGACGGACTGTATGGAGCAGAGGTTTATGTAAGCAGCTGCACATTTCCCAACCTTTTGCATTTTTGAAGCAGTGACCCACTTCAGGCTGCTGTATTTATTGTTTATCTTTTGCCCATGGCAGGGAAGCTACCCCGCCGCGTACAGGGTGGCTCAGTCAGCATCCGCTGCCACAGCAACCTACAGTGATGGGTAGGCAAACAGGAAAAGAAATACCTGGTCCTCAAAAAAACGCTATGTCTTTATTATCAAATCTGACAAGAAATGTCAATTATTCAGCTAATTTTGCTGGATGACTTTGCTCATGTGCCTCTAATGTGTCTGAGCAGATACGGGCGGGTTTACGCCACAGCGGCGGATCCCTATCACCACTCGGTCGGACCGACGACGACGTACGGCGTTGGTACCATGGTGAGCTCAGCCACACGCACAGCTTCCTGTGAATATTTGTGGTGGGCCCCCGCTCACATCTGGCTCACTGCTTCTGCCAACAGGCCAGTTTGTACAGGGGAGGATACAACCGCTTCACCCCCTACTGAACCGTCCACGAGGGGGAGGGGGGGGGGGTGTATCTCTCATGAACTCTGATACTGACAGGTTATGGGATCTTTAACCTCTCCATCACAACCCCCCCCTCCCGACAGACTGGAGTTATAAACCCTGCAGGACCCCCATACCCGACAATTCTGCTGAGGCACACTGAAGAAGAAGTTCCGTAATTTATAGACCGTTGCTTGAAACTTTAGCTGAGTGTTGTTTTATGAATACAAAGAGTATCTAATGCTACAGATGTAGCAGGAGGAAGAAATACTGTGAGAATGACTTCTGTGTTTAAAATCGAACAGTTTCAGGTGTCAAAGTGTACAAAAGAGCGGTTTGTACGCCGTTCAACGACTTACTCTTGATGGAGGTCATTTACTACATCTGTTTGTGAGTGTGTGAGTGTTTGCGTGTGAGTGCGTGAGGTTACATTGTTCAGTTACTCAGTCGAGTGAGAGACAGCTGTGACACTGGCATCACCATCCCGACCTCAGAGCTGCCGTTTGTCTGGATGTGGCTGGTGTAGCTTGATATTTTCTCGTTCAAACAATCTACCTCTCAGACATTTTTAGATTTCCATACAGTTGTTGGGATGCAGAACTTGTGATTTATTTTCCTTTCCAACTCTTCGTCCACATCTAGTCTCAATTCAGTGTCTGTGGCTGACGCTAGGCTGTCACACACAAAGGCCTCACTGGAGGGCACCACATCAGGACAGTCTCAGTTTTCTGACCATCTTCTTGTCATTTGCTGCAGCGGGTACCTTTGGCTATCTCCTCGTCCTGTATTTCCCGCCTCTTTGCTCCCTCACAACTCACCTCTTGTATCTACGACTTCTCCTCGCGCCTGTAATATTTGCTGTTTCGCTCTTTTTCCGGCTTTGTTTGATGTTTACCTCTTTGAATAAAACTGTTTTTCCCTCTATTCTCTTCAACTGTTGTGATTCTTCTTTTTTTCCACGTGCTTCCTCTTTCCTGATCACTGTGTGGCTCTGGGTTGTTTTGGGTTTCTAAGATATGTCAACCTGTGAGTGAATTGCTGTGTAATCCCTCAGTATCACTTATAACTGTATCACCTCATTGGCAAATGTTTCCCTCCAACAAAATGGAATAAATGTATTGATGCTGATCATGATAGGATGATTTCAGGCCACATGTCTTACCCAGACTCAGTTATGTCTTATTTATTTCTGAGAAAATTCAAACTCTTTGTACTCTGAAATCTGATAAGCCTGCTGGGTTCTTTTATAATGTGTGGATTTTAGGATTTTTCTTAAGATTGTTGAGAAAAGGTTTTGCTTATTTTTTTATTCTCAGTAAATGACTCACAGCAGGCCTCAAAATGAAACTGAAACAACCCTCTTTTTCTCTTTTCTGTTTCCAGCCTCATATTTCTGTGCTTTTTGCCTCATTGCCTTTACTTTTATCCATGGCACATTGCCACTTTTCTGCACTGTTTTATTAGCTTATAAGAATTTTCTGCTATAGTTCTGAAATTAGCCTTCTTTCTTGCTATCTGTAGATGACTTTTTAGTGTCTGCTGCCTTTTTTCTAATACTTCCCTCTTTTCTCTAACATTGGCCTATCCTCTTCTGCGTGTCCTGCTCAATTTCTCCCTGGAGATCAATAAAGTATATTCAATTCAATTCAATTTACTGCCAGCTTTAGTTTTTTTCCTTTATCTTCCGTGACTTTAAAACATATTCAAACTAGACTTCTGTCCCCTTCCTGAGTGTACATCTTATCTTCTTTTCCTTCAGCAACCAGACACGCCTACGCATAAATATTGAGCCATACGGTGTGTGCCTGCGTTCAATGAAAATATACCGAATAAAGAAATTGCTCAGCTTTAACAAAAAATCACTTCCTGTCTCTGTTTGTAGCTTGCTATGAAGTCCTCTGGGTCCAGACATCTGGATCTGTCTGCACCACAAAGACCAGTTGTCTCATGCCAGTTTATGCAACTCAGTAATGATCCCTCCAAGTTCAATGTTCTAGGTTTTAGCCTTTAAACGATATTTCATCAGGTTCAAAATCTCTGCTTGTCTTTTAAGGTCTGTGCTCTGTCCTTAACCTCTCCTCTGTAACTTAATGATTTCCTTTCTTTTTGCTGCGTTTAAGCTTTTGTTTTTCCGACCATCTTGGACAGCCAACCTTTTTTTTTTATCTTCAGTTTTTCCAGCTGCCGTTTGCTCAAGAAAGGTCAACCATAACAGCTAAAAGGAAGTCACATTTTTTCACTAAATAATTAAGTTGAAATCTAATTTACAGAGAGCCACAGATTACTTTTACTCAGATGACGGTCTTTTATAACCAAAAGTTATCATGTAACCAGACTTTGGAGCTCGGTATAAAACTATCTGTAATGCTCGTTTACTTGTTGAACCGTAAAACTTCAGAAAAAACAAACCCCAGAAGTTCTTTATTCTTCACTTTTATTAACTCAAAAAGTATATACACAATATTTACAAAATGGCAGTTTTTCATATCGGATCTGTATGGGAGAGGGGGTGGGGTGGGGGCTGGGGAGAGGGCTTTGCAGATAAACCTTCAGCTTTGGTCGTTAGTGAGGTGCAACACAAACTATCAAAGCACTGCAGAAGTAATACAATACTTACTAGTGAGAGTGCCTAGCTGCACACAGCACATGGTCACAGACACATTTGACGTAAAAAGAATGAGAAGAACAAAATACAGGTTAGAGATTTGTGGAAGAAGAGCATCATGCGGGGGAGGGGAGCCGGCAGGCGTAAGAGAAAGTGAGAGGAGAGAAAAGACGAGTCCAAACAAAGACTAGTTAAATAGAAATGGGAGGAAATTAACACGGGTGAGGGAGGGAGATGGGAGATCTTCCAAAGCCAAGTGTCAAGGAGGGAGATACAGAGACTAATGAAGGTATACAGTAACGTGGGAGCAAATAAAACAAAAAAATACAGGTAACATGACTGACACCGCAGGAAAAAAGATAACTAAATGAAAATGTGCATTGTTAGTCATTATTAATTGGATTCTCTATGAAAAAAATAAACATCCTGAGGTATCACACTTTCACAATTTAACCCTGTCTGTTAAAAATCCTACAGATGTCATCACCGGGCATTTGTAAAACGGAGAAAAATCTGAAGGCTGTATACTTTAAACAGTCCCTAAATGCAGCTGATTGGGGAAAATGGTATGTTCTGCATGTCCAGACACATTTTGATGTTAAGGGAAAAATCTTTGGAAGCTCTAAATGACCACTGCAAATGAATCCGTCAGTCTAACAAACAAAAAGCAGATGGCTGCTAATGAGGGAAAGTCTTAAAAAAAAAAAGAAAAACGAAAGAAAAACGAAAGAAAAAAAAAAGCCCTAGGTTTTCTTTAGAACACTGGAGGCGAATTGCTCATCAAGTACAAATGCACCTGGACAAACAGACTGTACACAGTCGATCATCGAGCACACAAAAGCATCTTAAACATTGGGGTTAGCAGCAGATCAACTTTCCACATTTCATCATGTGTGGCTCCCGTTTTTTTTTTTTTTTTTTTAACCAGCTGCGTGGCTTCAACGTGAGCGGCTCAAACCACGACTTGCCCACAGCCGACTCTCCCCGGCGGGCGTCTGGAGGCCGTGCGCCCACTTTCCCCTCCGTGTGCTCCTGCAATGCAGCAGTGCTACAAGCTGAAGAACGAGAGGTGTGGCGGCGTGTGGGAGGAGGGTTCAGGGAGCGAGGGGAGGGAGGAGGAGAGAGGAGGGGGCAAATGAAGGGGGGAAAGAAAGGACACATGTTGAGATCACTGTCAGTACAAAGTGTCTGCTGAAACAACAAACTGCCTCACAAAGCGCTCATCTGGGAATACAGGATCGTTACTAAAGCTGCTACTAATTAGTTTTGGAGGACGATAGTGTCACATGAGATGGTCAGAAGTGACAGACTGCCTACAGGGACACTTGGTAACAATTCTGTTCATGTGGTCATGTCTGGGCTGGTTTCACTACGATTTGACCTGACAGGCCTCGATAAAGCTTCTGGCCCCGGATCAGGATTTTCCTCCACTGCAGGCAGCCAGAGCACATGAGCCCAATCCAGAGCTGTCTGCTATCCGAGTTCACATGTTCACATATATCATCACTTCTTTTTTTTAAGAAAAAAAAAAACGCCCCCCGAAAAACCTCAAACTTACCCATATGTGAAAAAAGGAAAACAAAGACCTATGCTATGCACTATTTTAAAAGAAAGAAATCACATTATGATACAGCATTTACAGCAATATATTATGTTAATAGGTGAATCATTAACATGTAGATTGTACAGCAAATCACTCTGTAATACGTCAGGCTCAATGTCTCTGCAATGGAAATAAATACCATTTAATAAAAGAGCCCATTTAGGAGGAGCATTCAAAACAAAGACCTCATTTCCAGAATGTGGCGACATGCGGTCCGACTGCTGGTATGGATTACTGTTCCCTGACATTTAGGAGCAGTTTGCAATCATAACGAGTAGTGAAACCTGTCCCCCTCACCACTAATGATGTAAACTACAACCTGCATTGACCTGGATCACTCTGGTCCCTGAAAAGGACGAATGACCAGGCACCGCAGAGAGCTCAGTGTAGCTGGCTCGGTGATCAATTAGAACGAGGATTTTCTGTTTAGGCTTTATACTGTGTGCTCCAGATAAATAAATAAGGCTCCAATTCCGGCTCCTATTTTACACATCTCATAAGTATTAGGGGGAAAACAAGCCTGAAAAGCACTAGTCTGCACTCAACTCACACATCGCTCTTAATCAAATGGCTGCCTGCACGGCTCTGAATGAAATACTCGTCTTTTGTGGCTTTCAGACAGCTGTGTGCATCCCTGCAGTAAAAATTCATGGATCTTACCACCTTTAGCTTTGACATTTTAGGATATTGCCAAAGTTGTGTAGACACTTAATTAGTCCATAAAGAGAGCTGTAAACTCTCCTTAAACCCAGAGTTTAGTTCCATAATCCTTTTTCCCATTTTGATTAGAATACTGGTACCAAGAGGGGAAAAAAGCAAACAAAACCAAGAAAATAAAAACGAAAAATAAAATAAAACAAGACATACAACAGTTAACACGGAAGACGTGAGGCGACATCTGCGGTGCCGTCATCCACCTCCTTCCAGAAGTCCCTCTCTTACCGGCCTCGGACACATCGGGGCCCGATGTCGCATACAAACCACTGGTGATTCCCTTGTGATGATCCTCCGCGCAGAATTGGCTGACTGCTGCTGGGGCGGGCTGCAGGCGGAGGGCAGGAGGGCGTCTTGCTGGTCTGCTGCTGAACAGGACTCCCCTGGAGGCCATCTTGGGATGCAGGAGCAAAACCCGCTACCAGCGGGCCATGTGGGAGAAGAGACGCATCTTCCAGGGTAGGTCGGAATGCGAATCTCGACGAGCGCCTTATCAGAAAGTCAATGCCACTGAGATTGAGACTTCTTCCCGGTGCCAGCAGAAGATTTGGGCTCTGTGAACAGTGGATTAAGGCTGTCGTGGCAGGAGAAACAGCACAGACCTCAGTCCATGGGCCACACGGGGATGAGGGACAGAAGCAGACGTTGGCTGGAGATACCTTGAGAAAACTTAACTCAGGCAGGACATACAAACCACCACCTCTTCTTTCAGACAAAGTGCTGGCCTCTTCTCACAGTCTTTAAGCGAAACGTAGCAGTGACTTGGCTCTGACAGCGTGAATCCAAACTGCGGAGCGCCGGGTCAGACGAGGAGCGGTTTGAGTATCCCTTATGACCGACAAGATGTGAATCTTCTGGTCTTTGAGCTGTTTACTTGAGGAAGGAAAAAACATAACAGAACACTGTTAGCGCTGTAATCTGATAGGATGAGGGAAAAGGAACCCTTAGGGTGAGTATCTCCCTGCTCTGGGTTTGGGACTACTTGCTACCAAAGTGTGGCGATAACATGATCCCAAAGATAAACAGCTCCCTTCTCTTTTTCTAGATGTGGGGTGATGGGACTTTAGGCTATCTTGCAGTATTTCCAGATAGTGTGTGCAAACATGTGCTCCCTAGTTTTAAAATAAGTTTTTATCTCTCATGGGTTAATTTGATCTGCATTTGATAACAGAATCTTTCTATTTAAGTCTTACTGGAGCTGCCTGCCTTTACTATCTGACGTGCAGTGTGTTGAATATGACAGGGATCCAACATGGACCCTAAGTGTGTTTCTTCCCTGAGCTAACTCTGCTCCCTCAGGAAGCAGCCAAGGAGGCTGAGCTGGTTTTGCAGTCTATCTTTGTGGGATCAGAGGGAGTGAAGGAGACACCTAGAGTGGTTAAAAAGGCCATACAGGAGTCTAAACATGTGAAGCCAAGAGCAGTTTGCACATACTCCACAGGCAGGTCAGGTCTGAATCTGTGGACAGAGGAAACACAGACCCAAAGTCAGCATGCAAGAAACATGGGATGTCTGTCAAATTGGTAATGATACAAACATTTTTTTAAAACATTTTGATAAAAAATGTTTGGGAGTCTGACGTACGTTTTAACTATGGCCCGAAGCGCCAACTTTCTTTCTCTTTCTACAAACTTGTCAATGAGATATGAAGCCATGCGTGGGGCTTCCAGGTAAAGCTTAAAGAAACGGCGGAAGTTCCCCAATGCCCAGGCAGCTCGCAGTGCAAGAGCATGAGCCACACAGACATCAGCCCGCAGTGCTGGGGTTAGGTACACCAGCTCAGTGGTCAGGTCTGCAGGGGAAAACCAACAAACAGCATTAAATGAAGCAGAGGTCAAACGAAAGAAGAGAAAGTCCTCCGTCAGATGTGAGCTCACCTCCAGAGTTTTTAGTGAAGATGTAGTACAGCAATCTATAAGCTGTAAACTCTCCGATGTTCTCTGAGGGAATTTCCTTGTACAGGGCCTTCAGTTGAGTCTGGCACTGGTTAAACTCCTCATGGTCTCCCTAAAGAACATTAGCAATGTGTTAGGACAGGACACGTCCATCTGTGGATGTGCAGTAACAGAGGCTCACCTTTTCCAGGGCAATTCGCGCATGACACTCGTACACTTCCACTGTGAAGTCAGTACGAACTCCTTGGACCTACCAGGATGAAGGGGCAAATTAACTGGACGAAGTACGACCGAACTAATCCAGTCAGCAGTGAAAACTGTTACAGCGTGGAAACATGAGGATAACCCACCGTTAGGTCCTGTCGTATGGACTTCATCTGCTCACAGGCGTAAGCGTAGTCCTGATTGTTTTTCCAGTGCGCTTTGACGGCCTGCAGAGATTTTCTAAGCACCTGGAGAACAAAAGTGGACGGATGGATTAGAGCTGGGACCTCAATACTTCATGAACAGCGCATACAGCCATTATACAAATCTTTCTTCTCCCTTTCATTCCTGGTGAAAAACGTGCTTAGCAGCTTCTTTAATAGCAGAATTTAGCCATGTAAGGTTAAGGAATAACGAGCATTCATGTCCATGAAGAAAACCCACCTGCACAGGGCGCACAGTAGAAGGGTCTGGGGCACAGGTGAGCCTGAGGTAGGGCTTGGTGATGTCCTGACACGACCCCACGATGGGGCAGTCCTCCCAGCTAAGGCCTTCCTGTGTCCCGTCAGGCACCTCCAGGGAATTGATGGAAAGCACCAGCGGCTCAGAGCGGAGCTGTTTGTGGAAGCGGGCCGCCCTGCTTTGCTTCTTAGCTTCTCTGTCTGGGTCATGGAAATCTAAACCAGCGTTGCCGCCCTTCCTTTTCTTTCCACCACTTGAATTTGAATTACCAATGTTCCTGATAGCAAAAAAAAACAATCTCACTATTTTAGATTGGAGCAGAAAGTCAAGAAAAGAGCCGTATAATTCACCTCCTTCCTCTGTTGGCTTTCCCCCCTCGTCCGCGTCCCCTCTCTCCGCGTCCCCGATCCCTGTCGTTGCCGCGACCACGCGCTCCTTTCTGGCCTCTTCTTGACAGCTGAGGGCGCAGGTCACTGGAGATGCTGCTGTCTGACTGTGAGCCAGAGACACTGAAAACAGAGGGACACAAGATGTGAGGTGGGAGTGCACGGGCACCCTGAGGACGCCCAGAGAAGCAAGCCATCCCATACCTCCGCCTGTGCCTTTGGTTGCTGCGGTCTCTGTGGCGGTTGTATGAGGGCGACGGCGAGCGTGAGGAGGACCGTGATGAACTTGAAGATGGACTCCTTTGAGAAAAAATATTCCTGTAGTGGCCTAATCTGTGTCCAATTCCCCTGCCTCTGGAAGCACCAGGCCCTCCGTTTCCACCACGGCTAGCTGAACCGTCCCCTGCTCTTTGGGATGACAAGGCCTCCCAGCGAGACTGCTTGGCCTTTAACCTACAGAAATACCAAGTTCTCAGGCAATCGAATAACCGGTGCGGTTCATTTTATTGACAGCGATTACAGCATTTTCTAACCAAACCTCACGGCTAAACTCACTCTGGTAGAGGTTCGTGCGTCCAGTCGATGGTGTAGGCAGAGCCATCCTTTAGCCGCTCCTGCAGCACCTCCTTCAGAACCTTTTCTGTGCGGTCTTTGTCTTCCTCCGTCTCACATGCTGTGAAACAGCGCTGCACGTACTCCTTCATGGCTTGGGGCCAATCCTGGGGTCTGAAAGGAAAAAATGTACACCAAAAAAAATGATTTGCAGGTCATGAAAGAAAATGACAGCACCATGTGAGTGGAGATGGAGCCGTGCTTACCTTGTCTGAGCGCCTCCAGGTGCAGCGCTGGCAGTGGCCGGCGAGGACGGGGTCGGATTCAAGCCCGATGGCTGCTCATTTGGCTGGAAGGCCTGATTCGCAACTGGGGCGCACTGAACCTGATAGGGCCTCTTGGGAATATTGAATTTCACAGCAGCTGTCCCTGGGGCCTCTGTGAGAGCAAAGAATGATAAGGTATACAACTTTTTAGTTGTAGGTTTCCGCGTGTGTTAGTTGCAAGTGTTGTTAACATTTAACAAGCCAACTTGGAGAAACAGCAAATCTTACGCTTCATGCGGTGCCAGAGTTGTTGTCCTTGTTTTTGGTTTTTGTTGCCCTCTCCCCTGCCAAGCCCTGGAACGTACTGGTTCTGATGCTGCTGCATCTGGGAGTTATTTTGAGAGGGCTGATAGGTATTTTGGGCCTGGAAACTTTGGTTATAGTTTGGCCTGGCCTGGGAATGATTGTAGACCTGCATTTGGTTGGGGTCATTGGATGGATATGGCATACTGTTGTTGGCACTGTAAGCGTTTTGTGAAGGGAGTGGGGGATACTGGGAATTGGGTGATGGGGGAATAGGTGGGGGTGGGGGAGGAGGCTGGTTCTCAGAGGTAGTTGGGCTCTGGGGTGGTTGTGGAGCAGCAGGGGGAGGAGGCTGTGGTTGGGACGGATAGCTAGGGGACTGGTCTTCCATTCCAGGCACTGGAGGAGGCTATGAAGAGATAGAGAAGCTATTCAGCACTTTAGCTAAATTAGACTTTGTAACAATCAACAACCTAAATATTTGCCTTAAAAGTATATCAGAGTCACTCAATCAGTTGTCTTTCTCTAAGATTCATTGGAACGAGGTGCCTTGAACGGCATCAATGATTCATTAGTAACAAACACCTGTACCTGTCCATTGGACGTTGGAGCTCCTGGGTATGATCCTTGAGGTACACCATACTGATTGGCTTGATATGGAGTTCCATACTGGACATGAAGAGAAAGCACAACCCTCAAATTCTCGTGTTTTTCATTTTGATGGTATTGTTTGTACTTGTGTTTAAAAGAAACAAAAGGTGAACAATCCTTTTTGTACTCACTGGTCCCATGGGGTAGTAGTAGTTGTAAGGGTATGTGTATCCAGGGTAATGCTGCTGAGTTTGCTGGTACCACGGATAGTACTGCTGCTGAATGGCAGCTGCATCAGTTACTGCTGGCTGAAACTGGCTAGCCTGAAATGAGCAAGATGCACAAATGGCCACCACATGTTAGAACAACTCACACGAGAGGAAAAAAAATAAAACATTTATGTTTAGAAAACTGGTAAGGTATGAGGACTTCATATTGATTTATCTAACGCTTCACTTTAAGAATGAGCACCCTGGTCACTTACCAAGAACAGCTGGCCTGATCTTACTGGATCAGGTTGCATAACAAGTTACTGAAGGCGCATATGTATGCATTTACATTAACCGACATGAACTGTAGGCATCCAGTTCAATTCACAGTAATCTAAAGTAAAGAGACTGGGACCTTAGTTTCTGCCTAATGCCCACCTCTAAGAAGCCCATGTGCTAATCATGGGAATGTCTCACTGAATCTCCAAGGGAGACCACCACAAAGTGAACACAGAGCCAAGTATAAACTGGTCAATAACTACTTCTGAGCAGCCCATGTCTGGTAGGAGAACCCTGACATTTCCAACAACAACAGTAAGAACATGTACCTCCGCTGCGCCCAGGTTTTCTTGTGAAGATTTGGCAGAGGTCTGACTCTTGTTGATGGATGCAAGCGCTTGCCTTGCTTTCTCCCATTCTGGATTTTCATGGACCTGCCCATCTCCAGACGACCCATAAGACCTGCCATCATGGTAGAAAGACTTGTCAGTGTGTGTTAGGAATTTAAATTAACATATCATATATTTAGACTCTAATAAGAAGGAAGTAATGGCCATTTCTACGAAGCATATGTTGCACACATTTCGTTGATCTAACCGACAACAGTCTGGTGAAAAGTTGAGTTTTACCCAGAAACCTACAAGATTTTTTTCACGTTCCTTGGATGAGTTCCAATACTACAAATAGAAAGTTGTCAATAAGATTCCAATATGTTCACAAGATGTAACCAAAATACAGATTATTTCTTAAAAACCGTCTATTACGAGGCAATCCTTTGATGTTCGTATACGTTTCTCAAATGCTTTTATTTGGTCATATTTATCGAACTGTCAATTCCCCCTTTCGTAACTAAATCTACTGTCTCAAAACATTTAATCGACCACACAGAACCGTTGTATTTTCAACAGACGCCAGCTTAAAATACAGAAGCTAACGAAAGAGCCGTTAGCCAAAACAACGGCCTATGCGTAGAGCCAGCTAATTTGAGAAATGCCGCTTCTTGTCAAGTCCTATGTAAAACAGTCTCATAAACGCTAATTGAAATGGCACTGGTAGATACACGACATCAAACATCGAAAATGAATTAGCTACTTCGACTGGATGCAGGACCTATACGTGAAGGGTGACCTACCAGTTTGCTGTGGGAGCCGCTTGTGCTGTGTTGGCCGCCATTTCACCACAGGCTTAGACGAACGTTAACACCACGGCAGTTGTTCGCTAGCAAAGCTAGCTAGCTAACTCCGCCTGCGTTAGCTCCTCTACCGCAAAATGTAAACAAGATCAAATCAAACCGGTTGTCAAACTATGTAGATATGCCGCAAACAGCCCATCGACCCCTGTGACATCACTTAAAACTTTAATGCAACTCAAATAATATATTTCTGAAAATAAGAGGCAATAAAACTAGGCAGTTGATAATCTGTTTGTTTCCTCTTTGGTGACCAACTTCGTCTGACCAGACTGTAGAGATACAAAATGGCAGATAAGCGACTGAAGCCAAGTCAAGTCACATTGACACGTTGGTGTCTATACCCAGGGTAATGCTTTTCAGGCAAGCCAAGGCACATATTGACGGCGTCTTTTGTGCCGCCCTCTAACGTCTCGCCCAGTCAAATTTAAGTGAAACTTTAACTCAGAGCCCTATTTATCTTCTGGGTTGTCTATCACAGGGGATGGGGCGGGATGGGATGCCTACAGGCATTGCGCAGGGAAAAATAATACACAATATTCTGCAAGTCAAGTCGTCTGGAAATCAGAAAATAAAAACACTTCCATAAAACGAGAAAGTATACTGTGTATAGTAATACAATATTAAATGATAAATTATATTATGTGTTTTGCCGATGGCAATAATTACCTTCTGTATCACAGCAGGGCTAAAAAGCCATTTCCCGAAAACACATACTTTCAACACTGAGCTAAAACTGAAGGATTGCTTTAGTGTCAATTCTGCAATTAACCTAAAGAACATCAATCATTAAAGAGTCAGCTTCAGGGGCCCCATAGCAACCCTCATGTTTCTTTGTCAGGTTTTTAAGTTTCCTTGCGTCACTGGCTCTGAAGCTGCGGCCCCAACAGATTAGAAAAGGAGATTGGACTCAACCACAGTGCTATCACCAATGACCATGTACAGTTTTATTAACTAAATGTTTTTATTGTGCATAGATACGATGGCATGTAGGGAAAATGTAAAAAATCTTGGGTGAAATCTCTGTCTCATCAGACAAGGTTATGCCTTTTGTCATAATGATGACTCTACATGTGTAAACATAAACTGTACTTGTTTGGCAAAATCTGTAATACTGCAGGTAAATAATTGGAATACAATATACTGGCCTTTTATCTTATGATGTTCAGCAACAGTGTTCACTTAAGGGTTTAAGATTATTATCTAGAGTTCTACAATAGATCTTGCCAAACATATCCATGAAAGTCTGGTCTGCAGCACGTGCTTGAAAATGTTTTAGGATTAACCATATGTCTGAGAACTTCATCCAGTCGAGGTACTCATTGTTCTTAACACCCGTGGATCTTATGCAGGCCCAGTTTTCCTCTTGGCACTTCCTGTGAAGCATGTACAGCTGCGGGATATGTGTGTGTGTGAACGTGTGTGAGTGTGCATCACAAGGAAGGGAGTCATTTCCTGTTGGAGAGTCTCCCACAGTAAGCCCCCAGAGGTCCTTTGGATGTCTTACAGAAGTGTAAATGTTAACTGGAGCTGTTAATGCATGTGTAATTCATTCCGAAAAGTTGTTAAAGGTGGTCATCACCGTTAAACCTCCATATGTTTTTGGGCTGTGATTTATTTATTTTTTCTTTATTGAGCTCTATATAGACCTTAAATGTTGACACAAAAAGTAAACAGAGTAACTATAACTGGAGAGCTTAGTGTTGTCACATCTGAGTAATCCTGTCTGATTTCAAGAGTCCAGCTTTCAAGTGGATGAAATTGCATAATTTCCAGACCATTTCTCACAGTGAGTGATGAATAACTCCCACTCATTGTTGTCTTGCTGGCGACATCATCTCTAAAGTATGTGGAGCGGTTGTTGTGTGATCTCACAACAATGACTCACCACTTAGAACCATTGTCTAAATACCTGGGATGTCTGTTGTTTTTCTAACCCATGGAAGGAAGCTGGGTAATATGGACTCCTACAAAGCCTCTAATATTGTTGGTCCAGTTCCAGTTATTTTGCCGGGATCTCTCAAGAAGATTACTGACAAATTGCATGGGTAAGGGTGGCGGTTGACTATGTGAGGTAATTATGCAGCATCCTCCCTTTAAAAATATGATGTTGTCAACAAGGTGGGGCCATATAAATATAAGTTGTCTGACATATTTCGACTGCTTTCCATTAAGGACGGCATAGCTGAGTTTTATTTTAAGTTCTACGCTTCGTAATAATCCACAAAAAAACTGACATGTTTGCCGTAGCGCCGTAGTGGCGTCCTTCCATAAATCTTAAGATTTTTTTGCAACCCCTCATGAGTTCGAACTCAAATTATACAGATTTCTATACTGTGGGCTGGTCCTGGACATTTTAAACTCCCAGAAGAACTTGACACTTACATGGGTGAATGCGGCAGTGGTTGTTTATAACTTCCTCAAATTCTTCCTCTGGAAAGCTGTGTGTTAGTAGTAAATGTGGCAAAATAAGGAGAGCGCTTTTGAGTTTTGTAGTAAGTTGCTGACTTGCAGGATTAATTAAAGATTTGTTTATTGATAGAATTCAAAGGATAATTCTGGATGCAGGTTTAATTATTTCACATAAAATATATTTTTTTTTCAAATCTAGCTCAGAAATCTATTCAAAGATTTGTAACTCTTCAACTACTGGTTGGTCCAGATTAATAAAAACACAGACTAACCAACGATAATTTAATATGATGTCAAACAAGGTGTTTTTGTTTTGTGAATTGGTACACGGTCCAGCTGCTGCTGTAAACCCCAAATCCTATTCACACCTGGAATTCAAATGAATCTTTGTTGATCCAATCAGGAGTTCTGTTACCATCTGGGTTTCCTTCTTTTAAGAGGACAGGGCCCACACTGCCAGACTGTCCTGCTCAGCTGACACTCTATCCGATTTATGGACTGCTAATAAATGCATGTGGGGTCACAGAACAAATTTAGACGTGTTAGACGGTCTATAGGGAGAGGGAGGAGGGCCTGAGGGTGGAGTAACTGATGGTTTTGAATTGCCTTCCTATTGTGACTGGTTGATATTAATAACAAGTCTGTGCAATTACTGGGGAAAAGGTGGGATGCATTTTCTTACAACTGACCTGTTGGATTGAATCCACTGAAGAGAGTTTCAAAGGTGAGTGAAGCTACTGATATACTCAGCTGTGGTTTGTAGTGATCTGTGACCGATGGTGACATTTAAGGCAACATTCACACATTTAAACTAGTGCTGATCAAGGGGCCCTGTGGACACAGTGGACAAGGCTTCTCTGGACAAATCACATTAAAAGTTGGGTTTCTGGTGTTCAACATGCAGATATATAAGATGTAAAAATAGAGTCATTTCTGATTTTCATTGACAGCCCCATTCTTTCATTGTGTTGGTTTATGGAGGAATTGGTGGTATTTCTGCCCTATGGAGGTGGTTAACTCAAAAAGTGGGGGTCAGTTGGCACAGTTGTGAGAGGGTCTTTTTTGTTATAATGCAGCTGCTGTAAAGAATAAAAAAAAAAAAGTTCACTGTCACATTTTTGTCTTCCACCGCTCTGCCGGATATAAGATACTCTGTTATGATCATTGAATTTCTATCCATTATATTGGCACCCTGTTTGTCTGAGAAAAGTCACAGCAATCGTTATACAAACAGTCCTTTGGCTGTTTGAACCCACTTTCTGGAGCTGTTTCCTGTTTAGCTCTCCTTTTTAAAAACATCTTCTGGATACTTGTAAATATGGGCCCATCTGTCCACCAAGTTTGCTTTTGGATGGCTCTCTGCACGTTTGGCTGTGTAGCTTTGGCAATAACCTGCTTCCAAACACGCAGAACACAGACCAACATCAATCTTAACTCGAACATAATTGCGGGTACGATTTGATGTTTTTTTTTTTTTTTTTAAGTGCACATTACGGCCTGCACACGTGCCTCTCTGACACAAACTGACCCAGGCCTGATTCCACAGGCGCCCCCGGCCCCCTCGGCGGCAGGTAGAGGTCAGCTGGTCCGGTTTGCGCTCAGACCCCGGCGGCCAGTGGCCCCGGCGGCCAGTGGCCCCGGCGGCCAGTGGCCCCGGCTGCCAGTGAGAGGCTGGTCCAGCTGCGCCTGCTGCGCTCTCAGCGCTCCGCGGCGCGTCACTTCCTCAGCCCGTGCCCATCCCTTTGGAAAGAGAGAGAAAAAAAAGAAAAAAAAACTCACACAGGCGAAACGACGGCGAGGAAAGAGCGAGGGAAAAGTCGAGAGGGAGGCGAAAGCGAAAAGCCAGATGAAAAAGCCAGACGCTGCGTCGGGAGCCAGCAAAAGTCAAGAGGATACGCGTTAAAGTAAGTTTTTAGCCACTTTGAATGTTTTTTTTTGGGGACCCTCGTTTCGCCCTGCTGAGAGGCAGAGCTCTGAATTGATCCAGACGCTCCTCTCGTTGCCTAACACCCGCTGTTCTCGCTGGTAGGGGCTGGTTAAAGTAAAAACAAACAAACAAATCGACGAGTGTATCTTTTATACACTTTAATAATTACTAGAAAGTGTCAGGGGTTTGGACCTGCCCCCCCCCCCACCCCCCTCCTGCCCTACTAAATGAACTCACTCAATCGCATCCGTCCAATGGACCCTGGATTCTGCCAGAGGTTTACAGTATGTTCAATGTGAGAGACAAATTAACTAATATCCCACACATGGGCTATTATTGTTGAGCATTAGACAACGGTGTTGAGTTGTTGGCTTCAGAAGTCATATGTCTAGCCCTCAAATAGCCGTTTGAGTGAAGATGAATCTTGGTGGAGAAGGTTACAGTCTTGTTTTTGTCTCCACACACCCCTGAGGGTAGAGAAAAGTATGTGCTAACGCTGCATGGCGTGCTTGGAGTACAAGTCTCAGCATGGCCTTCACAGTCACACCAGAGCAAGAAAACTTGTTGCTTTCCCACAATATTACACAACATAGTGGATTTTCACACTCTTATCAGCGGCTTCAACCGTTCTGCTTTTATAAACGTGATGATTAACCCTACATGCTCTGCTGTCTGTCCCCTGTTACCCCAGTTTCTTTCCAGCTATGCCACTCCACAAATCCACTCGGGGCCCTCGCCTGGACCCTACTATGATCTCAGCCCCCTTGGGTGACTTTCGCCACACCATGCACATTGGCAGAGGAGGGGACACTTTCGGGGACACCTCCTTCCTGTCCACTCTAGGCCCAAGCTCAGCCAGTTCTGACCTGAGTAGTTCAGGGACCATCCCCGCTGGAGACCCCGAGGTCAACCACAGTGATCTATACACAGATGCTCCGGGAAGCCCACAAAGCTACCAGCTCCACCACTCTGAGTCAGTGTCCTCGTTCACCCTGGACCTGGATCTGGACCTGGGCCCGTCTATGCTTGGGGATGTATTAGGGGTCATGGATGGGCTGGTGCTGGACGCCAATGAGGAGGATGTGTTCAACTCCCAAACTGGCAACTCGGTGGTTGAGGTGAAACAGCGCAAAGGGCCCACAGATTTGTCTGTGAACAAGCAAAATGAGCTGAATGGCCAGAACCCGGACGAAAACCAGGTGGGAGACGGCAGGATACCAGATGGGAACGGAATCAAACCCAAGGGGATACGGCCAAAAGTTCGATTCAGCGACAAGCGAGAGGAGATCATTCGGCAGGTATCTGAAGAGGAGGAGGGTGAGGGCTTCGAATTCCAGGATGAGGATCAGATTGGGTGTCTCAGTCCAACAAGAGGCGGGAGCCAGAGGGGAAGGAGCCCGGCAGGTGAAACTGACTTCCCTAACCACAAAGCCGATTTGCCCCCCAGTCCTGCCTCCTCACATAGCTCAGAGTATGAAGGAGTCACCCCTTTGGACAGGAGGAGGGCTGGCAGCGGCCACTCAGAGACTGATTCAGAGGAGGAAGAGGAGGAGGAAGCAGGACGGGGCTACACATTTGAAGATGAGTTCGATGATGAAATTGGTTTATAGAGGGACGTGTTACTTTGACCTGAGAACACATCTTTGCTGGCAAGTACAAAGCGTGCTGTATGCTGTGTACTTTAACTCATCATCTTACTGTCATCAGAAAAGAATATTTCTGAATCCAGACTGGACTTTTTGAAAAAATCTGCCAGGGGTGTATGGCTACGACGACATTGCTCAACTGGAAAATGCATTTTTCTCTTTGTCGGCATGGGTAACAGACCCGTACAGACGGTTTGAACAGTGAAGAACATCTGGGCTGCAACTGTGAAACGTTTGTAGCACTTTTGACTTCATTCTGCTGGATGCTTTGCTGTCATGTTGAAGCTCTGGAACACTTTGGTCAAGCTTTGTGATGGAGGTTTGCTTTATTAACTCCTATGTCTTATATACGACATGTAACTTGGACACAGTTGGTGCTGTGCTTAAAAAAATCCTCATTGTGCCTTAAAGGGAGCTGTACGCTTGCATTATTGTACCTTGTGCTGTATCATTGCCTTAATGTTCGCATTTCTTGAACTGCATGTTCTTTTCAGTTTCGTACATTTAAAAAGCTTTACAAAGCGCTCTCAGAGACGGCGCGATAACGAATTGCCGTGAATTCGTCACATTCCACATCTTCCAGTGCAAGGATTCCTGTGTCAGACCAAACCACATCTTAAGTTTTTTTGTGTTTGTTTTATGCTTCTTCTTGCATGCTCTTAATTTACCAAAGATATCCTTTGTGCTGTTTAGTTGGTTTGGGTATATACTTGGAGGAAAAGACAATCATGGGATCTTAAAGATTAATTATAAACTAAGAATAGCAGTTTATTTTTTTAAAAGCCTTTGGCTTGCATAAGGCCACCCCCCCCAAATACTTTGGTTTCACAATGCTGCGAAAGGGAGATACCAATGCACTCATCTGTTGGAAATGCTGGTTTAAGCAGTTGTTACCCTGCAATTTATTGTTACAGTCAAATAAACTTATTGGGACTAAATAACAACCAGGCTTGACTGACTTCATCTGAGAGTCTCTTGCGACTGAGCGCCTTTATTACAGGATTTAATAAGTCATCACCATTCTTGTTATAGAGTTTAGAGTGTGACCGTCTCCTGCCAGATGCCTTTAAAGAGTCTCAGACCGGAACAAAGTGTGGCCCGTGGCGCCTGCACTGAGATCACAGAATTTTAACCGTGTTCGTTCCCGGGGACGTGCCCGCACCTCGTGTTTACTGCAGTCCAGACCGACTCTGCTGAAACGTTTAGTGTTCCTGAAGCAGTGAGACGTGCGGCAGCTGGTAGCTATCATTTCAAAGATTTTATTTTAAGCATTGAGCGGGGAATACCTAAAAATAGTTTGCACATCTGCCAAACACACAGGCAGAAAGTTCAGGGTGGCAGATAAAAGGTCAGAAATACAGTTATTACTTACATAGCTACTATATGTACATTATCTCTACACGCGCACTTCTGATCTAGATGCAAAGTGGTGGGTTGCGCTACAGCATTCAGCCGCTCGCTACACCGATATAGTCCTGAACACGTTGAACCCCGACAGGGCAGTGGAGATCATGACTCCGGGCGCTTGCGGATGCCAGTGGACCTCCTTGACCTCCGACTGACCCTGGTGCAGGAAGAGCAGCTGGGGGGGCAGGTCCTTGACCCCCTCCACTCGGGCGCCCACGTCGCACGACTCCACCGACAGGTCCCACTGGCTCACCACGTCGTCGGCGCCCGACGCGGCGAACACGCTGGAGTCCACCGGGTTCCACTCCACCGACGTGATGGGGGCGCTGTGCTGCTTGAAGCTGGCCACGGGACGGCCGGTCTGCGGGGGGGAGGGAGAGATGACCGCACGTCAGGCTGGTAGAGCACATGCACTTGCCTATTTGTTCAGGACTTCACATTTTTCCACCTCATTTAATGTAAAGGGGTGTTATTTGGACAATTTTTTGCAAGGTAATGACAGCATAATCCTCTCATTTTAAAATGGACTTCCTGTGGAAGGTGAATAATGACTGGCAGTGAGTCACGAGACAGAACAAATGTTTGCGGTTAGGCGGAGCAAGAGAACTGAGGTGATGGTAGATGTAAAAGAAGGCTCTAATTGCCGTTTGTCTTGCAGCGTTATCGGTGGATTACTTTGCAAGTATAATACTTGTAGTTTAAACCCTGTTATTATAAAAACCAAGGCATGGCTTTACTCTGATATAATTGGTATGGGTTTTGGCTTAAGGACGTTGGCTCTCACCTTAAACTGACGCAGGTCCCAGACTTTGAGAAGCCCGTCGTCGCCCCCGGACAGGAGGAAGGGCTCGCTCCTGTTCCAGCTGATCACGTTGATGTCTGAGGCGTGGGCGTCGTCAGCCGACAGCATGGAGTTTGGCGGGGCGCGGATGTCCCAGACCCGAATGGACTGGTCCACAGAGCAAGACGCAAAAACCTGTTGACCAGAAAAAACAAAACATTCAAACATTTAAAAACACGAATCCGAGTTGGTCGCCCCGAACCGGGAGCTGCCTTTCCTCAAATTTAGTATTATTTTTTCATTACGGTTTCTGTCCTTTTGTCTCCAAAACTTCCAACAACAAAGTGGAGCCAACAACGCCAGTTCGGCCGACTCATTCCAAGAATGTGTCAAACAGCAGACACTGATTTGACAGCATCACTCTGCGGGATGCGTGTTCTCATACCGCAAACAGGTTGAGTGAATGGGCGGCTCCATAACAGTCACTTCAGCTACAGTAACTGCTAAAAAACACATAGCTGCACTGTTACTGCATTCCAGTTTGTCACCGCACCCAGCCGGTAATAAATCCTGAAAACTGAACCTTTCGCCTCTTATTTGGCCACAGTGGAGACTCTGACCCAGCACTGATAGAGCCGGAGGGGACCACGTTGTTGAACCTACCGTGGCTTCGGTGGGCGACCACTGAAGGTCCTCCACGGACTTGCTGTGGGAGCTGAAAGGCCGTTGGTCGATCTGCCAGGAAGCCCCCCCCTCTCGCGGCTCCCACACATGTATGTTCTTTTTGCAGTCCCCGCTGACCAGTCGACCTGCGGAGACAAGGCGCATGCCTCCATCTTTGTGTCTGTGGCATGACGTGGTCATTAAAAGAAACAAGCTTCTCTCTGAAACGCTGCTTTCAGCTGAGGAGTTTTCTTCCAGAGTCTTGACTCGCCATATTTTGTAGCCGTGGAGACTTTTATTGACATGGACATTTTTAAAAGGTTTGTTTGCATTTTAAAAAATCATCCTTTGTCAGCCAACTCAGCTTGGATAAATTAATTTCTGTTCCTAAACAAAATGATGCCTCAGAGGCGGGGACACTCACCGGGCACTTTGGGCGACCAGTCCAGGGCAAAGCCCTCGCTCATGTGTCCCGAGAAGCTGAAGAGTGCCGGAGCCTCCTTCTGCTGTTGCAGGAAAGCCGCCATGGCGGCAGAACTGTGGACGGCCTCCAGCTGAGGTTGGAGGTCAAATATCTCCACCTGCCCCTTCTCTGACCACAGGGCAGCCAGGGAACGCTGCCCGCACTGGGTCACCTGCAGATGATGGAGTGGAAACATCAGTCAGAGTGCACGGAGAGTGTTTTATCTGGCTTCTTACTTAGGAGGGAGATGGCGACGCACTCGAACTCTGTTAATGCCCCCGTAGTGAGGCAGCATGGCCAGCTCCATCTGCGGCTTCTTGTCCTCCTCCTCTTCATCGCTCTCCTCCTCGCTGCTTTCCTCCTCCTCTTTCTCCTTCCCTGTGCCGTGTAGGTTGTGCATGCGCATGACCAGCAGCCTGCGGGAAAAGCCACGCCGTCAGCGTCACGCGGGGGGGGGGTAAAAGCCGACCCAGTCGCACAGACCCAAACGCACCCTGTGGTCCCTGCATTCTACCACCGAGAGTTTCCGTCCTCATTCTACCCCCGTTTGAATGTTCCACTGAAAGGAAAATGAACCGTGGGCAATTGTTGGGTTGACAGCAGAAAGACAAACGGAAACCGCTCACCACAAGAGAAAAAAAAACCTGAAAATATCTGAGCTTGAATCTGGGCTGTTGCTGTTTTGAATGTTTCATGTAACAATAGAAAGGATTCATTCATCAAATCTTGGGCAAAATTCTCCGAAATGAGAGGATTTTTAGACCCAGCGGTCTCGCCGTTGTCTTTACAAATATCCAAAAACAAGGTGTCTACACCTCGTAAACCCAGAAAAAACAACATTGTCCTATGCCTGCTGTTAGGAGTCAGAACAAGACAGCTGGCTGAGAAGACTAAAACAGACCGAGCGCCACTGTTCAAGTGTCGTCAGAGTCCAGATGTTGAAGGTCTTCCACTGTACACAACTGTCTTGTAGGTATGAACAAACTTTCCATGACTTTTGTGTGAACGAACTAAAACTAAGCAGTTTCTCCATCTTGGTGTAAACATCGGCCTTTTGTAAAACCAAAGACTCAAAAGGAGACACTGGCAACGCTTTGGTAATGTGTCCAGATTTGCCATCTCTGCGCTCTCCAATAATGGGGCAGAACGGGCAAATATTTATATACAACAACAAAAACCCAACACAGTTCAGACATTCATTAGAAGAAAAAAATATATAGGACTTTGCTGATCTCTCAAGAGCAATAACAGGCTACAAATGAACTTTATTTTTGGCTCTGATGGGATTTTCTTCTCATCTGTAACCTGTCTTTACACTGTCCTGAAATGGCTTGTGAACTGGTGCCATGCAGGTAAAGTAAGCAGAATTAAACCTGAGTCTTTCTCTGTTCATGCTTTTGTCTGTGGGCAGTGTGCAGATACCTGTTACCCTGTGTTAACATTATTTCATAACTGTCATAATCTGTCCTTTGACACCAACATTATCGTGCGTTGATGAGCACCTTCTTGAAAGATCCTCACTGGATCTTTCACCTTACAAGCAGAAATAGGAACAAAGTCATCAACAGTGGGAGGCGTGTGGAGGGCTGTACCTGTTCTTTAGGGCTGTTTCAGCCTGAGTTCCCGCACACAGCAGCATGGACAGAGGAAACTGCTCCCTGCTTTCTCCTTCTCCATCTTTCAAGACGTCAAAGCTCAGGCACGGAGATCCTGGACGTACACAATGGAGCCACGACACGATTTAAACACACAGATCCGAAATAATATAAACTTTGCCAGGGTTTTCTACTTGCCTGTCTGGCACTCGTGGTACATGCGGTACGCGGAGCGGTCCATTTCCAGCTCCTCTCCGGCCGGCAAAGGCTCGATCCCGGGGACGTACACTTTCCTCTCCCCTTCTCCATCCACTCTTTCTTCCTCCATGTCCTCCCCTTCATCCTCGCCGCTGCCTGCTTCGTCCATCTCCTCCTGCTCGCCCCGTTCTTGCTCAAACGTGTCTTCATCGGGCGCAGACATCTTGGTTGCCGACTTCCGGTTTATGGAGCGGCCACGTGGTTGGTTACCCCCTCCTTCTCCTGTCTCGCGCCGCAGCCCCCTGTCCTCCCTGTCTCTCCCTCCCTATTTACGGGAATTCAGCTGGCCTCTCTGGCGCTTGGCTCCCCGCTGCCAGGAAGGATCAGGGCTGCAAATATCTGGCTGCAAATATTTGTCTCGGGAATCGCCAAAACTACAATACCAAAGTATTAAATACTAGTAGATGCTCGGTGTCACCCCACCCCCCTTGGAAAAAAATATGCTTGATTAAGAAATATCATATCTGGAGTCTTACATTGAGTGAAAGTCATCAGGCAGTAAGTATTTACAAAGCAGTGCCTGGTACTGACACTGGAGCCCCTGTATTTCAGAGGGGAAAACAGGACTTGACTCACTGCTAGTAAAGACAGTGAGTCAATGCAGACATTTGTTCATTTCACTCTAAAATATGCCGAGAATCTGGCACAGTGATTACAAAGTCCTCCTCGCAATTCTTAAGAAGACCTTTTTCCATACCACTTTGTCCAAAAATGTCTCCTGGCTGTCACTGACTGTCCTTCCAATTTCTGACCAAGAACATTCAGGGGGAAATTTTTAGACTGGAGTCATGTCTGTTTCCACGGTGACAGCTGCAAAAAATACATCTGTAAGAATTGTGAAACTACTAAGGATGGTCCTACGAGGATAGCGGTGCACAATGCAATGTGTGTGCAAGCAGAGGCAAGTGCAGACAAATAAGGTGCATGATAAAGGATGCACTTTTACTTCTCATGTTGATCCAGATAGAAGTCGAACCAATTTAGATGTCAGAACATAATACCCCATCATCTGAAACATATCTTCATCAGATAAGATGCAGCTGTAAAGGATTTGTTTGTAAGAAATGACTCTCTAAAGTAGTCAAGGTTGAGCTCACATAAAAACAACAAGTTGTTGCTGGAATGTGAGATCCCCCCCACACACATACACACACACACAAAGAAAAACAAAACAACAACAAAAAATAAAATGGTTTTTACTGTAAAATAGCTGTGGACGGAATTAAATGTAGATGTACCATATTCTGTAAAGTTACACATGAATCGTAATGCATGTACTGTTAGTTAAATGTATAAAAAACACAAAAGCACTCGAGGTAAAACCCGTGTTTGCTCTGATTAATGTGCATGCAGCTTAATGTTTTAGCATGACAGTGCATCCTATTTGGATTATAACTGTGATGAAATGTACTCACTGTAAGTGATGTGTAGAGAAGCTATAATATATCCCCCTGTAATGAAGCTTATTTACATTACAATATGCATATGTTCATATTTGATGACAAAACAACAAAGACCTCAATAAATAAAGCTTCTCTGGATACATCTGGTGAGTCGAACCCAATACTACAACTCATATATCTAAGCGTCTTTAATTTACATTTATGTACAAAAGTAAACGCCCATACGCTAACATTTTCAAAATTTTTACATTTGCGCAACATTAATTGTAAACAGTGATAAAATCCACAAATATAATGGCTTATGTGCATTGGCTAGCTCAGCATGTATCTCTTGTTAGCATAGAAAGCACAACTAGCTGGAGCTCGTGGCTTGCTGAACAGAGAATGGCTATAAGATTTATAGAAATATATGTATATAAACACATATATGTATATATGTGTATATATACATATATAGATAAGCATTTATATATATTTATATTTGTGATATTACAGACCACTCTTGGACAGTGAACTTTGGACAATAAATGCAACCGGTGCATGTTACCTCATATTAACAATGCTTACTGCATTAAAACACAACAAAAACAATCATTCAGTGCCAGGAAATGTCTTGCATTTTATGTGCGTCTTCTAAAAACATCTTAGTTACTATGGCAGCAACCACCAGTAGAGTCTGAATAACAAAGGGCTCCAGAAAGAGGCAGAATAGCATAGGGATGGGGGCCCTCCGCTGGACAGTGGCTCTGTACCATCTATCATCTTGTCAGGCTGGCCTTCCTCCACCTCACTGATGGCTCGGGTGGTCAAGAGTCTGGCTCTTGATGGAAGATAGTCCTTTCTTTGAACAGAGGAGGGCAACGTGGGCAGTGGGCAGCTTTCAATCGATGGCAAGCACCCAACCTGGAGCCATCGAGTAAACAGTTCTGACGTCAGTTTCAGAAGTTCCTCTGGAGACGAAGATAAGGTGGGGAACTGAGTAAGATCAGTCTCCTCTTGGAATCTCTGCAACAAGGAAAACAGGCCATTAAAGGTAGAAACCCCCAAACATGGACAGTCTTCAAGAGATCTGCTCTGACTCTGCTATATTTAAACACTTACAGAAACATTGATTTCAATGCAGTCATCAGATAGGAATATCTTTGAAATCATTAACAGTCTTCACTATAAAAATGATGGTGTTGTGTTAATGTGTGTTGTGTTCTGACCGAAAAGCCTACCTCTGTATTTCTATTTTTGCTGATAATTTTATCCAGTGTCTGCCTCAGCTCAAGGATCAGGGAGTGATTTACATGCTCGTCCCAGAGGTTCCTGAGAAGCACATGCCAGGATGCCTGGAGAACCACTGCTGCAGGGAATATGCAGCACTGCAGGGAGAGGCAGAGCAACACAACAACCCCGACGTTACTACAGACAAAACAACACACAGACTAAAGAACCTGTTCAATTACAAGTGCAAGTTGAGAAAAATTGCTTTAACAATGTGTTACTAGGGAAAAGTTAATAATTATCCATATTGAGGAACAAACCGGCCCTGGAGAAGAATGTTGATTTAAAATTTTTTGAAACGCTTGATCGTCATATATGACAAGCATTTATGACATGTGAGACATCACTTCCTTGTTGTATCTGATAAGGGACTCACCGGATCCGTTTCACAGAGCATGTTTTTGGTGTAATGGTGCACTACATTGTAATCCTTAGGAAAAACTGCCCGCTAGAAGAGAAAAGAGAGGAAAGAGAGAAATGAGAAGGAGCATTAAGACTATGTAATAGATTTTCATTCATACAGTACATACAGCTGCTTGTATTCATTCTAGAAATAACTAAATTAGGAACACGTGTGAAGCTGAAGCGTTTGATCTCTTTGACTCTGTCTGTTTTTTGTAGCGTTTGACATTTGGTATGGCTGCGGGTTTTCATAAGATAACAAAGCTGATAACTCATATTCACCTTTGACCAGCTTTTCATGCCCACACAACAAGCACACACAACCTTCCATATTATTTAAAGAAGTGTCAAAAACTTACAAATCCAGTTGGTTTAGAGTCGATGGTTGCTTTTATGTTTTCCACACCCTTCTGGTCAAAGTCACATCCTCCGCATTGGACAATCAAAAGTGATAGTAACAGTAAAACTGTTTGAGACATGAGTGGAAGACAAGGCAGCAGAGCACTTTCAGATAATTGCTGGAAACTTTCTGTGGTTTGTAGCTCGTTCAATCAGCATACCTAGTAAGAAATATTACATCATTTCCTGTGTCAATTGGCTATTTCTGCAGCAATACATGGTGGGACTGACTGAGTTGCTGCTGTGACATGTCAAACTGAATGAGAACACCAGAAATCTGGTTGCCGCGGTGCAAAGTGAGATGAAAAAACGAAATCTGCAATCCTGCTTAGCTTGCTCGTGTAAAACGAGTTGTACAAGTTCAATATCAACCCACAGACTTACAAAAGAAAGTGAGAGGAAAGATACCACAAACAGATCTTGTTTTACTTACCTGGCATCCTTTTTATCTTTGTAAGAATGGACACTTCTCCATTTCTGTTGTTGACAGCAATCACTCTGCAGATGGGCTTCTGTGTCAGTCTGTGAAAGGCAAAGTTTTGTGGTTTCTTCAGGTCTTTGACAGAGCGCACTTCTGCCTCACTGCTTGACGTTTAGTCTTCTCGCTCACATCCCTCGTGCATTCTCTCCTTTTGGTTTCCTTTGGTACTTTCCAAAATGTGCCTCATTTGTCATCTCACGCCATCATGCTCTCACTTTGGATTTTCCCACTAAAGCCTGAGCTGCTGCAGCCCTTTCAAAGCTTTTATCTCTTTTCTTTTTTTTCCCCACCCCCTTTTCACTTTCTTCCTCTCACCAGTGACCTAGAATTTTCCTCAATTTGAACCACTCCTCTGTTCCCTGAAACTGGTTAGTGGATAAAGCGGCGGAGACGCTGGCCCCCCGCCTCTGTCTCTCTCCCTCCGGTCACTCCGTGTATCCTCACTCGCTCAAAGTGAAAGTGGTAGGCTGGATTGCATGTCTGCTCCCTTTAAGTCTCGGCCCCTCCCACCACCACACGTTTTACCTCACTATTGACTGACCCAGCCCCCTCCCCCCTGTTCTCCACATTCCCTGACACCCTCACCCCCTCCATCCTTCCCCCCTTCCAAACCTGGGCCGACAAGGCTTAGTCATGCAGTTGGGGCGTATGTTTTTCATTTGGACTCTCCCCCACACCTCTGTGGCTGTCGATCCCAGGTCTTTATCCCCTCAGAGTCAGTATCATCCTGTTTAATCATCACATGAGTTGTTGTTTTTAAATCAGTCCAGAATCACATTCCTTGTCAAGCTCACCAAGAGGGATTGCAACATTTCAGTGCCAGAGATTTGCAAGTCATTCCCGGTGTGTGTGACAGCTCTCTTTAGTCATTACTGTTAAAAAACGACCTCACAGATGTGGCTGATAGTGATGTCAGTGCTGCGCGCAGCTGTCATCACCCTGCAATGTGTCATTCTGTTCCCTCAAGTTATGTGAAGCAGCGTGTCGCCCGGGTTTTTTGGTCGGGTGTCCAGAAGGGTTAACGTTAAGAGAAAGGAAGGAACAGCAAAGTTATGTCAAAGACAAACTGTTCCTCCGCAAGTTGTTTCTGGACAAAAGCCAAAGAACAGAGGACGGCTTACCAAAGGACCATCTCTGGTGAGGGGAAACAGAAAATGGAGAGCAGCATCAGCCTGTCCGCAAACCGAGCCCCAACACTCCCAGAGGCATTGTCAACTCAGAGCCTCCTGACCCAGGCTCTGCAGTGTGGTGATGGACATAAATACCACGTCATGGTGCCGTCTTCCTGTTTCAGATGGAGAAAATATGTAACTAATTTGTGAAATTGCAACAAATATTGTTTGCGAATTTAGCAGTAACTTGCCAAATGCAATCCAGATTTAAGTTCAGATGTGGAGAGGCAGAAAAAAAAAAGGCCAAACTATTAGTCAACACATTCATCCTGAAGGAACCCACAGTCAATCCAATATTTACAAACCTAATTTTCTCTCCAAGTTCTTGGGCCAGAGCACAATCTGACCTTGTTTTTGCAAATTCATCGCAGTTTTGAGTCAAGAGGAGAAAAAAAACCCCTCGAGATTTAAACAAAGCCGTATGCTGTTAAATTTTATTGACCGAAGTCTGCAAACTTCAGCAAAGCAACAGGCTCAAATAACCGGAATGGAAAAATGCACAGTTGGTCCGTCTGCGACTTGCTCATTAAGAGGCCAAAAATCCTGCTGATGTGGTCGGCCGTTTTGGAGCTGGACCTCGTTATGCAACCATTTTGTACATTTCAAGACACAAAAAAAACCCTGAAAAGTGTTGTCTTACACCACGTGGGACTGGCTGGCTGACAACCACTCGAACAAGTGAGTGGGAGCTGGTTGGGAAATACTAATCTCCTCCTCCAATTGATTTCAACTCCCTTTTTCTTTTCTTCCCCTTCACCACAAGATGGAGCCAATTGTAGAATAAAAAGATCCCAGATGATACTAATTTATTTCATTTAAAAACACAAGCCCGAGTACACAAAGTGCAAAGCTCTCTGTAATAGGTTAAACTTTACATATTAGTATGAACAAGAATTCTCTTTGACAAAAAACAAAAGCTCCCGTGCATTATCCAAAATGACTCAATGTGTTAATCTGTGCAGGATAATCATCGCAGTTAGGTACACAATAGATTTCTCATTACTTAGAAAGACAATAATGGATGAGCAAAATCATTCCTGTCATCCATTCAGTCCTCTTTCACTCAGCTCAAAGTCCCAGATATTTAACAAAAATGCCCCTGAAAGGGCCCACTTGCTTCGTTTAACATTCAGATTTTCTTGCTTTCGCTTTCCTTTCTTCATAATCCCCCATCTATTCAGGCCCCTTCTCTTCAGCCCTTCGTCTGCTCCTCCCCTCTTTGTCACTGGCTGGGGCTCCTCTCCCCTCCGCGGACCGCCGTCATTAAATGGCTCTTATAGGTTTTGCTGAGTCCAGTCATCCAGTACTTGAGCAGCCTAACATTGTCTTCCTCGCCGGGACCTGTGGCACCGAGGAGGGCCAAAACCTTCTGGGTGTCCTCCCTCCCACGGCCGTCCACTTTTGAGAACTTGAACAGCACTTTAACCTTACTGGAAAGAGGGAAATGTGAAATGAGAAGGCTTCCCAGTCATGCAGCTACATCTGCTTCAGGCCCGGGTTGAGGTGCTACTCACTTCATCCACTCCTCCTTCAAACACAGCAGGCAGTGAGACACCACGTCCACGGACAAGTTCTCATTGGACAGGGCCACCTCCAGCTTGTTCAGTAAACTTGGACCTGTAAAAACGGACAGAGACGTTACGGTTTAAGCCTCAACATGTATTGTATGGAAAAACCTGCTGACAGAACGGGTTTGAATCAGAGCTGGCAGAAATGGCAACAACCAAATAATGAGCTCCTGATGTGGGTCGAGACCCCAGGATTTATGTTTCTGTAGACTAAACATTTTCATAACTTTCACGTAAAGTAGCGACTAAAAACCCCAAAGTGAATGAGATGGTAGTCTCTCCAGGTGCGTCCTTGAAGCAGGTTGAGTCTCATAAAGACAACTAATTTGGTGCTAGCATGATCGAAACGATGCCTCCAAACACTGTGTTGTTGTGAGTGCATTTAATGATAAATAATAAAGACGCTCTTGACTGGGTAAACAGTAATGCAGAAGTCTGCCTTCTCCTTTAAAACACTGCAGATGTTATAAATACTTCGAAAGAGGATAAGCTAAAGTGCTGTGGCTGTAACACAATACCTCTTCTCTCTTATTGATGCACTTTGGTGCACCTCACCAAAGCAATACGCCTTTATTTACTGTTGTGTGCGGCTCTTTGCCCCATGCGAGACACTTTGAATGAGCTTTATAAAATGAATGTTAATGAAATGATGTGCAAACCCGATTTCGGGTTCGGTACTTGATCCTCATTTTTACAAGTAAGACAAATAAGCATTAAATGATCCCTCTAAGCAGGAGCACTGACCCCGGTCTGTTGGCTGTGTGTTGGCGCTCCTGAGGCTGAACTGGTACATGGTGCAGATGTCATCATCCCCCGCTGCTGAGACCTGACAGCTTTTCTCTGAGGTGACGTCCACCAGCACCGAAAACTCTACAAACAGTGGGGGGAAAAGAAAAACATGCCCTATATGTCACCTGCAAGCGGGTGCACACAGAGCGCCACACCAGTTTAACGCTCGGATCTGAAGACGGTCTGGTACCAGAGGAGCTGACGTGGGCTGGGATGGGCACGTCGGGGCTGAGGCCCAGAAAGTTGCATTTGTAGGCCTCCTCATACTGAGGGCTGTACGGCACGGAGCGCACACAGCCCACCGGGAGCAGAGACTGAGACAAACACAAAACAAAGTCTCAGACTATGCACATTGGCTCAGTTAAAATCCTAAAAGAGCACTACTCGACCCCTTTACTAAGTAATCTCTGAAACAGATGTGCTGAGCTTTTACTATTTTCCCACAAATAAGATCAAATAAATGACAAACATATTATCCTGTAGCTTAACTAGCTGTGCCTCTGTTATGATTCATGTTTATCCAAAAAAAGAAAACCATTTGAGGGTAGAAAGGGGTTTCCAGGGCAGTTGAGCACCTTAAGCTCTGTGAAAGCTGACTGGATGAGCCCAGGGTCTGCGCCTCTCCATATGACCTGATTTCCCATGAGCACGTGCCACGCTAGCTGTCGAAAGTCGGCCACCCCGAGGACCTTCAACATAAACACACAACTCACTGATATACAAGATAACTCCATTAAAACACATAGAAATCCACTCTTCATTTTAAATCATTTTAAACTAATCTGCATCAGATAAAAACAGTAAACTGTAAAAAAAGAAAATCTGTATTGTTCTATTAAATTATATTAGTTTCATCATTGTCAATTTCCATTAATTCTGTTCACTGTTTATCATGTTTACCTGTCTCAAATGCCTTAATGACCTAATCTTTGGGCCAGGTAAGTCATTTAAATGGTCGCACAGAAAGTCGTGGCTAAGGCTGCTCTCTGTTTGGTGGTGCTTTGATCCGCCTCCTTCTGCTCCCTCCCAGCAGCTCATTTCCTCTTCTTGTTCTTTAGGAGACAAAGAATGAAATTTAAAAAGTAAAAACTAAGTTGTCTTGCAAAAAATAATGGTTGACTAATGAGGGGAATTCCCTAAGAAATGAAACCTCAAACTCCATATGTAGAGTCTGACGTGATGTGCACATGATGTTATTCATTCTTTATCACCCATTAAAAAAAGAAGAAAACACTGTTCATCCCATTTTCCATCTTTGACTAACCAGACCTTTACCTATCAGCTACAAGTCATGCAAACTGGCACAAGATACAGCAGCTTCCTCTTTGTAATGAATAACACACGGTTTAAACTGAGCTGGAACAGTTTTCTTTGGTGAGGCATCATGTTTGTACTTCCTGTTTCCCTTCATATATTATCTCCAAAGAAACTTCAAGTAGGAGTCATTCACCCCAGAAGAAACCAAAACATTTGTATTTATGTTAAAAAAGTTGTCTCTAGACATACATGCTTATCTGTGCAAAGGGATCTATTTCTTTGTGTTCTTCCTATTGGTCCATTAACATTTTCAGCTTTTTAGTCGATGAACACTGTTCAGGGAACTAAGCTTTTCACACTGATGACTTGTTAACATTTTTATTATAAATCTTACTATAAATTTTGTATAGCCATTTGTCATTGTAAGTGCTACAAAATATATTGACTTAATATATTTATATTTGGAATCGGGGTATTAAAATTCCAAAGCTGAAAGCTCTGCAGGACTAGGAATTTCATCTGCAAATCTTTTAATCACTTTCAAATCTCGACTGAAACTGTGTAAACTCTTTCTAAAAGGGCAATATGATCGAGCACAGTAGTTGCGTGATTCATCATGTTTTTCTGGTTGAAGCGACACTACACTGACCCAGTGATTCAGACTTAATAAGGAAATGTTTCAGACTCTTTAGTGATGAAACACTGCAAATATGACACCTGCTGATAAGATTTTTAGTCTGAAAGCCTAAAGTTCCCTGAAGTGAAAAAAAGGAAGCATTTCCCAGAAAAATCATAATGTTTGGAGCAACGGGATGTTTTTTATGTCTTCCCCTTTCTCCCAGTTACAGGGTGACATTTGAACAGCAAAAGTAAATATTTGTGTAACGGGATAGTGAAGAATAATATCCTTGTTTAATGTACAACATGTTCACCTGTTTGTCTCTCTATGAGCACGAGGGTGTCCTCTGTGGGGGCTCCTTCGAGAAGCTTCTCTGTCAGACGACTACCGGAAGCCTTCAGCAACCTGGACACAAAGATAACAGTGACCAAGGGAATAATTACACATATGCATGAGCGTCAGTCAATTTACCAGCTGAAGGAGGAGTGCAGGCTGGCCCACAGGTTTGGGTGTTGGGTAAGGGAAGTTAGAGAGCGGGCAGCATTTCCATTCCGCTGGTGTGGTAAAACCGCCGGTGAAAACACACTGTTCATCCTCATAGCTCTCTGGGGAAACACACCTTGTTCGCTGTCAAACACCTAATGGAGAAGCACATGCAAAGACATTAGAACCCCTCTTTCATACAAGTGTACACATAATACTGAGAAATCCATGTGATGTCCAGGTTTATGGTACCTTTAGGGCTGTGCTTTGCAGGCTCTGTATGGTAAGCTTGAGGTGCCGTAACAAGAAAGGCCAGGAGTTGATGAGGTAGATCCTGTCCATAGCTACCATAACAATACTGTACCAACGCTGAAACCCTCTTGCCAGGCTGTCTTTGATAAAAAATGTATGTGAAAACACAAACCCATGTTGCTCATCCCCGAAAAAAATAGGCCCTTCACGCCCGGGACACACCTGTAACCCAAAGGAGGACATCAGTCGTACTTGTTAAGAGGATGAGGTGTCTGCCTGACACACACATACACTCTGTATATGTGACTGTTTACCTCACAGCTCAGACTGCGCACACAAGCCTGGCGGACGACACTGAAAAGCTGTGACTGCCTGGGGTGCTGATGGCTCAGGAAGCGGATGCCTGTTTCATCATCAATGCTCACAAAGCCCGGGTGAGACACAGGAAGAGACCGGCAACCCTATGGAAAACAGAACAGAGAGGAATGAACATATTGAAATGGATGACGAGAGGATAATTTAATCTACAAAACAAAAATATTGAAGGCATAATCAGGCTATTTTTTGCCCTTAACTTGTCTACTCACCTCACACATCTCTCCTGTCTGTGTAGCTGAGCTGTTGGCTCTCATGGTCAGTCCCTCACCTTCCCGGTCACCATCTCTGTCCCTGTCCCCTGGCACAGGGACCCCAGCCTGGGATGAGAGGTCTGGGGATGGAGGGTGTACTGCCTCGGTACAGAAAAGTGTACGAGGGCCATGGAGCTCGCAGAAGTGACACAAAGCAACCAGAGCATTCATCTGTTAAAGAGAACAAGTTTTATCCACATGTACATTTGACTGGATATGAGTGATTTAGTAAATACGTGGTCAGCATTATACATTTGTGTTTGGCCAACGTGTAGCATTAACATATGCTTTATACATGGTCATTTAAAGAGACAGTGAGTCTTACCTTTAGCGTAAAGCAAAATTCAAATGACAGGTGCTCAATGCTACTTCACAGGAGTTTCATATTGTTTAGAAACAAAAGTGTCGGATAAAAACAACGCTAAAGTATATTGATGCAGTCCTTTTTACGAAAAACATTATTCTAAAGGAGCAAAACCCAAGGTTTCCACTGCTCTCTTCCTCCCTGCTAAGGAGCTGCTAGCTAACAACAACAGATGTGTCACATGATGACGTAGGGTCACGCGCTGGAGAACAACTGACGCCTGGCCACTACAACCACGGCATTTTCTTTACATTTCAGCGGCTGAGCACAAAGTATCTACAGTTGAAATATGTAAATGACAGAATTTACTTTGTTTTTCTTGCTAATATCTAGCTTTATTTGCACACTCAACGAATGTTTTAACTAAAGGGGTTTTGCGACTACATTACCCAGAATGCCTTCCATGGCAACAAACAACAGGTCAAAGGCTCTTGAAAGTTAGACGCGTTTTCCTTGTTACCTTTAAGCATGCATGCTTTATGTATATATTTCAATTAGATTTAAGTTAAATGCTTAACAAATAACTTAATGTAACAACTATTACTCACTAGAGACGTGAATTACGACATGTTTATTACATTGTGGACCGCTTTCTAGCCACTTCCTGAATACCGGACAATACCTGTATTTACCTCGCTAATGTCTTATCTCTCACTCTGGCAGGTCCAATACGGTCAAATAGAACACTACAGTGACAGAAAGTGTCTGAACATGGCTTCAGATGGTTCAAAACCTTCATCAGGCTCAGCAGAGGACCAGAGAGATGGAGATGGGACCCTCCAGACACCCACCAGCCTGGCCGACACGCTGGATCCACAAAAAGGAGCACCAACCGAGTCCAGTACAGGTAAAGACACCCAGGACGTCCCAGGAGGGGAATCAGTTACAGTTTGATTTATTCTGAGACGATATTTAGTTTGTAAATAGATAAAAACAACAGCAGCTTAACGATAAATAAAGCATACAATCAATAACACATTGATTAGAAACAATAATCTTTAAAGACAGTAAAATAAAAAATTAATAGAAATTTTAAGCTCCACAGATTTGAAAAAAGAAACACGCTAGAGCAAGATCAGCTATTAACTTCTTTTAAGAATCTGGGTTGTACACAATATCTGTTAAATTAGGTAATGCAAATTAGTTACAATCTTTAAAAGTGAGCAACGAGACCTTAAACACATGACACACACGTGACTATCTAAAGATAATGATGAAAAAAATAACTTGCTCAATCATTTCTTATCACAAATTGAATGTTATCAGAATGAAATGTTATCCATCATTTTTATAACAAACCACCCCACACCATGTTAAGAAGCAGCTGGAATTCAGCCAGCCTTTCTAGACGTTTAGCAGTCTGCAAAACTTCCCTGTGTGCCTATTAGCAATCTGAGCTCTTGTAAGTTACGGTATCGCAAGACGTGGGCCCCTTTCATAGAAACGGGGAGTTGAATGAGGCTTGTAATGGCTTGTAGCCAAAATTCTTCACACCCTGCTGGAATACTCTTCCGGAAAGGCTTTAAAAAGTTAAATGATTCACAAGTGAAAACTGTCTGCTTATACTCCTACATTTATCACTGGAATTTAATTGAGAAAAAATCTTTCCACAGAACTCAAACTTCAAACATTTTCTCACAACTTGCTAATTCTGTAAGCGGTTCAGGGACACCAGTCATCTCAGACAAGACGATATAAGTGTCCGGGCCAAGGGTCACAGCTTTTCATTTCTTCTGATTTTAGATGGTATGACTGGGTGTGTTGTGTTAAGACAACCACACCCTAACCTCTTCCCCACATTTCAGTCTCCTGTGTTGATTCATGTCCACCTGTTAGACAGCATATGCCTTGTATGAATGTGTTATATAAGATCTCTCCAATCCTTCACTGTTGTCCACGTGATATGAAACAGTTATAGAGAGGGACATCAGAGAAACAATGTTGTGGAGCTTGTTCAGACCTGGCGATTACCTCCTTTCACATTGGTGTTTCCAGCAAATTTCTCTTTGTGTTCTGCCTGTAGAGTCCAGATCTTAGAGTTACTGTCAGAAATTACTGCATGTTTGTGACAGACAGGCACCCCACAGCTCACGAAACACATTTTCCCTTCCTAACATGGTGCTCTTCTGTTCTTCAGAGTCTGAAAAACCGAACGAGGAACGAGCCAAGGTGTGCCAGTTTTTTATGATGTCAAAGTGTCACTTTGGCCACCGATGCCGTTTATCTCACAGGTTTGCTCACCTCATCCTTTTCGCCACATGCAATAGAAAGACACTGAAAGTCTGAGTGTTTTTGGATGTACTGAACTTTAATGGAACTAAAATGAACTTTTTAAAATTAAAAGTGACTGTGTACTCAGTGTTTCTAAGCTGTAATTAGATTCAGATAAAAATGTGGGATAAATGTCTTCCACAGATGAGACTTATTAGACTAGAGTTAATGTCATTAGTCATTTAATGATTTGACATTTTTTTCACTGCCTTTACTCTAATTTCTCAGCAACCCATCACTGGATGATTCAGGGGCCATACCTCCTGACAGGGATGACAAACAGGATGGAGAGAAGATGGAAAAACATAAGAAGAAAAAAGGAAGTGCAAACAAAGCTGCAAAGCCAAAACATGATGAAGAAAGCGGTAACTCCTTACCCTAACCTAGGACGTCTTCTAATAATGACAACTCTCTTTTAAAAGAAATTGCTACTAATAATTTCTGTTTTGATTCTTTGCATTGAAATGGCTGGGCAGAGGTGAACAAAAAGCCCCGTATGCGCACGGCGGATGACGTGATCTCTCGGATCCTGTGGGACCCATCGGTGGACGCATCGGAATTTATAGTGGGCTATGTGGATCGCTTCCTTGGTGTGCTGGAACGGCCCTTCTGTGACTTCAACTGGGAAATCAACCCTCGTGACTGTGATTACTCTGTTGAGTTAGCCCTGCCCAGACACAGGATCCAGTACTTCTCCCACAGAGGACACCGCGTCTGGGATCGCCACAGCAGGACTGACAGGGTTTTTGGCTCCACCGGTCAATCTCTGGCTCCCCCCTTTGGAAGGGAGGAGGAATTAAAGGGTTAGAGTGGACTGTTAATTTCTGCATCACTGTGTTTAATATATATTATTTGACTGAATATAACCATTTCTTTCAGAAGAAATAAACCGAGAGCAAGAGCAGGCAGCTGCTGTTGGTGGGCGGGACGTGGGTGAAACAGAGGACTGTGCTCACAGCGAGGACACACATCTGGAGGAAGACGAGATGAATGAGAATATTATTAACACCTGTGGCTCCACAAATGCCACTCCGGAGTGTGGAGGAAATGCCTCTGAGAAGCCTCACCGAGCACATGTTGCAGAGGAGGCTGCGGATAGGTCTGCTGTTTATGTTCATCTTCAGTCTTTTACAACCCAGAGCTAAGAAAATTACCCCTGTTTTCTTCGATTCATTATATCTTAAAAACTAAAAAAAAGATAAATATAGTGAGACGTGAGGGTTTAAGTCAGATGTGTTTTACTGTCCAGACGACAGCTTTTAAACCACCATTTATCAACCATTAAGGATGAGCAGTAAGGCATGAATGCACTCCTACAGAGGTCAGATATAGTTTTGCATGATAAATGGAGATAGCTAACCGCATCCCCTTTTTTCTCCGTTTGGAATGACGTTGTTTTACATTGGATTTTATGACCTGTTTCATTTAGACATGAGGCTCCAACAGAGCAAAGCTCAGCACAGCAAGATGATTCAGCTGGAGAATATGCAGGTGAAGAGGAAACATGGGCCGAATGGGAGGAGACCTTGGAGGGCAAAAAAAGCACTCTGGTGTGTATGACAAATCCTACCCCGATCTACATCCTTGCTATTCGGGTGCATGCTTGACAGGGTTCTTCTTAATGCTCGCCTTACAGATGAGCCAGAATCCAGCTCTGGAGCAGGTAGAGGAGAAACGAGATGGACGCCCCCCTAAAAAATCACCAACACACTTCGTCACCTTTAGGGCCAACACTCCTGCCATCCTCTCCTGCTTCCAGCAGCTGCAGGAGGAGCTCACCGCCCTCCTGCCCTCCTCTGCTCCTCACTGGCATAAAGCCTCCAAGCTCCACATCACCCTGTGCCTCCTGGTGCTTTCCGGCCCAGCTCAGGTGGCGGCCGCCGGGGAGATCCTCCGCCAGTTCGCCCATTTGGATCGCAACCCGCCCGTGGCTGTGAACTTTCCCGTGAAGCTGAAGCATTTCGGGGGCAAAGTGCTGTACTTGGACCCCCAACCTCAGCTTCGCCTTCAGGAGCTTAACAGCGGCCTGCAGGAGGCTTACAGGAGCGAGGGCCTGCTCCACAGACACTCCTACAACCCACGCTACCACCTCACTCTGGCCAAGGTAGAGGGCGCAGATGGGGAGAGGATTTTTGAAGGGGTGGGGGACCTGAAAGTGGGGAAAGGGTTGAATTTTGGCCGTCTGCCAGTTAATACTTTACACCTTTGTGCCATGGGTGGCTCCAGAGTCGAAGACTTTTATGAAACTTTGTGTACTGTAAGTCTTCGATGATGAAGTCATGCAAACATACATACATGCAGGTTTACTGCTGTCAATCAATAAACAAGCCTGATACAAAAGATGCATCCATTTAAACACGGCTCTCTCAGATCTTCTGTCCATTTCCTGGCATTCTTTGATGGATGCATTAAAGCTGGAGCTGAGATGAGAAGTTAGTAGACATTTTCAGGGTCTGCGTCAGTCAGCCAGGTTACATTAAGCACAACAACTCTCAAAATGTTTCCCAAAGCCATAAAATAAGACAACAACAAAAAAATCAGTAATCTGAATAATTGTGAAAGGGTTAAAAACTGTCTGGCCGGAGGACAGAATTTATGCTTGTCTTCTACTTGGCTGTCTTTGTATTTGATAAGCCAATCTAGATGATTTGGGTCAGCTTCAATCTGTTGCCTTTTTTACCTTTTGCCTGTTCACCACAACACAAATGCTGCACGTGCACACACTACAGAGACATAGGGAACATGAATTTCTGATGAGGCCAACCGCTTTTGCTCTTGTTTTGTTTTGAATAGTTTCTGTTGTAAAGCTGAAGCTCTTTGCAGGTCCTCGCTCCACGATTTATGCAATCAGCTTTATATGAATGTTGTATGCTCCCTAAGAATGATCACGTAGTATTCTATTTCAAATTATTTTAAGCTCCAGTTTGCCTTAGAGATTAAATATTGAATTGCCTCTCTTAGGTTTTGTGAGTGGTGATATTTTACCCGTGCTGTGATGGATGCTGCCGATGCTGTGCTCTAACACAGACACACGGAGGCTGTGTAAACGCTCCCTGAGCCCAACTCGTGCATGCATAATGTGATTTTCTGTCTTCTTCCCCATTTTCCTCTCAGATACATACACACTTATACATTAAGCACGGGCTATATGAGTCAGTGAGTGTGCTCCCTGGTTCTCCACTGTTTGCTCTCTCGCTCGCATTATCTCCCTTCCCCCACTCTCTTTTCAGTGACACAGAAAAACCAACGCCACCCCCTCCCTCTCCTCTAGCTTGCCTTTGCCCCCCTTTCTCTGACAGCAAGACAAACACTGTGCTCTTTTTACTCCAGCTCGCTGTGGTTCTCCACTGTGTTTTCAGTTTGCGCTTCTCTGTCCAGTCCCTCAGACAGCATCTCCATCACCGTGCACTTGTCACCTCTGTCTAGTTGTTGCATGCGCTTTGCTGCTTGCCTGTCACCGAATAGGTGTTGATGCTGTCCCGCAGCCTCCACTGAAAACAGCCTTTGCCTGCAGACCCGTTGCACACTGTCCCCCCCCCTCTCTATTCATTGTTCCCTCCATCTCGCTCCCACCCAACTCTTTCTCTCAGCATCACTCCCTGGGAACCCATTTTTTTCCACCTCAGTGTTTCACATTGCCATTCTCTGCATCCCCCCCAACCCCCACCCCACCCCCCCTCCTCAAATTCATCTGTGCGTGCTTATATGCCTCTCTTGCTAAGTTTTCAGTGCATCTCCACCTCTCAGCTCTCTTATGGGCAGGAGTTCCCAGTATCGCATCCAACATGTGAGTGAATTTTTTAAATCTCCCCTCCCGATCACTAAGCGCGCACAGTTAGGGGGGCAGTTCTGCGTTTTCACTCTTAGCCTTGGTAATCTGGTAAGGGTTCAGCCTGATAGTCTGGGCAGAGATTGGTTGGGTTGGTGGGTGCGCGTAGATGTTTGTGAGGGGGTCGGCGGCAGAAGTGTGCCTCCGGAACCAATTTAGCGAGGGGTTAGACCCTGCTAATCCGCGTTAACAGATTAATTATCTTTGGGCAATATCGTGTCACTGCCATGTTGTGAAGTCGCTTGGGCGTTAAGCTACGAAGGGCTTGAATGCAACGATAAAGAATCCCTCAGGGGTGTCTCCTCAATCTTAATCCCTCCCTCTCTCTCACCAACTCGCGCTTGCTGAGAGCTCCGCTGCCATCCATCAACACAAGCACCTCTCCGCTGTCACCAGATAACCACACAATTATTGACCATTTAATATTTCACTAACTGCTACAGCTACCAGCTTATCTTTCCCTCCTCATTTGACATATTTTTGGCATGCACCCGAACCATTTTTTCAGGATGATTTTTCCACAGCATCAAGTGCTGACAGCTGGCAGTATACCTATCTGAGTGGGTAAATATTTCACGGACCCCGGCAAAGAGACGAGAAAGAAGGAGAGAGAATTCTCCCAGTGCAGCCCACGGAGGTAAGAGACTCATCCTTATTTTGGTTGATATAGCTTCGTGGTGGATGTGGCTGCAAAGATAAATGGTCAATGAGTCGAATGAAATATGATACACTGTGCTTGCAGTGCATCTATTTACAGTGCATCCTCATTTCAGTTAAATGAATTAATTCATGAAATGATTGTGCTGTGCTGCCAAATGGGAGACATGTCTTTCATTCCAACCATCACTCCTAATGTTTTCTATCCCTATGATCTTTTTAAAATGTATATAATCAGATTATGTAGCAATGGCATCCAGTGATTATTTCGCACTGCAATTACAGCTATCAAGATGATCGTTTGAAATGAAAAATCACTGACTGATTCGTTCTGGTCTCTCTGCCTGGTCAGTTAGTGTGGACGCATTCTCAGCCCCTCAACTTTGGGTCATGCTGAACACTTGGCAATGCGCTCTTGCCCCCGGTCAGCAGCACCCATTTGACTGGAGCAGAATATTCATTTTGCAGATGAATGCAAGGTGAAGACTGAATTTTAGATGAGAAGCATCCTTTTTGTCTCGTCCAGCTTTTACACTGTAGATAAAGGAAGCTTGCAAATGTGATCATTTATTTCTCCTGACTGATTTCACGAAGATGTAATGATGCCACATAAATTGTTGAGGTTGTTGTTAAGCTGTTGGACGACAAGTCAGGCAGTAATTATAACAGATTTTATGAGTCAGACTGGAAACGTGCATCACTTAAGCAGCAAATGTGCTAGATTATTTTTATGGTGTTATTCAGTGATGTCTCATAAAATGAAAAGGTGCAGGTGATTTTCAGGCGCTAAAGATGATCCTAAATCTTTCTGACAGAAGATGCTTCAGCCTTGTACTCATTAGATGCCTCACAAAATGGCTCTTTTCTTTACATCCAGACATCATGGAGTCTCATTTCGTGCAAGTGGTTTCATCCTCGGCTGTGTGTGAGCTTCATGCACGCGTAACGCGGCAGATGTACTTTCATGCTTTCATTTTATTCATTCTCTCAGATTATGGTGAGGTGAGAGTCAGGGGGTTCATTCTATCTCCTGGTCTCCCTCCTTATTCTTTTTATTTTCTCTGCACAGGCTCAGCTCCGAATCAAATTTATTTGCTTACAGTTATGCAATGGTAGCAGGCGTAATAACGGGCTGACAGGAGATATCACGTCACCTTGAGGCTTCCTATCTGTGACAACTGCTGAGTAACTGCTGCTCCAGGACTGGAGCACCCCCCTACACACACACCTCATTTCTGTCAGCACCTCATTAGGATCCCCCCCAGTTTTTGGGTTGGAAGAGAGTCTTACCTGAACTTTGACCCTATAACTGGGAATTTCTTTGGTCTCGTGTCTATGAATGTTGTGCAAGAAGTGATGTCAGAGTAAGCCTCGCATGAGATGGAAAGATTGTTTTATTTTTATTAAAAGAATATACATTCTGTTTTTTTAAGGCTTTAATTTATTGTTGTCTGTCAATGCTTCTGTCATCTCTTGCTTTTATCACACAGCACTCCATTGTCACCCACCATGAGATTTGCTTTTCTTTGCTGACCCACTTTGCTGGCAGGTTTAACCCCAACATGTAGACCCACTCACTTCTGATTACACCAACCAAGTTGCACTCTTAATTGTTTACTGCGCCTTTTACAAAGCTTTCCAAATCTGATAATTGTCCCTCACAGAGCTGCTTTACAGCTCATAAGAAAAAACTCATCTAACGATTCCACTGAAAATAAATGATTGTAGGCTTAAAGAACATCAGGGTACTCACATGTTGTTTAAATCGCTGAGAAGTGGTGGATGGATGGAGGTCCTGTAATGTTGAAACCACCATGTCCAGCACAGTTTTAATAAGGGAAATGGAGTGCTGGCAGTGATTTGATTTGTGACAGTTGGGCTGTTGGAACCATTAAGGTGAACAAGCTTATTGTAATGGGCTTACAGCAGCCCTGTTCTGTCTGTGAGCGAGCTGCTGACTTGTTCTTGAACACAACCGACCCAAATATGAATGGTTGGATTGTTTGGCACTGAATATGAGATGTGACAAAATCAAAACTGTTGACCAGGCATGGTATTGAACGCCACAAGGAATCAATAGTGACAGAGTCAAGCGTCTCTAAAGTAGAGCACTGGGCTGTTTGGAAGTTTTATGTATTGAATGAATCACTACTGCCTTTAAAGACTTTAAAATCCAACACAGGCACTTAATTCAGAATGTGTGACATTATGTTTGCAGAGCTGTATCTGCCTGCGATATCAGCACTGAGCTGAGCTCTAAAACCCTTTATACTTGATGTAGCTGTGAATGGTTGTATCTGTTCTTCCTTGAGCTGTCTTAAAATGCTTCTCTCCAAACAGTAAAGCACTGATGGTCGTTTAATCTCTGCGGCCGGTATCAGAAGCCTCTGCCTTGCCTTCTGTCCCGCTTTGTTAGAGTAATGAGGATTCCAGTGTTTTTTTGGGAAACCAGATTTGCCTTCTTTTTTTACCCTACTTTCTTTCCCCTTTCTCTGACTTGACTGGCTTTTTTAAGACATGCAGAATGACAGACAGATCATTCAGATCATGACGGTCAACCTCTTCTTCTTCTTCTTCTTCTTCTACAATGTCTTCTACACACTTATGTTGAAGGACCCTGTGTTTACTGCCCATGCAAGTCTTTTCATTCCCAGACCTCTTTGTGACTTGAAGAGAGAGACATTGATTTGCTGTCATGTAATCTCTGGGGGTTTAACACTGGAGGTCTCAACACAACACAACAATGCTTTAATCTTCAATTCTTTTGTGTCATACTGATTAAGAGTATCAAAATTCAATGAATATGAGATAAAAATAAGAAAAACACCTGAAAGCGGTAGGCATTTTTGTTGATAGCTGATAAATCAGCTTATTGACACACTTCATATTAGAGGTATTCCAAATGCCGCTGGACAAGAGTTTAGGTATACTCTGTAAGGATCAAATTAGAATCACCAAACTGCCTACACATATGTTTTTGGTGATGTCATTAAGCCATGGCGAGAACATGTAAATTCAAGGCAGAAAGGCCCAACCAAGATTCAAATTGGAACCAAACTAATTATTTTAATTACTGTGTGAATGGGATTTCTCCTCACCTACATCCTTATTGCTGTAAAAAGAAATCACATGGGGCCCAACATGTAATTGGGCTGAACAGAGAGCCATCCTATTTGTAAAATGCCACCTTTTATGCGTGGATATAAAGAACCTGGACAGTTGTTATTTAGGGCCAGCACTCAGGCATTGAAAGAAGAAATGCAACACTTTTTTTTCAATGGGTATCTGGTGATTCCCTTTTGGACAGAATTTCGAGTACACATCATTAATGGCGCGTGCAGCCGTTACCTCTCTGTCTTTCAGCTCAGCCGCATGCTCAGGAAAACCTTCACCCCTCCTTGCACCTTTTCTTCCCTCCAGGTTCTTACTCAGACCCTGGTTCTTCTCTCCTCTCTCCCCCCCCCCACAGGGTGGAGGAGGGTACCTTTGGCAGTAGAAAATGGCTGCCGTGACAACGGTACCCAGCTATTCCCCTTCAATATGGGTGAGAGTGTGTCACGCCCTGCCCCGGCTGGACCTCAGCATGCAGATGAGGGACAACATCTTTGTCCCCGACAGCTGGGAGTACCAACAGGTAAGAGGCATGTGCCACCAGTGTTCATACCACAATATGGCCGCTGATTCAGCCCGAGTTGCCAAACTGGACAATGCCTGTGGCGCTTTGCTTCGTAACAATACACAAATATAGTTTTATATAGTTAAGTCGTGTTACGTGCCACATCGTACTTAAGTTTATTAATATATTCAGAGCCTGCAGAGCCATGGCAGGTACTTTTACGGATCTTTAAAAGACTTTCCCAGGCTCATTTAACAGGTGTGATTTTTTGTAGGAGGATATCACTAGCCTCCTCTGCAATTACCTCTCAGCTCATTTGCAGTTGTTTTTCATTTCCTGACCTGGCCTTATATGCTGCTCAGTTTTTTTTGACGATGGAAAATGGTTCTGTATTAGAAATTTTGACATGAGTTTGCAGGTTTCCACAGTCCTGCATGGGGCTGTGTCTGCAGTAAGAAGAGATGTTTCATCCCTCTTTTCTAACAGGCTCTCATACAAACGCTCCAGCAAGCCGTGTCTCACAGTGTTTGTGACTTCTCTGCGGTACAAAGAGGAGGTGGGGCGGGGAGGGAGAGCGCACATTATCCTGCAGAACAGAAAGAGAAAAAAGAGAGCGAAAGTGCATGGAGAGAGGCAATGAGTAATGCGAATAGGTTGGTGAACAGAAAACTGGGCAGAGAGGGAAGGCGAACGGAGCAAGAGTGGGAGCTGGAGAGAGTGGCAGCGAATGTATTTAAGTAGGTCACAGATTATTAATAGAGATTCAGTGGTGTGGATAGAAAGAAAGAGACGGGATAGTAGGGGATAGAATGAGAGTGGGAGAACGTGGGGAAACGGGATGGGTGGAGTGGAGCGACGGGGAGGGGCTTCAAAGAGCAGGAGGTGAGATAGAGAGAAGGTGGAGGAGTAGGGAGTGACAGACGGGCAGATGGATGAAGGATAATACAGCAGAAATGTGTCTGAGCAAAATGCATTTCAGTAATGTTGACTCTATAACACGGAGCCCGATCAAAAGCAAAGTCTGATATGGCTTAGTGTCATTAAATTCCATCATGGTGCAGAGAAACATCACAGTTTCATAGGTCAAAGCTTTTGAGATGAGCGTGGCTGATGAATAAGAACATAAAGTTAACCGACTTAGATTTGTCCCTTTCCATTTTCGTTCATGTGCATGAGCAGTAGTGTTTTTCCTGCCTCTGAGAAGTGCATAATTTACATGCTCACACTTTTGCAGTCACCATCTCCTCTTCTTTATGGGGGCGGGACACTATAGGGTTACTTGGCATTTCACCATGTGAACTAGGTCTGATAATAATGGATCTAAAAGGCCTTTTTTTACACCGACTGACTCCTCAACTGACTACTTCTCCCACTTCCTCTTTCCTTTCCAGACTCTGCTGGTTTTGTCCAGTGTGTCAGCCATCGCTCTTGTTATCTCCCTCTTGGTGATTCTATCCTTCCTCATACACTACTGCTGCTGTCACCGTGGCGACCGGAGTGAGGGATCAGAGGAGGAGGAGGAGGATGAAGATGGCAGCACGGGTCACGGTTACAGTGGGAAGAAGGGGCGAGGCATCTGCTGCGTCACTTGGATGGCGGTTGCCGCTGTCACGCTTTGCTGGTGAGATGGAGGAAACATCATCACATTTAATGACAAACATGCTGTTTTCTGAGCACATGTTGAAGTACAGCTCAGATCATTTAGTTAAGGAAAAATTATTTATTGCAAGCAAAAGCCCAAAGTTGAAGTACAGAACAACAATCAGAGGAAGATTAAATCTAAATACAATATGGACCCTGTGAATGGGTTCATTTATCTAAGTTTTGCCTAAATCAAGTGGGAGGAATTCTCAATTTCCTCTGTTTTTAGCCAATCTATTTCTTTGGGAAATACACCCCTTACCTCACTTTATTTAGTTTATTTTTTTTTTGCTTGGATTGTAAATTTCACTCAGCATGAACTACGACTGAAACTTTATTCATTATTAACCCTGCATGTTTAAAAAAAACAAACAGTCTGGAGCATTAGGAGGAGCCAGTTCATGTTACCATGTTGGCCAGCAGCAAATGTCATACAAAAAGCAAAGTATAGTCTGTGTAAAATTCCACTTATAGTCAACTTGTTTAAAGCTCCATCAAAATTTGTTAATGTGACACATCAAATGGTTTCTTCCAAACAACAGTGTTGAAAATTATCTGCAAAAATTTCTGGGAAAGGGCAGACACTAAAACACTTGGCAGATGACTGGATGAACCATCGTTCCTTCACCATCTGTCACTGGAAAACTTTAGCCAGTCAGATCAGTGACAGATCCTAGGAAACACGCAGTCCAAACTCGCAAAGAGAGGAGACAAGAATGTGTCACTCAAGAGGCCTTCAGAAATCTTTTTTACTCATTTCTTCCTCTTTATTTTCGACTTAAACTCTATCTCTAGAGACAGCTGTTGTTGACTGTGTCTGTACTAGACCTGGCTCTGAATGGGACAGAGAATGAGGATCCCTGTTTGGTTTAGTTTCTCTGCGCGTGTAGATCAATGCTAACGTTAACACGTGGATGAGATTGATGCTGCTGGTACTGAGTGACGGCACGAGATAGCTCCATTTGGCTATAATTAATAAAGATGTCAACCTATCTCCTGAAATGTCATGTCAGGGAATCCTGATTCAACCCTTAATTAGTTTAGCTCCTTCTGTTTAGTATCCTGGGGGTCTTTACTCAATTTATTCCATTATCAAGCGTATGGTAGGCCATTGCTGTGTGGGGATTTTCCCTCACATATGTGAATTATAATGAGGTTGTCAGTCCAGTTGCCAGGTGTTCTTCACGACTAAAGGCTAATCGTTAAACAAAGTTTGTTTATGATATTTTATTGCTAGCAAATTTGACTCCAGATTGGGAATTTCAGGAAGCTCCACAGTCCACTTAGTCCAGTTGGAGTGTGTGCTTTTCTAAGTTTGTATTATATGAGCTTATACAATTTTCCTTTTCTTGTCCATTAGACATGAAATTAAGACAGCTAATTTCAGAAATGTAGCCGATTTTATTCACAAAGCAAACTAAAAAAGCCTGAAGGACCGTTAAAGTGTTACAGATCCTCCAAATGAACTTAGTCAAGAAAGTGCAAACAGCAGTGCTGCTGTGAATCACAAGCTGTCAGCTCCATCACCTCCTTCATCGTCATGTGGCTTTTTATCTCCTGTTAAGTTCTTGCCTCCCAACCGCTGCTAACAACAGCAAAGATGTAAATGTTTCCACACCATCATGAGTATGTGAGGCTCACAGCAGCTGTAATTTTTTGGTCAGGTTCACATACCGTGTTCACTGTACACCACACGAAAATGCTGCTTGGCGTCTGTCTAATACACTGCTACATATCAGTAGTGTGAGTCCTGAGTTCCTGAGGGGGGGCTCAGCTACTGTTAAGCTACAGTCACAACCGCTCTGTGATATCAAAAAATTTAAGTGCACTTTACCACTTCAGAAATGTTTATTATTATGTTCCTCTCCATTTCCTGCACTGCTATTGAAGCATTGTACACACAGATCATAATGCGCTGCAGTGTTGATTTCAGTGATGTAATGTTATACAAAGTGCAGGCAGAGGAAGTGGTTCATGTCTCCCCCTCATGGAGTGCCGTGTAGTGTTAGTTACAGTTGCTTTTTCAAATTCTATTCTCAATATCAGAATTTTCTGTGAATAAGAAAAATATGTTGCTGCAAACCTCTTAAAAATGATTAATCTGAGCCTTCTGATTGTGGCCTTTGACTGAAAGTGGAAAGTTTTACCCCCCCTCCCGCCCCGCATTTAGACGTTCACATTTAGCAGTTTGAAATGCAAAGCACATACAGACGCAGGCACACATTCCTCCTTTCCCCCGTGCTTTCTAATCTGGGTCACATACTTTGTGGGAGATTGGGTCATACCATCCCTCTTTAGTTTGAGGGGATTTGATGAACATCTGGCCTACGCCTTAATCTGAATATTTGAATAACAGGAAACTGTGCAAACGTGTCGCTATGTTTAATGTTTAGAATATTTTTCTCCCAGCAGCTTAGCGCTAAGATTTTTGTCGTATTATCTGTTTATTCCCTGTCCTGCGCTCCGCTGTTGGTATGCTCATCCAGAGCACGTACATCACATCCTGGCCTGCTCTGTCTTCTTCTGTCACATTAATTTAGAATGTACATACACACTGAATTAAACATTACATTTATGCCTCTGTTATCTACTCTTCTACCCGTCTTTCTCTCTCCTGCTGTCAAATGTTCACCCTCCCACAATGTTCTCATGCTTCTTTTCCCCCCCCTCTTTGCAGTGTTGCCATTGGCATCGGTTTCTATGGCAACAGCGAGGCTAATGATGGGATGTATCAGTTGACCTCCTCTCTTCTCACAGCCAATTATACGCTAGCTTCCATCGATCTGCTGGTGAGTGGTACTCTCTCCGTAAAATGCCATGCAGCGTGTCTGCCCTGCTTCACGCTGCTCAGATGAGTGTGTGAGTGAGGGAGAGGGAGGATGTGTTCACTCTTACATGTGGTTTACCCAGAGAGGAAGAAAATCAGATGCAAGCTTCTGCGTTATTGATTTCCTTGTGGTTGGACAGCGGTTTTTCGTGTCAGACAGATAAATGTCCAACAGTAGAGACGAGTAAACCACTTCAGCTCTGTGTCAATCACATCAGAGAAGCTCACGTCTTACCAGGTCAAATTCAAACAAGATTTTTGAAGGGGCGGACCCAGTAAATTAGATACGTAGGCATTTTAGAGAAAAAAATGGCAACATTAGAGTTTGAATTTGTTTTGACTTAAAGGAACTTTCTGTTGATCACATGATCACTTTCTGTAAGTGTCGGCCACAGTTTGCAGCCTATTGTATATTTGTGATGTTTTTAGATTAAACACACAAAAATATGAGGTATCTACATAAAACTTTAATGCGGGTTTATTACTGATTTATTATTATACAGTAATATTTTTCAAAAGGTTTGTTCATGTTAATTCAAAATTTCAACGTGCCATACTTCTGTACTGTGTTTTTTAAACAGTAGAAATTATGACTTTCTAAGCTCAGAGTTAAGGTAAGGACTCTACCTTTAATTTAGTTATTAAAATATCTACAAATCAGATTTGGGAATGTTTTTTTAAACACTTTGATGTAAAAGTTTGTTACATGCAGGATATGGCCACTGACCCTCCAGCTGTTATATAGATTTTGTGAGCCAACCATTAGCATCCATTCTCTATCGCTGCATTGCAACCATTCCTGCCAACTGTGATGCTAAAAGCATAAAGAGCGTCATGGAGTCTGTTTCGCGGTTTTTGTCCCACTTAACTCCCCTCCCTTTCTCTCTTTCCAGATTTCAGACACAATTACTGGACTGCAGCTCTCTGTCTCCGGCCCTCTGAACTCAATGGAGGAGTTGTTTTCTGGCAGCAAACCTTTTCTGGTGTCCACACGAAACTGTCGGAGGTTATCCGAGAACGTCATCAACCTCCTCTCCTCCATCTCCCTGGCTCGGTCCAGCATAGACGCAGGGCTGGGGAACGACAGCGGTGTCAGCGGGGCATCCATCATTCCCCTGACACCCGTCCCACCCTCCGTAGCTCCCACGGTGGTGCCTGCCAGCAGCTTATTGCCCAACCCATTCTCACCTGGCTGGGCGGCCAACACACTGATGGTCAATGAGGACTACAGGTGAGGCTGTACAGTTAGACATGTGGGGAGGGCATCTGTCAGATTAGAAGGAGAAACTTTTAATTAGTTTTTGATGATCACCTATAAACTCAGTGCTTATGTCCTCCAACATAAATAGAAATTGAGATTAAATGGCTGCTTCTTATAATGAGGAGTGACAGTGTTGTCAGATGAATATGTTGGAATGTCGACCCTGTCTACCGGCAGCACATAATTCAAAACAGCATACCGTATATGAATAATACAGTTTTCAGTTTTAGATGAATAATTCATGATTAATGCAACATTTTGCACTGGAGCATTTATTTTAAGCAAAAGTACGCTGTTCATATTGCTGCTTCTAAACTACATAGCTCTTTCCAGGAAATCTAGAATGAAGTATCACCCTGATTAATATCAGATTTGACAGGGTTTAACATTTCAAGGATCAGTGTAGAAGAATAGAAGCCCCCCAGAATTGGCCTGCTGCCTCATTAACAAAAGCCAGTGGCAGATTCCTTTCAGTTTGAGTCAACCCTATTGGAGGCTGTTTGTGTTCTTTAAATGCTTTAAGTTTAACTTAAAGCATAGCAGTTGATTTTTCTCTCCGTCTATCCACCAACATACCTGCATTTTCTTAAACGAAAAGATCTCTGATTACAAAATCCTTTTGACTGTTTTGTAAAAAGATTCTCCCATCCAGGCTTCTTCCCTTCCTTTGCTGCAAGAGGTAGAGACAAATATTATGGCCTGTGGGAAATGCTTTTTGTCTGAGTTAATTGAGATGGGTTTGTTCAAGTATACATTTCTTTGATTATAAGATGGTTGTCCTCTTCGTTGGTTGATTTGATGATGCTGTCCACTAAGAAACAAGTGCTCTCATAAACAAACGACATCCGTGGTAATTAACAGCAAGAGGTTGAATAGGCCCAGAGGAGGACTCCTCCTGAGTCCTCTGTCTATGAGCTCATAAATAATGATCGTATGACACCTCTAGCAGTTTTGCATCAGGAAAATGCAAATAATGAGTTGATTTAATCCCAGATGAAGCCATCAGGCATCATAATCTACACACATGCACTTAACTAAGGAGGAAACAGCTCAACTCAATGATGTCATTTTCTGACATTCATGTTTACAGACTTTCTGGTAGAAATCCTGCTTACTTTGCCTCTCCCTGCACCATTTGAATAAAAATCAAAATAATGTTCTCCTGCTGCCTTTAGCTCAGACCAAATGAGTTCATGAGGAGATGCAGATTCAACCTCTCAGCCAAGTACTGTCTTAGTAGTGATTTATAAGTCTTTTGTCCTGTTTGGTAATTGGAGGAAAATCTGATCACTTTTGCAATACTTTGTAAGCCAGGCCGTTCAGTCATTTTCAGATTGAAACCTGAACCCTGTGGAGAAAATTGACCAGTTGTTGCTAAATGCTTTACAATAACCAGACCCCCAGTCTGAAATTTCTCAAATGCTTGTTTTCCCAAGAATAATCATTTTAATTAAGGGCACAAAAAAAGAAACAAAACTTGCCAAACCAAAGTACTCCTACAGTTGATCTGCCTGGCTGTGTAGCTGCTTGTTCCCTCACAGATAGACGGGGGGTTCAGGGGTTAGCTGTTGTGTAACGTCAACATGAAAAAGGAGGAACGTGTTTCATGTTGGTTGGGGATGCATGAAAAACATTCATTTAGTTAATAGTTTGTTTTATGATAACAAAGTCATATAAAAGAGAAACAAGTGTCAAGGAACATCTCATTGATTCTTTAAAGGAGAATATTCTGGAGCAGGAGGAAACTATCAAACGTAGTAGAGAGAACATAATGAAACAAAAGAATGTGTGAGAACTGGTGCCTCATTGTGTCATATGTACAGTATTAGAATATCCCAGTGTTTTCAGGCTTGTCTTTATTTAATTTAAGCCAAGTTTGGACCTTAAAATTAGAGAGAACAATGCACAAATGTTGTTGATTTCGATAACTGTTGTCCTTGTAGTTATGTGGTAAGACACTGGCACCCTTTGATTTAGCACATGGAGAGGCTTCTCTCAACTCCATGCCACATGAGAGGTCTAATTTCACTATTAAGATTATTGAAGCATGTACTGTTTCATGCAAATTTTACTTTGTGTTTATTATATAATACACTCCACGAACACATCCGCAATGCCACCCTCGACGGCAAGAACCTCCACTTTTCTGACAATCTCTCTAAAGATGAACTTCATGTGGGGGAAATTAAAAGTCTGTCACATGAACCAGAAGGGTTACATGAGGGGGCTTGAAATCACAAACCTTTAACATTTTGTTACATTGTAGGTGATGGTCTGTAATACTTGCACCCCAGGCACCATCTGAGAGATGAGTTTTGAAGACTTTCCACCAAAAAACATTCAAATTGAATTTGTCCCATGGCGTACAGACCTGTGAAGCGTTCCTCTCTGACTGCCATGTTCAAATAGAAGGCTTTCGGGGCAGCTTGGCAGTTGTTACTTGTTTAACATGGCCTGCAGTGTGTGTGAAAAAAAAGGTCTGGGTGTTTGAGCAACAACACACAAACCAAAAAAAGAGGGTCTGAGTTGTTTAGATTAGATTTTTGCTAAAGAATTTCAGTCCATCCGCTCTGTGTGGCGTTATTTGTCTTTTACAGGTGGCTCTCATACGTGTTATTGCTACTGCTCGACCTCATAGTTTGTCTGTTCATCCTGCTGGGACTGGCTAAGCAAGCCCGCTGGCTGCTCATTCTGTGAGTAAACATGCATCCATCTCCAGACGCTTACCATACAACCCTGGAATGATGGTCAGGGTGTCCTCTTGGCTGAGCAGTTTGTGCCCCCCCCCTCCCTTCTTACAGGATGACCGTGCTGGCATGGCTGGCTCTCTTCCTGAGCTGGGGCTCCCTGGGATTGGAGACAGCCACTGTGGTGGTGAGTAGAACCAGAAAAACTGCTGTGGTGAGCAATGCCAGAGCTCTGGGAGTAGGAAGTGAATGGGAGAGAAGACAGCTTTAGAAGGCCGACCCCTGATGGCAGGCCTGTGTGAAGTCTGTGCATGTTAGCGTGTGATTTCTGTGCCCATTGTGCTAAACTGTGAAAAGACCAGCCTCCTAGGGAACTCTGCCGTCATGGCAGAAGACCAAATAGGCAGGAAAATAGGCCAGAGATTAAAGATTCAATGAGCGTGTGCACGTTTGCGAACAAAGCGTGTTTGTGTGTGCTGCAGTGCGTGTTTTTACATGTGAGAGTTTGGGGGCGTTTGAGAAGTAAAGACGGAGAAGAGAGTTGTCTTTCAGCAAGAGTGAGACGGGGGAGAGGAAGAGGGAGAGAGTGCATCTCGAGATCACTTTTCGAGATGGAATGAGACGGGAAGAGAGGGGAAACAAACAGCTTTCTGTCAGCAGAGAAGGCTGGCAGCAGTGTTTAGCCGCTGCCACTCTGGTATTTACACAAAACATGCAAAGAAGTGAGAGCATAATCCTGTGAAAGTTCCATTCAATTTCACAGGAGCAAAGGTCCAGCTGGGCCATTACTGCTATGACACGACACCAGTGGGTTGTTTCCTTTTTTCAACAATCAAGAAACCTTTGACACTGTGACATTCACTGAGAGAAAAGACCCGATGTTTTGTCCCCAACAGAGGAGGTTGTTTTTTAAGTTATGAACTGAGATCACTCCCTGTAAGGGGAAGGACGCTTCTTTTATGCGTTTGAAGAGGGTTTTTTGGTGAGTTTAAGAGTCTCACTGTTATGTGGGGCTGGCGGGAGATGTCCCAAAGCCTGTGGTCCACACAGAGCCGCTCTGTCCCCGGTCATTGACAGGGAAACAATGGGACAGCTGTGGGCCTGCCCACTCCATCCTGCCACGGCTCATTACTTTTCCAGACTCTCTGTGTGGCGCTCGCTCCCTCTGCTGGTGGGGGGATTTCCAGCTGGGTGACGGTGGGTGCAGCACCTCCGAGCTGCATCCTCTTCAAAAATAGGCCAGAACGCTCTGCTTTGTGCAGACCTGGCGAGGAACGCGGCGTTCAGAGAGCTGATGATCTCATGGAAAGCGGGCGGGTCGATATCCGCCACCATGTTTTACTCTGCTGTCAGATATCTGCAGAACTAAGTGTGTCAGTCGGTCAGTGTGTCTACTAACATTTTCCCCTGTGATCATTCTCTCTTTCCGTCCCTCTTTGGCTCCATCTGGCCATCCTCTCGTCCTGTCATCCTCTCTCTTGCACCCTGTCACTCTTACTGCGTTGCCAGGCACTCAGTGACTTCTGCTCCGATCCAAACTCCTTCGTCCTCAACTCCACCCAGTTCAACACGGGGACCAGCTCAGGTACCACATCAGTGTCCAGCAGCCCTTTCTGGAAGAGCTGGTCATTTTCCACGTTGGCTGCACACGTGATAGATAGACAGATGAATGTTTTTTTCTCTATTGTGCTGACTTTGTGTGTGCTCCTGTTCTGCTGATCATTCAGATGTGCTGGACTATTATCTGACATGCAACCGGCGCATGAACAGTCCGTTCCAGCAGGTAATGCGATGCCTGTCACACACATCGGAACACTGTGCTGAGCCCGTGTGGCTCGCACGCTTTCCTTTAGTGAAAGGGTTAAATGATGTGATGCAGAGTTTTCCTCACATTCAAACACAAGCAGCTACACAGTCTGCATAATAACGGTACGTTTGATCAATAATGCAAAATAACAGCTCCACTGCCTTGTTGGATTTAGCTGCTGACCCAGTCTCAGAGGGCCCTCTCAAACATTCACACACATCTCTCCAGCCTGGACAGAAACGCCCTCCCGCAGTTCCCCAAAGCTGAGGTATGTGAATCATTTGGGCACAAAAAATAACACTTTGTGCTTACAAGGGAGCCGTCTCTTCAGAGATTTGCTCACATTCGGCAGTTTTGTGTTGCTTGCAGAAATCACTCAGGGAAGTTCAACAGATACTCAACTCCACAGAGGGCAACTTTCATCAGCTGGTGGCTCTGCTTAACTGCCGGGGCCTCAACAAGGCAACTAATGAGCAGTAAAAAGGAACTTTACAGCCAAGGCTTCTCTTCTTTTCCGTAGACTTATGTCTTTGTTTTTCTGCAACGTTTTGTAGGACTACATTGACTCACTAAAAGGCCTGTGCTACGATGGGATGGAGGGACTGCTCTACCTCTCCCTCTACTCTTTCCTGTCCGCTTTGGCCTTCACAGCTATTCTCTGCTCTCTCCCTGGTGCCTGGAGGAGCTTCCCCAGGTGAGAAACAGCAGGCCCGTGTGTGCATATGCCTCTCTGTAGATGGATTTTAGTAAAAGAAATGTGCGGGGTGAATGTTTTGCTCCCTCTGCTGTAATAAATCATTCAAATGGAACGTCAAACCAAAGCACTAACGTTTCAGATCCATAAACTCCCCCAGGAAAGAAATCTGGCATGCATTGTAGGGTGATGTTTAACCAAGGGTAATATATTTATCCCCAGTATTTGGAAGGATGTTTTTATTCCATGATAAAGAATGTGCAGCTGTTCCTCCCCTGCTACGATATCATTTCTAAATTCAGAACAGTGATAGCTGGAATTCACTGCCCAGAAAATACTGGGGAGTTTTCAAGGGAGCCGTGGCTCCACTAAGGGATTGAGGTTTGGGTATCTTTATGTCAATTCCCATCTATTTAATTTCTTTTTGTTCCTCATAATTATAGAGGATATTTTTTATATTGACATGACATTAAACTGAATCACAAAGATACTTATTTACATATAATCTCTCATATTTAAGTTGTTATAATATTTGATATTTCTAATATTTAAGTATTATCTCCAAAAATCCTGTAGTCCATCCGTTGTAAGCGGCATCTGTGTACAATATCTTTGAATTATTTGTGTCCAGATATTCAAAAATTGAAAGCTGGAAAAATAGCTAAGTTGACCAAGGAACCTCAGGAGGGTGAGAGCCCGTCCCGTGAGTAAAAAGCATAACCCACTAGAGAAAAAGCAACAAATTCAGACTGAAGTGACAGAAAGGCTGCAATGAGACAAGAAACAAAATAGAATACATGTAATGATGCAAACTATTACATCGATTGACAGGAAATGTTAGAATCAAATGCCTGAATATGCACAGAACAGAGAGGCTGGTGCACATAGAAGTTGTACTTTTGCAGCAAGCCAGAAGAAGATTAGACGTGTCTCTTTTTTGTGGGTTATAATTGATGTTGAAACCTTGGATGCTTATATTTTTAGTTTTACTGGGGGCGTTGTGTCATCAGACTGAGTTTTGAAACATGAACAGGAAAAGAATCCTAAACGCAAGTCAAGTAAACATCATTAAAATAATATAAACATTTTTAGACATATCAAGAATTTTGCCGCATATATACACATTAACAGTGTCTGTCTGGGAGTCTTAGTCCTTATATGTCCTATGAAGTTCCGACCCATGAACATGTCAATGCCCAGTGGCTTTTTGATGGATCAACTAAAGGTCCAGATGCTTCTTTCTGGTCCTGTTTCAGGTGATAGATTGGTTAGCCTCAAAGCCCAGAGACTAAATTGAATGAGCTCCTTCGCTAAAATGTTTCTTATGTGCAAGTACAGTTATGGTTCTGCTCTTAATGTGCTTCCTTCTTTACACTTGGATGATCCTTTGGTCAGTATCATGAGTACTTTTTTAAAGAAAATGATCAGCTACAAGGACTGAAGTAAAAAATGAAAGAAAAAAAAACAGCCGTTCTGTAGAACTATTACACAACACCATTTAAAAAGATTACAGAACAGTCTGGCTCCAGACTGTGAGACAGCACTGTATTTAATGCGGGACCAAGATAATAAATAAAATGTGTCTGTTTTTTCTCTCTTTCATGCACGACGACAGTGAATCAGAGGAGTACGATGACTCGGACAGCGAGAGTGAGGACCCCTTCACCTCCCATCAGGCACGTAGACAGGCGTCCTCGGGGTCTCAGCGAGGGGCCATGGCCCCCTTCTATAATTACCCGGGGGCCGGGTGGACACCCCCCTTTTCTAGCGCGCCGCCCCTCCCGTGAGTAACACAGACACTCAGACACACAGACAGACAGACAGACAGAACATCCCAGATGTTTGAAGAGGACAAATCTTTCTCTGACATATAGTTTTACTGCCATCAAGCTTGTGTTTCTGTGTCTACATCTGGACCCAAAGGCAGCATTACACTGTGGCCCCCCTCAGATTAGTTCCTAGAAAACACCACCACAGACTGCAGCACAAACATGCAGTTTACAGTCACATGTCCTCCCCTTGAAAACACAAAACTGTCACACAGCCATACTGATGTTACACAATAGATGATGGATGAGGTGTACCCCCCCCCCATCTTTACACTAGAAGTTGCAGAGTAGGCAGTTTGAGTGGTAGCTGGAAACACCTCTGCCCACACATATGCACATAGAGTGAGTCCACACCAGCAGAGCTGCAGGGTTAAGCACATGCATTACAGACAGACACACAGACAGGTCAACGTGGGCTATAGAGTAGGCAGAGAAACAGACACAACTCCAGAGGTCTGTCTGTCTGTCTGTGTGTCTGTCTATCCGTCTGTCGGGTGTCTCAGGACAGACAATGTAGGCCGCTCGGACGTTTCACAGATCTGGTCTCAAATGGCGCCCTGTCTCCTAAGCAGCAGCACGCTACTGCTGTGCTGGGGGGAGGTTGTCATTGGCCAGGCTGCGCTCGTAAAAATTCCGGCGATGTGAGGCTCAGGTTGACAATAGGTAACCCCCCCACCCCCCCAACACGCACCTTCTCGACACAAACCCCTCTGCCGCGTTCCTCTCATCTGTCTCCTCACTGTGGTGTGCAAATCTCTCAGGATCTGTCCTGCTGCTTCCCTTGTCATGATTCTTCCCCTTTAGTTCTCCCTCTCTCACTCTTCTCCCCTCTAAAGAATCCAGGCTCTAACGTGGACTATTGCCCCTCTTTTGCTAATGCCAGTTGCTCAGGTTGGCTGCTCCCTGAAACATTATTAACACCGAAACAGAATCCAGACAGGCCAGTAAGTCTGTTAGCAGTGGAAAGACAGTCCACTCCAGATTGAATCTGCTTTAAAAGCTCTCTGGGTTTCATTAAGCTGATAAACAAGTTGACTCAGGGAAACAGTCCAAAAGGCATGTAGCCGCATATTATTTCAGAAGTCCTGCCAGGCGTCAGTCATGAGTGGACTGTGTGCCTGCTGCCGATGCTCACAGAGCCTTGCTTGAGTACCAGTAGTACTAATACCTTCTAGTTCTACTGAGGGCTGCGTTTTTCCACACCTTATTTCTAATCGCTCTCTTTCCCTCTTCCCTTTTTACCTGTCTTTGGGTCCTGTCATCCCACGGCCCCTGTCCCTTTTGTCTTTCTCAATGTGTCTCACCCCTGGTTCCCTCTCTTCTTAATCTTCTGCTCCTCCTCTCCCTGTCTCTACTGTCCTTGTCTCTTTCTATCTCTATACAGGACTCCAAACGTTTCCTCCAATGGCAACCCTGGCTATGAGAGCCTTCCCTTGACTGACAGGCAGTCCCCACCCCCCTCTGTGAGTTCCTCTGTACTTGTGACACCATCGCGATCTGTGTCGTTTTGCCGTCACCGTTAGCGCTCACGCTCGCTTTGATAACCAGCAACGAACCGACTCACGTGGCGGCAAGCCTCCAACCTCGCTGCGGCTCGGCCGTTTGTTTTCACAACAGTTCAAATTCTTTAAAAAAAGATCAAAGTCTGCTCGGGAGTTCCTTTTTTTTAGTTCTGGAGCAAAGCTGTTTTAATAATGAGAATGTTATTAAGCTTGTATTAACGTGCATTTTCAGCAAAACAGATCAATGTTCAACACCACTATTTTTGAAAAAAAAAAAATCAACTTCTTAAATACTGGCACATTAAAATTTGAGCCGTGCAACAACGACAGAGAAGGCATGTCCATCCATTTTAATTGAGCAAGCTCTGGAATGCATTGACCTTCAGATCTGCCCATCCTCCACCCAACACACCCACATGTTGATTTTTCATATAGGCAATATGACCTATAATTACATTTTAGGGAATGTGAGTTCTGATTCTCCTAAAAAAAAAAGGGAAAAAAGCCTTCCATGAAGGTGATAGTTGAGTTGTAAAAAGAATGCTTCTTTGGTAATGTGCATGATTATTTTCCCCCTTCTACAAAGTATTTCTGATTTCTAACCCTACCAAAGGGATATTTATTATTCAGCTCAACCAGGAAGTGACCCGATTCTGTCCGCTCTGTGTTGTGTGTAACTGAAATGACCATCAAACAACTGGTGGCATCATAAAAAGAACTTATTCAAGATCCAACAGTGTTCTTTTTCTAACTTTTTCTAATGTTTTCGCTGGCATTTGTGTGATTTGTTGTCAACGGGTAATGAACACACACGCGCATCTTGACGAACTCTATGATCATTTCATTTTAGGACTTACTGATTTTTATGGTGGTTCGTGTGATGCAGCATAGGGCTGAACTTGACACCATATGTCTCTACTTTTAAAATCATGTCGCTTATAAACAACTTAAATTGTGAATCTAAATCTGGACTGAAAAAAATCTCTAAGGTACCACATTCAAAGCTGATTTATATTGATTTTAATTAAAGGAGTTTTGAAAGGTAACATCGATAAGAGAAACAAATCTCTTTTGTCTACATGCTCAACTAATTGATATTCATCTTCTCTCTCCTCTCTCTATAAAACTTCGGACCATCTCCTCGTGTCTCCCGATGACTCTTTTGACGCTTTGTGGAAGTACAGTACTCTCCCAGCATGCTGACTGGTTATGGGGGAAGTCAATCACACCCCAACCCCCCCCATTCAAGAAACCTGTATTCACGTTGATTTTTTTTGTTAGAAATTGTATAGAACAAAAAAAAAGTTTAGTTTTCATATGAATGGACACTTTACTGAGATGAAAAGGAAACTAATCTAATAAAAAATGAATGCTAGGTGTGAATTTAAAGTGTGTAACGTCAGTACCACTGGATATTATTATTTAAAGCACTTAAAAGAAACAGTTCTGAATGGACTGCTTATACAACCAGCTGTGATAATGCTGACAGTTTGTGCAAAGCTATGAACCAAGTGTTTGATCTTGTTTCTTTCCCCTTGTTTGTCCAAACTCTGTGTAAACTGTGAACAGTGATGAGGCAAGTCAGGATGGTATTGACGCTACTACGTTGTAGTTTTATATTCTTACATGTATCTGTACCACTGATTTATTTTCAAGTTTTTATATGAATATTGTGTAGAAGAAAAAAACAAACTCTGGCACGTAGCAACATGGCACATTTTCTTTCTGTGGTTATGCAGTTCCTTCACTTGGTATATTTTTTTTATTACTTTTTATAGGTGGCAATTCTGTATTTTTCCTTGTATTACCTTACGGTACTCTGTATATCTCACTGTCTATAATATCTCAATAACCATGAACCTTTGCTCTTAAAAGAAATACCGGAGGGCTACAAAGACCCTGTTTGACGATTGAATCGAGAACTACAACTGCCACTCAAGTCTTCGGAGTGGAGAACTACAATTCCCATGCAATGACAGCTGGTGCATAGCAATATGACCTTTGCTACTGGTGCTGCCGTAGCTCTACCGTAACAAGCAATAAAAACTATGTATAGCATTGGGTTTCTGAGATCTCTCCAAGGTGTTTTGTGTATATATGGTACGGTTTGAGATTTCATTAAATGCCCCTTCCTCGCCTACTGACCTTGTTAACCCCTTGATTTGAGTTTGTATGGCTATCAATGCTCCTTTTGAATGGCATCCTTTTACACTCGAGAGTCTAATAGAAATAAAAATAACTTCAATTAACCTCACACTGGGCTTCATTGTTTCTGAAATTCTATTTGATGTCAATAACACACGCGCACACGTACACACTTGAGAAATCTGGCAGAAAAAAAATCCACACTTTAAACAAAATGTCCACATTTAATATATCATAAAGCATCGACATGAGTCTCTGAGCTACCGGTTTGGGTGTAAGTTAGTCACTAGAGTGGATTGGAGCCTCCTCAATATGCATAGTTTAACAGGCAAGACAAAAATACAAACATAGACAGTCACAAAACCAGTGTTTTTGCATGTTTTAAGGACAGAGTACATTCCTGCAGATTTTCTCGGAGATGAAAACACACTGGAACTCGGATTCATCAGTCATGATCAACATTAAATCCTCACAGCCTCGTTTCTCTTTAAACTACACCACTCAATTAGGAAAATGGGTGTCCGGTGTGATGTACGACAGGGTCCACTGTATACTGATGTTAACAAAAAAGAAAAACAAAAACGGACCTAAGAATATCCACACACTGGGTAGAGCTGGCTGGCTCGACTGGGGCCTGTACGCACAAGCAGGTTCAAAACATCCAGGGTTAACTTTCGGTTCTCTGGCTTCACAAACATCTGAAATCACTGCAACACATGGCTCACAATGCCGCCTCTCAACTTACATGGCTTGCACCATCCATCGAAACATGGATGTAAAAAAAAAAAAAAACTGCCCATTTCTGATACCTAAAAGAGAAACGAAGGCCTACAGGGATATATATGGAATACCCTTGTGACAATAGCCTCCTTCTTTCTAGTGTAATGCTGGAATAAATATTCAACCTGAAACTATGTCTAGGATTTTTGCAGCAAAAGTGAACTCTATAAAACATTTCAGGACATTTTATGGGGAAAAGCGCCCACTAGCCCCTGTGTCTTTGACGAAAACACACTGTGAAACTACCATCTTGTTTTAAAGTCTCGCCTCACCATAAAAAAAATCCATTTGAACCGTGTTAATGCATCCTCGGCCTAAGCTATTCGCACAGCGCCACCTACAGTTTCAGAGAGGTGAGGTCAGACATGCTCCATTTTCTACATAAAAGAATCCATCTTGACAACTTGATTAATGGGGCTTTTCGGCCGTCCTGTGAGGAGTCAATGAAATGAAAAGCCAGCACACATAAGCTCCTGGCCCGGGGCCCCGAGAGGCTCCTGCCAAGCCGAACCAGCGGTGCGCTTCTGAAATAGCAGAAAAAAGATTTTTGCTAATTTGAATATTCGACCCCTCTGATCTTCCACTTGCTTTCAACTATGTATAATTTAGCAGGTGATTAACTCCTGCAAGGGGACTTTAAATATCAGCAGCTGCAACAACAGAGTTTATGCTTCACTGGATCGGATTTAAATGCGGAGACTCTTCCATTTTCCTTCACTTGGGGTCTATATCATCTCTTCACCACTTGTCAGGAAAGCCCAGAGGTTTTTAGACAGGGAGAATACGTTTTTTGAATTGGTTTTCCAAAAGAATCCACTGGCCTTTGAGTGGTGAGCGAACTGAAAACAAGTACTGAACTGGAAAAGGTTCAACTCTCCTCGTCTCGCATTAAGTACCACAGTGGTGCATTGAAATAGGAAATGAACCACACTTGCTTGTGCCCTCACTAAGCACAAAGCCTGCTCTGTTGTACCGACCCCAGGTGATGGCATCATGGTTTCTGTGTCTGTGTGAGCTCGCACAGACACACTTAGTGCATAGAAGGTTACAGATAAAGGGGGAGGTGGAGCAGCTGCTTAAACCACACATCTTCATCCACCCATTGTAGAGTTCATAACGATCTAAGTCTGAGATGATGGTGTCTCAAGCCACTGAAGGCAGCTGTTGCTTCAACACACAACTATAAACTTTTCAGTAATTTGTCACGACTTGAGTGTTAAAACTTGCTTACATCGCTGTAAATGCTTTACTCCCTCTAACTAAATGTTCCAGGAGAAGGATGGAAAGAGCAGTGACAGGGATCAAACCAGAGGGAGAGCTTTAAAAACTGTTACAATCAAAACCTTCATCATTTCAGGAGTAAACTTCTGCCTCTTTGGGATTACCTGTGTGTGTTTGTATAGATATTACATGTATTTTAGTGCATTCCCTGAAGATGTTTCTTTGATGAGGTGTTTAAAAAAATGTCCAGAACGTTTTTTGTTTTGTTTTTCTGTCTCAATGCCTCGAAACAGTATCACTTCATGGGGTTTTCAGAGTTCAGCCACGAGCCGTCCTCCTCCACTTCGCGTCGGACAACCAGGAGCATCTCTGCCACGTCCTGAGAAAGCTGCTCGCTGAGAAATGCACTGCAGGAGCATCAAAGACAAAAGAAGGGAAACGGTTAAAAGAGCACACGCACTCAAACAGTGGGCTTTACTCGAGTGCCATGTCCACACACAAACAAGTGAAGTAACCCCCATGTGACCGCTCAAATGGGGATGACTCACTCACTGCCCTGAGCCAGAGTCCAAGCAGCGCACATGAGCCAAGACCTGGTAATATTCTTTGCAGGCCCACACACAGGGGTCAAAGGTCGGCTTGTGAAAGCCTGGAAACGGGGCCCAGGGGCTCACTCTCACCGTAGCTCTGCATCTCCTCCGATGCAGACGGGGCTCTTCAGTTTGGAGTCCAGGTTGTAGTACTGTCCGTTAACTTGCCGAACTGCGAGCCAGTGCCGCCGGCGAAGGGGGAGGGACACGATTCCCAGAGATACCCGTGAGGGGACGTTAAGAATAAAGCCCTGGACCTTCGACGTGCAAAGGCTCTCGACCGTCCTGTGTTTGTTTTTTTTTGAAAAAGCAGAAAGACAGCAGTACTCATCACATTCACAGACGTGTAACTGTCGATGGTAAGTGGTTGGACAAAGTCAAACCTCTTATTCACAGCATTCTTTACACAATGGAGCAGTGTGGTGGAAATAGCTCTCTCTGGGAGTTTAACAGGAGGCCTTTGTCTTTTGATTATTACAGCGTGACGACAAGAGATTCTGCGGCTGATCAGCTTAGCAGCTACATCGTTACTATCAAAACAGGGCGGGCGCACACTTGTTTTTCATGACAGATGTTGCTTGCTTATCATGGCTGCGTCACATATTCAGCAGTTACTTTGAGCTCATCTTCAGATATTAATTCTGCCATGCGAGTGGCCACTAAGGGGTCATCGTGGAGCAAAAGTCTGCGATAATCCACGACTTTCTGATGCATCGTTGCAGCTGCACAGTGACGGTCATCTGCGTGCTGATAGGGGGATTTTTTACAGTCTCATTCATCCGATGTGCCCCCTGGTGGAACCAACCGGTAACAGGTGTAGTAATCGAGCAAGTATGTGAGCAGTCATCCCTACAGCTGAGCATGTGGCTTATGTGAACATGTGATTTAAAAGCGAGTGTGTTCGTCGGCTCAGACTGTCTCACTATGCAGGCTTCAGGGCGTCTACTCACCTCCGCTTGTCCCACCAGACCGCAGCGAGCTCCCTGCTCTGTAGGGCCGCCATAATGACATTAACATCGTAGTTCCCTGTGCCTAACACTGACCGATGGGGGTTCACGACACACTGTGGAGCCAGCCTGCAAAGAGATCAGGAATTTGAGGTTCTATGACATTTCCAGACATTTCCATGGCCCAGTTTGGAACCGTTATCAATGGTGCAAAGGCACCTTCGCTCCACAGCCGTTCAGGATCGTCATCTCTTCAATGACCTGGCTTTCTGGTCATAACTGCCCCTCTGAATAAACACAGTTTGTTTGTCAAAAGCCACAATGTGAGTCATCTTCCCCTCATGTTCAATTTGGTTGATGGCTGGAAATTTAAAACAGGGCCCTCTCTAAAAATGGAAAATGAAACAGAACGACTTTCTGTACCAAAACAGTTCCCATGCTATTTTCCCCAGAAGGACTAGCCTACATTTCAAAACAGAGATCTTTTCTGAAAAGTGGCAAATCCATTTTTACAGAAAATCATGGTATGCGTGGCGTTTCTGAGAGTCTTTTGGAGTGCTTGTAGCAAGGCTGAGTTGGCAGTTTTTGCATTTGTCCAGAACATAATCTGTGAAATCGGATTTTCCCCCATTTTTTCAGATCAAGTTGCCTCCTCCTAAATCACAGGGGCCTTAACGATTTCCTGCTGGTTAACCTTTCATAAAGGAGTAAAATGGGCCTCTTTTGTACAGTTATTTTGCCATAGCGCATTTCTTATCCATAATAGGGATTGAAATTTGTTAAATCCTTGCGACTACACGGCACAATCTCTCATCCTGCCAGACAGGAAGAGAAACCTGTAGCAACACTTTTCCAAATAAACAAATAGAATAAATAGATATTCCAAAGTACGGTATATGCTTTCAAATTTCAATACCTGAGAATCATCTTGAATCACCTTTTCATTGAGCTGTAAAACCACTAACGGAAGAGATAGAGTTTTCAGTCTCTGAACTGAGCCCACAAATTGTTTGTGAATAGTTCATAAAAATACAAAAAACAACATGTAAACAAAACCTATTTGTGGATAAGTCTTACAATTATAGTTATGATCACCCTTTTGCATTTACACTTCAGTCAATGGTTAACATTGAGGTTTATATTGGGAAACACAGATGGAGAGAGAAAGAGAGATATTATCTGCAAAACATGATCCAAGAGCCTAACCAAATCAGGCTTTGTTTCAAGTTTCAAATCCAGCCACAGCTTTCCTGTGTCATACCCATCACACTAGTCATTCTATACGAAGAACTATCTGTGCACAGTGTCTTAAACCCAGTTTAAATGATGATATCACGACAAACATGGAGGACAAGCATAGAAAACCAACAACAAACTTTCTAATCACCGCCTGTTTGTTTGGCAGAACTAAGTCAACATTTCAGCACATTAGTTCATATTTATTCTTTTTTTTGGTAGGCCAGCTTCCAGGCTGTGGAAAACACTGAGTTATGAGCTGGTTGGTGTGCCAGCATCAAACCTGGGAGCACCTGAACGCCGCCTTACCGTTTACAGATGTCATCGGCTGTCTCCTTGGTAAACACCCGCTCCTGGAGCACGTTGTTCAGAGCATGAATGGCACACAGCTCCAGTCGTTGCTTCTCATGAAACACCTCTCCTTCACTCATACTAACACTTTAAAGACACAAAGACACGGCAAAAGTAACGTCAACAAAGCGCCGCCATGCTACAGCTAACTGGCGGACCGCCATCCCTAGATGCTAGTTAGCGTCCGCTTACCCGCAGCTGCCAGCAGTGTGTGTTATTTAACTGCCCGGGAGTTGGAATACAGCAGGAAAGTGGACTATTATCAATCCCAAATAACCTGGCGCAGTCCCCGACCTGCTGATAAAGCAGTTCCCAGTTAATATGATGCTGGGGTCTGACAGCTACATCCAGAAACCGGAAGCGGAGCAGTTGTTTTTGTTTGTGTTGTTGTTCTTGAGCGGCTGCCACGCTCCCGAATCAATTTAAACACGCCCACAACTGGACAAAAGAGCCTTGGCTTTTATCAGCTCGGTTGAAAAGTCCCCGATAAAATGGTAGAAAATACACGTTATAGAAACATAAATCTTCTAGGTTAAACACGAAGGGCTCGAACGTCCACAAACAGCATCCAAATAACCACGAGGGTGTGTTGTGGCGCCCCCTGATGGCAGGACTGGAAGCTGGCAGTCATGTTGGACAGTGGAGGAAACGAGTTGGAGGTTTGGGTCAGGAACCATAAAAAAGATAGCTCACTTCAGTTGATCCTAACCTAACCAATCAAACCGCTTGAAAAATTATACTCTAAGTTTTTACAAAGCAAATTATGCCGTAAAATGTGTCATGACATACAGATGAGATCCAAAACAGTTGCGAAAACCAGCAAGATCAGATCAGTTAGATTACAATCAGATTTATTGTCATTAAAAATGTTCAATAAAGAAATATAGTTCAGCATCTAACCAGATGTGCAATAATCCGCACGCAACATAAATAGTGTATGTAGGTGGCATGTGCAGGGTTTTAGCATATTTGCAGATGAAATCCTGTTCACAGATGTGACCATGTATACAAATGAGCTATGGCATTATTTACAATAAAGGAAATTAGCAGCTGATAAAGGAGCGAGAAAAATACAGGAGAAGTAAGAATTAAACAATTATACACAGTGGTTATCTAATCTTACTAAACTGGTTCACTATTCAGTACATACTACTGTGCAAACAGATTGACTGAAATGTGCATCCAGTACAGTGCAGTATTGCTGTGGTGATGGTCTTTGGTCAGTGAGGGAATGAGGACTTGACGGGTGTGGTTGAATTGGTTTATAGGGTCAGCAGGGAACAGAGTTCAGTTGGGTCACAGACGCTGAGGAAAAAGCTGTTTCTGGGCCTGCTGGTCCGTGTCTGGAGATACAGTTTGTGGATATTGTCAGTCTTAAAATGTATATATCCCTGAATGTTTTTGTTCTTTTCCATTTTAAAGCTCTTCAAATTATTTAGAGGGGTTATTTAGAAACTTCCTGATTTTGCAATGCTATTTAACAGGGGGAAAGTTTAAATATTTTTTCAGAAGCATCCAAACGAACACAGCACCATCGGCACAGTAAAACACATAAAGACATTTGAGAAATACTCAAATTTAATATTGATATAAAACTGTGATAAGAAACTTAATAGATAAGAAAATTAAGGATTAGAAAGGATAGGCTAATACATGAATGACTGAAAATATCTGTAAGGCATCTCTTTACATTTGCTTCCCAACTTTGGTTTGGATTGTTTCTCAAATCATGTTCTACTATGATTGTTGATCATTTTTTGATTGTGCCGTCTATTTTGATCCCTTTGTAGTCGCTCTGTAATTATTTGTGACTATTTGTTTTGACTGTTTTTGAGTTTTTTTATTTTGAAATTATTTTATTTTTATGAGCACCTAAATTTAATTTTGCTTGGATTACCTCTTATTTTTTCTTTGTTAGATTGATCAAAATAAAAAGGAGAGGTCCACATCATTACATCAGTCAATCTGTGATTCTGCTTTGTTGATATGCACCATAATTTAAATAATAATAATTTCTGTCTTTAACAGAGTCAAAATATTTAGTTTAAATGTAACCTCTTGATAGACCATCCATGTTACACTTTTATTAAAATAATGTCTTTGTCATGTTCAGGCATGGTTTTGTTTAGCCTTTTTTCCTGTTTTGAAATCAAATTATTTTTTATTATTTCCATTTGAACACCACAATTGTATTCCTGTTTATATTTGCATCATTCGTCTCCCATCAAACCAATAGATTTTTCTCATATTCTGCTTGGACGAATGTCTTGATCTATCCTCTCAGTTTTGATCACGGATATGAGTTTTTTAAAAGGACCAATAACTGATTAGTATCAGTCATATATTTGATCGTGTGTGGCTGATAGGGCTTCTGATCGTGATGCAATGAGCAGGCCGTATGCTGATTGGTTAATATTTTCTGACGTTTCACATCGCTAACATTCCTATTGGTCTGTGGTACTAGGTTAAACTGGTATCGTATTTTTGTTCCTGTGTCAACCTAAAGAAAAAAAGAGCAGTAAGCAGTGAGACCGGGTCAAAATTTGTATAAGATAGTTTTTAAAGCATTTACAGGAGAGACTTCTTATATCTGACAGTAGACAGACATCCGCCGCCCTAGCAGACCTCCATTACGAAGATGGTAAGACAGATGACCGAGCTTATTGCTAACAGCTAACGAGAGTAGCTGCTAGCTCGATTCGATGTTTAGTCGTCGAAAGCTGTCGTTTTTTTAAAACTTATTTTTATTTAGGTTGTGTCTATTCAGCAAATCTTCTGGAGTTGTTAAAAGTTACAATCTACATGTGAATCATTCAGTTATCACGAACACTACACCGCAATTTCTAAAACCGCTGAGCAGCTTTGACATTAACTAATTGAAGCTAGGTTTGAAATGCTAACCGTAATGTAAAGTTAACCTTATCAATCGATTTGATGGTCGTTTACGGACCTTATTGGTTATTTTAAATGACTGCGGCCTGACTTTCCTATCTAGGCTTCCCTGAGTAAATCATACTAAAAAGTTTTTGGATTCCTGTGGATACTCGAAATGTTCGAAGGAGTGAAGCCTCATAGGTCAAATTTAAGAGTAATCCATAACATCCCGATCTATTCATAGGAGTTTGATTGTTATGAACAGAAAGAACAGCTGCCTGCTCCCAAAGCATGTGAAAACCTTCGTGCGTGTTAGTGATAAAACATCACTGCGAGAGAAGGAAGCATAAAGATGCTCACAGTAGTTTCCCCTCATGGCTGAAGGATCCAGACAGATTTAAGTATATCTGTTTTTCTTTGCTAGGAACGGTGCATCCTTTTAAACAGTAAACCCACTGGTTTGGCTCATCTTTTAGGTTTCAGATTTACAAGAGGAAGTTTACCGTTTGGGTAATATATCCACTAAAGTCACATTTATCGCTAAATTCCCTCCACACTCACAGTTTTTTTTTTTAAAGACTCCTTTACTGTCTAATCCTGAATTGTCAGAAGGATGCAACACAGTAGTGAACGTACAGCTCAGGCACATCAAGCTAACCCTAACCCTAATTGGTCTTATGAGGACATGATCAACGACATAAAACAAGTTAAGATGGATAATAATAATGAAAGGGCTAAGAAGTTGTTGGCTAACTTGAGTTTAAAAAAAGGAAATATTCCTTTTCAGTGTGACTGACCCTATATTTACCTGGTGTCAGATCGAACTGTCTTAAATTCTTCAATGTACGTTGTTTTACATATACAAGTGTGTATAGCTTTTCGCAATTACCAGCCGAAATACTGTATATCTATTTTTTGCCAGTCATCTGTAGTAGGCTTGTGCTCGTACTTTACGGACAGAGAGCTGAGCTGCTGTTTTCTCTCCATAGAACTCCAATGTGGAGAATTTGCCCCCCCATGTTCTTCGCTTGGTCTACAAAGAGGTTTCAGCTTTGGCAGCAGACCCACCTGAGGGCATTAAGATTTATCCCAGCGAGGAAGACATAACAGAACTTCACACGTCCATTGAAGGGCCAGGTAAGGGCTGTGGTGTGGCGTCATGTCAAGCTGACACCCGCCACGAGGACACTCTTGGCTCAGAATTAGGATTTCTGTGCCACGGGGACACTCTTGGCTCAAAAAGACGATTTCTGACATGGCTGTTATTTATTCATACAGCTCTCTCGACACAGAGATTAAAATGACCTGCACCTCAGACTGTTAGAATGAATCCAATATTCATATTTTTTTAAGCTCCTTCACGTTGCACCGCCTTTTCATCAGTTTATTAACCAGGTATTTTGCCTTGGTTTGAATGCTGCCTTTTATGTTTATGTTGTTTATGCATTCAGCATTTTATTTTCTCCCTCTTGTTTTGTGGATGGAGTTTGGCACAGACAGGGCGGACTGCTCGTGTGATGAATTCTTTATACTTTGACAGAGGGAACTCCATTTGCTGGTGGCATTTTCCGAATGCGTCTGGTCCTCGGGAAGGACTTCCCTGCTGTTCCACCCAAGGGGTATTTCCTGACCAAGATTTTTCACCCCAACGTGAGTCACAAGGGAGAGATCTGTGTCAACGTGCTGAAGAGGGACTGGAAGGCAGAGCTCGGCCTCAGACATGTCTTACTTGTAAGGTCCACCTTTTATTATCTTTTATTTTTTCCATTATCTGCGTCATTTTGAGTTCAACGGTTATTACCTCTGTTATTAAGTTTGCGTCCTTTCATATTTTTATCCACCGACAGACCATCAAGTGTCTTCTCATCCACCCAAACCCGGAGTCGGCTCTGAATGAGGAGGCTGGGCGCTTATTGTTAGAGGACTATGCAGAATACGAGTCGCGTGCCCGTCTCCTCACAGAAATCCACGCCATGGGGGGACCTGGCGGCACCTCTGGGGCGCCTCAGGAGCCAAGTGACGGCCCACAGCCAAAGAAGCACGCAGGTGACCCCACGAAGAGGGCGGGGCCCAGTGCGGCGATCGTACCGGCGGCTCTGGGCAACGGCGCCAACGGGGCCAGCACCACCAGCAGCAATAGCAGTAGTAGCGTTAATAATGTAGCAGGGAAAAAGAAGGCAGATAAAAAGCGCGCGCTTAGGCGACTTTAATGTCTCAGCAAAATTCTCAGTGAGTGTGTGTCTGTGTCTGTGTGTGTGTGTGTGTGTGTGTGCGTGTGTGACTGAGTGAGTGTAAATATAAATATTGAATTTTCGTTCCCTTTTTCTGACTCTTTCTACTGTTGAGTCCAGATTGTCCATTTTTTTACCCTTTTTTTTGCCACCAGTTTGGCTCATCCTGTCGACATGACAGGTTTGTTAATTATTTCCATACCTGAAGACATGATTACAAATATCTGTTTCTCTTTAAAAAAAAAATAGAAATTTCCTTTGATAAATCATGTCAAAACTTGTATTTTTCCTTTGGTAAAGACAAAGGCTTTCACTGTGCAAAATCTAGCCTCTAATATCTGATAGAGAGACACAAAGCCTGTCTTCTTACACTTGATATCAGTTCTTCTTAAAGTGCTTCTTGGTAGATGCTGACATGACAGTACTGTGTACTGCACGGCCAGCCTTGTTCACGCCTTTGAACGAGGGTATTAATAAAGAGCAGGTTTTCAAATTGAGCTAAAAGAAAAAATTCTCAGAAAAAGCTACAGTATGCCTGGGTCATGATTTGGAAGGAAACATTGCTGCTTTTGTGCAGACGTAAAATCTTTTATAAATTGTATTTTTCATATTATGACCTTTTAAAAGCAGTAAAGGTATGGAAAGGGTTAGCAAAGGAGTTTAGGAAGTTCTTTTTCTCTTTTTTTTGGTTTTGTTTTCTACAGTTGTTTCACTGTCTAGGATTTTCAAAGGCTTTTAATTGACATGTCCAAATTTCAGCTGTGTTGTGCTTGTGTGTCAGGATGCAAATCAGTGGCTGTGAGGGAACAGGGTAGGTTGTCAAACAAGTTTTTTTATTTTTTTCTCTCAAAGCAAATAGAAAAGAAGATCAATCGTCTGTTCTCCGTATTACTCAAACTGGTGTGAACCACCTCTGGCCCCGTCTCTCTACAAACACAGCATGTGCTCAGGTACCTGGCTATGTGGGCACAGGGGAAGGCATGCGGGTTTGTGGAGCCGTCTCTGCACGGTCGGCTAATCCGGTGGGTTCTCTCTCTCTCTGTGTGTGGGGGGGCACATTTCCCAAGGAAGCACTGTTTCAATTCTGATGGAGAAGGTGTGTCTGAACCCCCTGTTTCAGTCCAGACTGGATATTTTGTGTCGTTTTTTTAATTATTTAAATGAATAAAACATTGAAATACGACAAGTGAAAAGGAAACCGAGTCCTGCTTTGCCTATATGATCATATATGTGTGTGTGTGTGTGTGTGTGGTGCTCTTACTGTTTGGTGATATAAGATAGCACTTTGTTTATAGTGGTCTCCTGTTCTGATGGAATAACCATTATGAGGAGAGGACTAATTGCATCCACCCCAGCAAACCAGTGAGTGAAAGTGCAGCGGCAGAGCGTCACTGGAGGCTCTAATGAAGGGCTCCACTGGCCTCTGCTGCAGCCCACCCACCTGTGTAGAAATAGCAGCCTGCCATGCAGGTAATTATCAGGCCCTTCCTAGACACCTGGGGCTCAGCACAACCCTGTATACATTCCCCAAGCTCCATTTTGGAAGAGCCTCCTTTTCCACCTGGCATCCACCTCCTATTTGAGCGTACCACCAAATGCAAAAAGCCAACCCTTAGACTTGGATTTCCCTGCGAATGTTTTCATATAGGCTACATTGTGAGTCTGTAGGCAGTTATTTTTTTCCTGCTTTCTGTGTCTCATGATTCATCCTGGTTGTCTGATGTGTAACCGCTGAACCCCCATTAAAGAGAGCTCAGTTCATTGAACTGCACTGTGAAAAAAAAACTAAACCAGGGTTCTTTTATTTTCTCCTCATCCGAGGATCGTGACGACGCAGTGAAATGTGGATTAAATAAAAAAAAGCACAAAAAAAAACAAAACAAGCGCCAACTTAAATTCGCATCAGCTCTCCATCAGTCTTTCCTGAGGTATCTTGTCCACCCCCCCCCTCCCTCCCCATCCTAAACTAAAAGAGATCTGAATTGTCAGTGTAGGTCTGAGTCTAATTGACAGTTTCGTTCACGCTCCAGTGTTAAAGCTTTTGCGCCAGTCCTCTCCCCTTCCCCGTTTTCATCGCTTTCATAATTGCCACCAACATAATGACACAGTTGCTGTGGCAACCGTGTCTCTCCTTTTCTCTCCCTCTCCCTCTGGCGCGCACACACAAAGAAAAAAAGAATTACGCACGCACTCTTTGGATCTCGGAGGTTTTCCTCTGAACGCCGGACGATTTCATTGAACAACTTTTTTTTTTTTGTCTCTCGTTTTTAGTCACTATTTAGTCACTGATCTCTCCCCACCTTTAAGCGCGCGCCTCTGAAAGGGGCAGTACGGTTATCCCGAAACTGCTGTGAATGAAATGTAAGCATATGAGGTCACGCGGTTAAAAGGGGGGGATTATAAACGGAGGAGAGAGGATGAACGCCACCAGTTGAATGGGCCTGATGACCAGCAGCAGCACGGAGAGGACCGGAGTTGAAGCCCAGCATCAGTCTGACGGACCAATCACAGCGCTCCCCCTCTGGCGGAACTCCGTGAGGCCAGTCGCAGTTAGGCGGTCAAATCTATAGAGCTGGGAAACGATGAAGAGAGACAACTACCGTGAGCTCTAGATTGAAAAAGTTGAATTTTGTGAGATCACGTTTGACATTTCTGCGCATCTTGCCTTCTCTCCGGGACAGTTGCTCTAACTTGTGCTGTGCGCCCAACGGAAATTTCCAATGCAGCCTTCAGATTAAATATCTTAGAACATCTCGCCGCTCAACACCCCTCTTTTGACTCCAGCTCGCGATCCTCCAAACCCCCCC